GGCATCGCCAACGCACAGCTGCTCCTGTGCTCGTTAAAGTATCTGTTTTAAGACGCTTTTCGTAAGGGCACATGAGTTCGATATCGCTCAGAGAGAGCCTGTCAGCGCGCAGTGACAAGAGCCCAGGCCGCGCGCGAGAGAGAGAGAGCCGCCCTTAGCACGTATCGTGACATCAGCCGCCCTCGGCAATGCGGACAATAGCGGCAGGCGCTAGAAAAGCCCTGCTGGGGAATGAATGAATGAATGAATGAGTGAGTGAACGAATGAGAGGGCGGGGAGCAGAGAGGGCAAGAGGAGGTGATGACGACGAGGGAAAGGGAGAAGAGAGAGTACTTTTTTTTTTTTTTTTTTTTTTTTTTACGAGTGCGAAGATTGGGCTGGAAAGACAAAGCGAAAAAGCTAATAAGCGCATAGAAATGATGATTGAATACGAGCTTTGTTAGTGAGATTGATACGAGGTTCATGTGCATGGCTCCAAGCGCTGAAGATTTGCTGGCGCGAGCGCTCCTAACAGCGTTGCATAACGGGGTATCGTTGCTTGGCGTTGAGCGCCTTGTGAAAAAAAAAAAAAAAAAAAAAAGAAAAAAAAATTGAGTGATACACTGCATGCGAACATCTCATTATCTGATTGATAACTATCTGGTGACATTCATATAATAGCAACTGCTTATCATTGAAGCTCAATGGTGTGCCCTTAAGGTGGCTGTATAGACTCTGCTCTGGCATCTCCTTACATACAGGTACAAAGCCACTCGGCGCTGACCAATTGCCGGCTTTCACAGCTGCCAAGTCGGGATGCAATGCAACCAACTGTTAAACGAGTGTATCTTACTCCATACATTTGCTCCTAATTTGCATCCCGTCCAATCCTACAAGCACTAGGTATGTTGATAAATAATACGCTGTGTGCGTATTGGCTACGAATTGACTTTTGCTAGCACCTGGCCGGGAGAGGTCACTATGGCGCAGCGGCCGCTAGCGCCATACCGCGCAGATGGCTGGTTATACTGCTTTTGGCTGTACTCCCGCCACACCACACGGGCTTGGTGACGACCATTCCAGCGACGGCCCGCTCACTCCAACGAGAGAGAGAGAGGGAGGAAAAAAAAAAAAAAAAAAAAAAAAAAAAAAAAAAAAAAAAATTCTAAGCCTGCCATACAAAGTCCGTTCAAAAATTACAGGTACAAGGCAAAGGTGCCGGGAGCCTAAAGCGGAGCACGCCTATTAGGTTGGTACGCTTGCTGTTACTAGCACTGAATACTACCACTTTAGGAGGTGTTGAGAGCTCTTAAGCACGCAAAACAGAACATGCTATTCGCATTCGTGTGCCATTTTACATGCCACAGGAGAGAATCTACTTGTATGCACGCAAAACAGAACATGCTATTCGCATTCGTGTGCCATTTTACATGCCACAGGAGAGAATCTACTTGTATGCACGCGCTTGTATCAAATTTATTCCCTGCTCGACGAATTCGTCAGCAGTCTGCTTCGCAGTCTTGACAACCCCGGCGCTATTCATCAGGGCCTGCCTTGTCCGTAAGACGGGATAAACTCTCCAAGATTGCAATCTTCTTTCTTTTTTTCTTCGAGTCAGATTCTTGACGAATTGGAGCCTCATACATCCCTGTCCGTTGGGCGACCCCCCTTGTTCTCTGGAGCAGTTGCTTGTATGTATGTACATACAAGTAGGTATGTACTTGGCGTCAACAGAAGATGCTGGCTGGCAAGCCCTAATAGTAGAAGCTTTTCATAGTATGGAGCATGGATACTACCTAGTGCATTAGGGCGCTTCGTCCCTCGCTTTTCTCTCTTCCCTCTTCACTTTTCCATGGGTCTAAAAAGCTCTGAACCCCGTTTCTCATTGCGTTTTCTTCGGTACTACTAAGGCGGAGTGGGGGCCTTTCACGGAGCAGCCGGAAGAAGCTCCCACCATGTTGATTCACATGCCGCCTTCGGCCATCCCCAAGGAGAGGAAAGCAAAAGAGAAGAAAGAAATTTCATGTGCAAACATAATTGTGGTAGCAGTGCCGAAGCAGCAGTAACAGTTGGACAGCAGCGCAATATCACAGTCTTGACTTCTCCTGAGCTGATACCTATCACACTCCCATGTGAGCTGTATAACTACGGAAAAATGCTAAATGCCAATTTGCCAGTATATTCTTCTTCTTCTTCTTCTTCTTCTCATGCCTTTAAGCCATAACTTTAGGATATTGGCCAGCAAGTAAACCTACTTTAAACTACAAAATTCAAATTTTGTTTTCTTGCTGCTATTTCTGGACAAGTCAAGCGACAAGTTTCCATACAAGCTCCTCGGTGAACAGCCACGATGCATAACATGTTCCTGTACCTGGCACTATTGGCCATCCGCAGCGCTGCCCTGTCCCCGCACTAAACCTTGGCAGAGGAAATTGCCGTTGCAACAGACGTGCATTAGCCTGGAATTCGTCAGCTGTCTAGGTACAGAGCACGGCATCATACTGCGGACCACTCAAGTCAGAGTTTCCCATTAGTACTACCTTATCCATAGCTCTAGTACTTATCTTAGTAGGCACCTAGAGGCACCCTAGGTAAGACTGCTATAGGTACCTGCTGTATGCTGCAGGAGCTACGCCACCTGTGCCTGTGTCCTGTAGCCGTTTCATTAAACTGCAACAGCCGTGCGCAAGATGCTTCCGAGGCTGTTGATAAGGGGACAACTGTAACTGCACTGCAGCTGCACCCTTATCAGGCCTGATACAGGCCAATGGGATTTAACTGCTATAAAGTATATGCGGCAAAGAAACACGTCTCGTGCAAAACCTAAACTTTGAGTCGCTTGCTATAGCTCTATGATATCAAGAGGCATGGCAGATAAGAAGTGTTAAAAAAATAAGTCTATATAATATACTGTATGAACTTATCTTCGTGGTATTCAACAAAATGAGACCTGGTACCTATTTAGAAAAAAGAGTCTCTGGACGAGGATATAACGCCAGAGGTCGTAAACAAGCTACTTCCTGCCATCGACGATTATAACAAGAGTTTCTACATACTATCAAAGAGCTTGAAGCCGATAATTGTTCAAAAACTCAAGGACCAAGCCTGCATAGGCGACCAATAGCAATGTTCAAAGACGCTCTCGTACAACAATGCCACAACGTCAATGCGATGGTCCAGTCAACTTTTGTCTTTCTTTTACTCAATTGGAGGCATAGAGATATAAGTGTTTGTTGCTCATATCTATTATTGTCGTTGATAGCACCATAACTCGGTTTCACCGAGACTTTAAACCATTTACGTCTATTGCTGAGACGACTGCCCTCGGCGTACATGCATGCATAGCCACTCGAGTAGGTAGATGAGTTGAGAACATCACGACTGAGTCACTAATCCGCCGCCCTCTGAGCTTTCCTATGCTGGACTGTGGGCCGGGAATTACTAAGGTACATCTGCTTTTAATTAACATTTAAATATACCCAGATACTTAAATACCTGAGGTAGAAACACTTCGATGCTGCATTGTCAAATGTACGGCAAGTGCTCCCCGCCGCCACTGCTAGTGCTAGTAGCATTTGCTTAGATCGATTCGACCCGGCAACTGCTGTGCAAAACAGGCAAAGCCTTCCACGACACACGACACCCCCCCTTGAAATTTTCGACTTTGCACGCTTTTGACAGCACTCCTTGGACCAGTTTTTATGGAGCTTCCACTCAACCTGATACAGGCTACGGGAGCAAAGTCGCCGGCCGGCTGCCTCTTGTGTGTTTTCGGCTAAGTTATTTTTATCGCCATGACGTCGTCTTGACATACGTACTGAGCGGCGCAGGCAAATGCAGCACGAAATATGAGATGGGATTGTGGGAATGCACAGCCGCTTTCCCATCTCCTGTCGCTAGTGCGAGTCTTGGACAGGGGACGCAGCTGATGCGACTAGGCATCGTCCTTTGCTTGGAGTATTTCTCGTTCAAAATACGAATTACGGCATCCTACGCGTACCTCCGCTGCAGAGCAGCGGAGCAGCCACGGCACTTCGAGGACTCTGCCCTCGCTCATTGGCGGCTTGTGTGTATTGCAGAATACAGAGAGCTGTGGCCCTCGTATGGAAGAAGATGCATAATATTACTACTAGGTACTCCTAGTCCTCGGCATATCAGTCGGAAGTCTCCCGCCTCGTATACGCCAATACTGCCCCATGGGGGGCTGCTCGGGATGGACCGTTGGGTGAGGCTATTGGCAGGCGCTTGACGCCACAAAGAAACCTATGAAGAGCCTGTGCTGCGATATCACATAATGTTCTCTAGGGACAGTCAAGAGAGTAGGCAACACAAGGACTAAGAAGTGGCTCCCAATTGACAATCTCCAACCAATCATACATGTCCCTGTCAATTGCTGCTAACAATTTGGATAGATAGGATGGCTATGAGCTGTAGCTGCTATACTTGATGCTCCCCGGTAACACTACTTGGAAGATAGCGACACTGCCACGGGGTTGCAGTATCATACCTGGAGCAGAGCATTCTGTATGTCCCACACACGTGTGTGGATGTGCTCTTAATCTTGGTAATTGACCATCTTGGCCTCATGGCTCTCCCCCTGAAAGGACCCAATGAGAAAAGCGGCTCCCCCTGTCGATCATCTGGGGGCATGCACTTCGAGGGCCCAAGCCACCCTTTGTGACCCATCGACCTGTGTGTTGGCCCGTGTTCGATCTGATTCTGCGATTGGCCGATACCCAGGCGAGATACCTCCTCAGTGGTAGACCTTCAACACAATAGGTACTTTGTACTCTGTATAGAGTGTAGAACATCGTCTCGTTATCGACAGTACCTCCGAAAACCATTGTGACGCAGTTTATCTGAAGCCCGTTGCGAAGTTACGGCACACATGTAGCGTTCTCTAGTGGCATTGTTCCTGGACACACATCCTATTATCCTAGGACTGGCCTTTGCGAAAGACGTTGCTGTTGCATGCACGTAATGCTTCAGCTGGCTGAGTTCTCGCCTGGTATTGAAAGGTGCTATAGGGCAAAAGAGCCTTTTGTCTTGGAGAATCGCATCTCTAACGCCATCGATGGATATTCTCACTATTATGGAAGCTCTTATGGCCCCTATCAGCCTCTTTGAGTGATAACGCCATTTTCTATGTTTCTATCAACCTTTCTAATGACTAACAACAAATATTCATCTATCCATTGATGCCTAGCAGTCACTTTGAACTGGCAATACGTCTTGTTTTCTATTTTCAACTTTTTCTTCTAGTTTCCTACTTCCACAGCTCAAACATATCTTTGTTTAGGATGGCTGCTTTGTTTCTTGCTTACCCATGTGACACCCTGATATCGTCAGCTAACAATTTACTATTGGGGCAATGGTTGTATCAATTAAACCAGCTTGCTCGTACTGAAACATCCGGAACACTACCGATTGAGCCTTATATAATATTTCAAGGCGATCTCGCTGGCGGATTCATATCCGCAAACTTGGTCCAGATGCTCCAACGCCTGAGCCCGTCTGTAAATCATCTACAACGTCTATATTATACTCATTTTACAACCTTACAACTCTTTAAACCCTGACTTTCCACCGCATACATATAATGGAAAGGTTGTCATACTTTGCATAAAATCGTTCACTATTCTCTGAATCATGCTGCTTCCCCTAGATTAGTAGCCAAGATTGAGACATCGCCCATGTTTACCTCTTTGGATCTGACCTTTATATCTAGTTGAATAAAGTTTAAAGGGTGAATTGACGTCTTCATAGACCCTTCTAAAAAATTCCAACGGCAGCTTCAAGGATCACCACTTCCGATGGACAATCCTATCTCCATCGAGTCATATCAAAGCGCGTAGAGCCCACTACAGCTCAAGATCTTCGACTCATTTCTTGACTACTAATCATCAAAGACCATCGGTAGGCTGCTTCTTACATTTCCCATATGGATTCGTAAAGACGAAATTTTTCTAAGCTGAATATTATTCTGGCCTCGTATACACTGATCATAAGACACGATTGGCTAATACTCTTACCTCTATCGCATTCAAGAATTTGATGTGGCTCACAAGCACCACAACAATTGCACGGATCTCGAAAGGCCAACAGATACAAATAGCTTGAATATCATGGAAGATGTTTCATATGTCACAGCTTGATCGACTTAGTTTATCCCCCCACGTGCTCATCTAAGAGATTTCCAGTTTTCCTCGATATATGTCTCAAAAAAGTGGGAGAAGTTTTCTATGAAGCTCAATTTTTTTTTTTTCCTTTTTGAAAGTACGTTGGTGTGAGGCCCGCAATGCCTCATATTAATGAATCCATCGACATTGTCCGATATTAAAGGGGCCATCTTCACCATGCGAGCGATTTGTTTCTTATTCTTTGAGACACTGCTGTCAAGAGATGTTTCTCTTCAATTGGTTCACGTTCTTTTGATCTTACTAAATTTCTCTTCTCTTAGTGTCTTCTTTCCAAGGGCTTAGCCTATGAACGCTATCGATTGGCCGTCTCAATGCTGATTGATATAACAATATACCTCCGGGTTGATTAAGAACAAGAAATTGACATGTACGAAATCAGTACCCTAATAGTGGATATAAGATCAAAATGCAACATCTGCCATCGACAATCCGATGAGGCTGAAGCTGCGAGAATTATTGAGGCAGCATTGCTGATCCTTACTCAACAAACTCGATCGGTGGGACCAATGCTATCATGGCCTGCAGATCGTGATCATATATTGGGGAAACCCTTACAACAGGTGGGTAGACCGCGATCAGGCTACTGGCGCTGTTTCTCGAGACCGTTTAAAATGTGCCTCAATGATTAGGGGCGGGGAGTCATTGTCTCGAAATGCGATGGAGCTCCAAGTTGAAATGCTGGGCAATTTGTGCTCGCCACGGGAATTTATTGATGCATTCTCTGATAGCTCCTAAACGTCTTTTCTCTCGTTCTTTCTGCCCTCAAAATTGTTAGATTATACCGTCACTGTCACTAGTAGTGATGCCAGGCAATGCCTTGTGTCGTCTATCTGGACGCGTGATTGCTGGCTAATTAACGAGGAACTGCTAGTGGAGAAAGAGAAAGCAAAGAAACTGGCCAAGTGGCTCCTGGAAACAGAGAAATCGTATGATGCAATTGCTCCAGATCTAGAGGACCTCTCGCCAAAGGTGCATTTCGTCATGGAGACCCAAGACATCTGCGGTTGGAAAAATCTCGGTGAGGCTGGGGCGTAGCGAGGCGCAGCCGAAGGAGCAGGGAGCGGTAGCTTAGCATCCGATCTTGAACGCGACGGCGAAGGCCGGAGCTCCACAAGCGCCAGGATTGACTCAACTCCATATCAGCGGCATCCGCTGGCATCGATGCGTTCATTCCAAGATATAAAGCGCTGGATCGCCGTTTGACTGCCGTTGATAGCAGACACGAATCGCAACTCAGTCTGGCCGAGTAATCTTTGTTGGAGTAACTATCGGCCATCGACTCTGAACTTTGCGGCACTTACCAGCCAAGTTGGTTCAGCGACAGCTAGGCACTACAAGACAACATGGCAACTAACAATGATGTTTATACTCTTCACTATTTCCCATTTTCACTATATTCGCTCATGGTACGGTTTGCCTTGGTAATAGGCAGAAGGCTGAATCCGGATACGGCGCCAAACGTTGAGATAAAACTGGTGAATCTGCATCGCGAGGAGAACTTTTCAGAGCAATATCTCACTTTGGTGAACTCGAAAGGCCAGGTTAGTCCGAAGGGGGGTTTCATTCTGAATATCTGATTATACTTCTTGGAAATGTATCATAAGAGAGAAGTGTAAAAACAGCGTTATACTGACATTGAAAAGGTCCCCGCACTGACATCGGCTGCATTCTCATCGCCACTCGCAGAAAGCTATGACATCTCGAAATGGCTGTGCGAGAAGCAGCCAGATCTGATTCCGGAGGAGCACCGAGAAGCGATTGAGAGCCTCATGGATAAACTGTACAGTTTCCATGCCAAGACCCTAACGATAGGGTCCGACCAAAAGAAGCACGGAATTCCAAACCGGGCTGCTGAGCTACTGGAGCAAAAGGATTTGTCCGAATCTCATCGCAGAGCGTTGGAGATTAAGAGCGTATTGTAAGTTACTGGCTCCAGGAAGTGGATTTGAGTGCTTGCCTATTAACAGCCATCTTCGTTTTAAGCCACGACCTACGTCACAACACAGTATTCACTCCCAGTGGCATTAAAGACGTTGAAGACAAGGCCCGCATCTTTATCCAAGAGTTGGATAAAACTCTTGACGAGGAGAGTCAGGGACAACGCTGGATCTTTGGCAAGCGGCCAACGATACTTGATGCACATGCTACGGTGATGATAGCAAGGTTGATGGAAGTGAAGCGTCAAGACCTGCTGACGGAGAGAGTGCAAGAGTATACGAGGCGAGTTCTTGCATCTGAAGAGTGGAACGAAGTTACGCATGGCAGGGCCACGCGCTGGAACGCCTCGATGGGAGACGTCGCCGATATGAACCCACTGTAGATTTTTTTTTTTTTGTGTCTTATGGAGTGGCCCTTCTTCTTTTCTAGTTCTCTTCTTTTTGTATGTGTCTCAACGTTGCTTGGCACAGCTGGATGTACTTTATGATGCGCAGCCGAAAAATTTTTATACCCAGAATCTTTATCGGAAAAAAAAAAAAAAAAAAAAAAAAACTCAAAAGATCCTTTATATAACCAAGAGGTAGTATTGCCAGACAAGAGAGCAGGGCCTCAGCCTTGGTATCATACCATTGTCTACAATCGGTTACAAATAAGCGTGATGCCTCTACCAGCATATCGTAGTATTCGGCTCGTTTTGAGTGACATCGCAGCTCTCCACTATGCGATCTTACTTGTACTGGATAATACATGTTGGGATAAAGCATCCCTGGGGCTTCGAGCTTTGTAGCCAGTCCGCAGATGTTGAGAAGTTATTCGCAAAGCTGCAGCAGGAGGAAGAAAAAGACTAGATAGTGTTGCGGCATGTAGAAGTTAGAGTGCACCGGATATTCATGGATTTTGAGGCAAGGGTTTCTGTTCGGACAAGTTTAGTTTCCGATGCACCTGGCATAGCGACGAAAATAGACATGAAGTATTAGCTGGAACGCAGATTGGAGGAGCGTTGGAAGTACTTCCAGCCTCATCGTATTATTCTTTCATTGGATTGATCATCGTCGGTCGCAACAAATAGTTTTTCAGTAGAACATGGCCTCGCCCGCTGTGAGGAGAAATCAATCAATAGGACATGAGAACCTGGATGGCTGGTAAGTAAACCAATCTTGGGTGGCAAAAATATCGTCGCCGTTCAAAGCCCATGAAAAATAGGCTTTGAAACAAAGTTGAAGGCAAGCCGAATCATGCAAAAGTCAGCCCGCTTCGCCGAAAGAAACACAAAAGTGCCCTGAATCAGCTTTCTTTTAGGGACACCGAGAGGCCCGTAGCCGTGGCCGCCCTTTTATGTAAGAAAGACAACGGCGCCGGGAAGAGACATGGAACTTCTGTTGTCTTGGCTGGTCCGAGTCAAAAGTTCCACACTGTCGGGTGGCGGAGCGGAGCACAGAAACACACACACACGCACACACAGAAGAGAAGGGCAGTGAGCAGTAAGCAGTTTAATCATACTGTGGCTGCTGAGAAGACACGGTAAGTGAAAGCATCGCCGGTTGATGATATATCCAGCATGTTCAGCTATCCAGCTCGGATAGGCAATGATGGTAAGTATGCTTGCCTTGTGGGGAGGCTTTGGGGGACCCAGGCAGAAGGTGCAGTATAGCAGCGACTAGACCTCTAGGCAGTGCCCAGGGTATCGGACTTTGCTTGGCAAATGCTATCAGGACACGCGGCTGAGATATTTCTGGCTGTAGCATCTGCACGAGCATGAATGTATGTACAGTAGTCCGCAAAAATGGCATGCGGAGCGTGCGTGGCTAGAGTGAAACGGGGTGTCGCCCTGTCTTTCCTCGTGGTTGGTGAGACGAGAGATCAAGGCGATAATAGTCGGCAGAAGCGATGATACCGTGTCGCTTGCTGGCACGCATACCGTACGCAGCCAAAAGTGGCTTTCCCAGAAGGCGCTCTCGCGCACACGACTTCGCGGAGAATTAAAAGAAATAAAATCTCTCAGAATCGCTGCCATCCCCATAGTGCGCGCATCTTGTTCCCCCAACAAGAATAAAATAAACGTCCGTCCCGAGATCGGATTTACCTTTGGCACGCTGGGCTAAGTGCCTCCGGCTATTTTCCATTCAGCTGCTCGCGATTACAAGTTCGAAATACGCCATGCGGGGGGCAAGAGATAAGGACGAAGGGCGCTCTTTGGTCTTTCTATCCTGACCTGCCTGGGCAGGCCATCCTTGGGAAGTGCGTTGAACTAAAAGGCGCCCCCTCTTGGCCTGTCCATCATTGGCTGGCCGACAAAACAGACTATTTTGCGCCTCGCAGCTAGGCACGGCAAGGGGGAGGAAAAAGAAAGAAAAAAGCACATGCTAACAGTTTAGTCGTGCGTTCGTACAGCTCGTATTGCAAAGTCCCTCGGACGCTGAACTCGTGGTGTTCGGCGCAGCAAATCAGCCTGTTTGGACAGGGTTTCGATAAGGGGAACATCAACAATATTGAGAGGCGATAACTATGTAAAAGAAGGTAAATCTGAGCGATACGGTCGCGCCGAACAAGTCTTTGGCCGATAAGTATGTACCAACCTGTGGGCGAAAGAACCTTTCTAGTCTCACAGGAATGTCGCACGCCGTGCTCCCGTCTGTTCTTCAGACTGTCCTGCAAAGCCCAGCCGAGGAGGCGCTCTATCCTGCATTAGGAAGGTCTGCGTTCCACACGCAGCTGATGGCCAGGACGAGCAGGTTATCTCTGAATTGGCACCAGCCTCTGCACCACCCTCCTCGACGCTGATTTGCCCACGCATCAGCCACTGGCCTTGGGAGCCGTTCCCGCACGCGTGTTTGGCACATGGTGGATGACAGGAACCAGCAAGGGACCGGCTCTCTTAGCTGCGCACTGTGCTGCGCCGTCTTGTCTCGGTCTGGGCTCGAGCGCCACACTGGCCGTGATTTGGCGGGGAATTTTATCAAGATGGAGCCGCGGACCTGGGGGGAGGCACCTTGGCTTGGGTCGGCTGGTCTTGTTGGAGCAGCCGCTAGAACGAGGCCATCCTGGATTGGCAGGGCGTAGTTGTGCTGTAGGTGCAGCCCATGGGGTTTGCTCGTTGTTAGCGTCCTAGGCGGTTATCTGCCTGTGCTGAGGTCGTCGCACTCACTCACTCTCTTCCTCCCACCTCTGTAATCCTTCCTCACCGAGAGAGAGAAAGAGAGAAAGAGTGCGAGTGAGCGAGTCACACAGACAGACCTCGCCCGGTTCCGAATCGACTGGATTCGAACTCGGCTCGTTCGATCTGTCGACGACCAGACGGGGCGACGGTGGCCTGCTTATAGCAACGACGACCAGGGCGAAAAAAAAAACCATAAGACAGAGGCGACAACCACCACCACCACCCACTACTTCTCACGCAAGTCGACATGTTGCCGTCCATCTTCCGCCGGCGCCATGAGCCGGAGGAGATCACCCCGATTCCCGGTCCACTGGAGACTGACATGCCCGGCTTGCAACATCTTCAGCATCTCCAACAGTTTGAAAAGGCTCACAAGCTCGACCCTAACCTGCCTATCGACGACCTCAACGATGTCGACGCTGCTATTGCCACAGGCAATGCCGAGAAGGGTCTCGAGATCGAGCATGCCTTAATGGAAGACAACAGCCCTTACCCTGAGGTATGATCTTACTTCTTCTTTTTATCCTCTTCTTGTTGTGTGTATATGTAAATAGAGAAAGCTCAAGTAAAATGCGCTGTGCGAATGTAATGTTTTTGTTTTGTTTTGTGTAAAACTAACCGATGGTTGCCCTCTCTATAGGTGCGAGCGGTTGTCCGAAATTATGATGTCGACGTCCCTGCCAACACCATTCGCGCCTGGGTCATCGGCCTGATTCTCTGTACCGTCGGTTCTGGAGTCAACATGCTCTTCTCTCTTCGCAATCCTAGTGTCGCCATCACAACGTACGTTATTCAGCTGATTGCTTATCCTATCGGTCGCGGCTGGGACTTGATCATGCCGGACAAGGAATGGAATCTCTTTGGCCTCAAGTTCAATCTCCGCCCTGGCAAATTCAACCACAAGGAGCATGTTGTCATCGTGGCCATGTCTAACGTAAGTATTCAACTGACGATCGAAGAATGTTTCGATAAAATCCAGCCAAAGCTCATTTCCTAATCTTTTCTTTCTTCTCTAGGCTGCTTATGGTGGTGGTGTGTTGTATGCCACCGATGTCCTACTGGCTCAACGTCTCTTTTACAAGCAGGATTTTGGCTGGGCTTTCCAGCTTCTTTTCGGCATCACCACGCTGTGTACTGGATACGGCCTGGCCGGCCTCGCCCGTCGCTTCCTGGTCTGGCCTGCCGCCATGATCTGGCCTGCCGACTTGGTCAACGTCGCTCTCTTCTACAGCTTGCACGATCATTCGCCATCTGACCCGACAAAGACCAACGGCTGGTCCATTGGCCGCTACAAGCTGTTCCTCATTGTTGGCTTTGGTGCCTTTATCTGGTTCTGGTTCCCGGGATGGATCTTCAAGGGCCTGTCTTCCTTTGCCTGGGTTTGCTGGATTGCGCCCAACAACGTCGTTGTCAACAAGATTTTTGGTCCAGCTCACGGATATGGCCTTATGCCCACCTCATTCGATTGGTCTGTGTACAGCGGCTTCTTGGGTTCGCCTCTGATCCCCCCTTTCCACGCCATTGCCAACGTCCTCGGCGGCATCATCGTCTTCTTCGTTGTCATTTCCATGGGAATTCACTTTAGCGGCACCTGGTATTCTGATTATTTCCCGGTTCAGTCATCGGAGTCGTACGACAACCTTGGCCAAATTTACAACGTTTCGCGAATCCTCGGAAACGACTTGAACTTCAACGAAACAGCATACAAGGAGTACTCGCCTCTCTTTCTGCCAACCCAATTTGCTCTCGCCTACGGACTGTCGTTTGCCGCCGTTTCTGCCGTGCTCATTCATGTCGCTCTTTACCATGGGAAAGAGATTTGGAACCAGTTCAAGATGGCCCGTCACCAGGAGGACGACGTTCATATGCGACTGATGAAGAAATACCGTGATGCTGAAGAATGGTGGTATGCTGGTAAGTTATAGCTTTCTCTCAAAAATCATCCCCTCTAAGCCACTTGCTTGGAGTATAAATGCTAATCAGGGGTCGTCATATAGTCTTATTCATCAGCATGGTTGCCATCTCCTTTGGCGTGGTTGCTGGCTGGGATACTGGCTTTCCCGCCTGGGCATTCGTCGTCTGTCTACTGCTTCCAATTATATGGCTTATCCCCATCGGTATCGTTCAAGCCATCACCAACATCCAACTCGGTCTCAACGTTCTGACCGAGTTCATCATTGGTTATATGGTACCTGGTCGGCCCCTTGCCATGATGATGTTCAAGAATTATGGCTATATTTCCATGGCTCAGGCCTTGTACTTTGCTCAAGATCTGAAGCTCGGCCACTACATGAAAGTGCCCCCTCGTGTCATGTTCACCTCGCAGCTTCTCGCCTCTGTGTGGTCTGCAATCGTACAGATTGTTGTCATGAACTGGGCCCTTGGCCACATTCCTAACGTCTGTGCTGTGGATCAGGAGAACAGTTACACATGCCCAGGTGGCCGTGTCTTCTACACGGCCTCGATTATCTGGGGCGCTATCGGCCCCGCCCGAATCTTCAGCCATGGAGCTCTTTATTCTTCTCTGCAGTGGTTTTGGCTTGTTGGTGCCATCGCGCCCATTGCCACTTGGCTGTTGGCTCGTCGCTGGCCCAAGTCTTTCTGGCGCTATGTCAGCTCTCCAGTCATCTTTGGAGGAGTTGGCTTGCTTCCTCCTGCGACTGTCAACATCTACCTCTGCTGGGGTATCTGCGGCATTGTTTTCAACTATTTCATCCGAAGGAGATACACTGGCTGGTGGCTGCAATATAACTATATCACCTCAGCGGCGCTGGACTGCGGTCTTATCATATCCACGCTGCTGATATTCTTCACTCTGTACTTGACCAACATGAACAGCCCCAGTTGGTGGGGTAACGACGGAGCTGTGCAGACCATGGACTTTGCAGGTACTGCAATCTCTAGGCATGTACCTGCTGGCGAAATTATTGGACCGAAGCAATGGCCGTAAGAGATATGACAGCATTAAAAAAGACAGGGTTTTAGCTGGATGTACGGCGTTGAGAAAAGGGAGCAAATGCTGGACCCGGAAATTTTGTTTGATATACATCCTTCCATCCCTCTCTTTCTCTCGCGTTTGATGTTTGGAAATTTGGGATATTTTCACATATAGTGTTTTTATGACCTGGGTTGGACAAGGACGGAGTTAAAAGGAGCCTCGACTTTGTTGGCTTTGTTTTTTTTTTTTGTCTTTGAATGTTTTTTTTTTTTTTGTTTGTTTCATGAGATTGACTTTTGGCAACGAAGATACCTAATCGCGGAGTCGTGTTGATTCCTAGACGATATCGATTTCATAGCCACGGATGACATCTTTTCATATGATGTTGATGAGAAGACCAGAGGAATGATGTTTTTAGCGAGCCTGGTTATACTGTATATTAGTCTTTTTCCTGCTCAGCCAGTCGTTATCTTGACATTATGATAGTGTATAAGATTCATTGACATAGCCTCACTGGGTAACGATGTGAAATATCGGGGATTTCCATGTAGAAAAGCTGCGAAAGACGTATAGAATTGGTAGCGTTGGCTTACACGAAGTATTGCCCGCATTGGAGATAGATGGGCTCTCTAAGATCTTCAAGATCGGCTAAGCTGGTGCACCATTTGGACGGGTGGATATTGGCGGCGGAACCAAAAAAAAAACCAAAAAGATGACTAAGCGACCATTTGAGATAAGCAAAAAGTGGTATCACGTGCAGAGCCGAGAGGGTATCATCACGTGGTTTAGACGGGCGCCAGGCCCACGCCACTCCCACGCAAAATTAGGGCTGGCAATTCGACACTCCACCGCGAAAAAGGCGTTGCTCTCCCCCCAAATTAAACAATTCGTGAAATCGTCATCCAACTTCACGCCTAAGCACAACCGACCGCCAAGATGAGTACGTTTTGCTCCCATTATCCCCAATCGCCGTCTCCGAAGATCCCATTATTGCGAACCCCCGACTCGTGGCCTCTTTGCCGAGAGAGGCCGCGCGAGAAGAATACATATAGAGGACGAAATGATGGGATTTTTATCGAGACCTGAGACTGTTCGAGATTTGGGATGAGAGTTTCCGAGCATTTGAGGCTGACTGCTTTTTCTCCGTGTAGCGAAGGGTACCTCCAGCTTTGGTAAGCGTCACAACAAGACGCACACTCTCTGCCGACGATGCGGTTAGTTTTTATTCTTCCTCCAACCGGGATGCGGGCCTTCCATGATGCCTCCACGCAATAGCCGTCTATTCAGAATCGATCGAGAACACCTGTCGGAAAAAGGAGGAATGAACGAGCTTACGAGAACGGTTCTCACATCGACAGATCGACTTGGAAGGATGGCAATTGCGATTGGATGGCGGATTGGATTGAAAGTATCAATGGATAAATCAACAGACGTACTGATTATGGATGGATATTAGGCCGCCGTTCGCTGCACGTCCAGAAGCACGAGTGCGCCTCTTGCGGATACCCTGCCGCTAAGATGCGAAAGTGTATGTACACTCCCCTTTTTGGATTTGCCTACGTTTCGATATGGGAGACAACTGTGCTTCCATGCTGTACACTCTCGAGAATGTCGTCTAACTCTTTCCCTCTACAGACAACTGGAGCGAGAAGGCCAAGCGGAGAAGGACCGTCGGCACTGGCCGCACCCGCTACCTCAAGGACGTTTCCCGACGATTCAAGAACGGCTTCCAGACTGGCACCCCCAAGAACGCCAGACTCGGCAAGAAGGCTGAGGCCGAGGCTTAAGTGACCTGAAGCGTTTTTATGCTCTCTTCCTACCACTGTTTGTTTTCTTTCGTCGCTATTACCGAACTATGCATAAACAAGGGTAGAAAGAGGAGTAGGGGGAGAGAGGGAAACAAACCAAAAAATAGAAGACTTAAAAAAATAATCCGTCCATGAGGTTAATGAAATCCTGGCGAAATTCTTTTTTGCATTATTCGTTTTTTTTCTCCTCTTCTCTTATTTTTTTGCCAGCTACCGTGGAAAAACAAGTGATGAGCGACATTCTTGCGCCGGATGCAATTTTTTTTTTCGGTCTTCTTCTTTTTCCCTCTCTCTCTTCTTCTTATTTACATGGGATTCGAAGACGAGGGGAGTGCTGGGGCGGATGATGTACATTTTGGGCGATTGATCAAGGACAAAGGGGGCTTGGGAGCAAGGGACAAATGGTGTTTGTTTTCAAAAATGGGAACCCCAATTGCTTTTTATTTTCGCGCCAGAGATTCCGTAGGGATTCGGGTCAACGAAAGTCTGAAATGGCATCTTGATTCTTCACGTATTGCGTATTCTCGTTACCTTTGATATTTCTATTGTGTGTTTTGAGGAATCATTCTCCATGGCCTGTGGTTGCGAGCAACGTCCTCTCATCTCATCCATCTCGCTCGTAACCAGCATTCATGCCACCACTGGTGCCCGTAATTAAAACGCAAATGCTCATTCTTCAAAAAGACCAATATCCAAAAATCCCGCTTGATAACGCTATCAAGTACCCCTCTCAAAAACCTTGGCATTTCCATCTGCCCCAACGTGGTATAGATATTCGGCACTCGCCTCTGCTCTATCGCGCTCTGTGACTCTTACCACACCGCTCACATCCTTGGCTACGCCTGTGTCCAGCATCCTAAGGCTGAGAATCACATCTGCGGCATGTGCTTGAGCGAGCACCAGTGCCGCATGCGAACGCTCCAGCGATGTTCCCTGGCTGCGTAGAAGAGGGTCATCTACGGAGAAGGTAAGGACTGTTGCGTGAACACGCTGGTGATTATATGCGAGTTAGCTTTATGCAATTTCTTTCTGGGAGAAAGGGGGGCCGATATGCTTGTACGGAAACTCACCTCTCTCAAAGACAATAGCATTCCCTCTAAAGCCAGCCCGGTCACATCTTCCTCCCCAAATATCGCCAACAGCTCGTCCAGTTGGTCAACAATCAGGACTTTTGGGCCTGATCTCACATCCGTGATTGCCGCCTCGATGCCTCTCCTCATGTCATCCAGTTTTCCGCTCTTGAGCACTCTTCCTCTGTCAGCAGTAGACTCTGAGCCCTGGCCCCCAGAGAGCAATCCTGTCAGACCGTCCACAAAGCTGAATTTGCCGGCTCTGCTTAAGCTGTCCAAGTCCAAGCCCTGATGTTGAAAACAGAAATAAGCAGCCATTCAGAATAAATAATAATAAAAAAAAAAAAAACAGGCAGACCAAAAGCAAAGAAACTACTTAAAAAGAAGAAGAAGAAGAAGAAGAAGAAGAAGAAAACTTACCAATCTACTTGCTCCCTCTCTCCAAAATGCCAAATCTCTCATGAAGCTGAGGAAAACAACTCCAGGACTCGCCTCTTTCTCACTCACCCCGGCATCTGCTCCTCGCCCAGACTGTAATATTGAATAGAGGAATCGTAGAACAAGCCAATTTGATGATGCGCCAAGGGTATTTGTTAGGATGGTCAAAGATGCCTCTTCGGGCAGTCCTAGATGCTGCTCTAGGAGAGACGGAATTTTGTTCGACATTGCTAGATAACCAATCTTTGCTGGCTTTGGGAGTTTGATTGATGGAAGTTTTAAGCAATAATAGAGAGTTGAAGTTGAGATATGATGATTTATAAGGAGATCAACTGTTTATGCGAAGAGAGGCCAAAATTTAATGAAAACAATATAAGAATACTACAAGTATTTCTTCATCCAGGTTAGTGAAAATCAAGACATTGCTCACAAAGACGCACGGAGGCAGGATAGTGGGGGCGGGGACTGTATGAATATGAAGATTGGCCGCATTCGCACGGTATAGAATCAACGAATCACTTGCAGCCAAACGTAGATTTAGGGTTGAGCATTTTAAGTTATGGTTCTATAACTCTAAAAATTGGAAGACAAGGCACACTGTATAGCAGTATACTTGGAGATGATATAGCCTGCCTCCGGTGTGCAAGAAAAGTTGCAATGTATTCAAGAAGGCTAGAATCATTCTTTACTTGCTCTACGTTGGTGGAGCATCACCTCGGTTAAAGAAGGCCAAAAAAAGATGAATATGGAAAATCGCAATCCAGGAGAAGAGCGTGTACGGCACTTATATTAGATGACTCAAGCATGATAGTATCACCTTCAACCATGAGGAACCTTTCATTGGCTACAACTAATATGAGAACATACACCACCTTCATTACCCAGCATAATGACCTCACAAGACTCATAGGAAGCGGATGAAGTGATGCGATGCAAAATACTGTTCACAGATATGTCTGCGTTCGATGCTGCTATCGACAATTTGATAGGTGATCCCAAAGGGCTTTGACCTGTTTCATATTGGTCTAAACGATGGGTACATGTAATGACCCGCGATTGGCCCTATGAGCGATGTTTTGAACTTGTCACTCGTCCGTCTATTGATGACATGTAAGACTCCAGCTCATAGATTAGTAAGTAGATAGAGACTGGGTGTATGTAATATTGGGCGAACAAGGCCTTGCAAGATTGCTATGGAGGAATCACCATAGATGAGGAGGCTGCCTCTTCTGAATTTCTGATTGGCTCGTGTATTGCCTTGGCATAACTACTGCTAGCAGCTACTGATGGGTATCTTGACTCTATTATTACCTAATTTGTATACTATCTAGAGTGCGTCTCTTCTGTCATGCGGCTGAAGCTCGATAGCTTGGAATGGCGGTCTCTCGCTGCAAGACCCCCGCAGTAGGTGAAGAATCCAGAGCCCAAGCGGCTATGATTACAAGTATAAAATATACAGAGGGGTTTTTATGGCCTTTTTCTCTCACTCTCTCAATGTTTCCAAATGTAACCTGTTGGACAATAGGACCAATTGCAATTTGCTGCTGCGGCCACAAGAGACTTTTTGGCATAGCGCTGTGAATACTTTGTAGCAGTACCTGCACTCAGTACCACGATACAAGCTTAGTCGGCCGAGAAACTAAAATGTCGAGGTAAAATTCCATGCATTCTATTTCTTAATTTAAAACGAAAAAGAAAGAAAGAACGAAAGAAAACCGAACCCCTCGAATGTACCAACACACAGCGCTGGTCTGCACTGTATCCTTGCGCCATGTCCTCTTCACGTAAGTTTGATCGTTCGACCGTTTCACCAACTGGCGCCAATGAGAGCGGCGCTCCACACGCCTCCTTTCCAACCCTAAGCTGTGGATGGCACACCGTTGCCTTCTCGGTCTGGATTGTGGCAAACCTCCTTATCGTTCTCGCTCTGGGCGCCAGAATCGCAATCAAAACCCCCCGACAACTCCGCCTGTGACTGGAGAGGCATAAGTCGCCGCCTCAGCGTTTGCTGGGTGGAACCGCCTGTGCTGCAACTTGCTGCGTCGCCCGCGTCAGCCGCTCGTCCCAACCACCCCCCACAGCCCAGGCCGTAAAAAAATAAGCTGTAGCGACTCTAAATTTCGGCTGGACCCTGCAACCGCCTGTCGTCATGGCGCGTTAGGCGTTGTTGGCAGCGGGGGATCGCTGCGTCGGCGGGGGCCTCTCAGCGCTGAGCCATCCACGCACGTTGACATGTGCAGCATCACGAATGCCTCAGCTGACTCGTCTGGCGGGCCCGGGCTCCAGCACCGTGGCACGTCTTGACGCAGCAGCGCGCTGCGACTTGCTGGAGCGTCATGTCACATATCAAAAGACGTCTGCCAGGATGAGAGCAAGAAAATTCGAAAATCAGCAGATGATCCTTGTATTATAATCCTAGGTGGACATACATAGTACGTAGTACATAGTACATAGTACATTAGTACCTACATGTAGTATTTGCCTCTGGCAAAAGAGAAGAGGAGAAACGACGACGCGAGTCAAGTTGCAGCCTTTGCTGGACATGATTTCCTTTGCTTTCACCTTGTCTCCCTCCCCCGTCGCGACGTATCAGCAGAGATACCGCCTACCTGCCTGCCTGCATCATGTACATGATGATCCTGGACCGCTTCTTTGTTTGTTGAGGGGGGGGTTGGGTGGGCCAAAAAGCCTATCCTGGCCAAGATCTCGCGCTAAATTTCAAGATCTGGGGGCCTCTGGTCTTCTGATAACGGTTATGTTATGGAGCAAGCACGCGCCAACCTCACTCCTCCTCTACCGCCAAGTCTCTCGTCACCGTGTATATTTCTTCCACTTCCCTCTCTTCCTCTGCATCTCCTCCATCCCATAACGCCCTTCCTCTACTCAACTCCGCCCCTTTTGGTTGATAGTATCGTTATCCTCGTCTTGTTTCCGGCTCTCGCCACTTCAACGGCATCCGGACCAAGCGGAAACGAAAGACAGAGAGGGAGAGCGCAAAGGATCATCTCTGCGGGCTAGAGTTGCGTCTCCTCGTTCTTTGCACTCCTCTTGGATACCATCACGCTCTAGACTCTTCTTCGGATTCTTCTCCCTGCAACCGCTGTCCGGATCAAGCTGTTTGAGTCATACTTGGCTGCCAGTGAGACAATTGAGCCATTCCTATTGACCCATCACCTCATTTTCTCCCCCTAAACATTCTCAGCTATTCAGAAACCTGTCTCTGCTTTTTTATTTTTGGAACACATATCAATATATCAATATCCACCTTGGCCTTCAGCCCATCTATCATCTGCCATTTTGCTTCCAGCTCTTCTTCTCCCATCCTGGAAGGCGGTACAAATCATCTCCATCTCTCATCATGGCCTCTGATGATGGGCCGCAGCGAGGCCGGCTGCGCCTTGGCCGTTTCTTCAGCGGCAACTCCGATTCCGACCTCGAAAAGGCAGGGCCTTCAAAATGGAATATGGGCATGTTAAACGACAGAGAGACTGTGGAGGTGCCAGGTAAGTGCACATGGCGACGCATCTACTTCTCCGCCTCAAAGCAACCCTCTCTAACAACGTGTGCTTTACAGGTTCCGTCTTGCTGCTTGCTAGTGATCGCAACGAGCCGCTCGGATTGCGCAATGTCCATGCTCGCACCTCCCATTCCTCTATTCCGGCCGGGTTTCCCGTCGAAACTCCCATGACCCCTGGTGGCACTCGACCGTTGCCGCCTTCACCGTCTCATGTGGTTGAAAAGCCAGATGATGAACCCTTGGGGAAAAAGAAGACAGGAGATGGTAAGATCATCCTGGATCCACAGCCAGAAGATTCGGCCAACGATCCTTTGAATTGGCCCACTTGGCGGCGCGATTGTGCTCTTCTATCCCTGGGCTTTTACTGTATGATTGGAGGCGGCATGACACCCGTCATTGCCGCCGGATTTACCAATGTTGCCCATGACTTCGACGTCTCCGTTGAGCGAGTTCCGCTGACTACAGGCCTCTACATGATGGGCTTGGGTGTGGGTTCCGTGATTGCGTCTCCCACCGCCATCCTCTTTGGGAAACGGCCAGTGTACCTCGCTGGCATGATTCTGCTCATCAGCACCAGCGTTTGGGCTGGATACGCCTCTAGCTTTTCTTCTCTAATAGCCGCCAGAGTGATTCAGGGCATTGCTGTTTCGCCGGTAGAGTGTCTGCCATCCGCCACCATTGCTGAAATTTTTTTCCTGCACGAGCGTGCATACCGTATTGGCATCTACACGCTTTTACTTTTGGGAGGCAAGAATCTTGTCCCCTTAATCAGTGCCGCCATCATTGGCCGCTTTGGCTGGCGATGGGTTTTCTTGTATGCTCAACCAACTCCCTTTTGCCCCCTTCTCAAAAACTCGTGACTTGTATACATATTAACCTATAATCTTTGCTCTCTAGTATTGTTGCAATGTTGGTGGGATTGGGATTCGTGCTGGTGTTTCTCTTCGTCCCAGAGAGTTTCTGGGATAGAACGCCCACTCGACAAATATCAAAGCGGCCGAGCTTCCTCCGTCGATTATCTTCCCGCCCCGGCCACAGATCCGCAGGTCCAATCAGCCCTCGAGGCAAATCGCCAGAACCCTCGCACTCTCCAGGGATTATTGAGCGCCGCAGAAGCATTCGCGTCCACGTCGGATTTTCGCCAGATGTAGAGCGGCAAGACCCGTTAGATGACGTCCAGATATCCTCACAGGCTGCGAGTCCTCAAGTGGGATTTGCCGGCCCGTCTTCAGATCACAAAGACAAGGAAGAGGGTGGTAGCCCGGAGAAGGCTCTCCGCCAGCCTTCCCCAATAACCTCTCCACGGCCGAGTCTCGCTCCTGACCGTGGCCGAAGCATAGCTGCGGCATCTCCGACTCGTAGCACCGCCGAGAGCATGGTCATTACCGAGTATTACTCAACAGCGCCCAATCTCGACCGCGAGCGCTTTCCCTCTTGGAAGCTCAGAGCTCCTCCTAAAATCAAGGCTTATACACACAACCTGCGCCACAAGCCTGCTCAAACCTTCGTCCAGCAGCTCAAGCCGTATCATGGTCGGCTCAATAACGACAATTGGTTCAAGGTCATGATCAGACCATTTGTCTTATATGCATATCCCGCAGTACTCTGGTCTGCAGCCATTTACTCGTGCTCTATCGGTTGGCTAATTGTAATCTCCGAAAATTTGGCCGTCATCTACCGAAATCCAGACACGTATAACTTTACGGCTCTTCAAGCTGGCCTCGTCTACGTATCACCCTTTGTGGGCGGCATCCTCGGCACTGGCGTAGCGGGCAAGATCAGCGATATCGTTGTTAGGGCCATGGCGCGCCGCAACGGGGGTATGTACGAGCCAGAATTTCGCCTCGTCATGGCTGCGCCCATCTTGCTCACAACCTGTGTTGGCCTTATGGGCTTTGGATGGTCGGCGCAAGAAAAAGATAGCTGGATCGTCCCAACAATCTTCTTTGGTATCACTTCCTTTGGCTGCTCTCTCGGCTCAACTACATCCATTACCTTTTGCGTCGACAGCTACCGCCAATACGCCGGCGAAGCGCTAGTGACGCTCAACTTTTCGAAAAATATCTTTCATGGCTTGGTTTTTAGTTTGTTCATTTCGCAGTGGCTTGCCGACGATGGCTCGAGGAACGTCTACATCTGGCTCGGCATCATCCAGCTTATCTTTTGCCTGATGGCGATTCCCATGTACATCTTTGGCAAGAGGGCCCGAATGTGGACCGCGAGGATGAACATTATGGAAAGATTTTAGAATAATCAATCTACACCTGCTTCTCTTTGCTAGTGGCATCTTGTGGCGTTTTGGAAGGGTTACACATCGACTGCTGGGCAGTTTAGAATGCATTGAGTTTAAGGCGCATTTTTTTTTGGGAGGAGGAAACCCTGATATCAATCAGTACCCTTTTGCTTTTCTCTTTGGGTTCTGCAAGCTCGTACGGAGCAATCGCATGCAATAAAGATACACATACGTAGATGCACATTCATACATATCTGAACATATATTAGTAGGTATATAAATATACAAATACTATGATGTACTGTATCTCCACATACATCTCCAGGGTACTATCTTGTACTTGGCCGTCTATTATTCAGGTTCTCCTACCACACATGTTCCTGTAACGAGTCAGGATGTGAGACGAAGGTTCACTTCGGGGACCAGCGGGTAGTGCTGCGATGCTAACTCAGGCTAAGAAATGTTAACTTATATCTTGAATGCTATATTAGCCTACGAAACGCTAACATATGTCTCGGATGCTAATTTAGACCATAAAATAACTCCATGTAACTTAAAAGCCCGATATAGCTCCATTACAAAGTATCACTCGAACTCTTCTCACTTGGGTACGTATGAAGTGGGACTTGGCTATAGAGCAAATCGCATATAGAATGAAGCAAAAGTTATGTCCTATTCGTTCACTTGCAACCGTCTTCTTTTTTCTGCCCTATCTTCTATTGGAAATCTTGGGCGCCGAATCTTTGTTTTTTTATCCATATAGATACATAGCAAAGCAAACCCTGATCTGCCAATAATCATCCAAAGTCAGAACTTATTTCAAAACGTTTGTTGTTCGTCATGAATCCCGTAAATACACCTTTATCCTCCTCATCCATGGAGAATGTGCAACCCAGAACGACAAAAAATTATCAATCGGACATACCCTGTCGATACTTCCAAGAAGGAAGATGTTGGAACGGGAAGGAATGCTCGTTTTTGCATGAACCTGGCTTGCCGAAGGTTCAAGATCGGGTCCCACGAGAGGTAATATCTTTGCTTACTTTGCTTAGAATCAGTCATACATAGGCAAAGACCTCTACTAACTATCGTGATGATATAGAATGAAGGGGCAGGTGAAACTTTAAACTCGCAAGAGACTAAACCGATCTGCAAGTACTTCAAGGAGGGAAGATGTTGGTATGGAGAAGGGTGTAGATATCGCCACGAACAGGGGGAAGAGGAGGAGGACGGAGAGGCGCCAATCCTTGTTTCGTTTCCGGAGCACGACAGACCCGTGGATCCTGAAGACAAACTGACCCGCATGTTTGATGGCGCGCTCGTTGAATTCGACGCAGGAGCCCGTGTGACCAAAGTCCGCTTTCAATCCGACTTTTCGGCTGTCCGAATCAGGGGGTTTCCGAAAAGCACCACCCAGCAGTTGGTTCGCGACATGCTTGAGGAAGTCGGATTCGGAGACTGCGTGGAAGAAATCCACATGACGGACGTGGGACACAACTGCGAAGCCACGGTGGTAGCGGACAGTCCTTCTTTTGCGAAGCAGCTCTGCGAGCGCATTGTGCCTAGCTTTACATGGAGAGGTATGTCGATAAAGGCATGGTCCATTGCTGCGCTCGTGCCTCGGGCATTCAAAAATCGACAAGTAGACTGCAGAAAAGTCACCGTTTCTTGGCCCAAGCCAGACAGGGAGGTCATTTTGAGCTTTGGTAATCTTACAATCGCCGAAAGAGTAATCAAAATGTTCAACGAGGGGCGTTGTAGAGTCTTGGGTCAAAGGGTCGCCGCAGCAATGGCCCCTGCACCTGGTCCTGACGAAGCACCACCGCCAGCACGACTTGCCTTCAAGGTCATGTTGACTGAGCTTCCACTTGGCGCAAGAGAGGTAGATTTCAAGCGAGCTGTGGAAAATGGGCCAAGACCTCGCCAAATAGTAACGAGACAGCATACGGCTTCTGCTGGAGAAATGTTCTCGGCAGTACACTCGCTCTTGACAGCTATTGGGCGTCTCGAGTCATTTGATACCATAGACGACCCGACTGACAATAAGCTGAAAGCAGTCGCATGCTTCCTAGGCCAATCGGACGCCTTGAGGGCTGTAAAGGAACTCGACAACGTAGCTCCCTCTTTTCATCCTAGGGGAAGGCTGAGCGTACGCGCCGCCTATACGGTCAGGTTTGCAGTCGACAAGCGAATCTACGATGTCTTGTGGAGGAAGTTGGTAACCGTTACTTCGAAGCAGAGCATTCTCAGGTTTGGATGCCACAGCGCAGACTCAGCGATCAAGGTCTTCCACATCGAAGGCGAATCGGCATCGGACGTTGCCGAAACCAAGAACAAGGTTGAGTCGATTTTGGCCGGTGTTGTTGTAGAGGAGGACGGCGTTGCCCTCTGGCATCCTTCGCTCCAAGCCGATGGTTTGCTTTACGAAACGATGACAGACCTAGAGGGGCAACTTGGAGTCGTCATCGCTCGGGATCAGGTCAGATGTAATCTGTGTGTGTTCGGAAGCGACCAGGCCTGCCATGAGGCAAAGGGAAAGCTGGTCGAATTGGTCCGCAAGGAGTCAGGCACGGATATTTCTCGCTCCATCGCTCTCAAGGATCGCAGGTGTTACTGGGGGACTAAAAAGGGCTTTCAAGAGCTCGTCAACGCGGTTGGCCCTGGCAAAATGTGGCTCAACTTGGCCTTCCCGTCCAAAGTGATTGAGATGAAGGGTACAATCCAAGAATACGATCTAACACGGGCCATTATAGCTGGAAAGTCCCATGTCTCGACGACTCTGCAGCATCCGGAGATGAAAAAGAGCGTTTCATTTGCTATTTTCCAAGCAAAGACCATGTCCATGTTACCCATCACGTGTTACAGCTTCAAAAGAGCCATGTTGATTGCTCAACTGCGCAAGCATCTTTCCTCAAAGATGCTCGAACAGGTACTCAAAGAACGCTTCTTGGATCACGTTAAGCATAACGTCGGCCAGTTTCGCCCCTGTCCCACACTAGACTGCAGTTACATCTATAGGATCACAGGCACCGAATGTCCGGAGTGGCATATCTGCTCCAACTGTCTCAAGACCACCTGCTCTGTCTGCCATGAACAGCATCTGGAAATGGAGAAGGTTTAAAAAAGAAAGAAGCAAAAAATGAATAGCAACCATAGCAACTATAGAGAGTACAGAAAGACAGAAATCAGTTCTATATCTTCTTATAATCGCTTTCTGAGGTACATGGTTGTTATATTTCATTCGCGAATTTGGTGATTTTTACTCAATCTAAGCAGTCTATTAGTGAATGCCTGAAGAGTGATAACGTATCAAACTAGTCGCGTAAAATTCAAATTGTCATTGTATCCAAGGCAATTTTCTATAAAAATTTCATTTTTAATTTCATCTCGAATAAAAGTGCGCATCATGGTAGTATTGGCCTGAAGAGTGATATCCTGAGAATAAAAGCGGGGGGCCTGCTCTGCGACACTTAGATAAGGCTACATGTAGCGTCCACCAAGAGAGAGACAAATTCAGTCAGTCATTTCTCATAAGCCGTCTTCCCACCAACGCACAACTCTGAGCATCGTCCATCATGCGCTGTGTCCTGACGGCCGTTGCCAAGCAACCATTTACATTGACGCAGAGGCGTCTTTTTAGCGCTTCTGCTGCCTGCTTGGCCAAAAACCAAGTCTTTGACTCGTAGGTCCCTCAGTCATGCATTCATCTTGATAGCCGCCCGAGCTGGGAAAAGAAATGGCCCTGTGTCCAGTCACATCCACACTGGCCGTCTGGATGTTTTCCTTATTTTTTCCTTCTACTTCAAAGTAAGAGATAAAATGAAGTAAAAAGGCCATGATGCTGACAGACGCTTGCCTTCCCTTTAAAAAAAAAAAGCATCCGCACACCAGCCTCATTCGACTCTCAGCTCTCTCTCTCAACCTCGCTCGGGATTCCTCTCCTCACCCTCTGGAGCACTGCTTGGTGTCCATCCTGCCGCACCATTGAGCCGCTTCTCCGCAGCCTCGTCTCTTCCGGCGTTGGCGAGCAAGAAGGCGGCGTGCTCTTTGCCCCAGTGCAATTTGACACTCCAGAAATGATGTCCACACCAATTCCGCTAGCTTCGCGGTACTCCATAACTTCCACGCCGACGCTGCTGAGCTTTGACGGCGGCGAGGCGCGGGCTAGTACAAAAGTAATGGATGCGAGGAAACTGGCGGATAGGCAGTTTCTGATTGACTGGATACGCAACGAGGCGAAACGACACGAGAGTGGAGGAGGAGGATCCGCTTCATTTGGAGGTTTGTTCAACAGCCGATGATTCTCAGAAGATGCAAGGATATAGATTTCCAAACATACCTCTCTATGCATAAAAAGGGATTTATAAGGGAAAGGGGAAAACGTATATACGATATAACTTTTACATATGAAAAATTCTCGTCAGGTGGTCAATGAAGACAGAGTAAATAAAGCGTGGAGGAAGGAAGGAACTCTGATGTACATTACCAACTCCCCCAATTTTAGCCGCCTGCCAATCTTCATCTAGCACTGCATCTGCCTACACTCAACTCACCCCTCTTCAATTCTTATATTGAACATCTATATTGTTTCAATGGTGTTAATTCTCACCCGCAAATTGACAGCCAATGCCCAAAATTCAGATCGTGAACGCTAAGTCGTTTGGATACGGAGTATTTTCAAGCCAGACAGACACTGCTTGAAAATACGGCCAACTAACTGCTCTCATCTTAGTAGGAGCCATAATACAATTATGCGCTCAATGTCGCCCTCACAATAATCTACTGCGCTTCTCTTACGCTCAAATGCTTGCCTATCTATTTATGCGCTGATTGATGACAACGCTTTCGATACTCTGCACTGGAGACTCAGCAGACATGGGCAGCGTTATCTCATGGACTCATGCCCAAAGGGAAGAGAGAGAAAAAGGAGCCAGGCGGCACAAAAAAAACTGCGGTCTGTGTGGCTTGAACACACGACCTTCAGATAATTTGATGATTGAAGTTGATACTTCAGTCTGACGCTCTCCCAGCTGAGCTAAGACCGCTGAATGTGGATTCTGGCAAAGGCTATTCGCCCCATATTGCTTCAGGTGCTGAGCGAATTCAGCAGTGCCCAATGGAGCGATGGTCTGGGACGCTCAGTTGAGAATCACAGAAGATAAGGGAGGCGTCATGAAGAATTGATCCATTTCCCAAAGGTGAAACCCAAGGAAACCTCTTCAACAATGTGCTGGGTTTCGGTGAGGCTGTAACAGCATTATCCCAATGTCGCAATGTCAGAGACTGGCTCGCGCCTGAGAAATCTAAAAGCAAGTTTAGAACTAGCACTAGTTCTCGACCCTCCAGAAAGGCACAAGGGATCTCGGCCAATCGCCATGGGATCAACTCCTTGGCGCCAAACACACCGAGTTGTCTTACAGGAGCTTACAGGCACAGGTACGACAGCAAAATTGGTGTGGTGTCACACCCTCGTACGGCACAGGACCTGCAGGGGTCAAAGCCTCGAAACTCTGGTCCTCTCTTAGGTCCGAGAACCGACTGCACACGCTTGCTGACTAGGTAGGCGAGGAAACTAACACTAGGCCCAGCACGTTCATCCTCTCTAGAGAGAACGAGGGGGATCGACATTCATGCATATGGACAGGAAACGGTTTTATACCGTGGACCTGTCAGTCAGCATACCCGATGGAGAATGCAAAGGAAAGAATAGAACTTGCGCGGGCGCACATAGTGCGGAGCTCTGTAATACTATGGAGTTGGTCCTCTGCATTAAACTAGGCTCCAGGGTCAAAAGCGGCGTTTTAGAGCAGCACTAAATCCCTGCAAGACGCCGTTGCAGGATGAATGAGAGGGAATAGCTGCTTGACGAGCCCGAGAGCGAGCATGGTACGGAATATAGGTACTTGCAGATTTTTTTCAATGTCTAATGCGCTTCGTATAGGTGACCTGGAATGCACAAGACACGGCAACCACAATCACGGAAGTGAAGATGGCGCTATGCGAAAGAGGCCTCGCATCGGCCACCAGATCCATGGCTGCCACTAGCCCCCGTCACCACCGCCTGTCAGGCGACATCTGCGTATCTAATAATAAGCCAGGGTCAAAAAGTCCAAGTGCCAGGGTCACAGTGCTGCTGCTGCTGCGACTCGCATCGCATGCATACTACTTCGTCGCAGTAGTATTAATATTAGCAGTGCCGCCGGTCTCGAAAAGACGCTGCCGAGCAAAAAGAATATCAAAGGTCCTGTTGCGATTGAAGGGATCGAGCATATAACACTACTGCTGGTGGTAAAACACACCCCGTCGGCGTTGTGGCCAGGGTTATTGTGCCAGTGTGACTCCAAACTCCGCTTGTGGCTCGCCCACCCAAAACCACTGCGACGTTTCCACACCCGCGCTGCTTCTTTCGAACTCTCTCCGGCAATGAACAGTTCTTGACGCTCCTTTGACAGTCGTTTTCTTTGCGCTTTCTGCGTTGTGCGGCGATCAAGCAGGGCAGGGCTGCTGGGAGGTGCAGCAGCATCATCAGGGATCTCTTTTGATTTTTCCTCGCTCTAAAGACAAGCCCGTCTTACCCACTCATTCATTCCTTGACCTTGGGCGCTCGGCGGCTAATTGTTGCTTGTTGCTGCGACCCAACCCCTCGCACACACGCAAAGACACATACCCGAAATCTGGACGGCATCTGAGTCGCGAACGCACGCGCCCGTCCGAAACTACAAGACGAGACGACCACAGCAGCTGGCCGTGAACCTTCGCCATCCCTTGCGTAGCAAAAGCAGATCGGCCGCCACGGCGGTAAATCGCAAAGATCAACCACGGCTTTGCTTTGATTCATCCAGCGGCACCAAAGGCGCTGTACAACGGTGGGCAGGCACGGTGGGCATAAATCGCTTTCGTCGAGACATCTTGCTGCTACTCCCATATTCGCTCTCTTATCTATCTTTCTTTGGCTTTGACGGCCTTCACAATCAGCATTAATTTCTGATCTGGACATGCGCACGCCAGAGACTTCGCGAGACTGCAAGCTACAGCATTGACGTATTTTCTTCTTCTTCTTTATTTCTTCTCTTCTTCTCTTCCTTTGTGCCTTGGACCGATCGCGATTCGAATATTCTTCGATACCAGCTAGAAACCGAGAAATAAAGTAGTAGTAATGGCTTATGACGGGGGATACAATGGGGGTCAACAGCGGCCGTATGCTGGTTCAGCGGCACAGGCTCCGATGGCGAGAGGTTATGGAGGGCCTCCGCCGTCACAGCAGCAGTATAATGGGTATCAAGATGACGGCTATGGCGGTGATGGAGCATCAGGAGGAGGATACGGGCCAGAGTATGGAAACAACCAATATCAAGATGGCGGCTATGGCCAGAGAGGTCTTGGCCCGGCGAGAGGAGGTCGACCTCCGCAAGATGGTCGCCGAGGAGGCCCTCATATGCCTGAGGGCCAACGAGGGGCCAATTATCCTCCGAGAGGCGGTATGGGTCCTCCAGGAAATAGGGGCAGACCGAACATGCCACGAGGAGGAGGACCACCGGGCCATCCCGCAGGTAAGCCTCATTTTTCAAAGACTTATTAATAATATGGCCAATTCCGTAGAATGCGGTTTGGTCGTGAATCGAAACTCTCGACTCTAACTTTCTCTTCGTCTTTCCTCTAGGCGGTCGGCAACCGATGGATAACGGTATTAACCCACAAGGCGGCCCAGGGTTTGCCAATGGCAACTACCAGTCTGGCAATGGATATGAGCTTGCAAATCAGATGTCACAGATGGATATAAACGGACAAGACCCTAGGAGTCCACCCCGCCGACCACCTCCAGCTCGAAGCGGCTCCCAGAACTACGGGGACTCACGACAAGGACAGCCAAGGCCAGGACCTGATAGCTACGCAGGCTATGGTGACGGCGGATACGGCGCTCGGCAGCCACCTGGTCCACATGGAGCTCAGCGAAGCATGACGATGCCGTACAACAGCTCCGTAGGTCGTGGAGTACCGCAAAGGCCTGCTACGACAACAGGAAATCGGCCTCCGCCTCAAAGGACCTATCCTCAAGACAGCCAGCCGCCGCCACTGCCAGCACAGTATAACAATGTTCCTGCTCCCCATGGCGATAATGGATTCGACCCATCGTATGCCAACGCCATTGACGATGTATACGACTCTTACTATGACGAGCCGAGAGCGAGCATATCAAGCCACAACTCGTCGCACAACTCACATGCGCATAAAAGCAGCATTTCAAGCCTGCCAGACTTTGATGCTATTCCCGTACACAGCAAGCGGGATTCTTTTGAGCAGTCCATGCGACCAGGGGCTGAGCAGCCGCAGCAGGGAGCCCACCAAACTCCCAAGCTGGGCCATGCCCGCTCCATGGTAGAGATGCGCGAACCGCAGTCTGCAGTTTTTGAGATGGCCGCCGACATTCCTGAAGTTCCAGCCATTCCTCAGACGCATGCGTATCAGCCGGGATATAATCAAGGATACAATGGGCCTGCAGGATACGCGCAGCCGCCGATTTCACGAGGCCCAAGTGCGCCTCCAGGTGCAGCCGGGCAGCCGCATTCTGGATTCGGGAGCAATCGTCCGCCCATCGTCAGGCCGGGCACCGCTGCACCCACCAATCCAGACGGTCTACCTGCACATCCAACGCCTGTACGTCCGGGCTTGATGGAAAACTCGCTTGTGAACCCGAATGCCAAGCCTCCTCCTATCCGCAACTATGGAGGTGGTCCTCAGACAGGGCCGCCGCCGCAGCAGCAGCAACAGTACCAGCAGCAACAACAAGCACCAATGCAACAACAAATGCGTCAACCGCAACAGCAGCAGTACCCTCCTCAACAGCCACAGGGCCAAGGCATGCCAGCGCCCAGAGCGCCGCCGCCACAGCGGGAGACAGAGCCTCCAGTTACACCCGGCGAGCTAGAACATTTGAGGATGGTTGTTAAAGGCAACCCCAACGATCAGGCGACTGCACTGAAATTGGCGAAGCGTCTCATCGAAGCTTCAGACGTGCTTGTGCCAAATATCCCCGACGCGAGAGGCAAAGCGAAAGCTCGCGAACGATATACCATGGACGCCCAGAAGATCCTCAAGAAGCTGGTCAACTCCCAGAACCCAGACGCCATGTTTGTAATGGCAGATGGTGTGGGTAGGGGTTTGTTTGGCCCCGAGGGAGATTCCAAAGAGGCCTTTGCGCTGTACCAATCTGCCGCGAAACTGGGTCATGCTGCGGCTGCCTATCGTACAGCCGTATGCTGTGAAATTGGCCATGAGGAAGGGGGTGGCACTCGCAAGGATCCTATGAAAGCGATTCAGTGGTACAAACGCGCGGCCACTCTAGGAGACCCGCCAGCCATGTACAAGGTCGGCATGATCCTTCTCAAAGGCCTGCTGGGCCAACCTAAGAACCCTAGAGAGGCTGTGGGTTGGCTGAAACGGGCGGCGGAGAGGGCAGACACAGAGAACCCTCACGCTCTTCACGAACTTGGATTGCTATATGAATCGGCATCAGGTAACGATGTCATTATTCGAGATGAGCAGTACGCCTTGAGCCTGTTCCAGCAGGCGGCAGAGATTGGATACAAGTTCTCTCAGTTTAGACTGGGCTGCGCGTACGAATACGGATTGCTGGGATGTCCCATCGACCCGAGGCTCTCCATCGTCTGGTACTCGAAAGCAGCGCAGCAAGAAGAGCATCAGTCAGAACTCGCTCTTAGTGGCTGGTATCTGACAGGAAGTGAAGGCGTCCTAGGCCAGAGCGACACGGAGGCGTATCTGTGGGCAAGGAAGGCTGCAGTGGCAGGGCTGGCCAAGGCAGAGTACGCGATGGGCTATTTCACGGAGGTGGGCATCGGCGTCCCGGCAAACATGGAGGATGCCAAGCGATGGTATTGGAGAGCAGCTGGTAAGTTCTTTCATTTCTCTACATTGTGTTTTCTTTGCCTTTCTTTTCACATTTTCTTTGTGCTCAATTGGCGAATTGGATACTAACGTCGAGACTCGTTGCAGCACAAGATTTTCCCAAGGCCAGAGAACGATTAGAAGACTTGAAACGATCCGGCAAGGAAAAGGCCCGTCCGAGAGAGCGAATATCTCGAAGCCAGAAGCAACAGGAAGGAGACTGTGTAGTGATGTAGACATGATTTGTTACGATGGAAGGATGTTCAGAGATACCGAGGCGCGGAATTTCTGCTATTTTTTGAAAAATTAATGAGGGAAAACTAGCGCAGAAATGTTTTACTTTTACTTTTTTTTTTTTTTACCTTTTTTTCTTTTCTTTTTCTCTTTCGTTTTATTTGGATCTGAAAGATACCATTGGGTAGAATTGAAAGGGGCTTATGGGAAGTTTTGACAAATTTGCTTGGATACTCCTTTGTTTTTCGTTCAAAAGTTGTATTATTAATATAGAGAGAATTTGATTAGATACGATCCTATCGTCTATGCTCCACAATGATGCTATTCCTTGCAATTGGAGAAATACTATCATGACTCTCGAAGATGATTTCCATCTGTAAATTATAGCAGCTTTGCTTTATCAGCGCATCATTCTGAACGATTGTTCCTTCACCGTAACAGCAAAGCAGCTTGGGCGAGTAACAATTAAGCGATGGGTTGTGCTCCCCTTATACAATACGATAGTTATTAGAAATTGTTACAACGGACGGGCTCAGGATCATTGAGAAAGGCATACATTATCTAAATAGAGGGGAAGAGATATCTTCCAAATCAACACGCACTGTATCTTTTGCTGTTTCTTGCAAACGAAGTTGTTCTTGCATGGGGTCCCGTGCACACTCACGTGCCACAAAGATTTATTACAACAGTACTACGATTTAACAATATTTAATAAATTTGTTTGCGCATTCATGAAAAATACAGGGTAGATAACACTCCATCAAGAAGGGCAATTCTTGATCCTGCCACTAATGCCTACCAACTATTCGTGGTTTAGCTGCGATTTTGCCTAGCTTCAATGGTAGCGCTCACCGCTTTCCTATTCAAGCAGCTTTTCCACGGCAATATCAGATTCCATGACGCCAGAGAGCTTCCTTCCTCAGGCAAGACCGAGCGATCGTAGCAAGAACTGAACGTCACGTCCTGCTCGTCCGTTGATCCTCAATTGCATCCACCACCAACTCTCTTCATACGGAATACACAAAATGCCTCCCAAGAAGCCTTTCAACTGGGGATTGTGGATAAAGGTCCTGGTGGGGTAAGTAGGCTCCGCGACTTTGACTCCAAGCATGACGCTGACAATCGTCTCTCGTCAAAAGAGGAGCGATCATTAGCGTTGGTGGCCCGGCGCTCACGTACTGGGTGGTGCCGACCGAGGAAGAACTGAGATCTAGGTACAACCCTGAACTCCTGAAGAGGAGCATAGAAGGCAGAGAGGAGAGACAACAAGAGTTTAACGACTTTGTCACGAAGCTCAAGGAGTATTCGAAATCTGATAAACCAAGTTGGTCCCATCCAAATAAAAAAAAAAAATTCTTGTTTGACATCTTTCCGGGCAGATTGGGGCTAATATGATGCGATAGTCTGGGCCGTCATCAAGGAGGAAGAAGAAAGGAAAAAGAAAGCAGAGCTTGAAGCCAACAGGCTTCAGAAGCAAGAAGCTGCAGCTCGGAGAGAAGAAATGCGGCGAGAAGCCGGCCTCGGGAAATAGAGTGAACGAAATGCGATTTTATTTGAGCATGGGCGTAGGGCAACACAACGAAGACATCAAAGTCATCTCGTCGCCGTCGCCCACGCCACTGCCGTGTACATTATGAAAAGGGAGAGCGTGTGTAAGATTTGAATCATCACCATCGACATTAACAAGTTCCCAAAGTGCACAAGCTACCAATCTGTTCAACCTGAGGGACCAGGCTGCTACGATGAGAGAATATGGATATCTGTGAACCGAGTTGCCGATGTAAGAAAACAAGAAGAAAAAAAAGAGGGAAACTTCCTCCAAAAGAGAGAGACAGAGAGAGACAGAGAGAGAGAGAGAGAGAGAGAGAGAGAAAGGATGAAAGAAAAGAAAGAAGCATACCTCAACGTGGGGTATGAGGTAGGCGACTCATTGGATTGTTCCGAGCTGAGATTCGGACGTGGCGACAATACAAGAAGCAAAAGACTACAAAACTGAAAGCATGGGCAGGGACAAACTATTGGATCTACTAATGTACCTCGCACCCCAAAATGGTTCAAGGGATTTTGCCCTTGCTTTCCATTAGTATGGGCTGGGGCGGGCCATTTGCTGCCACCCCCATGAATCAGTCTTGTCAATATTGCAACACCCGCTATTCTTCAAGGGGCATGAGAGGGCAATGTTTGCCCATCACGAATGCGTGATCTGCCTGGATGAAATCAAAGAGTGGAGTTGAGGATTTAAACAAATGCCACTCTCCATCTTATCAGACCTACATGTGCTGTATCAAAAGTGGACGAGCGATAACGCGAGATTTTCAGACACTGGAGAGTAGTTACGTTGAAAGCTGCTCCGTATGATATCTGCACTTGCCATCGTCTATTTTATTCGATGTTCATGGCAATTTTAACCTCCCGGGCTCTCTTTTCGAACAAATTAGCTCCTCGTTCGCCCACTCCCACCGGCCGGCTGTTGAACCGCAGCGATGATCTATTAGCGAATATCCACGAATAGAGCCGGCCAAGTGCAGTGCACGGGTTATTAGAGGCAATTCTTGGCAGCAACAAAAGTGCGTTCTTTTTTTGGCCACCGTGTCGCTCAGCTGCTGTTGGGCGTAAGACATGGTATTACTACTCCTTCAATTGGCCAGCCACCCATCCAACATCATTTCTGCAACCGCGGTGTCCAATGACGCTAAAATCTACATGTACTCCATACTCCATTCTTTTTGCTTTTATTTATTTTTCCTACCTCGGCGTGTGCGACGACACGAAGGAATTCGAAGCCGTCCATTTCCAGCCAGTTGATCGAATCCCTCTTATTTCCTGCGGAAGAAAAATAGGATTTTGTTGGCTACGTCTACTGATATCTCGCACACGTCGTATAAGCGCGGTGACGGGTCCTCTCTTCACCCACATCGCCGAGAATGTAGCGAGAACGGCGGGCGATGATGGATCTATAAACTTGACTTAGTGTTCGACATCCACCCACAAGCCCAGCGCTCTCACATACCATTGGAGGCTGCTTCCATCAGGGATGGATACAGTTAGATATTATTTGATCTCCCTGCAAACTGAATGAGCATGATAATGTATCACCCATCTACTACTGGCCATTCTCTCCTCTAGCGAGAAGCCTGGATGCGAGGGATTACTATTACTCCGCGACCGTGGCAGCCATAAGCAGAAAAGAGGACAGGCGGATAGACGAAAGCCCTGGAGTGCCTCCAATCCTTTGTTTTGACAGAGCGCTGCAAATGCGTACCAAAGACTCTAGTGACAGCCACTTACAAGCAATACGCGAGGTCACTTTGTGGGAAGGTATCTCTTGTGGGTTACGCCCTTTGAACCCCATCAGCCAACGTAGCTTTCAGCATGCCTCGGACAAACTGGAAGCATTTGGCAGGTAACCAACGTCGCCTGGGCGCACTTCTGAGAAGGATGCTCCAGATCGCTTGGCAACTCGTGGATTTCGATTTGGAGAGCTGGGCATCTTGTGGCTTCAGCTTGGCGCATATTCCATCAGATGAGACCAGCGCCGCTGCAGACCACCGAAGATGAACTTTCGGCCACATGGAATTTCAATCTTACTTGTGTCTTGGGCAAGCAACTTCGGAGAAGGTAGTATCGATTTGGAAATACTACCGCCTCCACAATGCTTGGCGACAGCGGAGGCGTCAGCTAGATCACGCAAAAGGTCCTTACTGGTGCTAACGAAGATGAGGTGACATTGCCCTTGCCATGCTGCTGGCCCAGTGACTACTATTAATGGAAGTTGACCTCAAAAGAACCACAGGAGTGGATAGCATGCCAAGTTGCCAGTCGTCTCGGCAGCCTACCTAGCGGCCTCAATAAACGTAGGTTAAGGTTAATCTGGCAGCGAACGATTTCCTTGTACGGGGGGGCTGAGAAGGAGCTGCCGTATAAGGGAAGTTTGCATGTGTGATTGCATCTCTTATCACGACGGAATGCTACCATTTTCTACACCTAATGCTGATATACTCAGTGCATGGCTGGCATCGGAGAATGAAAATGTGGTGGAGAGTGGGAGAATAGAGATCTTTGTGATGGTTGCTATGTGGCTCCATACGTCTCCCAGACCCTCGATTTTGTTTTCTATCTCTTCTTTCGGCCCATGGGCAGGTTTACGGCGTACTATCAAAACAGGCTGTAGAGTACCCTACCACAACCGGAGCCTTGCAGAGTTCCTATACAGATATTACGGGCAATTATTGGCGATGCATTGTTTTAGACAAGACACTGACAGCAAATCTGGCCGAGCAAAAGTGCATCTAAAATAAAATGCAAGGATGGGTCACTGCCCTGGTCTAGCCTGAGCCACTCCGGCCGACCCTAGCCCTCTCCATGCAGGCCATGCGGGGAGCTGCTGGATGCCGGAGGATTTAAGAGCAAAATTTAAGGGTGGCTAAATCCAAAGGCAATGCCGGGACGAGAAAAATGGCGATCCATTAGTACTGGTCAGGTACTTATTTTCTCTTCTTGCAAGGGCCTTCGCCTAACGCCCTTGCATACACAATACTACTTGTATATGCACTATAATGGAGATGGATGGACAAGATTATATTATGAGCGACATTAATCAGTTCTCATGGCTGACGGTGCCAAGCCAAAAAGTCCTGCATTTAGGATTAAGAAGGCAAGTGATGTGGTTACGTTTGTTATCTCGTGGGAACAAGCGGCACATCGGGGAAGTGTACCGGCATGTCGCCAGGCCAGGTGACTGCGCAATTTGACTGCTCAGAATGATACTTGCTACGTTGATTTGACCAAAGCAATGACAGGCAGAGGGCAAACACCATTTGGACGAGGAGAAAGCAACAGAAGGCGAGCAATGCTACGTCCTAGATCATGTTGGTGACGAGAGGCTGTCGACTCCCAGCGAAATAATACTACACGTATGGCATTATTTCTCCGGACCTTGGATAATAAGCCAATTTCAAGCTCTCCAGTGGGTAAGCCATTGGTTTGCCGCCTCATACGGTATTAATCACTAGATACAGAGCAGGCATCAGGTGAGCATGGTACGAGTCTTGGCACGGATATGGATGGGTGTTGTTGGTGCCGCAGCTGCAGCGGTATCGGCCGAACCGGGCGGCATGATTCATGATTGTGCTCTGGACGGTACAAGTGGCGCCTGCTGTCTATGCAGCTATGGGCTGAAAGAATTATCTTCTACCAGAGTTGGTGAAGAAACTGTTGGCTGTGCTATCGCGATATTTTCCCTCCCTCATTTTGTGGTTGCCTCTAAGCGAAAGGTGCAAATCTCTTTGCAAAAGAAAAAGATTTGTCCAATTCAATTGGTTGAATCTCTTACTATGGATCCTGCTGCCAAATGCTGATCTAGTAGTGCGATTTTTCTTGTTGGGGTAATATGCCTGGGCATAAATCAACCGAAGAACTTGTTTGCGCTGAGCTTACTTGTGGCTGTTGTTGTGCCATAATTCATACTGCCAACACGTCTCTTCCGTTCTGGAGGTGTATATGTCGTTATTAAGGAGGCTTCTCCACGAGAAGTGGCTACGCGAACGAGGTCCTACTGCAAGCGATGTGTGCTCCTCGATCTTAGACATGGCTTGATACAATGACAAAACATGACCACCCATTCCCAGCTTTTTGGGCCCTATCCTAGGGTAGCTTTGCCACGGCCAATATCTATTTGATTTCTGAGGCCTACTTTCTCCCAAGCTCAAGTTGGATATATTTTCTTCCTCTTTTGCCTTAACTCTTCCTCTACTTGTCCATAGCGTCGGCCCTGGCGCCATCCGCAGTGGAAGTTTCCGACTAGCTGGCGTTTATTTGCTTTCTAAGTAGAGGCTGGCCGCTAGCAATATGAGCTTATCCACTAGCCGAGGATCCAAAAGCAAGCCGTATTGATACTAATCCTCGGTAACAGTAACCGCGCGATACCATTGCGTCCTCGCAAAAGGGCCTTTGGGGGGACCCTTCGACAAGAGACCGACCACAGCAACGGATATCTACGAGAGGCACTAGCTGAATTGTGAACCCTCGTCGCGTGGCGCAACGCCTGAAGAGTTACTACCAACGGAAACGGAGGGCTGCTTCTGGCAGGCGGCCCACACACTGTCTGAGACTATCGTTGAGCATGGGGGGGCAACCGCCACATGGGATCTTTTGAATCGCAAAAACCTTGGCATTGGCTTCTGCTTCTGCGACTAGTACGAACAGGGAACTAAATCCCAGTTGTCCAGGCGAGTCGAAGCAGCGATGCCCAGTTACCAGGGCCAGGCCACCTACGGAGCGTTGGTCCTGGCAGTGGTCCTAGCAGTGATACGGCCAGCAATTTTGCGAGTGCCCGCAATGCCAGAGCCCGTCACTGCCAAGACCAAACTTCCAGACACTACCAAAGTGCCCACGTCCAAAACCGAACTAGTCCCCGTGGTGCTGCTGTATACACATACTACAAGTAGTATGTAGGCGCAAGATAGGCCGGCTCCACCCTGGCCGGCGCTATCCTCGCTGCAAAGAGTCCCTGCAGCCAACGGCAGCTCGCTGCTTCACTCTTGAATGATGGGCAGCATATCGGGGGGAGAACAGTAAGATAATGAGAAAGCAGGGGATAAGAAAGAGCAAGAGAGGGATTTTCAGAGTGGCCACCGAGTCAACCCACAGTTGCCCCCCGCATGCAATTCAAGGAACTTGTGTTGCTCAATCTCTCAGCCGCACACGGACATGGCGTTCCCATGTTACAGCGTGTTAGTCTGGGGGTGATGACGGTCAAGGCGATGTGATATAATATAAAGATGGTAGATTTCCCACTTCTTGATGAACTCGCGTGTTCCTCTTCCTCCAGAGGCTATTCTGCTGTTCTCGCTTTTCAAGCTGCGTCAACACTACCATATCTTTTTGTAGTGGCAGTACATACAGCGATTCAAGATGGCCTTTGGGTTTGGTAAAAGCGACGCCCGCGTCGAGACCGAGGCCGTGTCCTCGGGTGTCGAAGTGCTTCCTGGGGATGCAGCCAACGTCGAGTCTGATCTCCGTAATTTCAGAAAGCAGCACCGATGGGATCCCTTCCTCGACATCGATAAGCTCGACAACATCGATGAGGCTCTGGCTTCGGGCAATATCGAGAAGGAGGCTGCCATTGATGAGTCTTTGATCCAGGAAGACTCACCCTACCCAGAAGTCCGCGCTTCGGTACGTTTAATTCAAATTGCTACCTTACTGGTCCAAAACCGTTTCAGCAATCATGACCCCGAGGGACTGCAATAACAACTATATTGGCCTTTTTTTTTTTTTTTTTTTTTTTTTTTTTTTTTGGATTTTTCCTTGCCTTCCTGTCTGACGTATTATCTTGTTTGCTTCTAGGTTCCCCCAACCGACGAAGATGTCCCAGTCAACACAATTCGTGCCTGGTCAATTGGTGCTGTCATGTGCACAATTGTAGCTGCTTGCAACATCCTGCTCACCCTCCGACGCGCTCCCATCGTTATTACATCTACGGTCGTGCAGTTGATATCTTACCCGTAAGTTTGCCGCCGTACAATTCCAATAGTTTGCAGTTGTCATCATATGGCTAACTGGTAACAATATAGTATTGGTTGCTTCTGGGCCCGCGTCGTCCCCAACTGGTCATTCACTGTCTTTGGACACAAGTTCGAGCTCAACCCTGGTCCCTTCAATGTTAAGGAGCACACTATCATCACGATGATGACGGCTGCCGGAACGGCTGCCTCCTATGCTATCGATATCTTGCTCGCCCAGGAAATCTTCTACCATCAAAAGCTGGGCTGGGGCTTCCAAATTCTCCTCATTCTCTCCACTCAGGCCATGGGCTTCGGTGCTGCTGGTGTTGCTCGACGATTCCTCGTCTGGCCTTCATCCATGGTGTGGCCTGCTGTGCTCATTACCACAACTGTCATGTACTCTCTACATAACCACGCTCCCGCCGATCCTGCCACGACCAATGGTTGGACGATTGGCCGATACAGCTTCTTCCTCATTGTTGCTGCCGGAACGTTCTTTTGGGAGTGGATTCCTCAAGTCATTGCCCAATTTCTCCAGTTCTTCATGTTCCCTGTCTGGATAGCGCCCAACAACGTCGTTGTCAATCAGATTTTTGGTGGAAATACTGGACTGGGTCTCCTGCCCATCTCCTTTGATTGGTCAATTATTTCTGGTTTCCTGCTTTCTCCCCTCCAGACGCCAGCCTTTGCCATTGCCAATGTCTCGGCTGGTATCTTCATCATGCTTCTCGGAATCATCGGTCTTGCCTATGCTGGCCCTGAGTTCTACCGCTATCTTCCTCTCAGTGCTAACCAGAACTTTGACCACTACGCTCAACCCTACAACACGAGCCGTATCCTCAACCCTGATTATACCGTTAACCTCACAGCCTATAAGGAGTACTCCCCTATCCTGTTGGGCCCTGCTTTTTCCCTGTCGTATGGCATGGGCTTTGCCGGCCTGATCTCAACACTTACCCATATTGCCTTGTTCTATGGCCCAGACGTCTGGCGTCGGTCTGTTGACTCTCGATCTGAAGAGCCCGATATTCATTTGAAGCTTATGCGCAAATATAAAGAGGCTCCCGAATGGTGGTTTCTCGCCGTGTTTCTGGTTTCGTTCGGATTCGGTTTGGCGGCATGTTTGGGCTGGCAAACGCATCTTCCCGCGTGGGCGTACATCCTGTGTATTATCATCGGTCTCTTCTTCTTTATTCCTGTTGGCATGGTTCAAGCCATCACCAATCAGCAAACTGGTCTCAACATCATCACCGAGATGATTTTCGGTTACATGCTTCCCGGCCGCCCCGTGGCTATGATGCTGTTCAAGTCTTGGGGTTACATGATGACTTTCAATGGCCTACAGTACGTATCTGACATGAAAGTCGGACACTACATGAAGATTCCTCCTCGTAGCATGTTTGGCGCTCAGGCCTTTGCCGTGATTTGGCTCTCTATTGTGCAGATTGCTTCGTACAATTTCTTGCGAGGCAACATCGAGGGTATCTGTACTCCACATCAAGCACAGGGTCTTACATGCCCTAACGCTCGGACTTTCTATAACGCCAGTGTCATTTGGGGTGTCATTGGCCCTAAGTTGGTGTTTGGTGCTGGTCAATTGTGAGTTTGTTCATGTTGCATCTATTTCCAGCTGCAAGTCAGTGTAATTCCTTACTAACCAAATCTCATCAATAGATACTCCTGGACCAACTACTTCTGGCTGATTGGCTTCCTGTGCCCCTTTATCCAGTGGCTCCTTGCCCGTCGTTACCCTCGCTCCCCGCTCCGATATGTTGTCTTCCCTGCCTTGTTTGGAGCTGCAGGAATGATTCCCCCGGCGACAACCTGGTACCTTGCCCAGTGGTGTATCATCGGCCTTGTCTTCAATTGGTGGATCCGAAGGCGTTGGCTCGGTTGGTGGAGTAAGTTTCTCTCCATTACTCTTTCTCGTTGTATAACGTGGTCAAAACTAACCCCCTATTTCTTGTAGCTCAATACAACTATGTCTTGTCTGGCGCCCTCGATATCGGCACTGCCCTCTGCACTGTCGTTATCGGTCTGGGTCTGGGTCTGGGCAATGCGGAATTCCCAGACTGGTGGGGTAACTCAGTTGTAGCTAATAACCTAGATTATAATGGTGCTGCTGTCTTGAAGGTTGCGCCAACCTCGGGTCCTGGCATTGGACCTTCGACTTGGTAAAAAAGGGGATGAGGTGGGTGTGCTATCGCATACAGTAGGATGTGAGAGGTCGAGGGGAATATGAAGGAAAACTATGTCATGATGTAATGAAATGTCTTTTGGTTGATGTATTATTTATCGCATATCTTTTTGATGTGCTGTCTCTAAATATACCCTATCTCTTCATGAAACTACACGTGATTGAGTGATACTTGTTCGTGGAAGCTGATGTTTTACTTTATAATTGTATATACGGACTTATACCAACGCAATAGTCGATTCTCGCGACACTTCGCAGGTAAAGGCAGGATTTCCGAATCTCCTGTCCTATACAATAAATGCTGTGTTTATGTAATGTTTATGCAGGAGATTCACTTTTGAATATATTAAATGGAAAAGAATATTTTTTTTTTAATTCCCTCTGGGTACCTAAGCATGGAATGGTGGTAATAGCATAGTAGTTAGGTAGTGAAAATACTATATGCCTAGGTAGTAGTTGTATTAGAGGCCCACTAGGCCATTAAGCATAGCAACATGCCGACTTCGTATAAGCGTCCTACATTAGCGTCCTATGTTTTTGCTCAAGCTACCTACGAGTGACAAAGCTACTACATGTGCTAACCTACACTGACTATCGGTTTCATCCAGTCTGGATAGGTGTTGTAAGGATTTAAATGGTCATGGCATTGTAAAAAGGACATGAGAGTCCACATATATTATTTATAGCATTGATTCCAGTCCATTCTAGAAAAATTGTAAGCGCGCTCTTAGACCCAAGTAACCAATTGTGGTCTAGATTCTGTAATCGTCCATAGTAAAACACACGTCTCTTGATATCGTTGTCAGCTAGGGGACATTGTTTAGCTATAAAACTACCTATTCTAATGTTTAGAAATGACAAATGAGACTTATCTGCTGTATAACTTGATAATATATGCAGATCAAGGAAGTTGATATATACGAAAGCAGCGTGTCTAGCTGGTATAGGGGACGCTCGGCTTATCTACTGGAAATATACCAACTTACCAAAATATGGAGCTGCAGTTTGTGGAACCCCCAATCGTTGGAAAATAACACCATTGTGTACTCATATATGTTCTGTCTCTCCATGTTCTCCCACCTTTCTTCGTAGATCGAATAGGAGCGTTTCATCCTTCGATAGGCCTGGTAAAATGGCAAGTGAGGGGATTGAAGAAGAAGAAAAAAAGGCAATAAAGTAAACGCCTTTAATCCCATGGCAAGGACGATGAAACACCGAGTCACACATTCACATTTCAACGGTGGAAGGAGATATTTCGGCGGGGCTTGAGATTAGCCAAGTATTCACAGCGCCAACAGTTTCCCATTTTTATAGTAACCATTGCACCGGTATGTCATTTGCTCAGCTACCAAATGCGCCATATGGCATTCCATGCACAACCCGATATTGTAGAAGAACCGGCCGGAAAGAGACAAGAACCACAGACTCCCATACTTTGTTTCACTTTGCTCATCCGCTGCGTTGCAGACATCTCTCCTGCCATCGTATCACCCAGATGAAACTCGCGTCTTTTATCGTACTTTCTTTTTAAACATTGTTTTATTTATACGTGTTTAGCGAGTTCGGGCAGCGACCTTCTGCTGAGCACCCTTGGCGCCCTGCTTGCTCACGTTTCGCTGGGTCTGGCCCTTGGCGGCGGTGGCAGCGTTCTTGGCCTTCTCGGCCTTCTTGGCGGCCTGAGCAGCAGCCTTCTTCTCCTTGTCCAGCTTGATGGCCTCGGCGCGAGCGGCAGATCGGGCCTCGGGGCGCATAGAGCGGCGCTCCTTGATGACCTCGAGGGAGGCACCAACGATGGCACGCTGGGACTTGACGGTGCGGCGGGTGCGCTTCTTGGCAACTTCCTGCAAAGGGGGGTCAGTCACATTATTCCGGCGTTTATTTCTGTTTCTTCAAATCTCTTCTTCTGTCCGTGTTGATGCATAGAAGGTAGATATGGACATGGAACAAAGCAATGCCATGTCATTTTCTATCATGGACGCGGGAGAGAGAAAAGAGAGATGGAAGAAAGCGGGTCGGAGTTCGTAGTTGCGTCGTGCGTACCTCAGAGATACCCTTGCGGTGCTGTCGTCGGAAGAGAACGGTCCAGGCAATGCGACGGGGGTTCTTGCGCTGGAGGAAAAGTGACTCCGACTTGCCGTTGACAAATCGGAACACCTTGCTGTCGCCACGGACATAGATCTTACCCTGTGAGGAGAAAAAGCAGTTAGCATCCATGAAGCATGAACAAACTTGATGATTTGTTTTGTTTGCTTGATCCCTCCAAATGCGACGGGGACTTTCGGCTCTCTTGTTCCTTCGTTCAATGCCTGAACAACTCTGCCACATTCCACCTTGATGATTCCATTCATGCTTCCAAACCGTGCCCTTGTCCCATGTCTTTCCGTCGTATCGTCCTCCATAGCCTCATCCCATGACGTCGCATCGCCGAGTATCAAAGTGCAAAGGGAATTGCAGGGAAAGAGAGCATCAGCATACCTTGCCAGGGTAGATCCTCTGTCCGGAGAAGCTGTCTTCGTAGGTACGCATCTTGCCGCGGTGTGTGGGTTATGGGCGACAAGGTGAAATTTGGCGTGAGTTTGGCGTTGACGAAAGATGAGCAGCCGTTCCGTTGGATAGGGTCAATTTCACGAATTGTGTGTTCGGAATGACTAAGCGGGCCTAGGGCAGGCGTTTGTGGGCGCCAAAAAAATTCGGCAGTGGGCTTTGGCGGGCAGTGCACGTGATTTCAGACCTGCAGCAGCTATTGGCGGGGAGCAAGGATGCTGGCACATTGCCTATTTGGGGTGTCTGCACTAGCAACAGCACTAGGCCGCCTGTAAAATATCAACTGAGTGGCTGATCTACAATGCGGCTGGGCCTCAGTTCATGCTCACGCTTACACGCAACCGATCCATTCATGGGCCTACCTATACATACTGTACACACTCTTCTTTCTCATACCGTCATGGTTTTATATGAAACGATAGCATAGTCATTCGCGGGCAACACAAGTCAGATAAATGACGTCTCGCGCGAATCTCATCGCCCGCGCCGTCATCAACCAATTCGAGAAGCTCCCGTCTAAGCGGAAGCCCTGCGTTCGAGATAATGGCCTCCACGAATGGGTGCCCCTGAGCGGGATCGTCGCTGAGAGAGATGGAATTTTAACTTGTTTGGCATTGGCGTAAGCTCTTCATCTTCATCTTGTCATTCTTGCTCTCTAAAACTGTGAAAGCGCAGAACGGGCATGAAATGTCTCCCGGCATCAAAACTTGCAGAGGCGAAAGGTGTGGCCATTCACGACTGGCATGCTGAAGTTTTGGCCATTCGGACTCTTAATCGTTTCCTACTGGATGAGTGTCAGAGCATCATTGATAGCAGCCCTGGTGACTCTGAAGCAATCTTGCAAAGGAATGACGAGAGAATTGAAGGGTATACGAGGCCCTTTCGAGTAAAGGATGATGTAAAACTTCACATGTATTGCTCCGAAGCTCCTTGTAAGCTGTTTCTCCCACTTCTTCTCTTCTTTCGTTCTTTTCATATTACCATCATCATACAACATAATGAACCGCTCTTTAGCGGGTATACAAAGATTACATCACTTACAAACTCATTCTAGGCGGAGATGCGAGCATGGAGCTCATCATGGCAGCTCAAGAAGACGACTCTCCATGGCAGCTCCCTTCTTCCACATCGGCTGATCCACAGCCTATCACTCAGGAAGCCGAAGCAGCACTACCAGGGCGTGCTTATTTCTCTGAGTTGGGCATCGTGCGTCGCAAACCTGCCCGTGGAGACGCTCCGCCAACGCTGTCAAAATCGTGCTCTGATAAGATTGCCCTGAAGCAATGCACGTCGCTGCTCGCATCTTTGACGTCGCTGCTATTCAACCCGGCCAATGCTTACATCGACACGCTTGTTCTGCCAAAGTCCCAATACTCTACCATCGCATGTGAGCGAGCCTTTTCACCTGCGGGTCGAATGAGATCCCTTGTCGGCAAGCAGTGGGGTGAGGAATACGCTTTCAAACCATTCAAGGTTGAGGCTACGACGGTGGAGTTTGAGTTCTCGAAAAGGGCCGTTGCGGCTCGCTCGAGCACCATCTCGGCAAGCAACCTTGCAGCTACGTGGTCGGCTTCTGGGTTTGAAGAGACGATTCTGGGCGGTGTCCTTCAGGGGAGGAAGCAGTTTGACATTAGAGGCGCTAGCAAGACATCCAGAAGGCAGATGTGGATTAAGGCAAAGGAACTGTCTGATACGCTGTCTGCCACTGATGCTGGAGAGCATTCAGCACTTCAAGAGCACTTCTCGTCAGCCGGCAGTTATCAAGACGTCAAAGATGGGCCGCTATTAGCTGAGCGAAGGCATGTCAAATCTCAAGTCCGGCAACTTTCTCTTAAAGGGTGGGTTCAAAATCAAGGAGACTCGGGCTTTGGGATATAGGCTTCGGAGATATTCGGGTTTTTAGGTGCAGAGGGGACTGGCTTTGCTTTACTGCGGGTGTGCGGTTTTGGATGGAAGCCTGACCTGGATCTCTTGGGCAAACAGTTCTGCCGGCGGGTGTGCCAACGAGAGCAATGCGGGGGGCACATGAGATTGAGACTTTGATAGATTTCCGGTTTCTCTCTTGTGGATGCACTTCATGTATTTCGTACAAACCCGCCCCTTATCTCTTGGTCGCATCCGTCACAACGCTCTTTTGACGTACGCCGCATTTCATTTCCCGCGCCGGGCAAATCTTTCATAAATGTGCACAAGCCGACGGGTATAAAGCGTACAAGTAATCGCAACAAAACAGAAATCATTGGCAAACTTGCAGAAATGTCTGCGGAAAGGGGGGGTTTTAAGAGAGTGTACATTATTATTCCTCTCCCATCCCAAAACGCAGTCTCTCAGCTCGTTAAAACCATGATTTTGTCGTCTTGCAAGCTCAGAAGCATAACGACAAAACCAAAGAAAGACCAGACGTGCCCACCTGCCAAAAAAAAAAAGAATCCTTTCAGCTCTTTTTGTATCCATTTACAAAATACATGCCTTTGTTTTTTTCTCTTTTTTCTTCTTCTTTCTTTTTAAGATTCAGTCAAGAACCTTACTCGACCTTGCTCTCAAAGTTCTCGCCCTCAACCAGGTCGGGAATATCGTCGTCATCCTCGCCCTTCTCACCAGCCTTCTGCATGTTCTGGTAGCTCTCGGCCAGCTTGCGGAGGGAGGCCAGGGAGTCGGGGCCGAGCTGGTTAAGGATGCCGGGGACAAGCTCGGTGAGCTCCTTATCCTCACCGTTACCGTAGATGGCGAAGGTGTTGGACTGGACGGCGGCGTGGACTGTAGTAGGTACTTTACGTTAGTGTGTGGTCTCATGATGTTTTGTTTCGGAGTGTTGTCGCAGCGGGCGCTGGCATATGACATATGGAAATATGATGAAAGTTGGGGCCTACCCTTGGGAGCGGCGAAGTGGATGACGTTGCCGTCGGACTTGAACATGTTGACCTCCTCGATGGCCTGGATGGGCTGAGTGTTGAGCTTCTTCAGCTGAGCCTGGAGCTTCTTGTCATCGGCGTTGGATCGAGCGGGAGCGCGCTTGGCGGGCCTTCGGGGGGTTCCCTTTCCACTGTGAGTCGCAAGCAGGGTTAGTTTCTCAAGTTGAATTGGGTGTCAATCCTTCAAACAGGGCGCTGAATGGTGGAATCCATTGCAAAAGGCGGCACGCATTGCTGAGATTTGGCAACATACCCTGTGCGAGAGAGAAAATATTAGTTGGATGACAAATGACAATTGGCGACATGGCGACAGCGCAGAACAGTCTTTTGCGTGCGGCAAAATAGCAGGAAGAGAGAAAGGACGTACCAGTTCGGCCAGGCTGGCCAAGCTTCTTGAGGCGCTCCTGGATGTCGGCCATGATGTGCGTGTGTGTGCGAAAGGCGAACTAGGGGTGGGAAATGCGGGGAGGGGTTCAAACTCGAGAGCTATGGAAAGGCGAAGTCAGTATCTGCTGCTGTCGGTTTGCAATCGCCTCGATTATGTGTGTTGAATGCGCGAAAAAAAAAATAAAAAAATAGAGAGCTGGCAGTTCTCTTTCGGACCGGGACAAACATACCGAGGATCTCGAGAAATCGGGTTTCGGAGGGAGGAAGAGCTGGATCTTTTTTACTGCGTCGCCGTCGGCTTCGTCGATTATGAGCGATGATTGCGGCAAGAGTAGGTTTTGTGCGTGCCAAGACTTTTTCGCAGAGCGGAATTTCTGTTTAGCCGAGCGCTGCCGAATGGCTTGGCTGCCCTCATCCTGCAAGTCCGCCAGCCCTGGCTGAGGCTGCATGTCAGCGGTACCAAAGGTGCCTAACAACGTACTAAACACTAAACTGCCCGTACTCTAAAAAAAAAAAAATCTATGGAGCTTGAGCATGTGGTAATATAGACGCTCTTGGGTTATTCGTTCATGTATTTATTTCTTCTTTTCCTTATTTGTCTACTTTTTCTGAACATTTGAACAGACGGTGTTACAAAACTGAACTTTGCCTGTTGTTGTTACACACCAGTTCCCACTGCCCCGAGTACCGGAGCAAGTGCATAAGGTACTACGCAGTTTACTCTGATGATGCAAAGTGGGACTGCAAGCTTGTGCGAAAGTCGCAACATGCAGCGCTTTTGAGCGTTGACAAGCATGGCATAGCACAGTTTGGCCCTCCATCCAGTGCCTGTTTCTGGGGGCTGTATCGACTATGCCAAGGCTCGTCTCGTTGCGAACAGTGAACCCCCAGGCGTCCATTGCTGCAGCTTGAATTTCAAATGCGGCCACGATGATTTCGACATAAACACTTCCAAAAACAAGCGTTTCACGATATACCATGGAGAAAAAAAGTGACCGAGTCCCAAGCAATCAGCGTTTGAATAATCAGGTACTCCTCGTTGGCGCTAATCTAGCCCATGATGCCATTGACCCCAAAAAAACACCTCAAACTCTCTCTTCAATACTGAGCTGCCTCCCTCTTTTTGTTTTGCGCTTCCTGTATTAAAATAAATGAAAAATCCCACAGCGCCAGCTCATTTGTGTGCGAACAAAGCCGAGTAGAGAGAAAGAGTTTTTACAACTTGGCCAGAACAGCGTCGGCACCAGAGACATCGACGCCGCGCTCAGTCTCCTTGGCAGCGTAAACCACCTTGCCGTGGTCGATGGCGATGGCATACCGGGCAGTTCGGTCGCCCATGGTCCAGCCAATAGCCTTGCTGAAGGCAAGCTCGGAATCCGAGGCGAAGATCTTTGATTATTTTTCCCAGTATTAGCTAATTTATCCCACCGAAAAAAGAACCCAAGCGGGGTGGAAGAAGGGAGAAGAAACAGCAAGAAGCAAAAGAGGAAAACGCTGTGAATGAGGGGTAAAAGCCAAGGATGGTTGTGCAAGCAAAGAAATAAGAAAGTTAAGACCAGGGGGGAAAAACTCACGATGAAGTCGTCCTTGGTGTAGTTGGCCTTGCCCCAGGCAGACATGACGAAGGGGTCGTTGGAGGCAATCACAACGACCTGCTCAACACCCTTGGCCTTGAGGGCCTCGATGTTCTGGATAAAGCCGGGCAGGTGGTTGGCCTGGCATGTGGGTGTGAAAGCGCCAGGGACGGCGACGAGGACGACCTTCTTGTTCTTGAAGGCTAAAGGTAAAAGAAGAATAGCGAATTAGTATATCATCTCTCTCACACAACAGGTCTATAGAATCAAGTAGAGAGAGAGAGAGTGTTTACTTTCGCTAGCATCGTACTTGGTGGGGATGCCGCAGCTGGTGATCTCCTCGCTCTCGGGAGTCAAGGGAATGTAGCCAAAGGACACATTGCCTGGGAAGTTATCTCCGACCTCAAGGACAGACATGTTGATTTTTATTTTTTGGACTTGATTGAATTTGTAGGTGGTGAAGTGAGGGAGAGAGAAGCTGAATATCGAAGATTGGAAATTAAAGGCGATTAGTACCTAGTAGTTATTGCGGATACTGGTGGAAAGTTGTGGAGGCACGCGGCGGAGGAGTAGGAATGAAAGTGGGAAGGGACAGAGGGGAATAAATAAACCGTCCTTTGGGGGAATAGAAAGACTTACCGCTTCTATTTTTTTTTTTTTTTTTTTTTTCTATTTACCTTATTTTATATAGGTATGGTATTCTAGTGGGGGAAAAAGAAAAGAGAGCTGGCGAATCGGCACAGAGGATCAGAAGAGGGTGTGTATCTGGAAAGAAGGGAATCTGGTCTAGATGCTTCCTAGGTAGGCAATATATATGGCGGCAGGAGTTATCGATTTTCTGGCATGTACATGTATACTTATACCTCCTCCTCCCTTCCCCGTTACAGGAGCTCCCCGGTGAGAGAAGCACGCCAGCCAGTGATGTACTGGCATGCTATCTTTTGGTGGGAAATTTGGGAATTTGGCATGTCATGGCGCGATGCGGAACCACTAGGCGGGGTGGATAAATCCTTGATCTACTACTGCCTGCTACTGCTACTGCTACTGCTGCTGCTGCTGCTACTACCTACCAAGGTAGTGGGTATTACCACGATGAAAGAGAGACAGTGCCCCTTACATACAGCACGGAGTTAATACGTAACATTCGGGGGCTGAATATTGGCACATCCGTTCGCCACGAGAATTAGAGAGGGGGCATGAGGAGCGAGAGCCTTGCGTTCAGGCTACCTACCTGGTGTATTCGATTAACCTTGGTAGTAAAGTAGGTACTTAGTACAGGTATTGGGAAGAGTACCTCGGAAGAGAAAAGGGGGACAAGAGCTGCACTTTTATATGTAGGTATACATGAATGTCTGAAACAAATAAATTGGTAAAAAAAAAGAAAAAAGAAAAAAGAAAAAAGAATAAAGATGTTGATAAACACCCATCGCAAGGTACTGCATACTACTTTCTGGCCCCTCATACCGTAGGCGAAGCTGCAGGCTGCCGCACCAAAGACGAAGCCATCCCCGTGCATGCCACCTTTTTACACCTACCAACGCCCATATCTAACAAAATAAGAACAACGAAAAAGAGAACAAGTATCTACCTGGTATGTGACCTATCTATACTATTCGTATGAAAGCTCGTGCGGCGAGGGAATCTGGACCTGGATATAGCGGGGTGCCTTGCGGGCCTCCGAGTCTCGGCTGGAGGGGCGATGGAGGATGACCTGGCATCTTCTCGTTTTGCCCCTCTAGAAGTGCCCATGCTGGCATCTCACGCACGTATTGCTTGCATACATCTAAGTATATGCCTATCTTAAAGTAAAAAGGTTAATATATTATGTGAAGGATTTCTAGCGATTTTATCAACTAGCCAGAAAATCCAGGAAAAAAAAAAAAAAAAAAAAAAAGAGAGAGAGAGAGAGAGAGAGAGAGAGAGCCCATTTAATAGAGCTACACCAGCGTCCTCAAAGTGTTACCATGGCAAAGGTCAAGGCTGTCTCGATTGCAGGTACATTTTGCGAGGCTGAAGGGAACCCGGGCGGCAATCCCGAGCAAATTCATTAGCCGCCGCCACAGCCCCAGGAAACATTATATATTGTCTCAGCTGCCTTCTTGCGGCCCAAATTTAGCCCGATTCGATAGAGGTTTGGCGGCTGAAGTGCTGAAGCGGGCTGTGAAGTATTTTGTATTTTGCCAAATAATCGATAAATGCCCACTAACTACGGACGTGAGGACTACTGCGGCGTTTGTATATCCAAGAGAATATGCCTCTCACCAACGTTTCTTCTTTCTCTTTGAGCCTCATTTCCCTTCCCATTGTAATGTATAGTGGCTTTATCTCGAGTTGGAAAACGGCTGAAAGATCTCGGTAACGGAGAGAAAATCAATTCCCAGATCTAGTTCATGCTGTGTGACCACTACTCGTACCTAATACACACTTCGCCCAACGCCCAAGTTCCTCTCTCCATCCTGCTGGGTTTACCTGGCATACGCCGCTATACATATCGGTCCTTTGGGTAACCTGGAGCTGAAAAGAAATACGTCCTGTTACGAAGTAAATGCATTGACTATCGGTACCATGGAGCACCCAAGCTTTGGCTTAATCCATTGGCCGAGCAGACACCGAGATACTGACGGGGATCACGTATGCATGTCTCAACGCAATCCCAGATAATAGCTCGGGTAACTTTGCTTCCGAATTTGGCTTCAAGTTTCTGGCAGGGCTTGTCTCAAACGCCCCCATTCTAAGGCGATGATAATTCCTACCGTGAAGTAGGTACTCCGAATTGTGCTACGCAGGTAGTCCGTTGAGACAGAGCGACAGAAGCCTGACGGCGGCTCCACGATGCTGGGGGGTGGATTAAAGTCTTGTGGTCCTAGTTCCATCTACAAAGTGCTAAAACTCCGTAATTGTATGGGGTATTAAGCAACAAGGTAGTCGGATTACAACAGCGGGGTTAGGGTACATGGATGCGTAATGCCTGTACGAGCTGCATTAAAATCTCATCCATTATCGATGATGCCATAGTGTCTTAGATGTCTTGCGGGAGAACAATTGTGGTACTGCAACCACAACCAAATTGTTAGGGCACAAAGAAGAAGAAAAAAAAAAAAAATGCCTGCGAGACCTCTGATACAGGCGCAGTCACTGCTACGTGGCGGCAGAGCGTCAAAGGTACATCTACCAGCGAGATCGGCCATAGCGTCTGCATCTGTACCTATACCGCTTGGAATTGCCTCTCGCCATTGCCGAGGCTATCACATCTCCTCTAGAGTGCTTGCCTCGTCTCCTTCTAATGGGGCAAAGAATACTCCAGATTCGCATTCTAGTACATCTTCCAACTCGGGGGCGTCTCAGAATGCATCGCCGTCACGCTGGTCCAGTGGCAGCGTTTTGGCTGTGGCAGCTGCCGCCGCTATAAGCGGCTGGGGCCTCTCGAGCTTTGTGCCTTTACGGAGCCGAGACACAAGGAGCAAAAGCAAGAACAAAGGCAAAAGCCATCAGGATGACAACGATCTTGGAGATGATAAAAACGTAAAGAACGGAAAAAAAGAGCCCGTTTTGCTGGCAGACAATGATGATGGGGAAGTGGGATTCGCTAATCGCAATGAAATGCAAGAGGTGAGTTGATACCTAGGCCAAGATCAGACTTTCAAACATTCTGACAGCTCATTTGCTCTTGCTAGGCCATCTCAGATATAGTATGGGAACTTGGGAATCAAAAAGACATCATCTCAACAGACCCTGAAGACTTACATGCGCACGGCTACTCCAGTTGGTCGACGGTCAATCCCGATGAGCTACCTGTTGCTGTGGCCTACCCTCGCACTACTGAGCATGTTGCTACCATAGTTCGAGTCTGCCATCGCCACCGCGTACCTGTCATCCCATATTCTGGAGGCACCAGTTTGGAGGGCAACTTCTCGGCACCCTATGGAGGCGTCAGCATCGACTTCGCCTACATGAATAACATCATCCAGATCAACAAGGACGACATGGATGTGATTGTACAGCCTAGCGTAGGATGGCGAGATTTGAACGATGAGCTTGCCAAGCTAGGGACAGGGCTATTTTTCCCGGTTGATCCTGGTTTGTTTGAACAACTCCATCTATCTCGACTCTGTGTTAGATTTAAGCCACTGACTTTTACTCTTGTTGATTTGTAGGCCCGACTGCTAGGATTGGGGGTATGATTGGCACCAACTGCTCCGGAACCAATGCTGTACGATATGGTACCATGAAGGACTGGGTGATCAATTTGACCGTTGTCTTGTCGGATGGACAAATCATCAAGACGCGCAGGCGACCTCGCAAGTCATCTGCAGGATACAATCTCAACAGCCTCTTTGTTGGCTCTGAGGGCACTCTCGGTATCGTTACAGAAGGCGAGTGACGAGTAAACAAGTCCTTTTCTGTGAACTCAAATTAACATGTTTCAATCCTCATAGCAACGCTAAAACTCGCCGTCCTTCCGGAAGAGACGTCGGTAGCGGTTGTGACGTTCCCCAGCATCCGCCACGCGGCCTCGGCAGCTGCAAGCATCATGCAAGCCGCCATTCCCATGCAGTGTCTCGAGATCATGGACGAGGTGCAAATGCGAGTCGTCAACTTGAGCAAATTTACCGCACCTAGGGTCTGGATTGAAAAACCGACGCTATTCTTGAAATTCGCAGGCACCAAGGGCGGCGTCCAAGAGCAAATCCAGCTGGTGGAGAAGATTACGGCAACCCACAAGGGCGGCAACTTTGAATTTGCAAAAGACGAACAGGAGCAAAAGCTGCTCTGGTCCGCAAGAAAAGAGTCACTGTGGTCGATGCTGTCGCTGAGAAAGGAAGGTGAAGATGTTTGTGAGTTGACTTCTCATTGTTCTCTCTCTATTCCCTCAGTGCCGAAAATTATCAATTGCCTACCTACCTATCTTTCAGAAATCTCACCACCAAGCTAACGTCACATTTCTCTTATAGGGAGTACTGACGTAGCCGTGCCGCTTAGTCGACTTGCAGACATCATCGAAGTCAGCAAGAAGGAGATGGACGAGCTGGGCTTATTTGCTAGCATCCTCGGCCACATTGGCGACGGAAACTTCCATGAGAGTATCATGTACAACAAGGAGAATGAGAGCGAGCGAGCCAAGGTGGAGGCTTGCGTCAAGAATATGGTTCGTCTCGCAATCGAGATGGACGGCACCTGTACGGGAGAACATGGCGTTGGATGGGGGAAGAAAGAGAGCTTGCTGTGGGAAGTTGGCTCCGAGACCGTAGGTGTCATGGCCGCCATCAAGAAGTCGCTCGACCCACGCTGGATTCTGAACCCAGGCAAGATAATGGATGTGCCATGGGAGAGGCAAGACGATCACCCTGCTGCCTAGGTAGGCTTAAGCGAGCGTATCTCTCTTTTGTCGTCAATCATTGTTATTACAAGGAGGTGAAGGAGGGATGGAGAGCCTGTTGTATCGAGTCGAGTCGCTTAGAAGGTGGGCAGGAGAATGAGGAAGAGGAAGAGGACGAAGGAGGAAGGGGTCTGACCGCCATCTCGCAAGAGGTTGACGAATGGCCAACTGGTTAAGGATAAGACATATAGAGGATGCACTGGATGGAATCGTCTAGAGTACGTCATATTGCTCCATTAGGAAATACGCAGCCATCTATAGTGCCTTCCTTGATCTTTGAAGCTGGTAGTCTGCCTTTTTGGTGGGTGCCATGGATAGTAGGCTACCTATACAACCAGACGTGACACCTGCCAGAACACAACTCTCCTGGCCGCTGCTTCACCAGTTTTCCCTCTGCTTGGCTAAAGCTCCTGCACTCCTCTATCTCCCAAACTCTTTTCCCCTCCTGCTTCCTGCCTCACCACTAATCCAACCTCTCCCTCTCATCTCCCTCCCCTCCCCCTAGTACCAACCTTACCCTTCGCAGACCCGCATCTCTCTCATTTGCTGGATGAGATCCGTATGAGACGGATTATTCCAAACAGAAATTCTCTCAAAATCGAGGTGAGTCTTCTATGCAGCTACGCAGCCTGTAGCTAGAAGCCTCTCTCCAGGCTACATGGTGATGCAGCCTCCCATGATGCAGCTGGCCTCTCCGCCTTTGTGTTTCCTCTCACCCAAACCGTCCTCGCACTGCCATCTTTTCCCCACCACGCAGCTGCAAGAAGCCTTTCATCTGCTCGCCTTGCAATAAAATTCCCTTTCTTTGTTCATCCCTGTCTCTTCCCGCGTGCCCAACTCTCTTCCTTTGTTTCATTCTCTCGACTCTTTGTTCGTCCCGCAAAGACATCCAAGTGGCTTGCGCTTGTATTAGAAAAAGAGATCTTGTAGCTGCAATCTGCGTGATATGGTTACAGCTGAACCCAGTCTCATTTTCTTTCACATTCTCTAACTACACCTTCCAGAAAATCCTTGGGCGAACACGGCCGCCACCATGGCATTGGCAGACGGTAGTCCACGGCGAGCAGCCAAATCGTCTTCCTTGAACTGGCAGAGACACATCAGTGTATCAGTTAAAGTAGAAGGACTGCCGCTCGATGTAACCTCCGAAAATTTACTCCAGTGGTTTTCCAAACATGGTACTATTACCTTCTGCAACATTACCTCCGGTGCCGCCGACGAGACTCAAACTTTAGCATCCGCTATCGTTCACTTCGAGCCTGTGCCGAGTTACGCGTTCTGGGAAGCTGGTTCAATCGTTATACAGCATCCTGATACTGCCAAGTACCCCGAGGGACTTCGACTTCAGCTATCTGCTGAATCTCGCCCAGAGAGGTGGTTCAAAAGTCGTATTCATCCTGACGTCCGATATCCTGCAAGAATCACTGCCACTCTTAGTTCGTTGGGGTTTGGCTCCATGGTTGGCCCAACGGCCATCAACATCCGAAAATTGGTTACCTCATCCAGCAGTGCAGACGACTTCAGTCTTGAACTGGACGTGTTGGCAAAGCGCCTGATTATTCGCTTTCCACTTGTCATCAAACAAGATGATGGCCATTATCAGACCAAACAGCTCAAACTTCTCGCTGAGCTGTCTCAATTACAGACTGTCTTCTATGTCCCGGAAAAGGGACACGAGGCATTCATTCTACCTTTTCCCTTTCCTCCTCAGTATTTCTGGAAGCACGATGAAGCAGAGCGGGCTGCCCTGACCTCGCGCCGCACTGGCTGGCGTTCTCAAGATGCCTGGAAGAGAGCCACAGACATTATGGAGGATAATACAAACTCGCTGGCTTTCCCCGTTTCTGCCAATCCCGTTTCATTCCGACCAACTTATCTAGATGTCGGTCGTTGGACGACTTTCCGTGCTGTTGTGAATGCCATGGATGGATCCGGCAAGCTGGCAATCCAGCACTTGAGATTGGCGCTGGAAGATTTAAATATTACGCTGCAGGTCTGTGATCAATTCCACGTTGGTAATTCCACAACGACAATGTGGGACTATCTTGATCAGCACCGGTTTGAAGGAGAGCAAGATGCCCTGGCCATCTTACAGCCATCGATTGCCCCATTTGTCCATCTGGACTTTGGAGTTCGGTATCAGCTGGAAGTATGCATTACCCGCCGTGTACTCAACGAGCATACAGTATCCTTAGAATTCTTGAAGAAGCTAGCTGCGCTTAATCCGCTCGATGCGAAGCAGCGGCTGGAATTTCTCGTGGATCAAGAGGGAGTTGTGCATGATCCTATGGATATATTTGCAAAGCGGACCATGACATCGTATAGACCGATGACAAGGATCCCACATTACTGTGTGTTGGCGCGGAAAGCCACTGTGACTCCTACTTCTATTCTACTGAGCTCGCCAACTGCTGAGACTTCGAATAGGGTTCTCCGCCATTTTAACCAAGCTCAGGACCGTTTCTTGAGAGTGCAGTTTGTGGATGAAACGGAGAGTGGTCGTATGACCATGAACTCCCACAACAAGGAAGAGATATGGAAGAAGTTGCTTAGAACCCTATACGAAGGCATCCAAATTGGCGATCGGCGATACGAGTTTTTGGCTTTTGGAAGCTCGCAGCTCAGACAGTCTGGAGCCTATTTCTTCTGCCCAACTGACCATATTTCATGTGAAGATATCCGTCGGTGGATGGGCCAAGTCAGTCATATCAGAATCGTAGCCAAGTATGCGGCTCGGCTAGGCCAATGTTTCTCTACAACAAGAGAGATGAAGGGTGTCCCCATCCCGGATGTACGACCCATTCCAGATATCGAGCGACATGGTTATTGTTTTACTGATGGAGTTGGCATGATATCTGGATTCATGGCTCGGATGATTGTTGAAGAGCTCGCATTGGAAATATACAATGACCCATCTGCATTCCAATTTCGCATGGGTGGTTGCAAAGGTATATTGGTAGTCTGGCCTCAGGCTAAAAAAAGCGAGGTTTATATCCGAGAATCTCAGGAGAAGTTCAAAGCTGACGCCAAAAACCTGGAGATTATCAAGTGCGCCAAATATACCTCTGCCACACTAAATCGACAAACAATTACTATTCTGGAGTATCTTGGCGTGCCTAAGAAGGCCTTTATGGATATCTTGGAGAAGCAGATTTCCCTCTACGAAGAAGCTGCCAAGGACAACAACGTGGCAATTGACGTCTTGAAGAAGTGCGTGGACGAGAACCAGTCTACTTTGGTCTTAGCTGAGCTCTTGCAGGGCGGCTTCAAGACTGACAAGTGCCAAGAGCCGTTTGTGGTTAACTTACTAAATCTTTGGAGGTCTTGGTCTTTGAAGTTACTCAAAGAAAAGGCTAGAATCGCTATTGAAAAGAGTGCCTTTGTTCTGGGTTGTGTAGATGAGACAGGTACATTGAGAGGCCACTCAAATGCGACCGAAGGCACCTCCGACAAAGATATCAATAAACTGCCCCAAATCTTCTTACAAGTGTCTGACTCTAAAGTATACAATACGGCCACAGTGGTTCAGGGCATCTGCGTTGTTGGGCGAAATCCGTCATTGCACCCAGGTGACATTCGTGTAGTTGAGGCAGTCGATATTCCCGAGCTACACCACCTTAAAGACGTCGTTGTCTTTCCTTCGACCGGAGATCGTCCGGTCCCCAACATGCTATCCGGCGGAGACCTCGATGGCGATGATTTTTTCGTCATTTGGGAGCCCAGCCTGATCCCCCAGAAGTGGAACCACCCGGCCATGAACTATTCTAGCCCATCGCCGGAGAAACTTGATCGAGATGTCAATGTTGACGATTTACGAGACTTCTTCGTGAATTACATGAAGAATGACGTGCTTCCGCTTATCGCAACGGCTCACTTGGCATTAGCCGACTCTGCTGGACCTGGATCACCCATATGTAAGTAGAGCAAATGTGTATTGAATTCTATTAACTTATCAAATGCTAACGAGTCCTATAACCCGCAGGCTTACAACTTGCTGAGCTTCACTCGCAAGCTGTCGACTATCCGAAGACTGGTGAGCCTGCGGAATGGAATCACGCTGCGCATAACCCGCAGAGTTGGCCACATTTCATGGAGAAGCGGCAATCTTACATTTCGAAAATGGCCCTCGGAGCAATATATGATAGGGTGATCAAGCAGTCTATCCGATTCCGGCCTGACTGGGACTTCGATTTTGATGAGCGGATCCTCAACCGATTTCAGCTTGATACTGCGATTCTCAAAAGCGCTAGACAGATCAAAGGCCAGTATGACGCTGCGGTGCGTCGTACCCTGTCGCATCATAATCTAGATACCGAGTTTGAGTTGTACACGTCCTGGGCTATGTCAAAACCAACAGTTGGAAGTGACTACAAGCGACAAGAAGAACTCGGTAGGGAATTCGACGCCATCAAAGAGAGATTTCGTGATTTGTGCTTTGAAGCCGCCGGCGGCCGCGATGAGAACAAAATTGACAAATTCGTGGCAGCCATGTATAAGATCACGGAACAGGAAATCAAAATTGCACGTTTTGAGCATCACCGTGGATCAACGAATGAGGCTAGCAATCTTATTCCAGCCCGAAAACTCGAAGCAAAGTCAATGCCTCTCATTAGTTTCCCTTGGATCTTTCCTTGGGTCATGATCCGTGTCGCATTAAATGGAAAGTGTAATCCCAAACGCTCTATACTCGCCGCGGCTCATCGATTTATGCCTGTTCCTGAGCTTCCCATCATTCGTCGCGCTTCCGCAGGCGTACCCGAATCCAACGCATCTCAAGCTCGACTACCCAAGAGCGCGGTCAATGGTGATGAAGAGAAGACATTCGTTGCTCCGGAAGAAGAGAAAAAGGAAGAAAAACTGCCACAGGGCATGGAGGCGATATCTCAATTTGAAGACTTTGACAACTAATTTCTGGTTCATGGTTTCCCTTGCTTAGTGTGTTGATTGAAGCTTGCTGTGGCTTTCCTCGAATGCCTTTGCTAACTTTAATTCGTTAATTGATTCGGAGAGATTTTCCCTCGTTCTTTTCTCATTTTCTTAAAGATGTTGTTCCCGCTCATACTCTGCCATTGGCACTGTTTGAACTTGATTTTGTTATTCAACAGCTGACACCTAGCGATCCCAGTGAATTCGTTTCCAGATTTGGATATCCAGTGATATCATTAACACGCATTGTATGCATGATAACCACACTCCCTCGCCCCGAGGGACGTATCCCAACAGCTTTTTATGCCTGTGGACCAAAGCATTTTTCCTCCTCCATTCATCGCCGAACACACAGATCGGTTCTTAACACCCACTTTTCTCCTTCTTGGACTTCTCTCCCTTCGTGCTACAATAATTATGTCTTATGCTTAGTATTATTGACCGACAGGCAAGCAGATAGGTAAGCTGACTTACCAGCAGACAATCGTCGCCATGCTTATGCAGAAGCAGCATCCCCGTTTCAAGCGACACAGCAATTTCTTCAGCTGCCGATTTGCGATCATGAGGATAAAACACTGTCTCGCCACCAATGCATCCCTCTGCAGCAGAAGTCAGATACAAAAGGAGCGTCCAGGTGGTCTTGACAGATACGGAGTCAAGCATTAGATTATTGGAGTCGTCATCTAGTGGCGGAGCAAATGGCCAGGGTCAGTCAATTAATGTTTCCCAAAGGAATACAATTGGGCATGGCAAAAAACTTCGTACAATGGCAGTCAAAATATTGGCCTTTGGAGTAGCGGTATACGCGGATATTGGGGTTGAGACCGACCGGTTCGCCACCCCTATAAAAATGTTGAGATGGGTCAGTTTATCAGTGCGCCGCCTCCTCTTGGAGATGCATATATTGACTTACCAAAGGCTTTTGATAGATTCATCCTCCAGAATCAACTCTTTTAGCCCCGTGGTGTCCCACAATCTGCGGGCAAAGCCTGGATCATTGATTTGGAATCTATCATTCACACGGACTGCCTCCCCCTTCTTTGGCTTTGAAGGAGTTGTCTGCATTGGTAACGTCCTTAGATATGCCACATAGTCGCGACACAGAGAACGAGGGAAGAAAGACGAGACAAGAATAATGTTAGATGTTGCAGGGTGAAGCTCTGGGTATAGCTGAACAACTGGCAAGGGAGGCTTGAACACAGGCCATGACGGTGCCGCTTGAGGTACAGCTTGGGGAGCTGAGGCCGATGGCTTTGAAGATTTACCCTTTGGCATTTGGGGCAGATGGCTTTCAGCGTTACTGGTGAAGCTATACTGAGGGCATATGAGACGGTTAAGTAATGTCAGCCGATTAGTGTGAATGGGCGGACCAGCCAGCCAAACATGAAATATGGGACGCGGCAACTGCTTTCTCGGATCAATGGATGAGTTTCGATCTATATCTGGGAAGAACCGAACGGGATTACAGGCGCACTGCAATTGTACTTGTTTCGTTTTGAACTTGTGCACTGCCATTTGAGTCGAGCATTCAATTCGGGTTGTCGCACTGTCTGCGGGCGGGTATTCGATTAACGCATATATTGGTAAAAGTGGTAAGCATGCACTAAAATGCGGCTATTGCTTTTATCAAAATTGACTTCGAACGTACACTATTCTCATTCTCATGCAGCAAAACTACCATCATCGACAATAACTAGGCTTTTGCGGATGAAAAGAAACTGAGCACACTCGTAAAAACTACGAGAGGGGATAAAACACAAACTCAAATCTTTATTATGTCCTGCTAAGCCGGAATATCCATCATGTTTCGGGCACAACCACAAGCCATGTCTCAAGAGGGTTCAGCATCGTCACCCCCTCAATCAATTCGCCGCCAGCCAGACATCAATGCATACTCAGCCTCCTGGTCACGCCCTCTGAAGCAATTCGGCCTCTTCTTCCTAGGCGCTGCTTTTACCGCGGCGTCTGTTGGGGTGTCTCGCCGGTCTGTGGTGCGTCGCCAGCGCGATTCTTTCCCCAAGTTCTACACATCCAACCGCCCTGGTCCCGAGGATGGCAACAGCTCTGAAGGCGCTCTACTGGGAGTCCACGCTCTTGGGCTGGCAACACTCAATGTTGCAAGCTTTGCAGTGCTTCTAACTGGAGGGCTATCGTGGGCCTTTGATTTGAGCTCTGTTGATGAGTTGAGGACGAGGACAAAGGCTACCCTGCAGAGACCTGGGGGTGAAGTCAGTCCGGAAGACGAGAAAGAATTTGAACAGATGATTGACAATATGATGGCGAAGCTGGGAATGGACAAAGTATCAAGCAAAGACGGAGATGACGGAAATCAGAAAGACCCGGGAGAGAAGTGACGACTTGGCTTGGAAAAATTTATTACTCACTTTTCTTTTTCTCGCAAAGATCTTGCTATTCTAGAGCAGAAGGCATGACCAAAAAGGCGACAATCTGATGTGCCAAGATGACGAGAATCCAGATACCGAAGCTGCGGCGTTCGATATCTATGATCATGTACAATTACTGCATTACATGGCTTTGATGATGATTTGCACTGACTGAGGAGTGCCTGAGCGTTATTTGTACAATATTGGGACAATCATGGGAAACTACACATGAACAGATATCTACTATTACAACTCTTCTTGAACCTGAGTGGGTGCGATAGCGGAGCACGAACAGCAGCAGCTCTCTCTTCTCTCCACAATGCGAATACGAAACGAATACGCGCGGCTTTTCTTTCCAGTTACGGCACGGCACGATATTGAAGCTGAAGTGTGAAATTTTTTCTTTAATTTGGATTACCAGTTGCGACTATGGCGCATTCTATCAAATATACCCTGTGAAACTCCATATTATACAGGCTGTGAACTTATCTAACTGTCTCAGCAAAATGCATGTTCTTCGTGGCACTCGGCCGCAGCAGCTTGAAAGAAGAAATGAGCAAATAAATAAAAAAAGAAGAAGAAGAAGAAGAAGAAGAAGAAAGAAGAAGAAGAAAAGAAGAAGAAAGAGGAAGAAAGTATAACAAATCCTGCTGGAGAGTACAATGCCCCAAAGTCTATATCATGCGCGCCTGCGGCGAAAATTCGAGCTCCTGAAAATGTGTGACAGACTAAAGCTCTTCAAAACTGAATGCCCTTCTTTTTCATCCTTCCATATTTTGTCTCTGCCGTTGAAAAATTTATTTGTGTGTTTTCATTTTGCTTTCACCTCTGATTCTGTCTTCAGAGCCTTTCGCCATTCTTGGATGTCGTCGAGGCCTTCGAGGCTTCCCCTACGGCCCCAGTTTGCGGGTTGCCTCTTGAGGAAAGCCCCCACGGCGCCTAGGTATCCTTCATGGCGTAAAAAATATGCCTGCTTTTCGCCTTTGCTCCAGAATTTGATGGCGTAGCTGAGCGTGTTCATGGTCTGGCGATGTCCTCTGATAAAGGAGCCGCCAAAGTAAATGTCAGAGAGGTTGTGGATTTGGGACTGCAGATAGGCGATTTGACCAATGTTGTTTGAAACAGCGTATAGCAGCGATCTTGATATGTCAGCTGAGGAAAACGGAGAGCTGTTTTCACCTTGCCCATCATGGCTCTCTCCATCGTGCAGTGGGCCGTCCGCAGCTTTTGCTTCTGCAGCCTCGGCTTGCAGCTTCATGCGGAACACTTTACCAAAGGAAGACGCAATGGCTGTGCTCTTAAGGCCGATTTTGCCATAGTCGGCGCCATAGATATCACCAATCATCATATCAACTTTAGTGTTATCGCCATGTTCAGCCTCGGCGAGCATGTCGTCGAACGACCGAGCCCCTGTCAAGAGAGAGAGGAGGCCCCAGAGGGTTCCACCACCGAGAGAAGTACCGCCGACACGCTGGAACGACCGAGGCCCAGTGACTTTGAGCATCGAGACGCCGGAGCCGATGTTGACAAGAAGATACGGGTAGATGATCTCGCGGGGGCTGACGAAATGCATGGGGTCTGTTTCGGAGTAGGTGAAGACTTCGCGGGGGATTTCGGTAATGAAGAAGTCGAGGCCTGGTTTGTCACAAACAGGTTAGCATCCAATTGCCTTTCCCTTTCCTTCTGGTCCTCTCTCTCTTACCAGCTATTAAGCATTCCATCTCGTCTTCGCGCAATACCTCAACCTCCAATGCGTCTCGAATTGTGTCATAGAATTTGTATGCGCCGCCGCCAGTAGCCATGACGCATAGCTGTTGCGACCGCGACCCGTTCAGCGCCTTGTGCTTGTCACGTAATAGCTTCATAAACTCAATGCAGTCGTCAATGCGATCGGTCTCGAAGTATTGGAAGTTGAGGCGACCACCGGGATCTGTTGAGTCGACCTCGCGAGAAAAGTAGACAAGTTTGACGAGAGATCCGCCAATCTACCAAACGGAACGGGAAAAAAAAAGTTAGACGGCGCAAAGACAAGCATTGAGAGCAAGCAACAGGAAGAGAGAGGACATCAAATAAATCAAAAAGACGGGGGGAGGTGCTGGATGATGCAAAGACTGCGACCTACATCTACTGCGATATGGCTGACGATGGCTGTGTGGTTTGGCAGGCGAATATCACTCGTCTCGTGATGCGATGGACTGACTCTGCCGTTATCGCTGCCGTTCTGCGCGGGCGTTGCCACATCCGGATCGACGATGAAGGCGCCCTGGACATTGATCTTGACGCTGCCGGGGCGTGTGATGGTGTTGTCAATCTCTTCCGTCGAGGTCATGGTGCGCGACCTCTTGGCTGCGCGCTTGTGCTGCTCGTCGGCGACATCGTCTCGGTGATCTTGATTGCGCTGTCGCTGCAGCTGGTGATGGTGGTTTGGCGGGGCTGCCGCGACGGGCTCGTCGGTCGCTACGAAGGGCGTCATGGTCGCCTCTTCTCTGGTCTTTTTTTTTCGGCTTCTTCTCCGGGCGTCTTGGAAGTGCGCTCAGACAAAGAAGTTGAAGATGCAACTCAGAAGATGATTGCAAAAGCGACGGACTCGTTCATTTAGGGGAATCCCGCAAACTCAAAGTACTGAATCTACGCCGCACAAACTGGTACGCCGCAACCAGTTGAGGTCGCGCCGGTTTAGTGGTACCAACGTTACCTGTGGTCCCTCAACAAAGGCCGCCGGTTCCTTGTACCACCTACCTGGGGGCGCACCACGGCCACTGCTCACAGGCAGGTACTGCTACTGCAATCACACGGGGTAGCACCGAGCAAGTATTCGTACTCGGCCTGTCGCATTGATCCAAACTGCCAAAAGCGCGGAGAAGCCCCTGTTTTTTGCGCTGCATTTCCAGCACCTTCTCAGCGCTAACTCTCGCTAAAGACGATGTCGATTACCTGGGGTAGTGGCCCCAGGGCCCGTAGCTTATCGATACTACCGGTCTGGGAAACAAGTGGCTGCAGATTTCCGATTTCTAATAGCCGTCGACTCCACTGCTGACCGAGGCAGCCCTCGGGCCGGGTTGTCCGTTATTTTGCCCTTCTTGTTCTCCCTTTGCCCCGGCTATTTTTGGTTGTTTGTTTTGTTTTTGTTTGCCATTGTCAAGCGAGACGGGTGATTGAAGGCGAGGCAGCTGACCTGGTTGGTATGACTTTATGACTTTTACGATGCGCACCTGAACAAGCCGGTCTTGACGCAGATGACGTCGTTGCATCTCTCCTCGCCCATGCAGGCGATTGCGTTACGCACGCAGAGGTCATGCACGCACCATACGTACGCAGAAAGAGCAGTATAATAGGTACTACGGAGCACTTGACGCACAAGAAGAGATGGGAAGAGAGACATGGCTGGTATTACGCGCATACGCATCATCCTGTCTCGTCGCACGTCTTTCGCCTCTACCTTTACGGAACACCAAACAAAGTACTGTAAGAGAGAGAAAGAGGGACCGGAAAACATATCACTATATGTTTCAGCTATCAATTGTGTCAACTACATATCGCATCGACGTCACCGGGCGAACGGCGCGCTTCCCCCGAATCTGGCCAGAATCTCCGACTGAAACCGGGAAAGCGGAGCCCCGGCATGGGACCCTCCCGAATATGTCTGATGTCTCCCTTGTCACCCAAAGGTTCCCCTCACGGGGTTCTAGATTCGGAGAGCTGAGGGGCTCTGCTCTTTATTTCTGGTAGCTGGGACCATAGCACTTGGCCCCGCGTTTTGCTTTAAGGCTGTTGCTTATACCTATCTTATACGGAGTATCCATCCATACAATCGCTGCGAGTGGCCTGCTGCAGCTCCAACACGCTGGCCGCATAGATTAATCTCATCAGCTGGTGTGCTCTAGCACCACCTTTTGGGCCTTTACAACTGTAACTTGATCAGCACCATAAACGAATTCTTCTACTAAGAATATTTGACGTTTAATGAAAAGCATCGGATATCTCAGTAGCCATCTGGGATGGTTTTGAGTGGTTTGCTACCATGGGAGCCATGCCGTACCGTCGGAAGTTGTGCCATGACGTCTTCAAATACCTACTAAACACGTCGATAACCCTGGCCACGTTAATGGATCATGAAGACGTAACCCTGTCTGATAATTGCTTGGGTACTGATGCCAGGCTATCTTCTGGGCTATCGCCCATAGCTCAACACCACGGGGAGATTGCACCTAAGAGTGTACTGAGTCTCTTATTCGCCTACTATTGCGATGGCAGATGCGGCTGATCAGCTGATCGTGACAGGGTTGGATCAACTGGACATCTCCCAAAAGCCACCACGGCTGATAGATAGGCTGCCTGCCATAACTGACAAGATGCGGAGAAAGGTGATGAGAGGTGAGCTCCTAACAGCGGTAACATGAGGCCAGCCCACATATCCTTGCTGCCTCACATCCGTCGTGTCCCGGCAGTCGGGCGTTCAGCTAGCGCCCGAGGGATGAAGCGTAAGCTTCTTAATCAACATGAGTGTATACCGGCGCCTCGTCCCGGAGTTTTAAGTGGATATGCCGGCGGCCGACGAAGAGTGGTGGATACCTTGACTCGGATCGAGGACGGGGAGGCCGTCGGGGAGCTTTACCCAGCTCAGTGATCTCTTCGATGTTCTCATCCGCTGGTAAACGCCGCTAGATATACGAGATGCCACAAAAAACCAATGTATGCAGCTCCCCAGGTAATGTCAAACTCTCCAGAGTATCTTGCCAGTCAACATGCGGGTTCCAATCTGCAGCTGCCTATGCATCTATGCATGCAGATATGATGCTGCAGTCCTGTGCTTGGTGGGCTCAACCAACCAGCCCACTCTCCTGCAAGCCTCCTGCAAGCCACTAGTTAGGGCGTTTTGCGCCTCCCAATCGGCTTCGTCCGCTTAGCAGCGCCGGCTCATCAAGCGTGTGAGATGGCGGGTGAGCAAAACATTGGCCGTCCAAGTTTTAGCATCTTGGTGGCGCGGCACAAGAGAGCTACGCGCTTCATCTCTGGTGTTGCGAGTTATTAGCACGAAGTTGATTTAAGACCGGCTTCTAGACCACGCAATCGGGAAGCGAAGGGGACTCGTGACGCGAATTGGGCGAGAACCGTTGTCGTTGAAACCGCCACACGGCAAGAGAATGGGCGCGTGCGTCTTTGTTGTGTATACCCTCTGTCACTCTTTCCAAGAATCAAAAGAAGGAAAAGAAGGAAAAACAAAGAAGAAAAAAATGAGGCTGAAATGAGTACATCGGGTCAAAAGTAAATATGATGGCGTTCAAAAACTCTATCGTTTCTGTTCCTGGTCCATCTCGCCAAACCTTAGTTTGACGCAAGCTTTGTCATGGCTATGATCGGTTCAAAAAGCAACAAAATCTTAAACAAGATGCTTTGGCGAGATTACGCTGGCGAGCTAGGCCAACTCAAACATTTTCTTGTTCCTCTCTTCTGGTCAAGCCATCAATACTTGATCGTGTCTTGAACCGCCATGGCATACGGAGTACCTCACGCTACAGCCTTCATGGCGTGTGCGAAGTACCCAAGTACCTACTACTCCTCAACCGGGGCGAGCTCCTTCCTCGCACCAATCTCTCTCCTCTTCTCTCCTCTCCTCTCCTCTCCTTCCTTCGCTTACCACAAGGTGCATATACAAGGTTCGTTAAATTTTTCAGGCTCCACTTCGACAGATGCCAATTTCTTCTCCGTCCTCTCTCGTCGTTATCCTTCAATCCAATCATGGTCCCTCTTCGCTCTTCAGCGTTGCTCATAACACACCATTCTCGATCGCTATCGCTCAGCGAGCTCGACACTAAGAATGCAGCCCCTCACTCCACTGCAAGCTAAACCGCCAACCCCGCCAATAGCTCTCCCAGACAACTGCCGTCCCCTGTCAACTACTGCTTCGTCTTCCAGGTCCTCCCATGCAGCCTGGCTCTCTTGCAGCTAAGAAACTGCTGGTCTCGAAGAGAGGCACAGTCAACGCTCCAATGAGCGAGCATAGCGACCCCAATGGCTTGGGGTTCAAAGAGAGCAGCGCCACAAAACAACACGCTATGAACAATCGTTCCTCTATCCCAGTCATCCAACGGCAGGCAGACTAAACGCCAATTGACTGTGGGAAGGCTGCTTCATATATCTGCCTTTTTCTTCCCGTGATCCACCTTGCAAGTCTATTGACCAGGGCGACCCGGGCGAGCCGTTGCCCCTCTCCAGCAACAAGTGCTGGTATGGCACCAAGTTTCATCCCCTCTTTGTGTGAAGATTCAGGTAAGAAATGCGCCTTGCATACCGAGCTAGCACGTACTAACCTATCTCAAAGGCATATGTAGGGCTGTGACAATAATGATGCAAAAATGGCGTTGGCCACACGGTAGTGTCGGTATATTAACCACGTCCAACGTCTCCAGTATCGACCATTGCCAAGAGGAGCCCCTTATATATGCCTTCTTTGATGCCTTTCCAGGCGGCACACCTCTCTTGCAATTCCAGCTCAATCCCCCGTCAACCTCTATCCACTCAAGCATCTGCATTTACATTTACCTATCATGGATCGCATAAGGGAGATCGTCTTCACTCAAGTGGATAAAAGGCCCAAGGCCAAGAAAACGACACTTGTATCAAGATGTCTCTGTTCAAGTATTGCTGCTTTTTGGGCACATGTCAGTCTTCTCAATTTACCCCTTGATACTCCCTCTCGGTTTTCTTTTTTCTGCCATCCATGTCTGTCTATTTGCTAACAATCTCTGCTACAGGCTCAAATGCTCGCCCAGACAGACAAGTCGTGGATCTATGTAGCCAACATGCCACCGTTCCGCGTTACAAAACTATCAAGGAACACCAAAGGGCTATTTAGAGAATACAAAATACACAAAAAGGTTGACACGATATTCAAGGCAATGTCCAAGGAGTTAATTATATGCGGCCTCGACATTGATCTTCCGTTTGTCCCTGAATGCTCCAATTTCTATCCCAACATCTCGTCGTCGCCGTGCTCTGAAACCCTCAAGCATCTGAATGGTTTTCCAACAGACGCAAGCGGATATTTCATGGAGTATATCCGTCCCTTGAATGAACATCATACCAAATATCTCATCAAACGCTACTTGACCCGTAGCGCCCAGTGCCAAGCTCTCAGCACCGGTCAATCCAAGCACTTTCTCGCAAAGGTCTACCTGGGAGACACTAAGCCGCTGTCTGATCCCTGGAATACTAATATGCACGACCGCCCAGCATATCTAGATCATTTACTCGCAGAGCGCGTCGAAGTTTCCTATCTCGCTGCCTCCATGGGTGCAACTCTCGCAATACTTCATTGGAGCTGCGGTGTTGATGCTCGAGGCGTCGAGTTTGTCCTGGGGAGAGATGCTCGGGGCCACGTGCAGTTTTGGCTGATCGATTTTGCTGACTGCGCGGCATTTCCAAAAACCCCTGAAGCTGTCACCACGCAGCTTGTAGATGCAGTGATGGATAACGAGCCATTCTGGCCTCGTTTCATAAACATCCAAGCCTTAAGGGAACTGTGGGCGCATTTCAGAGACGCGTACCTTGCAATTAGCGATTTTATCATGACTGATGCCATGATTGCTTATGATAATGATGCTGTGAGAGCACTACCATGCTTATTCATGATGGAGTTGGAAAAGATAAGAGGTTCTGGCCAGCTTTTGGCATAAAAAAAAAAAAAGGGGGGGGGGGGGGTCGGGCATACAGCGTTGTGCGTTACTCAACAACTTACGACAAGACAGCAAAGTGTATAATAACGGAAACCAGGCAAGTATCACGATAATAATACAATATTTACGGAGTACAGTAGTTGCGATTTCACGGAAACAGCAAGGGACAGCATGGAACAGCAAGGGCCAACAAAGGGCAACAGGCAACGGCGTTCAATGAGCGCAACCAAAGTTTTAATTGAAAATGAAACAAACCAGTCTATTGTTTGTGTTTTTAATATCAGATTAAGCAAATTCTCTAAAACAAGTGTCCACCGGGAACGGCGAGAAAAATCGCCATGAGAATAAGACCAATCACAAAGCCTGCAAACAGGGCTTGGTAGAAGATAGTATCTTGGATCTGCCTCAAAGCAGGTTCCTGAATCCATATCTCGCGGTCAAAGATTTTGCGAATAATGTTTCTCTTCTGATACTTGACTACCCATGGCTCATCTTCGTAACTGTTGTCAGAGCCGAAGGACTCCATGCTACGCGTCTTCATTTCCTCGGTATTCTCTTGGGCAAATAACTCCCAGGGGCGGATATGGCGGTGATGCAGGCCATGCAAAACGACGCACATGCCCTTGTATGCGGCAACTAGCGTGCTTATTCCCAAGACCCAGGCAATGAGCGGGAGGACTCTGTAGCATCGGCCAGCATCGCTAAGCGTTAAGAGTGTAGCAGCGACGAAGCCTACGAGGATGAGACCGACACCAAGGGAGCGAGCAAACCAGACACGAGGAAGATTGCCATTGCAAATGGACCAGCGAACGAAGTTGGGATGTGATTGCACTCGAAGTGCCGAATCGACGCTCTTGAATAGAAGTCGGAAAGCAGACGGATGAGTGGTATAGGTCAACGCCTGAATGGCCACCTTCTGCTCCCAATCAGACAGGTTAAGCTGTCGTGAGCCGCCATCCATGATGTAGCTGGTGATTATTCGAGTGACTTCCTCGTGGAAAGGCTGGATAGTGACTAGGGGGGGTGATCAGCGAAAGGCCTCCTAGCTGTGTCTGGATGATTGTATTTTCTGAGACTTACAAGGGACCATAGCACCGGCTGCCTGGAACGCCTCTGCAACTGGTGTGCATGAAGTGCAATGGGAAGCGGAGAGCATGTTGTTGGAGGCATTGTTAATGGTCACGCCATCCCATGCTGAATCGTTATCCGAGACGCCATTTGCAGAACGAGGTGGGGTATTGAACGGGTTGGATCTATTGGTCTCGGCATTCTTTTCAAAATCGGTTCCCTTGAAGATTGCAACAGCGACGGCAGGTTCCTTCTTCATTTTTTCGGCCTGCTCTCTGCGAACCTTGGCCATGGCTTCGTCCTCCATAGCCTGAGTCCACTGGGGAGACAGGTTAATGTCGCTTGTGTTTGCCTCGCCGAATCGTTTTTCGTAATTCCTATACCAGAGATAGAACTGCAGGTTTTCGGCAGCGTGCTCAACATATATGAGGTAGTTCATGAAGTCGCGGAGAGCCATGGGCTTCAACAAGCATTAGGAGAGGGTCATTCGAAAAGAGGGGACCATGTGCTCTTACCGGGCAGGTTCCGCCATTGATGATTCTATCAAAGCTCAAGGCTTCTGGAATACCAGACGAAGCGCCAGAGAGTCCAGATCTGACAGATCCCTCACTCTCTTCCATCGATTTTCGGGCCTGACGATAGGTCTCAGGGTCAACCTTCTTAGGTCGCCTATAGCGAAGAAAAGAGAATAGCTTCATGATGTTTAACTACTAGCTTTCTTCCTCTCTCTTCAAATGGAATAGAGAATGAGACAAGCTTGAGTTGTGGCTGAAGGATGTTGGAAGAGAGGCCGTCCGATATTTATACGAGCGGCTCAGCAGTTTGAAGATGCACAAGCATGCACGTAGCCGGCTCGGTGTTCCCAGGAGATTATAAATGGAAACGAGCTGCGGCTAGAAGCATGCTGTTAATGTTTCTTCGCGACTATGTGCATTTCGCAGCTTAGGAGGGATTTGATGCAGGGAAACAAATCCTTGTTCCACGCCACGCCCGGACGGTTAACAACGAGAAGTCGGCTGCCTCTCCGCATAGCGAAATTGAAAAATAAGACCTGCACCATAAATCTCATCCGAGAGAGGGGACAGCTAGTGGTCAGCTCAGTGATACAGTAAGGCATGGTGCGCTCGTGCTTGCAGGTCTGGACGTGATGGAGCCGGCCGCCACCTGCATCCAAAGATCCATGGAAGCGACGCCAGCGTTTGCCCTAGCTGGGCCGGGTGGAACATTGATCTCTCGATTTGCTGGCGATCACGGCGAAGGCCCAGCTAGCCTTACCATCGGGTGCCTGTGGGCCAATCCATTTCTCTCCACCCATTGACCCAACCAGAGCGCTATCATCGGAAGACCTGTGCCTGGCCCGGTTACTAGCTAGTCTCAGCTTGGGCTTCTTGCCAAAGACACACCTCGATCAATAAGGTCAAACCTTAATACCTTGTCCTCCAGCCTGTATCTGAGCGGGCCACCGCACGTGTGATGCATCAAAGCTCCATCTTTCCCGTCTTTTTAGGGCCGACTCAGTTGGCCTTTGCAAGTATGAGTGCGCCACCGCACTAATAGTCCCTTCCTTTACCAAGCCAACTCCATGATAGAGAGGCAGTGGTCCGTATTACGGTAACACCGAAGAAGAAGGAGAGCTTCAGCTGTACTATCGTGAAAAATACTGATAACAGGGACCTCGGGATATCGTAACGTAGAGCTGGAAACTCATCACCAACAGAATTTCGCTTCCTGCCGCTCATTGCCAACCCCTCTGCAGGTGGTCAGTTGCAATATGTCCATTCTGCTGGTAGCGTCGACAAGTTCTAGTGCCAGCAGCAGACCCAAGCAAAAGGACCTAGTGTCTCAGCCTCACAAGGCAAGGGGAGCTTGATCGGTTCTTTGTATTTCATATTTGCATCTTCTTTCTTCCATTACGTCCTCGCACAGCCCCGCTCCGATCTAAACATGCTGATCAGCGTGGTTGAGTGATGGCATAGCGATTCTCCTCAACTTGCCGAGTATCCAGCATCTGCAGGCTGGACGAATCGGATACAAAGCCCAACAGAACGCTTCTTCTCTTTTTCGAACGCTATCTTAGCCTCTGTGTGCAACACCAACGCACTATACCAATCAAATGCGGAAGGCCGCCCTCCATAGCGAGAGAACCACTCATGGTTGTTACGTCGAGATCACTAGAGCTAGCTACTGGTACTTGTCCAGCCAGTGGATTTAGCTAGTGCTCGCTCCAGCAAGAGTCGGTTAAACCTGGCTTTCTCGTGGCCTGTGAGATGAGCTGCGAAACCCGCTACTACAAAACTGTGGTGTAATCACCTCTACAAAGTGCATTTCCCTTGCATACGCCACGCCGCGCTAAAAAGAGACGCTGGCAGCAGCAGAAAAGAAAAGAAAAATGCAACTAGTCATCTCTCCATCAACTAGAATCCCGCCAAAAAGACCACTTGCTTGTGGTCGAAAATGACTGCATGCATATCTCTAGTTTAGCTCATGAAAAAAAGAAGGAATGAAACAAGAGGGTGGGATAGATACAGCTATGAATTGACACGATGGGCGAAGCAATGGATTTCCACATGAGCACGAACGAGTACGAGTACTGTGCTCATTTCTCGTATACCAATGGGAGATCGGCTGTGTCTAGGCACCCCAGTCGGGCTGGCATGGGCTTTATTCAGACGGAATTTCCAGCTGGGTTGAGCAATAGAGCCGTACACGGATCGCCTTTGACCCATGGTTGATTGGCATGCCAGAATCCCATTGATATTCCGTTTCCTGCTGCAGATATAGAGCACATGCTTGTACATTTCAGACAAAATATTGCGCAAAACAGTACGCACGGTATAAATAGGTAAGAATGGAAGAGCCACGTCTTCTAGACTGGTTCAGTTGGGCGATTACCATCTCTCCCCCTGGAAGATATTGTAACCCAGCTTCTGTGTCCTTTCGCAACTCAGCTTGATCATTCAGCCAACAGGGCCACTAGCAGCCCTTTGACAGAGAGTGGCTCCACTTGCAATGCCCTAAGACTCATCATAGTTTGACTCGTCTGAGATAGTCGCTTTTAGCTCGTACCGGATGATCCCCCCGCAAAGAGCTCCGAGATGTGGCTGCTTACTGGGGATACGATCGAAAGCCAGCTCAACTCTTGCCCTCTATGGATTGAAAAATGATCCGCGACAAAAGCCAGGCTGTGTCATGCATAGAGATGCCGTGTCATTCGACGCCGCCGCCGTAGTTGCCAATGATTTGATCTAGCGCCAAGACATTGCGATAAGGGGCAGCTCAGCTTGAAAGTGCGGTACTAGGAGAACCCCGTGCTTTCAATAGCGTATGCAAGGGGGGGACTCAACCGTGCTTCACTCGCAGGTAGCGGCCATTCATTGGCGGTATTCACGGTTCATTCGAACCCCGCGAAACCTAGAAGATGGAAATCAGTCGTCGGGATGAGTGATGGTTGATCAGAATTCAGAAAGTCGCTTCCGTCACAACTGACAGATACAAAATGGACAGGCAGCTACCTGACTCAAGACGCTGCTGCAGGGATGATATCTCGCCTTGGCTACTGTATCCCGGCCACGACTGTCCACCCCAGAGCGTCTAAGAGCGCAAAGCCGCTTCTAAAGTATCACGAAGTTATCGGGTGAGCTATTGCTATGAGTCCATGAGTTGTCGTTGAGCAGTATGGTAGGTGCCAAGATGCGGCTCAGGGCACATGGGACTCAGGTCATATTCGGTTAAGGACCCTGCGAGAGCTCGTTCTTGCCTTTATCTTCCCACCTCTCATTTCCTGTTGGGTGCCAGAAAGAACTCTAGAATCCTTGTCTCAAAAGCAATAACTCGACAAGTACCCAATGCGTCCGATCCCAAGAGGTTTCAATCAGAACTGGAGTAACGTAACTGAGATGGGCTCCAGGTGGGAGGAAGAGGGAGATTCTCCTAAAACTGTACCAAATATTGCGTACCAGCAAAACAAGATTTTAAAGTGGCCGTAACACGTCCCCAAGAACACTAGTTCACCATACTATGTTGTTCTTAATATAGCCCTGCATTGGACGTGTATAATCCACATAAGAACTAGAGGCCACCAATGTACAACCAAAGAATTGTTGGCTTATTCAGAGCTGGTTTGATCAGTAGCAAAGTATTATGGGCTTTGTGAAAGGAGTGACTCGAGGTTTCTTGGCCGGTCTAGGATGGCACGCAAACTGTTACCGATGCTGCGATAATCACTTGAGCAAACCGTGGCTTCAGAATAGCTGGACCGCTCGAGTTGTATAAGAAACGTTCTCCACTGGACGTAGCCTCTATTTAAAGACTGTTCTTAGTCAACGCCAGACACAGCGGGAACATCTCAGCAGCAGGAGGCCGTAGGCCAGTTATATCCGTCTGAGGCTCAACCATGGGAAGCGACTAGGTCCCAGGGTCCTTGATATTATTACCTGAAGGGTTATCGGTGTTTTCGCTGTTTGGTATACCCCATTGATGGCATACTCGACTAGCGCTTGCGGTAAGCTATGGGGGATATCAATATTGGCTGCCCATGTTTCATGCATTTCCGCGCTTCTTCGGGGATAAAAACAGCTAAGATTACCAGATGGCATCTATTTCAACATAGCAAAGGGAGGCTCTGGAAAGCCTCTCGGAAAATATTCACGTCGTAAACTCCATCCATTCTCAGTATTCTCGGTGCTGCAAATCAGACCCCTGGTCGCATATCCTGACGCTAGGCACTGAGCGAACAATTCTAAACTGAGCACTAGCCATGAAGAGAATAGTTTGGCCATATCAATCATGATAGGAACAAGAAGCTATCAGCAGAGCCAATGAACTCAGTACAGGTTCTTTACTTTTCACGTTTATTCCGTGCACTTGAGGGCAAAGCCTTGACACGGAGAGACGCTGAACTTGGCAAGATTGGAACAGTCGATTTGCTGGCCCACTTGTCGAAAAGGAATCCGCAAGAGAAGATGCCAAAGAAACGAAAACAGGGAAAGAGTCATAGTCAAGCAGTACATGGCCTATTAAACATATAAAGTAAACCTCCTTTTGGAAGTTGAAATGTCGCCGGCGACAGCAGGTCGATTTTTCGATAGCCTATTGACCAGATACACCAGAAGATCCCGAATTGCCGTAAAAGAAAAAAAAAATCGTCGAATATAACCAGCTTGAGTCTCGGGTATATATTTTTGAGGCTTTTGTCATCTATTCCATCCCAATCCAAAGAGAAAAACAAAAGAAACTCCTATTGCTCGCAACCTTCAAATGCTATGTTAACAGTGAATGTTTGTCGTCATGATATCTCGGTGGTCCGTTTCAACAAGTTGAACATCAAACTTCGTCACAGCAATCGTCCATTTTTGTGGATGGCTTCTTCGGAGTAATATGGCATCCAATGAACGGAACAATTAATGGAAGACTATCTCAAGAGCGCTTGATCTCCCACCTGCTTTCGACGATAATACGGTTTGCACCAACGCCGTCCAGCGCGGAAGATGCTTTTTGAGGATTTAGATTCGTCTCGCTTGCACTCGGGCTTTGTTCCTCTGGCACAAACGCAGTTGCGGTATGGCTTGTGTCGTCGGTATGGTCATATATTGAATGCAGGGCGATTGTGTCGGGACCTGGTTGCCTTTTTCGGCTGGAAAGCTTCGAACCAGACTGCCCTGATCGCTCAGACTGGTTATAATTGCCCAATTTGCTCGCCCCTCGCGTTTTATTCCATCTCGTAACAAAGGGGCCCAGCATGGGTAATGACACGCAGATGATACCAAGATTGACTTCCAGTGTCGAAAGGAAATCTACCCACACCATAGTGCCTGTTATATTCGCTAGTTCTAGGTGTGTTAGGGTGATGATTCGAGCAACGGCGACGGCGGAAACCCTGTCATATTTGCGATTAATCTCAATGGAAGCCACGTCAAAGGGAAGAGGAAAGAGAGAGAATGAAGGGAATGCATACAATAGACCAGCCATAAAGATCGCCGTGAGCGAAAGCTTCATCTGTTTTCTCGTGTTCAGCGTCCATATCGTTCGCAACGGAAGCGTGAGAACAACAAAGTCGCTTATAATATTATAGACGCCGACTGCGATGAATGCTGAGACTTGATTTCCGCATTTGCCTCCGGGTATGGCAGGATTATAACTCGCCGCAAAAGGATGACAGAGCAGGAAGAACATGAGGATGTTAGCCAACGCCCACACGCTGATGAACGCAATCACTATCTTTGTCGCAACTCGCATGTGTTTGTTTGGGAAAACTCGGAGATAGAAAAAGAGAACACTGAGTTTCACAGTGGTAATGCATAATGTGTATATCAGCGCATACGAGAGCGTCAACTGCAAGATGATGATTAGATTCGGCATCGTCTCGGTAAGCGGACGGCCAACTCCCATCGGCGAATCTATTCATGCTAGTCAATGTTTGTGTCATCGTAACTCGAGGCCGTTTCGGCAGAACAGAAGCCTACAAAGTCCTTGAATAACGAGCATGCCAACGCCCTGGGGCACCGAAAAGAGGATTAAATAATCATCCCACCAAAGCTTCGCGCCAGACATGAATCGTGCAAAGAGCCGAAGGCCAACTATGAAGAGGGCTATGAAGACGAGAACGCAGTTGATAATCAAGTGTATCTTGACTATCGACATCACTGGAAACGTTACCGTCTGCAGCGCCATGTTGCCGTTGCTGTTATCGCTGCTGCCGTAGTTGCTGCTGCTGTTTCTTCTTCAACCACCATCCATTTAAACACCTATTCAGCTTTAGAAGCAACAAAAGACTGAATAAGCGACGTAATATAGTAGTTGAGCATTGGCCAAAAGGTTGCTCGACACAGGAAGCCGAGTTGACTCTGGGCCGCCATCCCTTGTGGAAGGAATAAGCAGGATCGACAGCCTTGGACCAGCCTTGGCTTACATTTCCTCCCTGCAAGGATCGAATGAGCGCGTATAAGTGAGTGCGGATCATGAGAGTGCCGGGAACAATGGGCTGCACCCCTTTCAAACCTGACCAGGCCTGGGCGGGGAAGTGAGGTTCGTGATGTTTAGGAGGGTTTCGATACTACTTCACCCGAGAGACAGTAACAGTGCACGGCGTAGCAGGTATTATTACCTCTGCGTAAGCGGCCCCATTAGGCTGGCGATTTTTTGCGTTCCCGTTTCTGACAACCATCCCCGGCTCTTCATTTCTGCAAGAACCGAATCCGTGCAAATGCCCGCATGATAGAGTGGGGGAGCTTTCCCCCCTCTCGCCACATGTTCAACATGCCTGGTAAAAGTGAGAAATGATGCAGACACTGCTGGTAAAAGCGGAAACAGTGTGCCGCTGCTTAGATTGCAAAAACCGATGATATCCCGCTAGTGACGCTTGGTGAGTACAGGCCTCCCTCTAGTTGTTCTTGACCATCGACTCAAAGCAGGGCAGAAATTGTTGTTCCCAGCGGAGAATGCCAACCGATGGGCTCTGTACACTCCGGACCCCGTATTTGGGAAGGATCAAAATGGGACCCTTGTATCCAGAATCCCACTGGCATAATTATGTTGCAACAAATACGGGTCCCATGCTGTATCCAGAAGTAAAAACAAGGATAATATCTACTTCCCATCTAAAGTCGAGCCAGGATCTTTTTGAGCGGCAAGACTGGAATCCAACCAACACGCCTCAAATTGGGTATTGCGTACATGTACCGTGAGCAATTTATTTGTGCGCAATGCATACTGTAACCCTGATCAGATTGGCACCGTGTGTTGAACAGACAAGGTTCTAAATGGACTACTCAACCAGCTGCATGTTAGAGTTTTCCGCATCATGAGTTAGCGACTCTGGTCTCTCCACATAGGGCGATGGAGACTGCTCGTACGAGTGCTCGATAAAGCACCCAACAGCCTTGATGAATATCCCAGCTCATTCAGGGCCATTGGGACACATTTTAAGAAGCGGGAGTTCCCCAGCCGAGTCCCGTGAGGATTCTCCGTCATACTTGCATTACCTTAAAGGTTTTTCTAACAATCAGAGAACCGTCCTATCATTTTGCAGTCAATTTTTATCTAAAAACCAAATATGGATTCTACTCCAGGGAATTTCGACTACATTATTGTAGGAGGTGGCACTGCGGGCTTGACGGTCGCAAATCGTTTGAGTGAAGATGCGAGCATCAAGGTACTAGTGATAGAGGCGGGTCAAGACCATTCTCAAAACCCTCTTGTTCAGGTTCCAGGACTTGTTGCTGGGATGTATGGCAAGCCTGAGTTTGATTGGAATTTCAGCTCAACACCTCAGGTGAGTGATACGTTATGGTGTTTCAACTATATGCTGTCATTGTTGTTGTTGTTGTTGTTGTTGTCGTTGTTGTTAGACTAACGCCACGCTTTCCAGTCTGGGCTTAACAACCGGATTATCAACCAGGCTCGTGGCAAGCAATTGGGAGGATCATCTGCACTCAATTTCATGATGTTGCTCTATCCTCCCAAGGGCAGTCTGGACGCTTGGGGTGCGTTGGGAAACAAAGGCTGGGATTATGATTCCTTATCGCCATACTTACGCAAGTTCGCGACATTTCATGTACCTCCTCAAAGCGCCAAAGATGTTGTTGGCCTTAAGTATCACGACGATTCGGTAGTTGGTAATGGGCCCGTCCAAGTTTCCTATGGCGAAGGCTTCGGGAAACCAAATTCGTTCTGGATGGAGACTTTCGCTAAACTTGGCCTGGAGATGAAAACCGACCCAAGAACGGGCAAGGCTCTGGGGGCATTCCAGCAGGGTGCCAACATCGATCCCGCTACTCACACACGAAGCTATGCCGCCAACGCGCACTACACTCCTGAGATTGCGAGTAGGCCAAACCTGACAGTGCTCACGGAGACAATTGTCAAGAAAATTATCTTTGATATGTCAGGGGCCGAGCCTGTTGCGACTGGTGTGCTCGTTAGGACTAAAGAGGGCATCGAGCAGATATTGAGTGGTGATGAGATCATCCTGTCGGCGGGAGCCCTCATGTCACCCCAAATCCTTGAACTGTCTGGTGTTGGTGATAGGTCGCTCCTTGAACGTCTGAGCATTCCCGTCATTGTTGAAAATCCAAATGTCGGAGAGAATCTGCAAGACCACCCTATTTCAACCCAGGGATTCGAAGTTAAACCCGACACTCCCTCGAGTGATGTGCTCCGTGATCCAAACGTCCTCAACGCACTTATACAGCTGTTCCAGGATGGAGGCAAGGGTCCCCTGGGCCAGTCGATTATTAGCGTCGCATACTCCTCCCTCGCCGATGGAGAAGGTGTCTACTCTGAAGATGCTAGAAAGGCTTTGTTTGCCTCGCATGATCAGCACGCGCAGACCCAGGATGGCAAAATCCTCCGTGAGCTCCTTGAAGGGCCCAATGAGCCGGCCGTGGAGTATTTTCTATTCCCCGGACAAGTGCATACAGTTCTTGACAACCCAGCCAGCATGGCGGATTACCTCTTACCAACGAGCCCAGAGAATTATCTGACCGTCATGACAATGCTGAACCATCCCTTTTCCCGTGGCAGCGTCCACATCACCAGCGCAGATGTTGATAAGCTTCCAGCTTGGGACCCCAACTTCAACTCGAATCCCCTTGATTTGGAGATCTCTGCACGCCATATTCAGTTTGTGGAATTACTTCTCCGGACATCTCCGTTTAAGGACCTTTTTAAACCTAACGGCGCTCGTATCCCGCAAGTCAAGGGTGATACTCTTGCGAACGCTAGAGAAGTTGTTCGACAGAGTCAAGTTAGTGACTTCCATCCCGCATGTAGTTTAGCGATGAAGCCAAGAAACCAGGGCGGTGTCGTAGATGACAGGCTGAGGGTATATGGCACTAAGGGGCTGAGAGTTGTTGATGCCAGTGTCTTTCCTATCCAAACCGCAGGTAACATCCAGACCATGGTCTATGTCGTTGCAGAGAAAGCTGCGGACTTGATCAAGGAGGATAGGAAGTCAAAGGCTTAAACAAAATCAGAGCTGGTATAAGATTTGACAGATAGCAATCCGACTAGGAAGTTTACGGAATTCTACAGGAATTAGTCAATAGTCATACAAATGACAATGGCCCGGAAGGTGGGAAGGCTCATTGGAAATTGCGACTTGAAAAAATGTAATAGTAGTAGTAATTGCCATGGTAACCCTGGCCTCTCAGAAAAATCCCTTTTTTTTTAACAGGGGCAACCTCTTTTTTTTTTTTTTTTTTCACATGGGGGCCAAGTGTGAAGTGAAATGGTGGAACAAAGTGAAATACGACTTACTTTGTTCACAATAAGTACAAGGCACTGCTGATCCCTTAGGGTGGCTCTCTCTCAGCAGCCCTTTCGAGTGCATGCCTCCACTTGGTAATATATGTCGGCGTGTAAGGTACTTGCAAAGTACCCAATCAGCGACGATGAAACTGTTCCCAGTCCCAGGGTATTTATGCGAATGCGACGAATGCTTTCTTATAGTATACAGAGAGGCCTAGGGGCTTATTAGCCGGCTCCCGCTTCTCTCAGCCACAGAGGAGCATTAACTCCAAGCGAATACCATTCTCGGCCAGTTCAAGCGACGCAACATTTCAAAAGGGCAATGTTGCGCGGTTTTCTCCAGTTCATTGAAGACCAAATAGTAGCATAAATAGATGCTAGAATCTCTTTCTAAAGCCCTTCAGTAGATGATCCGTGTGCGAGAACTTGTGTCGGTGCGAGCTTCCATGTCGAAGGATCGGTGCTAGCGGGTGATCGACCAGAAAAGTCTTGGAAACGGTATAGTAAACCCGAACTCGTAGCCTTTTTTTCAGAATAACGCCGCGGCAATTGTCGGCCGGTGACGGTGACGGTGACGCTTGCCCAAAGCAGAAAGAAGTCATTGCGCATCCTGGCATATATCGTCTTGCTTAACTTCGCAGGCGTACATAACTCATGATAAGGCACTAAGCATCCATGTGGATATAACAACTGTTTCATCTTATTACCGACAGCAGCTTGTTGATGTGGTGGATCGCGTTCCGGTGTGCTAGCTTCGGCACAGAAAGGGACCAAAGACGGAGAGGGTTAGCCGATGTTTTTTGAGACAGCCTATCTTCTACCACTTTTGTCCGCCTGTGGCCTGTTGGATGCCATTATACGGATTGTTAGTTGTAGGCCTGTACTCCGTATGATGCAAGTAGGTATTAGACCCTCCATCGTCATGTTCTTATGCTCTGCTGCGTACTGCCACGAATTGTATGCTTTGGCTTGAAAAGGAAAGCAGGACGTGGAGACTATTTCTCTTGCGTATTCGTTTGCTGGGTTCATTTCATTTACAAGCTGGTAACATTTTATGTCCGTTGATGTTTCCCCCTCGCTGGGTATTTGACCAAGTTTGTTCTTAATCATATGCATCTGTTGCATTTTCCATCGTTTATCGGATTTATTGATTGCATGTCTTCCTTGATCATTCCATCATACTTCAGCCCCATGTATTGTCAGTATTATTCATTATATCGATCAGCCGGTCGTCTGTTCGTTGCTCCATGAGGTGCTCGTTGCTCGTTGCTTGCGATTCAATTCTCATACTTTGATTCTCTTACGGCTCTTATAATGCTGTTCGTTCACAACTCTTCATGGCTTGGTGCTTTATACGACTTGATTCTTGTAACTCGACCCTTGAACTCGCCGCTCACGAGGCATTCGGTTCGATTCTTCAGGTCGTTTACGCTTCTTGTAGCTCGATGCACGCTATTTTTTTTTTTTTTTTTTTTTTCCTTTTTTCATCTCGGTTCTTGCACGCCTCTTATTGCGAGGTTCGTATGTGGCTCTAAAACTTGATGCTCTCAGAGCGGTTCTTACATGACTCACTGTTTCGTGCTTGTGATTCGATTCTCGTAGCTCAACGCTTACAGCTCGATTCCTTCGCTCAGCCTTAGCCTCCACCCTCACCTCCAATCCCATATGTTTGTATATATATTCGATCGACCGGCCGCCCGCTCGTTGCCCCACGAGGTGCACGTACTTTGACTCTTATGGCTCGATGCTCACCATTCGTTTCTTGAACTCGCGTTTCGTACCGCTCTCATGCGTGGATTGTATACGACTCTTACGACTCGGTTCTTGTATTTCGGCTCTTTAGCGTTCGTATGCGGCTTGCGGTTCGATTCGTGTAGCTTTCTTCTTGTACTTCGACGCTCGATCTGTTTGTAGTGACTTGCTTCGTACTATTTGGTGGTTTTGACTTGATTCTGATCAACCTCCCACATCTCCGCCTCCGCCTTTGCCTTCATCCCCATATATATGTATATTATTATATCGATCGATCGGCCGCCCGCTCGTTGCCCCACGAGGTGCTTTAATCTTATTTAAAGAAGGCTCTTTCAATCATTCGCTATTTATTCTCTTGCGCGGTAGCAACCTTACTCTCGATCTGTTTATGATTAGTGTAAAGCTTCTTCTCTCCTTGCTGGTCGGCGGCAGCAGTACAAAGCGGCGATCGTACGTCGAGACCCTAATCGAAGAAAGATATGAATTAGCTCAGAAACGTAAGAAGATAGAACCTTCAGCCTCTTTTCTGAAAGTCAATACTGTCATGGGTTATATAAAATGTAGTATGCAAGGAGTTAGAGCATATGAACTCATGCCGATACTTATTCCTTCTCTGGCCTAGAATTGCCGTTATTAACAATGTGAAGTTAAAAGAAATGGTCTTGGATCCTAAGATACATATTTTTCGTCAGAGTGAGTAAAGAGTTGGTGGAAAGAGGCAAAACCAACCTTGGTACATGTATCATTCGGTCATAGCTGAAGACAGAGCTGCCTATTCTAGCAGATAAAACTGCACTATGTTAGTAACTCTGATGATGCCGATACAGGCGAGAACTAACCTGTGTACGTAAAATAGATTTTGAGAACTTGAAGAGAACTCGCGGTTTGATGAGGGAGTACTCCTGCAAGAGCGTCAGTAAAGCTGCGAGTATGATAGGGCTAACGAGCAGCCAACCTCGCAAAAGTTACCATCTAAGTCATTTATCTCTGTATTCAAGTACTAATAGACTAGAATTTGTTGCAGTTCTGATCATTTCAATGCAGCTGTTTGGTGTTGGAGCTGAGATAACGCACTTGCCTGAGCATATTGATATTTCTGCGCCAAAGGAGCGGTAACTTGATAGTCAGTACCCAATTTCTGGGGTAGAGCATGCAGGGGAACCAGAAGTTGTGATAAAGTAGGCGTGAGATTTTCCGAAAGAAATGTCGAGATGCAGGGACTAGCAGAGACTGTCTCTGCAGAGTGAGCCGTTATGCATGTCAGATTGCAAAATGCACGTCGTGACAGTTTTTAATGACCCAGAGACGATTATGTTAGCCTAGACATTCTATAAGTGGCATTATCTACCAAGATAGACTTACCAAGAGACATTGGAGAGATTGTTTGGCTTCTAGAGCTGTATTTGACTCAAAGATGTACTGGTATGACTAGCAACCCGATTTCATGCTCACAGCGGCGAATGGAAGAGGTCAAAACACGCTCACGATGAAGCATTGTGTAGCTGGCAGCAAGTATCTAATGCCGAATTTTTTCCTCGGGTTGTTTGTCAGCAGCTAGTTGCTTTATTTTATTTGTTTTTGGCACTCACTCGTCGAGAGAGTAACAGCTTGGTCAAGCAACTATCATTGGTTGATTGCAATTCACGAGACTTGACGGTCTGAAGTTCTAAAGCGGATGCCTCTATTAAAAATGCTCAGTAGTTGTGTCAGTATCCATGATCTTACCGCAAATGGCTTTCTGAGGCTCAAAAGCGTCTTGATATCTTCCTGCAAGGTGACTGGGGACGATTGCGAATAGCAGGATTTGAACAAGCAGACGACTAGACTGACAAGCTTTCAGAGAGCTTTCCAACAGCGACGGCTATAGGAACTAGCAGCGTTTAGTCTATCTGCATTAGGCTCTAGGAACATTGAGGAGGCACTTACCTGGATATGCTGTTCCACCAGAATGAACGCACGATAAGGCTTTGAACGGTCAGTAACAGGGATTGCATCGATTGCTCTGATGCTCAGGAGCACCACGGACCCCATTGATGAAGTTGACGGGAGTGAATGAAAGATGGGATATATCATGTCATGGATTTAAGCCAGAAGTTTAAAAAAAGAGCGGGTTGCTCAGAATATGGATAGAATTTGTATTGCTGTATGGCGGTCAATCACGTGTGGCAGAATACTGCCGGCCCTCGCTCTTTTTGTCGAGGATGGTCGACGATATATGGCCAGCAAGTATCAAGAAAGCCACTGCGGAGTTTCTTAAAAGCATTAGGATCATCCTTACAGGCTTAGAAACTTTTTGGAGGGTTGCACTGACTGATAGCTCGCAGTCTGAATGAATTGTGAGGCTGCAAAGGAGACTGTAGAAGACAGAGTTGAACAAAGGGCTGCTGTTCGAGGGGGGACAGCCACTAAATCTAGCTGAACGGCAACTAAACGGCGGCGAATAGCAGGTATACAGCTATAATTGACTACATAAGGCAACACTTTTAGGCCTATTCAATAGCCTAAACAACTATAGATGATCAAAATGCATGGACAATCTTCCTTTTTGGTCGTGGATTCAGCTGCGATTATCCTTCAATATAGACGCTAGATACCGTGTTGTTGAAGAAGTCAAAGTCAGCATTTATAAGAATTTGATTGTTTGTATGTGTAAAACACGGATATAATACTAAAATATGGAAAGAATTCGAGAGAGATCGATCCATGTCCAACACAGCACATGTCAGCTGTTATCTATCAGATATCAAAGCGCGTCGGCTGGCACCGTACATGTACTCTTGGACCGCCACATTACATCCAAGTCGGGGAATTGTATCAAAAACTCCGCAAAATGTACCAAGCAGAATCTCGCTAGGCAGAAAAAAGAGGCTTGAAAGGCATCCAAGCTTGAGCGAGATGGCATCCGTGAAGCGTAATGGAGAAATAAACGAGGTATATTATTGGCCAATAGCTTACGACTGACATCTAGAAATATCACGTTGACACTGAACCTGTCCCACGTATTAAATGAAAAAGGCGTAGACTCGAATAGAGAAAAAAGGAACTTAATTTCCGTAGGTATAACAGAGGAAATGACATAGCTAGAGTACATACATCCAAATGTCCCATTACTACAGAAACCTTAGAAACGATTGCGGATCCCAAAACAACCAAGGTAATTACCCATTTCCCGCCAAAGGAAACACAAAAAGGTATCAAGAACAAAAATAGGAAACAATATTGAGTACAGTCTAGAACAAGGGAAAAAAACGTGGGTGGAGAATGGTCTTGAAGAACGGTATTAAGAAGGGAAAGAGAAGAAGGGAAAAGAGCCCCCTGTAACCAACAAGCGCCTATAAGACAAACCCATGAAGAGAGGAGAAAGAAAAGACGACTGTATGGAAGTGCAGAAAACAATCTAAGCCGGTCCCCATGTTGGCCTCCCACCCACCCGCATTAGCCATGGGGACGGCAAGAACAGCCGCTCAAGCGCAGTGCCAAAGAATTATTTGGGCAATCGTTTCTATCACACGTCAGTATAAACAGGTTGTGGAACAAGAGAAGAGAATCCCTTACCCGCCCAATTGCAGTTCCCCATGTACCATGGAAGAACAAATTTTTCTTAGTCTTCCAGCCGCGTAAGCGTCCGGTGCGTCACACTGCCATAGTCTACCACCTGCTGTGCCGGCTTCCAATCTTCGGGCACAAACTCGGCGCATTTGAAGATGGCATCAAAGGCCTGTGGGTTCGGCGGATTGGGTCTGGATCTAGAGGTAGAGGTAGAGGTAGAGGTAGAGGTAGAGGTAGAGGTAGAGGTAGATGAGCGCAAAGACAAAGACAGAGGTCCCTCTCTCGCAGCAAAAGAAGATGACAAAGGTCCCTCTCTCGCAGCAAAGGAGGAAGGAAAAGAGGATGACAAAGTAGGAGAAAAATTCTTGGCCATATCCTCACGGTGAAACATTTCAACCACGCACTTAGTCCCTATATCCTCAAACATAATATGGCAGCCGTCTTCGCTGAGATCTGACGCAAAGGGGCCATGCGGCTCAAACCAGACGACTCGATACCACAGCGAGTCCAGCGGGTGGTTGGCAGCTTTATCCTGTACAAAGTCGTACAGCTGGCCCATGCGGAGGCCTTTATCCGGATGATTGGCGTTGAAGATGCGGAACTCGAGCTTTTCATGCGATTTTGCATTATTCATGTTCTGCGACGAGAATTCCATGGCGATAAAGTCGGGGATAGGGGGCTGCGAGACGAGCATCTTGCGCCAACTTGCGCCGGCTCGCGTGAAGCGCTCTCTATCCAGTAATACCTGGAGAGCTTCGACCTTGGATATGTCGGGCTTAGTGGATTCATACTTGTTGTACCTGGTATTCAGTTTCCTCTTCATCTTGAGCCTATTGTGCTTGGAAGTCCATCGCTGCTCGTAGAAGGATTCAGACCGGCGTGGGTAGCCGTAGAATTTGCCGCCGACAGGGAAGAAGCTGCTGCGAAAATGCCTGACTAGCAGTGAATTCAAGACCGGATACATCTTGCGGTAATCTGAATCTTTCTCCCGTCTGGTCTGCGGATGGGGCTCGAGCGGCCGCGTCTCATCGGGGGTGAAGAAGAGCTTCCGCTGCAAGAGGACCGATCCATCAAAGACTTCCTTCCAGGTCTTGCTCACCCGCTGGACAGAGGTGAGGAGGGTAACGGCGTCGATTTTGGTGAATACTTGTTCCAGAATCTCTGTGGAAGACAGCGCTTTTTTTCTTGCGGTCCGATGCTGGTCTGGACGAGTCGAGTCTGGGCAAGACATATTGATGAGAGAGGCATCTTGGGTAAGCTTTACCAACACACCGAGGGGGCGTACACGAGCAGGCATTCTGAAGCCAATTGGGAGAGGCCGCCAGGCGGGGTAGTAAATGTCAGGTTCAGGAGCAAACCTGGCGGTATCAAGATGGGAGTTATTAGAGTGCAGGACGGTAAGGGGATGTTTAAAGGATCGAACATAAAAGGAAGGTTCGTCGCGAGACGGGGCATAGAGAAGGAGAGGTACAGGAGGGTCAGGCCCTCCGTGATGGTTTTCTTCATCAACCTCGTAGATTGTTTTCATCATGAGAGTTGGTGGTCAATATGGAATTCGATTAGTACCTAGATATAGGTAGTTGGTGGTGGGTGGTGGTTTGGTGAGCAGTCTATGACAAAGTGAATGGGCTCTATCAATGAGGGCAACGCTGAGAGACTCAGGCTAGAAATGAATAACGGAGATTCAAATGAAACAAGAAGATGGATTTAAAAGAGAATAGACAGATGGGAATTGTTCAGGGCCACCCTCTTATATACATGTATTCTTCGCTGGGGCCTCTACATGTCTTCCCAACCGGCTCGACCTTTTTCTTCCACGCCTTTCAATTTCTCGCTGTTCCGTGCTACTTTCAGAATATACCAAATGTATTTTTCTACCTTTTTTTTTTTTATTCCTTCTGCTAGTTTGAGACAATAATAGCCTGTTGTCGGCTGAAGGCGGAGCCATCCAATCCCAGCTACCCACCTCCATTGGTTTGAAAACCAGGCTGTATAAACGACTGGGCCTGAGCTACTGTGTGTCTACCATCCCAGTCGTATTCTGTGGCTTCCTTTGGCTTCTTTTGTCCCCGCATCGCTCTGTCTGTGCGTGGCTGCAAGCTACCAGTCTATCAGTTAGTCAAGAGAGGGTGGGAGAGAGCAAAAAGCCGGTAGAGACAGGGTGTTTTGATAGGCTCCCCTCATCCAGAGAGGCAAACATTTGCAGTAGTACTTGGTTGCTATCTTGCGAGGAATACGCCGCTGCATTACCACCACCCTCACTACTACACACCAGCTTGTAATTATTATCGTCACTTTGCCCCCTCTCCAATACGACATGGCGACCTGGCTGCTTGCTACTGGACCAAAACAACAATGAGAACATGCAAGCACGTTGGGATTGAGCCATTCAAGCATTGCATGAACATACCGGCGGCATCATAGATAGGCAAACTTGTTCCATGCTTGGGCCCTTTGGGCCTAGGCTCTTGGTTTTGCATTCAACCCGAATCGATTGCCTTAGCAAGGCAATAGAAGCAAGGCATGGACACGTGTCACGAGCAAAACCGCTGTCAATTATGCAGAGAAGGGCATATTTCTCCTTTTTGTATAGGATTTGCAAAAGAAAAAACAAAAGCAGGTGATTTTTGAGAATTGATTCAACTGCAATGCAAATGCAGATGCAGATGCAAAATGCAGACCGTAAATATTCCAAATGCAGCTAGATAACACGAATGCAACTAAATATTGCTTCCTACATGAAATGCAAACAAATATTATATGCGCAAGGACGGGGAAAGGCCCCCCAGACCAGAGCTTACCCTTCCAAAATGGAGACGCAGTCTTACTGGGGCAAACCTGATACATAGCAATACCTGGTACTGCTGCTGCCTCAGTGCCTGTCAGCCTGTCAGTCTGTCTGGTTATATGTTTATCCAACCAGATGCCTGCGCCTGTAGACACCCCGTGGATCACTCCATCCGTAACTCTGAACTTCAAAGGAGGAAATGTCACACACAAAAGCGGGTACGTTCAGGTGCGGCTGAAGGCGTCTTGTGCTTGTGCTACTCAAAACCCAACTTTTCTCCCATATTTTGTTTGCTCTTGATTATCCTTGCTTCGTTTTTTGTGAGTTTTCGCTTGTTTCTTTGCTGTTTCGGTTCCTTTCCGCCCGAGACAGCAATTACGCCACCCCGGATGAGATGAGGGGGAAAAGCTGTTCAAAGCAGGCTGGGCAGGCAGACGTGGCAAACGCGCGTTGCTGCTGCTGCTGCTGCATTGCAGTGCTTGTTGTAAGTGAACCTGGTTGGATGGTTAATTTACCTTTCTCGTCCCGTAGGAGTAGTAAGAAGAAGAGACAGAGCAAAAAGCAGAAAAAAAAAAGGATTCAAGCCTGCATGCTGCATGGTAGCAGTACATGCTGCAACTTGGCGGCACTCCCTACATATATACAAAACATCATTCGTATCATGCAAGAGAGAGAGAGCAAAGAGAAAGGCATACAAATAATGCACTACAGTGCTTCATACATGAATGTGGAGTCAAAACCTGCCACTCAGCGCTCACAGCAGTAGGACAGCCATTCGCAAAGATATTGTGTAGGCGGTATGTGGGAGTAGGATCCGGGGCAGATCGTCCCACCCAGAACACGCTCCGAGTCGCCCACTCCTGAGACTCGTACCACATACATTAGCCATACGGATTAAAAGTATAAATTGTGATTGTGATTGTGGTTGCGTGTGCCTGAATCAACGAGTAAAAAAAAAACAAAGCAGTGAGTGCATTGAGACCCAAAGCAACCCCACAGATAGACGCCAAGTCGTAATGCAACATTAAAACAAATCAAGCACAATGTCATGACACCATTCGCTCTCGCTCTCTCTTTCGCCCCAATAAAACCAAAAGCAAAAAAAAAAAAAAAAAAAATCAGGCTTTCAACGCACACAATCTCCCCCTTCTCTTTCTCTCTCTTCTCCATCCCCAGCCCAAGCACACAAGCAGCTCCTCGTCTGCTGCATGTCTCAGATATATCATTCGCTCTGGCTCTGGCTCCGGGTTCCCCTCCACCCCCTCTCTCTGTTTGTCTCTTTTTTTTCTTTTTCTTTTTTCTTTTCTTCCTACAGGAGATCGTCGGAGCCACTGGCAACGCTCTGTTCAATAGCGTGGATAATGTCTCCCTCAGAGAAAACCGGCCCTTGTCCGTCGCATTTGGCCAGACGCTTCATGCGCTCGGCTACTTGGCTGACGTCAACCAGGCCTCGCTTGTACAGAGGGTGGGCCAGGATGAAATCCCAGGCGGCTCCTGCGGCGAGCAGCCGGTGGCCGTCGTCGGAGGTAACAATCCGGTGTGAGGGGAACTTGTTGTTGTGACCCTGGAGCACATTTGTGTAAAAGTCGGTAGGCGTGTATGTCATCGGCCCTGTTGTCAGAGGCTCCGGGGAGTGAGAGCCGTTATTCTGGTTCATGGCCGACGTAGCGCGGAGAATCTCATTCTCGGTCGACATCCTCTGCAGGTCTCGTCGGAGTCGCTCATTTTCGGTAGCGGCTTCTTTCTGAGCAGCCTCAAGGTTGGCCAGCTTGGACTCGAGATCCTTGACATGTCTTTCTTTTCGTTCGCGGAATGCTCTTTGGCTGTAAATCAAAATAATGTCAGTATTAGCTACAGCATAGACTCCCTCCTGAATAAAAGGGAGGAAGAAAAAGAGAGAAACAGCAAAAAAAAATGATGTAATCGACGCCTATCCAACATTGGTCTGCAAGTCTGGTTTTGTACCCAGACCTTTTTATAAACCCCCAATGAAGAAAAGTAATGGCAAATTAGGAAGGTAAGAGAAGGATTCAGCTACAAGCCCCAGAATTCACCATCCCATGAAGCAGATCGATCTACTTTGATAGGCCGATACAACTCAAGGAAACATTCCGGGGCTGCCACAAAGTAGAAGAGGGTAAAGATAAGGATTTTGGGACGATAACAATGGGGGGGAGCACCTACGCGGCACGGTTCTGAGCTTTTCTCCTCGATTGCGCTGGGGTCAGCATATCCTCATCCTCGCTGCCGCCGCGGCCTACGTCGTCGAGGTTGGCCTCGATCTTGGGTCCCGATCCGCCATTGATGCTGCCATTTGTTGACGGGGACTGCGCCAGGTGGTCCGAGACGTGCTGCTGTTGCTCTTGATTTGGCTGCTGCTGCTGCTGTTGTTGCACGGCAGCTCTCGGATGCTGGCCGAAGACGGGAGGCGACGGCGGGCTTTGATGGAAGGTCGATTGGTGGTGCTGGTGATGGCCGCCAAAGGACCCCGTGTAGTCAAAAGTATTGAAGTGGTCTGCAAAGTTGTCCTGTAGAAATCAAACACAGTTCGATTGCGTCAGCATCAGTCAAGACCTCTACACGGCGATTAATCATTCAAAGCCAGACGTGTGGTGATTAGTCTTCTCTCTCGTAATGCTCAAGTAAGGAGCGCTAAGGCACACAATCTGCGCTTTCGGGAGACGAGGTGGGGGACGCTGGGGGTTCACAAAAAACTTACAGGCGGGGAGGTGTTGCTGAAATCGTCCGAGCCATTTGATTGGGAGTGCGAAGGCGTCAAAGGCATAAAAGACGCCGGGAACGCCTGATGAGGGCCGGCAAAGGCATACTGGGCTGCGAAATCCATGGTGTTGGTCTTTCTTTTGGAGAACGACGCTGTGATGAGAGTATCCTGAGTTGGGTAGGTTATAATGGAGCAAGCCCGCCTGGCTTTGTTTCTTTTGTCCTAGGCGTGTACGGGGTTATGTACGGAATATGGCCGTCGCCCGGAATGGAGGACGGGGGGGCTGAGGCGAGTTTTTGAGTTGGGCTTTGCCTTCGTCCACTCGTATATAATACCCTAGGGCTATGGGTATCCGGTGAGAAATAGGTAAATGACAGAGAGAACCTGGTTTTTTTTCTCCAAATCGGCGGTTTGGGCCTACGTGCTCGCGTTGTCCGGACCCTTTCCCAATGGCACAATCACGCGAGTATCATTAATAAGTGAGTCTTAGCCAAGCGACAATTCCCGACCCAGAAGAAGAGAAAAGTCAGTAGCAAGAAGACGGCGGAAGACGCGAGACAGCTGTGGCTACGCTGCCTAGCGCTCCCACCGGCGAATCAAACGTCTTGGCCGGAGGCTCGGCAGCTTCTTGAGGCCTGAGGGGGCCCTTGCCATGCCGCGAGGATGCTAGCACGCATCCCCAAATGAAGCCGTGGAGAGAGGTCCCTTTGTCCCCCATTGCTTAGGGATTACCGCGCGGTAGCAGCCACATTCCGACCCCCAACTACAGCATCTATTGCCTCATGGGTGGGCAACACAGTGTATGCTGCCAGGCATATGGTTCCCTCTCGGCCGTCGCGTTTGTGGCGCCAACGCCCAACGCCGCTTTGGTTCCAATTCTGCAGCGGCCAGACCGCCATTGTTTTGCTGCCTGTCTGCTTTGGCTCCAAGTTCCCTCCTCCCCCGACACAGCCGCCGACGCCGCTAAGAATGCTAAGAACGGCGAACAGCTCCAAGTGGCTAGCTATCGAGCGAAAGAACGTGAGCCCTGTGCTGCGATGGCGGCGAAGGGGGGCGTGGGCACAGGGGGGTCCCCTAGCGCTTTGAGACACGGCCTCAGAATACGGCAGTTGAGCCAAGCATGGCTGAATTTGACATAAGGGCTGCACTTGTCCTTTTGGTGCTGACTTCATGACTCCCACCCTCTGAGTTGTCGATTTTCGACGGTTTCCGCCCTTTTCTGGAAATAGAACATTGCCAGAAAGTTCTAGCTAGAAAGTCCAATTGCTCTGCCTTGGCTTCCAGAGCAATTTCTACTACTCTCTAGATCGAGTTCTGTCAAAGGGGAAGAAGATGGAGAGGCATGAAGAGACGGCAGAGGAACCAGGAGTGGGATGCATCAAAATCAAAGCCAAGACCCAAGACCCAAGGCCAGATTCAAAACAACCAGTCATCGCCGACTGGGCCAGATCCTTCCACATAGGTCTATGGATAATGCCAGCAGGATAGAACCCGAGGCCACAGCTCAAGCTTACTTTCCGGATGGTCCAGATGCCCGTGCAAATAGGCCGCGTATTACGGGAAATACTATTTCCATCGAATCACCACTCGCAAAACTCCTAAAACACCGCCCCTTGCGCCCTCCAAGGTGAGCAGTAGCCTATGCATTTGTAAGTTGGCGCAGGCCGTCTCCACGTGCTGATGATCGCTGAGGGCATCGCTCTCACCACATGCAGCATCCAAAGTTCCTTGCGCCTTCAAACGGTGACTATGCCCGACTGACACCTCAGCCATGTCCCCTGTGCGACTATAGCTCGCAGCAGTGGCAGGACCATCATATTAATAGTAGCACCGTAAAGCGAACAACCTCCTAGAGATCCATCGTCCCGGACTCCGGAAACCGTAGGGCTGAATGAAGCTTTTGAGGAGGGGCACTTGTGACTCTTTTTCTGTATTTGAGATTGCGGTTGATTGATTGAGGAGACCTCCTAGTAGGCCACAGTCAGCATTGACTAATAGTTGTCTATTTCAAGCTCCCACACTCCGCACAGCTGGGACAGACCAAGTCTTCACCAGGGCGGGGCCCAGCCTCTAGCAGGCAGATCAGCGCCAGGAACGGCATGATATGGATCACCCGGCCGCCTGCTGTAGGGCGCCTTTGAAGGAGATATCCGGCCTGTGCAGGGCGACTTTGTAGGGATATTCCAGCCAATGCGATCCTGCGTAGATTGACTTGCATAGTCGGCATTTTGCCTTCTTGAAGGAAGTGGACTACTCCGTAATACCACTCTCTCGCGCTTTTAGCCAAGGCAAGTTCGTCTGCCCCCATGCAAGGCCCGCCCAGACGATAGGCGAAGTTTGGACAATAGGCCGAGGATCTGCGAAGTTGAACTGTATGAAGAGATTTTGTCTGCAGATTTGTCAATACAAGATATCCGATATGGTGTAGTGGCTAACATCGCTCGCTCTCATTGTTCGAGTGCCGAGCAGCCCTGGGTTCGATTCCCAGTATCGGAGGCTTAATTTTTTGCTGGCGTATCATATACATATTCTTTTTTTTTTTTTTTTTTCTAGTTGTGAAAGTGGCGACGATGTTGTAGTTGTTTATCGTAGTTGGAAAAACAGGGATAGAGGAAGTATTATTTGTGTTTTGGATTGCGTCTCCGTCAAAGGAAGGAGCTGAATCTCCTAGTGCCTGAAGGATCGAGGTCCCGCTTAGGGACTATCAACTTAGCTGGCTCCTGCCAGGGCATTTAAATTCAAAGAAGAGCAGCAAATGAAAAATGACGAGTTTAGATCATTTCATACACTATTATGTTAAGCATATATCACTCTCATATTCTGACGTACATATATGTATATATATATACCTAGGTATATGCATAATGTGTCCTTTGATCGTGATGATATCTCACGCAACAGATGCTGATAGTTCTCCATTCTCGCGTCTCAATTCAACTCAAGTGAGCAGCTTTACTCTCTGTAGCAATGTACAGGATAAAGCAAGCCTCTCATCTCTTCAGATTATTTTTCTACTATCAATTGCTCTATCTAAATGGCGTCTACCAAATAATAGTATCCACGAAACGCCCAAAAATTCTATATAAGCTCAGGCAGGCGCCCTAATATCACATAATACCAACTTCGTGCTGAAAGAAAATGGCCACCGTCTGTCGTCCCATCTAGGCCCTCGTTTGTTCAGTAAATAAATCCATCATCATATCACGTTACAAAGTATTGACTTTTTTTTTCTTCTTCTTCTTCTTCTTCTTCTTTTAGTTGTTCTCTATCCTTCCCCATCGAATCGCCCATTTCGTCATCAACACATGAGCTCTGTTTCTCTTTCATTTGTTTTTGCAAGAAAGAAAAAAAGATGGTGCCGCATTATACAACATATTCTAGTGGCGAATGTACTTGGAATATGTAAAAGTTTTCCCGTAATACGGTGTCTTCTTTTAGTGGCTCTTGATGCCATTAGGCTTCAAGACTGCCGCCTCGTGGTGAGGGTGCTTAATGGTCAAGCACCAAATGTCGAGGTAGTCACAGATAGTAACAATGACATCCACGACAAAGCTTCCGTAGACACCAAGCGCCGTGCCGAGCATCAGGAAAACAAAGGCAGTCTGGTACACGCCCTCGCCGAGAGAGCTGGGCCAGCCAACACCGTATTTGCTCAGCAGAACCGGGCCAATCGAATCAGCAACGCCAAAACCAATCAGCACGCCCAAGATGTTCCAGTAGGGGAAGGGCATCTTGGTAAGGTGCGCGGTAATCATCTGCCCGACGCTGTAGGCATTGACGAGGCCAGCGAACAGGGCAAAGGGAATCAGATGGTGGTGGAGGATGTTTGGCTGCAGGTAGAGATAGGTGACGATCAGGGCCCAGATGGCAAAGAAAGGCACAAGGCCAAGAAGGGCGCCGCGTGATCGGTCGCCGCGAGCACGTCGAGCACGGATAACGTTGACAGACGACTCCACAGTGTTGAGCACCAGGACAATTGTTCCCTGAACCATGTACCACTCGGTGAATGTAAGGTCGTAGATGAATTGGGGAATGCCTAGCGAGGCGGGAACGCCAATGGCGGCTAGAGCACTCTGCTGCCAGATGTGAGCGCCTCCCATGAAACCCGTCAGGGCAAAGACAGAGGCCACGATGAGCACGCCTTCAACGGGTCCATTGACGATGCCGAGAGTGAGAGTCTTGGTGTGGTATTCGTCCCAGGTCTGGACATAGAAGGTGAGAAGAGCTGGTAACTCCGATTAGTATTGCTAGTTTTCCTCTTCATCTTGTCTGCCATGCATGCATGATTCCCCATATAAGAGGCGGGTGGGACGATGGAGGGGGAAGTGGGGGAGAAGCAAAAACCGAGGAAGCCTTACAAGCAAACAGAGTAGCTACCGTCTTCCAGCCTTGGCCCATGTTCTGGGATGCGGCAAAAATGAGGACCTCCAGAGACGTGTTCAGGGCATCGACACCGTGATCGAAAAGCTCACCGAGGGGTCCGGACTGTTTGGTTCGTCGTCTGCAGAAATTCGCCTCAAAGTTAGCTCTCTTGATACCACTCGAGCTCCAAGCTCCTCAATCCACGGAAAACAACGCGTGGAGACACCGGAGAAGACAAGGGACTTACGCTTGGGCACCGTCAACAGCGTCAAACGTCTGGTAGAGCAGCAATCCGATGGCCCAGCTGTAGTACACCCAGCTTGGACAGTCCTGATCCAGCGTGGGGTTGTACCACAACATGGTCAAGAAATTGATGACGACGAACATGAATCCCGTCAGGGTGATTAGGTTCGGTGCCATGCTCATTGGGAAGCAATGGATGACGAAGTTGGTGTAGAAAGGCTTGAGGATGTATTTGGAAACCAGCGACCGATCCACGGCAGAGTACTTGTACTCTTTCAAGGCCGGGAGGTTGTGCTGCCGCACGTAGACCATCTTATCTTGCTTCTTCTTTCTCGTTGTGTGTGTCGATTTATTTTCGGGTTCGCAATGCCGCCGCAATGCCCGTCTAGGCGTTTTTGTAGGATCTCGTTTCGGTTGGGTGTCAAGATCGTATCGGCTTGGGTCAAAGAATGGGCGTCTGGTGTTTTCCCACGCCGCAAAAAGGAAAAAAAAAAAAGACCAATCAACACAGAAAGCAAAAACAGGCCCAGCGCCGTCAATGGAAAGAAGCGAGCCGAGAGAGAGAGAAGCCGCTCGTGAGGACACAAAACAAGGCTAGGAATGACCTCCTTTGTTTGGTAGCGTGTGTTGTTATTAATTTAATTTAGTATGAAGTAATGGCTGCCACCAGATGGTTGTCACGAGGAATTTTCGGCCGCACAAAAGCGAAGGACTGACATCAACTACAGCCATTTGCGCCCTAGTCAGTTCTCGGAAGTCCAGAAGGGGATTTAGTGCCGAGAGCAAGCTGGGGAGCTTACCTAACAATCAGTGAAACAACTTGCTACGCCAGCCTCTTTCGAACAATAAATATGTAAAATAAATCTAAAATACATTTGCAAATGTTATTTATTGACCAATCTGCTGGGAAATGGTTAAAATTTAATATTTAAACTTAACCCCACTGTTTTATACAATGAAGATGTTTACTACCTTGATTGTAGCAAATCCTTTTGCATAGGTAAATCTAGGTGTACTATTTTCCAGCAGCATGCAGCAATTCTCGTATACAAAACAACATGTACCTACATACACAACACTCGTTATAGAGGTACTAGGAAAGTAGTAGTCTTTTGCTACAATTCGTGTTTTACGCATATTTCAATAGCAGTGAAGCCACTCGTACAAAACATTTGTAACAAGGCATCGCTGACTCCTCGTCACTCACCAGGTCGTTGCTCACTGTCTCCATCCAATTGTGGCGAAGATGCAATCGACTGAATCCTCAGGAATGGAGAAACCAGCCAGCAGTAGAAATCGATGTAGAGGAGTGTTCAAATAACTATATTCGGACAGATCAAGTCTGCATGCATGTATGTATAAACCTGACTTACTTTGAGAGGCCTGGCAGTGTGAATACTATCTACTCCTAGGCAGTACTAGGTAGATTTCGCCTTTTAAAGCCCTGGAGATGCCATTCACAGCTTCTTCTCCAAGACGTAAATCCGATCAGCCATCTCTTCCCTTGGCTATCCCGTATTTCTCATGAATTAGTTTCTCCTTCTCCTTGCTGTTACCAGCAATTCTCGAAATTCTGCGCCTCCCTCTCCTTCAGCTGATTCACCCCTTCTGCGCAATATGGAAATAATCCTTCTGTTCCACAATCGAGCCGTCCCTCCAGCTCAGCAACGACACCCCCCTCATCACCACCTTATCTCCCCTCACAGTTCCCAGCGCCGTCGACGGCAGCCTCGCCGTCCATTTCACGTCGCATTCCCAAATCGTCAAATCAGGCGTCCCAGTCACACACCGAGTGACGAATTCCACGTTCTCGTTGTACTCGATCAAGTCAGAATAGAATGCTCGAATCCATGTCTTGTCGACTCCTACCAGCCCGAATACTTTTTTTCAGTAAAAAACGAGACATGGTTAGCCATAATAATCTTGTAGTGCATCAAGAACAAGGGCATCACTGCTTAACCGCTGGTCTCGCGTAAGACAGACAGACAGACAGACAGACAATAAGCGGGGGCAATCAACTCCCACCAAAACTCACAATGGGCTGAGAATCTGGCGTCGTCCGCATATAACTCCAGAATGGCTTCCAGATCCAGGCTATTATAAGTCGACTCTAGAATTGCCATGACGCCAGCAGCGGCGGCCATGATGCCTCTGCCACTACCACTATGCGGAGAGAGGGAGAGGATGCTCCGTTTTGGTTGTTTGTGTGTGTGTGTGTTTTGTACCAGCTTAGCTCCCTCGCCTCAAAGCGGGAAGTCGTGTATTCTTTATATCGCCCATAATTTTTACACGGGTGCCATCACCTCCATGCTCCATGCTCCATGCTCGTCACACAATCCCATGCGCGAAAAGCAAATGGCCATCTAGCCATATACACACGTACTCTGCTCCATAACCCCATCCTGACTTGCTCTTTTTCTGTCTATCCTAACGCCCAGGCCCTGTATCTTATCTTAGCCTCGATGCAACTATATAACATAATCGGGCGCACCTTTGGAATCAATCTGGACCACACAGCTCCCATTGGCTTGCTGCTGGCAAGCCCTATCCTAGACGCTGTGTTTTTGGACCCCCATTTCCTCCCGGGTTTCCGCGTCGCCTAGTTCACGCAGAGCTCTGTAACATGCGATATTAGCCTTGTCTTTTTGAAAGAGTTGCATGGCTACGTGAATTGCAATTGAGATGGTTTTTTTTTCTCCCTCCTTTATTTTAAGGCAACAAGGTACTAGGTAGATATTAGAGACATCCGTCGCTTGTGACATGCCTACGAAGCTACTAACATGCACACTACACCTGCACAAGTCTTCTTTAGCAGCAGCACCACCCATTTTTAAGATGCATGCGAAATGCAATACTATTTATTCCATTATTCTCAGTTTGTAATGCGTATACATTTATCTAAATTGGGAAGGTTAGAAATTAGTAGCAAAATGCGCCAGGAGCCAGTGTTTTGGTGCTGCTAGGCATCACGATCAACCTGTCAGCAGCTTTCCGGCTCCTCTCCTTAGCTGCCTACTTAGAAGCCTAGCAGCCATCGCCATAGTTTAGAAACAAGTGGACGGAGAAATAGGCCCAACCAAATATCACGAAATGCATGCGATATACCTATTACTAATTAGCCGTCCTATGTATTCATATTCCAGGATCTCTGATATATGCTAATCAAGTCCCCAGCAGGCGCCTCTTCTCTCATCTTCACAAGCCGATATTCCAGTCCTATTCTATTCATCCAACCGTTCACCTACCATTACCCACAAAGCTTTAAACTAATTCTCCTGCTCTCCATTATCAGATTAGCTATAAATATCCATATCTACTCCTCATTTTGATCAGTTCCATTTCTCGACCCTGTTTCCTCTTCGTGGGTTCAAATTAGCTCGGCCTAGAACTGTGTCCAAGAGTGCGAGTTCACTTTTAACCTGGTCCTTACTAGACTGCAACTGCATATTTTCTACAAATGCCTCATCACTTTCTCCAGAAGCAGAGCTTCCCTTCGAAGGGCGCCCATCGCCAACGGCACCATAAATATTCTTTGGCCTTGGTGGATAGGTGGGCTCCACGATAAGCTTTGGCAGTGGATAAGCATCTTCAAGCAAGCCAGTTGCCGCGTACCATTTGATATGCGTTTGTCGAGTTCGCTCCCGTATTTCAGCTTCGGTCAAGCAGGCTGGATGTCCCATGCACTGAGGAAACATAGGAGCAGTCGGCTCGCGGAGTTCTCTATTGTAGTAATTAGACCAAATATCAAATATGGCCTGTGGAGTGTAAGGGTCAATCGAGTTGAAGTAAGCCTCCCTTTGAGCATTGGAGTAGTATAACTCCTCTCCATCGCCATTACCATTGGCTTGGTAGGTCCACTTGGATGGCACTCTAGAGTACTGCAGCTCATCCGCATCGGGAGAATCTTCAAAGTCAGAATAGCCAGGATAATATTGCAGAGTCTCTCTGGGGAGAACTGAGTCTTCTGTAACGTTGTCGAATTCATTTTGAATAGGAGTTGGCATAGCCCCGAAAGCCTCTGTCGTCGACGATCTGAAGTATGGAATAAACTCTTCATCTTGTGCAATGTAATCTTGAGTAGTCATTGGAGTTTCAGTGAATTTGTACAAAGAATCAAGGGAAAGATGGTTATCATCTTCGCGGGCTTGGGCGAAGATACCTTGAGAATCTGTTGGCATGGTGCTGAGCGCCTTGAATGTCGATTCGAATGTCGAAGGGCGATATTGACGTTGGCCAGGCGGGCCCGCAGTCAATGGCTTAGGGGCGCCGGCGCTCGCAGCAAGGCTCATGGATGTTGAAAGATGAAGATCCGAGTTATCGCTATGGATAGATGGAGTCGAAAGCCGAGATGATGATGCGATGGTATTATTGTAATCACTATTTGCCGCGGTTTCGGATATTGTTACTCGAGCACTCTTCCGAGACTTTGGGAAGCGAAAGACGGCAGGATCCGAGAAAGCGTGGAGCCGCGATCTCATATGTGGCGGCAAATATTCACCTAGGGGAACGCTTCCTCCAATCGGGCTGGTATTACGATATGTAGAAGGCGTGTCCAGTCTGGATGGTACGCTCAACGTGCTGTTACCTCTTGGCTTTGTCCCCCGAAGAAGCGCCTTCTGAGCGCTCTTTTGGTTCGGATTCGGGTACGAGGCCAAGTTCTGGAGAGACTTGACAGTCATATTCATGAGGGCACTGGTTATGATGCCGTCCTCGTCATCACTGCTGCTCGCGTCGGCCGCGATGCCTTTGCCCTTTAGGTCAAACATAGGAGCAGACGACTGTACGCTTATGGACGACGACATTCTGGACGCTTGATCCTGAGTGCCCACGGGGCTGACAGCGCGATCATAGTTCTGCTGCAGAGGCTCGTAGGAGATTTGTCGATCCGGGGGAGCCTGGGTCTGGGCAAGATTTCCACTCATGTAGACTCTATGTAACGCATCTGGCTGGTGTCTAGGAAGAGGGGAGTTGGGGAATTTCAGGTTATCAAAATCCGATGTCGCCTTGAGCGAACGGCCACGGCGAGCAGGGGGCTGGAGCCGCTGAGAAGAGCTGGGGTTGTAGATAGTCCCCGCTGTTGTATAGGTTGTTTGCGAGGGTACAGAGCCAGACGAGCTAGACGCCACAGAAGATTGGAAAGGCAGAGTTGGGGGAGAAGATTCTTCGTCCATTGTTGGATATAGAGTGGTTCCTGTCTTGTTTCTCAGTCGGATGGCTGCCGCCTGGCGAGAAAGAATGTGAATTGCGATAAGAATGATAGTCTGCAGGAAGGTTCATGTCAGCTATGAAGCGAGTCAAGCGAAGAAGAAAGAGGGGAAGAAGAAAAAAACACAGGGCGGCTGTTTGCACATCACTTGGAAAATGAGAAACACGCAACGTTGAAGGAGAAGAGAAAACCGAGAGGGATGGTGTGGGATATTACAATTCAAAGCTGAGGCCAAAGAGGATAGTCAGATCCAAGCGGTGGCCAAATGAATTGATACGTCAAGCGGGCACGTGGATGCCAAAAGGGTCTTCTCCAAGATGCGGCTCTGCGATACTGAGATTTCCCAATGTATCAACAGCCGCGATCCAGTGATGCGAAGTGCAAGAAGAAACTGGTTTTATGTAGAAAAGGCGAAAGAGGGATGCCGATGGAAGAAAGAGAGAGAAGGGGTGAAGGCGATAGTGGGAATCTAACGAGTAGGTGAGGGCGGAGAAGGCGGAAAAGGCGGGCAAGAAAAGTGGCAGAACTATGATAGGAAGGCGTTGGGGCACAGATAGTTGGGGAGTGCCTTCCTCAGAAGCTGCCGTGGGTTATAAGATGGGAGAGAAGGAGCGAAGGGGGAGCGGGCGGGGGGTTGGGGGGGACAGGAATACTTGGTGAAGACTTCTTACCGTTCGAACGTCCAAGGAGACGAGGTTTAATAGCCAAACACTTAGGCAAGCGATGACGAAGAAAACGGTGGAAACCATCGTGAAGAATGAAAAAGGAAGCAGAGCAATGCGAAAACGGGGAGGGGTGCCTCCAAACACAAAGTGAGGCCGAAGTGAAGTGAGCAGGCCCAACAAACTACCAAAGGTCGTTGTAAGCAGCTACGTGAAAGCCAAACGAAAAAAGAGTAAAAGTACAAATTCTACAGCCAATGCCGGTACCTTCCGTCTATAGCTTGTATGGGTGTCAAGAGTTAAGTAAGCTGGCTCATTCAATATATTCTCTCTATAAAGGTATCGTCAGTGAATCGCCTTGTACTTCGAAACTAAAATCAGGGGGCGTTGGTAATGGCTGGGGAACTGTGTTGATTATAGCCGAAGATGATGATGGATGGCTGATGTCTATGGCGTTGAATATGTTCGATACGATAGCTTTAGTCTTCAAATTAGCAAACTTGGGCGGCAACGTTTCTCTACGCTTAGATGGACTATGACGGCTACTAAGTGGATATTTATTACTGCTCAGGTCTCCGAATTTGTCATCTTGTTCACTCATGCATCTCCAACTTCTTTGAGACAGCACTGCCTCTGTTGAGACTGACGTGTTGTTCACCCATTGTCTTTATCTCTTCGCTATCCTAATAGCTGCGTATACTACGCAACATATCCCTTACAAATAGTTAGTTGTTATCAAAGAACAAGAAAACAAAGGCTCAATAAAGTCTTGATACTTTTCAATTCATTCCTAGTATTCCTCCCTGGGTATGATCAAGATGCGTTTCCCGTATTGTCAGACTTTAAAAAAAAAAAAAAAAAAAAAGGAAAGAAACAAAGAATGAAAGCAAGAAAAGAAAGAAAAAGGGTTAAAAAAAGCAAAGGCCCCGCGTCAAAGATAGCCAAATCGTCCTCACAAAAGTAGAATCTATTAATCTCAAGCGTCGAATACTCCACGTCCCATAAAAGGCATCGTTCGTCGCAATGTCGTAAAGAAGAAGGATAGTGCATTCGTCAGTCACTCTCCAGACCGAGAGGGCTATCGCAGTGCGCAATATAGAAGTAAGACACGTAGTGAAATGAAAAAATTATGCCGAAAGCAGTGTATATCCTGAGGCGCAAGCGCCATGCAGTATGACAAGCTGTGGAAATTAGATCAAGGCCAAAAGTTGCTGTCGTAGGTTGAAGAAGAAAAGGTTCGACATTAAATTTCAGAAGGCCGATTTAAAATATGCGGAAGAAGGAAGAAGAGAATATGGAAAGGTTAAAAAGAGGAGACAAGAAGATACAACAGCAGTGGCCCATTAGCTCGACCCTTATAACCACGGCTAAGCACACAAGGATGGATTTTTCAAAGCAAGCAAAGATGTTTGGAGAAAGGGGATAGGCCATAGAGCAATAACATATGCCAGAACTACACCTAGCGGCCCGGATACGCGCTGTCAGGGGTCATGCCTGGTAATCTTCGTTTCCCTGCGGCCGTCGATCGGCCGCCGGGAAGCTTGAAGTCGGGATTGTCCAAAAGTATGTCTTGGCGCTGTTGCACTGGCCGGCGTGCCGGCATTGGGGGTGGATTCCATTGCGGGTTAATTCCACGCTGCGAGATGGACGTAAAGTTGGAATGTTCCGACTCTGCGGGACTGCGTGTTCCGCCACCAGCAGCTCGCATCTCCTCGTAGTCGACTTCTGTTGTTGGTTGGACTCGGAGCGGCGGAGGCGGTGTCCGACGACCCGGAGGAGTATGTGCGGACTGGTCAAACCGTGGGTCAACATCTTCGTAGTAGTTTCCGGCGCCCTTGGCGTCGGCTACCGGAGCAGCGGCGCCAGAGAGGTCAGGCGTAGGACCCCGGCGAGTCGTTGCGAGAGGTGCCAGAGGTGCCACATGAGGTGAGCTTCTCCCTGTTTCTTGATTCCATGCGGCGCGGGGTGCCATGTTTTGCCTAAGGCTCGTTAGTAAATCCGATGTAGTGTCAAGGGCATCAGGAGATGGCGCATACTCGTCTTGAGAATATCTGCTTCCGTCGCTGGCAAATGTCTCTCTCCGTGGGGATGAAGGCTTCTTGCCCTGCTGGAGATTCACCATCCCAGCAACGTCTGTGTCGCTATCCCTAAGATTGCCATACTGATCACCGCTATTGCTTGATGCGGCGGCTGGCGTTGCGTCCATCTCGATCGCCTGTGCTGATGAGGAAATAGCAGACTCAGTCGGTTCAGGGAGCGGTGGAGGGGATTCTGCCCTGGGCAATTCGAGATCCGGACGATATGGCATAAATCGGTTGCTACTGCTGTTATCGCTGGCGCTGGCGCTGCGACTCGGTGCTGGATAATTTACCATGGGGTCAGACTGTGCCTGTTGGGCCCCAGCATAAAGCCCTTGCTCGTCAACGTAGCCCTGCTGCTGTTGTGGCAGCCTGTTATATTGGCTAACCATGTTCTCATTTGAGTAATTCATGGGCGGAGGACTACGTGTGCCTCCGCCTCTAGGCATGTTATAGTATGGGCCGTAGCCACCGCGAGATTGCGGTCCATATCCTCCTCCTCCTCCCCCTCCTCGACCACCACGGGGCCCGTATCCACCTCGGCCGGGAGGGCCATAACCACCGCCGCGTCCTCTCATGGGGGCGCCGTAGCCTCCACGGCCTCCACGGCCACCGCGATATCCATTAGAGGGGTCGGTGGCCTGTCTGGTGGGGCCGCGGTTCATACGGTCATAAGGCTGTCCAGCCGCTACTCCATAGGCATTATTGGGATAGTTGCCGTATGGGTCCTGCGATGCAGACCTCTGTGGTCCGTTGTATGGGCCGCCAATGTCACTGCCTGGAACTGCGGCCATATCGACGGCCATGGGCTGCATCCCATTGTTCGACCTCTCAGATGTAGTTCGCTGCGTCAGAGGAATGTGCTCGTCGCTGACCTGGTCGTCTCGCTGGGTCTCATACGTGGCGAATGCAGGCAGAGTGTCTTGCGTGCCACTTCCGCCGCTAACGATGGTCGGCACGGTGGGCTGGGATGACATGACAAAGGCAGATTTGGGCTCTTGCTCCTCTCGGTTATAGTAGTTTTGGGCATTCATCTCTGCATTCTCTGCAATTCTTCTCCTTTGGTCTTTTCGGCTGATCAGAGTGCGCCGCATAGCGCAGGAGACGAGGCAGCTTAGGAAAACCAAGGCCGTGGCAGCGATGACAATGTAGGTGCCCCATGCCAGGTGAGGAATGAAGAGCAAGACATCGATGACGAAAGCGGCAAGACAGACGAGGAAGGTGATGAGGTTGAAAATTAAAAAGGCGAGCAGATACTTTGACGAGTGAGAAGCAGAGCGGAAGTGGGCAGCAACGGCCATGAAAAACATGACCAGCGTCAGGAATGCGGCCACGGGGTGAAGAACTAGGATCGTAGAGAGCGTATGGCGAACACCGCTCGGCAGGTCGAAATCCTGAGACCTTTGATTGGCGATGACGCTACCTATAATGTCGTATGCCATTGTTAGCCGTTGTATCCAGTAAAGCATGCTGACGGTAGACGGGCAGATGGGAGAAGAGGTGAGAGGAGGAGGAAGTTTGATTCTCACCAATGTCGTAGCCGATGCCAACGCTGCTGCAGCCCGAGGGCTTGCAAAAGCCAAAGACGCCAAACTGAACATTATCGAAGCTGCCGAGTGGAATGGCCGAAATTATGGGTGCCGATATCACGGAGAGGAGCAGCAGAGCAAAGGCAATCCCAAGCAGCACTGACAAGGGCGTCGCCGGTCGCAGCATGCTGACGGTGGACAAGAAGTGCCCAGCAACAGCAGACGTCGATTAGGCGACGCGAAATAAGGACGGATCACGCTCTGGGAGCCAGCGAGAAGATGGAGGATGGTGAATCGAACTGAGCGGTGGAGAGCTTGTTATCAGGCTGAGGAAATCCAAAAGGGAGTGTAGCGCGGAGAATCAGAATAGTAGTAGATGTTATCGTCGATGTAGTCGTCGTCTGGGAGTCCCCTGCTGATCCTGGCTACCAGGTACGGAGAATTGTCGCATGTACTCGTATTGCGCACGCGAAGTAGTCGAACGAATGAATGGCGCCCAAATGCGTTACGGTGCTGCTATTCTCATTATCCTCCACATAGTTCAAAGCAACTTTGGGCGATAGCGAAGGGCGACGATTTTCGACGGATTGTAAACAGAGAAGCAAAGAAAGCCGCCCTACGTGAAAGAGTGAAACAGGGTTGCCGGCCGCAGCAACAAGGAAACGAGCTGGAGAGGGCAGAAAAAATGGCTACCCAGATATTGTTGTTTGCTCCAGGTGGGCCCGCCGTCTGGGTGAAATCTGAGGGTCTGCGGCAAACAACAACACAAAAAAAAAATAGAGCAGAGCAGAGCAGAGCAGAGCGTTGGAAGGGGGGGGAAGATGGAAATTTGGTGGTGATCCTGGAGGCGGGTGGAGAGAGCCGCTGCACCGTCTCGCTCTCTCTAACAGGCGCGTTGTAGGCTAAACGTTGTAGATGGATGCAGCGCTAAAGGTGCCTGTCTCATAGCGCAGTCTAGCGCATCTCCGCCAACCAGAGACCCCCACACGAAGCCCCGAACGGGGACAGAGGAGCGAATCCACAGTGCCGTTCGCGGGCTGCTAGGCCTCGGACAAGCATAGCGCTGACCCTCCATGGCGCAGGGCGGGCGAATGAGATGTAGCGAAGCACGCAATTTGGCAGACGCGGTACACTAATAATACTTAAGTATGTCACAGGCACAGAGACAGGCACAGGCACAGACTCGCCACGGGCCAGAATCGATAAACCCAGCCAACATGCATGGACGGAAATGAAATTTTGAGTTTGCGAGGCTCGAATCTTGGATGCGCCCAATTGTGATACGAGCGCACATGATCCCGTATAACCAGAGACTTGTCAATGATGAGAATTTTAAATTTTCTTTTATTAGTGCCAATACGATTCAATACAATGCTGCGGTTGCACAAATTCGGTTGCATGAACATTTGCTGTAGCAGTAATATTACGCGTTTCTGGTTCCCTGTAATTTGCTGGCCTCGCCAGGTACACCGCATGTACCCATGTGCACTATTAAGCGTCGGGTAGCACAAACCCGCTCAAAGCTGCTGCTCGTTGCCTGAATGGGTTCTAAAAATGGCCTGGACCTCACTCATCCTCGTGCTGGAATCAATTGTCGGTACTGTAGCACCTCTGACCCGCATTTTGCCATACATACATGTGTGTGTGTACGGAGTATACAGGCCCATCATCATCAGCGCCACGCAGATTTTCCCCATAGCAGAGCTCCTTGCTACATACAGTAAGACATCGCCTGGTGGCTTTCGTTGGGGCCGCACTATCGAAATGATGCGCTGCAAGTCATCGGCTAATGCTAGCACTTGTGCTTCAACAGGTACGAGTGCGTCCAAGAGCAGGTTGAGCATCGCATCTTTGAGAGAAAGGGGAGAGGCGCCTTTGGATAAAGACGATGCAGTCTGCTCCAGCTTGCCCGCTTCGAGCAGGTCGGCTGGCCGTGGAAATGAGCAGCGCTGGCTCTTGGTGTGCTTCTGGGTCTATTGGAAGCATTTTCCTCCGGCATGCGCTCCGAGCTTGGCCTAATCTACTCTGCACGCCTTCGTTTTTGCGCAGGGGGCATTTGCCGTCATAGACGAGCGTTATTGGGTCCTCGTTGCGACAATTGACGCACCAAACGCCATCGCCAGCAATGCCTCTCTTCCTCCTACGGCGTCTGTAGCGACTTGCGGCGTCAGCACCACACAGAGCGGTCGGGCAAGAGACTCTTCCCCAGCAATCACGCACTCAGGGTTTCGCCACTGCTCCAATGATGATGATGCAGCGTTTGACGAAACGAGGCCCCCCTGCCGGGCTTTGTGCGGGTTCACTTGCTCGCTCGGATGGACCAGCTCCGTGCGGTGCTCCAGCGCTAGGGGAAGAAGCGAAGCTAGGCGGGCCCGCAAATGGCTAGAACAGATAGCAGAGCCATCAGTTTTCGCCGGCGGCATTGTCAACGAGTTAGTGTGCCGTATATTACTACAAGTTGTAATTCATCGCCTATACTGCAGTTGCACTCACTATTGGTAATGGTTTTAAGAGGAGTTGTTTAAGAGGAGTTGTTTAAGAGCTTGCATGATGATTTTGGCTGACGGGATGCAACTTGAAAGGTTTTCACTACCAATCATTCGTCAAAGCTTACATGCACTCGCATCTCCTGTTTCAACTACTCTCCCACCCGCTTCTCTACATCATCGCCCAGCTTCATTCAACTACTAGCTCATTGACTTGGGTGGTAAAGTAGTACCTATTCAGGCACTACATAACTCAAGCTCTTATAATACATACAGTTTTGTCCACGGACAGCATATACGAAGTCAGCTGCAAGTTGCTGCGTGCAATTCTCCATGCTTTTAGATAGGCCATCTGAGTGGCTCTTCACTGAGCTATGGAAGACACTCTCCGCATAGAAAGTCGTGCGATTACTGTAGACGTGCATACTCGGGCTAAAGTACTGGTAGTATTCATGACCAGAAAAGTGCACCTGCAGCTGAATCAGTCGATCTGATGCAGTGTTTTCGATACCGCTAGTGCTAGCTCCGAGAATAGCTGCACTGGAGCGGGCCACGCTTATGTATGCAGTCGCCAGCCATCTTATCTTATCTCATTCCCGCGTCTGTGAAATGTCGTCACATGCTGGAGCCTACCCTGAATCACTAATCGTTCTTTTCACGATGCAGGAATTTAAGGCAGCGATCTTGGTATCAACACGCCTCATGCGTGTCTCGATGACTATTAATGAATTTTTTGGTGTCATCTTACAGCTCTACTAAGCGTCATGGTCTATACGTAGCATGAGCTTTTGTTTTGTTTAACTGATAGTCCTCGTAGCATTTAGCATGTAAGCTTTATCTCTATAAACTCACTATAAATTCACTAGCAAGGATACGACTCAGTTGATAGGTGATAATACACTCCGTAGTCAATTATACTAGTAAACAGCTAAGGTACAGCTTTCATAAACGATGCAGCATGTAAATGAAGCCAAAAAACGAAGCAATATTTCAATCACACAAAGTGCCCACAATCAGCTCACGTTCATGGTTCTCTGTAATACCTGTCATCAAATGGACAAACCTCGGACCTACCGCAATACCGGCCCCGATGGCGGATCCGAGGAGCCACAAAATGCCGCGGCGGGAAATCCTTCAAAACTACCGCCACCATCTCACTCAGCAGCTCTCGACGACATTTTCCACCCCCCGCTTCCATTTATGACCTCCTCCTCCTCCTCCTCCTCCCGAATGACGCCGCGGTAGAGCTCATTGATCTTTTGACAAATGCCCAGCATGCTTTGCCGCAGCAGCGGCCTGGGCCTCTCGAGACAGGCTCTGCTGCGCAACCAAGCCTTCGTGCGGCGCATCCAGAGCTCGGGGCCATTCCAACCACTGCGGCCGCCATCACCCGCCGACCTGGGAGCACCACGAGCTGCCAAGCAGTACAAGCGCAGCCGGAAATGGGGACGTCGATTGCTCATCACAGCAGCCGTGGGCGGCGCCATCTACACCGTAGATTCACAGGTGTACGCTTCCAGCCTTGGTCGATCGCTTCGCACATTTGGCACGGCCATGATTGCTGCGCTGGACTATAAGATCAACTTCCGACCAGAACCATGGACGGGGGGCTCCGTGGCTGACCTCCACCTGCGTAACGCCGAAAGGCTTTGCGATCTGCTGCGGGCAAACGGTGGATTGTACCTCAAAATTGGCCAGGCAATTGCCATGCAGAGTGCGGTTCTGCCACCCGAATTCCAGAGAATGTTTGCCCGGATGTTTGATGATGCGCCACAAGACGACTGGAAAGCCGTCGAGGCGGTCATCCGAAAAGATTTTGGGAAGAGCGTAGAGGAAGTATTTGGGGTCAGCTTCACTGGCAAGGAGGGTTATGGAGTCATGGAGAGAAAGGCCCGCGCGAGTGCAAGTGTTGCTCAGGTCCACTGGGCAAGGCTTCCGGATGGCAGAGAAGTGGCCGTCAAGATTCAGAAACCAGAGATTGCAAAGCAAATTGCGTCGGATCTCTGGACTTTCAAGTATGTCGCCGCGTTCCCTCCTCCCCTCTGACGACTGGCCGCAGAAAAAGATACTAACATTGCATGATTCTGAAAGGACTGTAACGTGGATTCTTTCGAAGCAGTTCGACCTTCCCCTCTACACCCTAGTACCGTTCATCTCCGAGCGCATAGAGCTAGAGACAGATTTTTTGAGCGAGGCCAAGAATTCGGAAACGATGCGCCAGCTGGTCAACTCAGAGAGCCGTCTGAAGGGGCGGGTTTACATCCCCACTGTATATTCCGAACTTACCACGAAGCGAGTATTGACAACTGAGTGGATAGAGGGCATCAGGCTGTGGGACAAGACGGCCATGACTTCAAGATGGCTGGGCGGACGTGGAAAAGGCAGCCCAGGCGCAGGCACCCCTTTGCCGCCAATTGATATGGATCTTGCCCGTCGCCAACTGCGCATAGAAGCCCACCGAGACAAGATCAAGCCGGAGCGCCAGGAGTGGAAGGGCTTGCACGGAAGAGGAGGCCTTGGCTTGAGCACCAAGGAGGTCATGACCACCATGGTAGATCTCTTTTCTGCTCAAATCTTCAAATGGGGCGTTGTCCACTGTGACCCTCACCCAGGAAACATCTTCATTCGAAGGCTTCCTAACGGCCGTGCCGAATTGGTCTTGATTGACCATGGCCTCTATGTATATATGTCGCCGACGTTCCGCCATCAGTATGCCAGATTTTGGAAGGCTCTCATGACATTCGACAACAAGGCCATAGCTGACGTCACCGGGCAATGGGGCATCAAGGCGGCAGACTTGTTTGCCAGTGCTACGCTGATGAAGCCGTACGAAGGCGGCGAAAACGTCATGCAGAAAGATTTGAAGGAGCTACAGGGTCTGACCAGGGCGGAGAAACATTATGTCATGCAGCGCAAGATGAAGCAAGGGATTCGAGACATTCTCGCGGACGAAGACAAGTGGCCCAAGGAGCTTGTTTTCATTGGGCGCAACATGCGCATCGTCCAGGGCAACAACCAGTTCCTGGGCTCGCCGGTTAACCGCATCAAGATGATGGGCGAGTGGGCGAGCCGTAGCCTGTACGAGGACCCTAATCTTCCCTGGATACAGCGGGTGAACAACGTATGGCGACACATCATATTCAAGTCGGTCATGACTGTGACGGACATTGCGTTTTATTTCTTTAAGCTGCGGCAGCTACTCGGCCTGGGTGGCGGCATGGAAGATGAGATGGAGCGTCGCGTGAAGAGTATGACGCAGTACGGCATGGAGGAGGAGCCCGATATGTTCGAAGGGTAAAGAAATGGCTCTCTATAAAACATCGATGGGCGGTTGCTATTGTTATTGTTATTTTCCTTTCTCTCCTTTCATCCTTTTTTACTTCCCATGCCCCCCACAATGTTTGTAGAGAGAGGCGCTGGCTGGACCGCATTGCTTCTTTATAGACGGAAAAAGCAGAGGGAACAAGAGCGTTCGGCAGGCATTCGAATTATACTGGTCAGGTTTGACGATGATAAAATGTACTGTATGTATAGTATGTACGAGTATAGATGGACGATATATACCACTCATATTTGCGACGGCAGTCGGCTGCCTTGGATTATCATGGCACTGTTGCTGGTGATGTGATCGATCAGTCGTTGAAAACTATTGGTAATTGCAAGTTCTCGAACAGAGGCCTGTCGAGCACGAGTAATTCAAGACATTCTTGTACTCGCCGGCACATTGTTTTTCTTGTGCTATTGGAGCTAGCCTCAGCCTCGTCCATGTAGCCAAGGGTTGGGCGGCGGGTTTTTGTGGTCCTCATGGAAAAACAAAGCCGCAGTGGGCAGTTTCACGCTTTCACGCGAGAAGGGAGGACCCTCCATGGGAACCAGTGCCGATGCATGATTGGCAGCGTCTGGTTAGTGTGACGAAGTTGCATGGCGAACTGGAAGCGGAACCTGCAATTTTAACCACTTGCAGGGATTGGCAGGGGAGCGGGTTTGGAGTCGACGCCAAGATTTGGGCAAAGCTCCGCGATGGGAGGGGAATTTGGAGCCAGACCCTGAGATGGCAGATTGGATTGGCGTTGCCAATTTTTTTTTTTTCTTTAGCCGGCCTTGTGTTCTTTGGAGGTCGCGCGGCTCAATCTGTGTCTCTTAGGCCCGATCCGAAATGATACAACTTCTGCCCTGAATTGGCCTCTGTCTCTCGGTTTCTGCCTTGTCTGGCGTCTCTCCATTTCCTTTCCTTTTCTTGTTGGGGAAAATCGTCGTTAGCCTGTTCCTTGTTGGCCCGGGTTTGTTTCATCAGCAACAAAGGAAAAAATCTCATTAGACGGGGGGATGCGAGGCGTGGAGGATGCAGGTGTTGCCCCCCCCTGCTTTGCGCACGAATACCGGTATAAGTGCCATTATGCGAGCAAGCACCGCAATGCATGTAATAATTGGCTGTCAATCCAATCTGGGGAGCCAAGCCAGCGAAGAAGATTAAACGTCCTGCTTAATAAATGGCCAGCATCCAAGCATCCGCATCCCGGGCTGCGAGTATCTCCAGTAGTAACAATAGCAGCGGCAGTACCTGCTTGGGTTATCAGGCAGTAATTTCCTTGCTGGACGTACTCGTATTACTGCCGCTCGTATGCTTCATGCCTCAGGACCCGACCCGTGTTTCTCCAAGTGCCGTCTGGCGATAGTGCGGCGGAGCTTTTTCCCTGCAATCACCAGCTGATCAAGATCAAGACGGATCAGCAGCCGCAGGTGCCGCAGAGTTTCAACTCTATCACGTCCCGTCGCCGGCTGCCAAGATCTCGACGAGGTATCGTGTTGATTCAACCAGCTGCTTACTTACTGCACGCCGTCGTGCTACGGCCACAGCGCTAGTACCACTGCCAACTGGAGGTGCGTCGTGTTTCAAGCTCGCCAGGGGAGCATCATAGGCCCAGCAGGAGACCCCCAATCGCCATGACATGATTGCTGGCCAGGGCTGGTTAGATGGGATGCGCCTGTGGAGAGGCGAAACGGGGCCGGGGGGTCGCCTAGCATCACGAACCTGGACCTCGATTGGCGCCAGCTGCGAAGCTACTGAGTGGCTCCCCTGAAGCCCAGAAGCTGGAGCAGTGCCGGAGACAATGTCGAAGCCAAGAACGCGCTCATCTCTCCTCGCTTCCGCAAGCTCTTTTCCTCTCTCCTCCTCTTGGGAGTTTCCAAACTTCACTCGCTCGCTTCAACCAATTCCCTTGCTGTCATCGCCAACGGCTTCTTCTTCGTTCCCATCATTCAATTCGCCGGACTCTTCGGCGCTTGACGCTGCCGACAGTCCTTGTTTTTCTCCCTCCTCGCTCGTTGCCGCTGTGACATCCGTGCGAAAGCTGTAAGCCGTTACCCTGGCCCTGGTGATACCACGAGCTTTGGGCAACTTCACGAGGAGCTGATCAAAGCGGTGTCGAGCTCCAGCGAAAACCCCGGCTTTTGACGCCTCTCTTTTTTCCATTTTCCTTTCTCAATCTACCAAAGGCGAAGAACAGCCCAAAACTTGCGATTCCCTACGAACATCTTCCCCGCGTCTCGGCTGGACCAGAAAAAAAAAAACAAAAGTTACAATATACACCTCATAAAAGTCACAAATCTTTCAAAAGCAATATTGTGAGTAAATCAATTGCCATTCCTCTTTTACCATCTCTCTTTATTTCTCTTTCAATTCTTTTCCCTCGGCTTGTGCCATCGCCAAGCTCTCCACAGCGACTGTCGACGCCAATCGCCACAAACCCTCGAGCTACAAGATAAAAAATGAGCTTCAACAAACGGCGGCTTTTTTTTTTTTTTTAAATAATACTTTTGCTTCATGCGCAACTTCGTCTGAGCGATTCTGGCGTTGCGCCGCAACCAGCAATGTTTGCGCATCACAAGTAGCTCTGTCTTGCGCCTATACTTTCAATTCTCAGACCTCTGTGACAGTCAGTGCTGCACAGCAAACATGGCGGAATCCGAGTTGGGTCCACGGGCAAGCTCCCTGAACAAAATCGTGGAGATGCTCAGGCTTGAGCTTGGCGACAATCGCAAGAGTGTTGTTTATGGGGCTGCTGCTCCAACTACCCGCCATTCCCGGTCGTAGGCGCTTGACACCTCCAACGCGCGTCGACTAGAACACTGACATTTGTGCTTCTGAATGCGATGCTAATCACCTCCTTTTTTTATTCTCTAGTGACGTCTGCTATCGAATTGGAGTCGACTCCGCTGCACAAGCCCCGCCTCCCCGCCTCTTTGCCTACGTAGCTGGTGCATTAGACCTGCATCGGCAGCCTCTCCATCTGGTATATTTGGTATGGAAAATTCCCATTTGAAACGGCAACGGTATAGCGGCTCGTATTTGTTCGGGTGTGCACCTTTGTGAATTCTGCTTGGCGCGCATATTTAGTGTGGCAGAACCCGAGGCGCCAAATCCAGCGGCAAAGCAAGCCACTCCGTTTGCCTCACTACTTCTGTGTTGCTGACCTTGAGAGTGAGCAGACCATCTTTTGCGAATCTTACCTGATCTAGCCTGGTTGTTTCAGGAACAAAACGCCACCCGACCAAAACTTCTGTCTTATCACTGCGACACAACAGCATATCCCTTTTCATCACAATCGAGAAGGCAAACAGCCGAATCGCTTTATTTTGGCTTATCATTCATCTGATAACCCGCCTCTGGAAAAATAATGAGTTCTCCGCCTCGTCGTTCAACCAGTTTCGGAATGTTGCTCAAACGGACAAAGAGTGGTGATCTGGGCAAGGGCAATAGAAAGACCCAAGCCGAGTTAGATCGCCAGTCTCAGCCCACTCCACGAGCAGCCCCCAAGCTCCCCGAATTTTTCAACAACTCCGAGCAGCTGTCCAAGTCTTTTGCGCCTGAGCTGCAGACCAATTCTACCACTACCGGCGTTAGCTCCATCATCCCAGGTGGTTATTCTGCTCGCGACTCGTCAAGTCGCTCCTCAGCAGAGGCCACGCGCGCCGCGGCCAGCAAAGTCCCGATCCCTCCCATCCCCAGCAACGCCTTTGATCCCTATGCCAGGTCGGAGAGTATGACAAATCGCGGCCGGTACAGCTATGCCAGTAGCAGTGCCATGAGCACCATCAACAACCCCAGGAGGATCCGCAGAAGAAAGGACCCTACCCCATTCAAGTAAGCTGCAGCTAAACTTTATTTCTTTCCCATTTGGACCGCATGCAAAACAAGAGGAAGCGAACTGACCATTCCACTAGCATTCTCATCCTGGGAAGCCAAAATGCCGGCAAAACCTCTTTCCTCGAGTTCCTCAAGACAGCCCTGGCACTTCCACCAAAGAAGCAGTCCAAGAAGCAGGAAGAAGACGCTTTCCAGATGCCAATCGCTCCCGTTGGCAACTTTATTCCGCACTATCTCGAAACCGAAATTGATGGCGAGCGAATTGGCTTGACCCTCTGGGACTCTGAGGGCTTGGAGAAGAATGTTGTCGATCTGCAACTGAGAGAAATGTCTGGTTTCTTGGAGAGCAAGTTTGAAGAGACATTTACAGAGGAAATGAAAGTCGTGCGTTCTCCAGGCGTCAAAGACACTCATATCCATGCAGCCTTCTATGTCATGGACCCTTCCCGCCTTGATCGCAACATTGCGACGGCGAAAAAGAACGCTGCGCGGAATGGCTATGGCAATGGAGGCTATGGCCAAGCTCAGAATTCTGGTGCTCTCGACGAGGAAGTTGATCTCCAAGTCCTCCGGACCCTGCAGCACAAGACAACAGTCATTCCTGTTATTTCCAAAGCAGATACCATCACTAGCAAGCACATGGGTATCCTCCGCAAGGCCGTCTGGGACAGCATCAAATCAGCGAACCTGGACCCCCTAGAAGCCCTAGGCCTGGATGAGGACAGCAGCAGTATCATCGAAGAGGAAGAAGATGACGAGAATGACGCAGGAGAAGACGAATCGGCTGAGCAAGCCGAAAAGGCGCCCGCGTCACCTGGCCACGCAAAGAGACTCTCTACCAACTCCATCCGCAGGCACAAGTCCCAAGAGGATGCCAAAGCAGAAGAACCGCCATTCCTCCCTCTGTCTATCATCAGCCCCGATCTTTATGAGCCCGAGGTCATTGGACGACAGTTCCCCTGGGGATTTGCCGACCCGTATAATGAGGAGCACTGTGACTTTGTGAGGCTGAAGGAGGCCGTCTTTACCGAGTGGCGTGCTGAGCTGCGTGAGGCAAGCAGGGAGCAGTGGTATGAAGGCTGGCGAACGAACAGACTCAAACGCCGCGAGCTCCCCCATGCGCGATAGAGCCAAGGTGGTGTCGAATGGCAGCGCTGGGTCGGAACACTGCATTTTTTTTTGTCATAATCTTGTCAAGCGCATCTAGCACTGGACCGTGTTGATCTCTCTTTGTTGCGATTTCTCTCATATACTATGCTCCTAGTCCCCATTTGCCTTAATTTCCGCTTTCAGTTAGCTCGCGAGCATCCCTTCCATGTCTCGGCTCTGCTGGTGAGACAGCTTTTGGCTTCCGAGATTGTGCAAGGGGGAGTTGTCGATATCAGACTCTTTTCGTTGCATTGCCGAAAATAAAAGGACCAGCAAGAATTGAGAAGCCTTGATCCGGAGATGTTACAATTTTCAAGGTCTGCATTGGATGATAGACGAGGTTAATTGTCATCCTCTACGCGATTCGGGGCCGTCTCTTGCTGTTGGTCTGCCCCTAATGCATGTTTTCTTCTCGCTTCTGGCTAAGAGCATTGCTGTCCTCGGTTGAGGAAAATTGGGTTAGCTGGCGCGATGGATTTTCTTTTGTTTCTTATCTTCTTTTTGATACGCAAATGACTTTTGATTCCCCCAATCCTTTTTTGACGTCTACTTTTTTCTCCTGTACGATGTCTCCTAAGATTGGACTCTCGAGACCAAGTTTTGGAACCACGGAAATGGCGACTATGACTTGTTTTTCTTCTTCTTCTTCTTCTCTTTTCATTCCGCAGCCTGGTGCAAAGCAGTATGAACGATGCCCGATGATGGGGGTCCTGTTATTGTGCATTGTTCTTTCTTTGTCCATATATTATTAGCTTGGGTTTTTTTTCCCTTTTTCTGCCAAAGAAGAAAATGAAAGAAAACCCTGAACAAAGAATAAGGCACAATGCCCTGGACAGGTAATCTATGAGTATGCGCGGAAGTTTGGCTTGGACAGATGTAGGATAGGAGGAAAGAGAAAGTTTCTTTTCCTTTTTTCTATTTTGAATTTGAACTTGACCATTTTTTTCTCTTGATCCCCCCCTTGTTCGTATGAATTGATGCTGTAGTCTCCCTGCCCTCTTCAAGGGGCAGTTGATAAGACGTGAAGATAGATGATCGCCAACTGTCCTGTTACACCCAGGATACGAGGTTTATTGACTTTGTGATTTGAGATATTAACAACATCAATATAAACCTGAAGAAGACGTAGACTTGATCGTTGCAGTCGATTCCATATCGAACATACACGATGAATCAAGCAACTAAATAAAGTAAGCAAGCAAAGTAGACGGACCAACCGGCCAAAACAAACCATGATATCTAGACCCAGACTACCAAATTTCCCTTTCCTAAACTCAAAACCGAATAACCATTTGGTTCACAACGCAGAATTGATGCTTTTCCCTTTCTCAAAACTCTAGTGCCTTTCCTAAATTCGCATTTGTTTCCCAGTACTTTTGATTCAAGTGATGAATCTTTTTGCAAAATCCTATCGTAAAGTTCAAATCAAAGCTAGCTATATCCTTGTTGGGTGCATAACAAAACCGTGTGTCATTGGCGCATCATTTGCCATCTTTCCGGCAACAATCATGACTTCATTTATTCTCCGCGTCCATAGAGCTCTTCTTCTAGAGGGAGGTATTCCGTATTTGTAGGCCTACCGTTCCTATCGACATCGGCTTCCGTTCTGGCAGGGTTTTTGCCAAGCTTCTGCAGGCGGTGGTTTTCCTTCTTACTAAGAGTGACTAAATCGAAACCGCGCGGCAGCACCGCGTCCGAGATGAGAAAGTCGACCTTCATGTTGCGAGCCCTGTCTCGGTAGGCCTGCGCGTTGCGGGGGAGCTCGAACCGGTGACGCTCTTCCTTTTCCATTTCAGCCCAGCCGGCAGCACGGCTGGCAACGAGTTCGATCAACGTGGTGGAGTCGCGCTCGCTCCAGATCTGACGGCGTTTGAGGAGACGTGGGTTGTTTAATCGTGCGTTGACACGAGCCTGTATCTTCATTCGCTCAATCTCGGCAAAATCTGGCATGGAGGATGATGGCGGTGCGGCTGAGCCGGGGGTTCCAGAAGCGGCGGCAGTAGCGATAGCTTCTTTATACTCCTTTCGTCGCTGGCGAGGTCCAGGCGTTGAAGAAGACGGGGCGTTGTTGGCCGTCTTGTTCCTTTTGAGAGGCCGCTGATCCGTTTCAAAGTCATCATCATGGTCGCTGTTGTCTCTCCTCTGACCCTCTTCCCCTTCGTAGTAGTTGCCGTTGATGTTCTGACGGAGGTTGCCGTGACGAGGCCGCGTACGTGACGGCTTTGAAGCAGGTAGCTTTTGCCTCGCATGATCTGAGAACGATGCCGAAAGAGAAGCATTACGAAGTAGACTGGCCACCTCGCCACGTTGAAATAAAGAATCCCTGGGGGGGTAAAGTTAGCACGATACACAAGTCGCAACCATGGTTTTATCTTCATACAAGGAGATCTAAGGAGAAATGACAGAACTGGAGGAAAGGGGTAGATTGGAATAGGTTAGTCTTACTCTGTGGACGGGTTATCTGCACCTCGTTGGATCTGTGGCCGCTGCGACTCTCCTTGGGAACTAGCCAGGCTCCTGGGAGAAGCATCAGAGGAGTCGGAGAGGAACAGATCATCTTCATCGGGCAGCGCTGGCCGTTTGCCCCCATCTCTTTCCTCCTGAGGCCTTGTTTCGTCAGACAGCGGCGCCCTGAGGAGTTTCTCCCTCTCCCAGGCCTGCCGCTCCTTTTCCAAGGCTTCTTCTCTGGCCCGAAGGCTCTGTTCTTCTCTGTTACGCCGCACGTCTTCTCTGATTCGCCGCTCCTCTTCTCGAGCTCGTTGTTCTCCATCCTGAGTTTGGCGTTCCTCTCGGATTCGAAGCCCCTCCTCGGCACGCCATTGCTCTAATAGTATTTGCTTCTCTTTGGCAATTTGTTCCTGCTCTGCTTTCTCCAACAAGTGTGAAACTGATGAATACCTATTCAAAAGCCATTTCTTCAGAAGCTCGAGCGCATCGGGAAGAGGATACTTGGCCCGGACGGTGGGCATGTCAACGGGAGTTCTAATCCCTCTCTTGCCGCCTTCGGACATAATCTGCCATATGTCTTTGACCCTTTCTGAACAAACGTCCAGCAGCTCTTCATCAGCAAGCCCAGCCATAGGCTTATACGGACCGTAGGCAAAGAGAGCATTGTAGTTATTCGGAGCATTTGGGGCATTCATTGCACAAAAGGCATAACCCAGCATCCCGCGAAGGTCTATAGCCTGGGGAGATGCAGCAATACTCTCAATCGCTCGCTGCGTACGAATCTCCAAAGACAAGCGCAGAAAATGCTTGCTCTCGTCAGCAGCAAAAGACTGCGGAAAGTGGGTGTCTGTGGCCTCGAGAAAGGGGACAGGGTCGTATCCCTCGTCCTCAATGGCCCGGATTTGGAGGAGAGCCGTGGCGATATTTGCCATCTTGATGGCGAGTGGGACTGCCTTCTTGGCAACGTCTAAGATGTCCTCGTCTTCTATCTTGTTCACCCAGTCCCAGTTGAGGAAGGGAATTTCTGAGCGAGAGCCAGTACGAAGGCTGGGCTGAGGGCCAGTGAAGATGCTGCGAGACATCTCGAACGCTTTGATCTTCATTTGGAGCACCGGTTTGTATGCAAGCCGCGTGCTTTTATCCATGAGCAGACTGATGACATTTTTGGCGTCCCTGGCCAAAGCAGTGGTGGCCTCCAGCCATATCTCAACCTCTGTCTCCTCAATCTCTCGCTGTGCCATCTTCTCTGCCAGCAGCTCAGATGCTGACTTGGGAGTTGAGGTAGGGGTTTGCTCGTGGTCCTCGTCGTCAGTATAGTCCCTCTTAGGGGTCGAAAACAGACTACTGATACTGAGGTTCCGAGGAGCTCCTCGCCGTGGCTTCGGGTCCCAGATGATGGAGCCTTTGCGTGGCACAGACGTCAACCCTTTTGGGACTTGTAGGGCGAGCGGTGTAGGAGAAGAGTTGGGCCTTGGCAGCGAAGGCGTGAGTTGAAAAGGAGGAGGAGGGGGAGTATTAGCAGCAGCAGCAGAGGTTGTTGCTGTTCCTGAAGCCCGAGAAGATGAAGGGGCAATATGAGGAAGAGGAGAAGAAGAAGAAGAAGAAGAAGAGGAGGAGGAGGAGGAGGAGGAGGAGGAGGAGGACGATGATGACGGGGATGAAGAGACGGGTAGAAGAACACGTGAAGGGGAGTTTATTGGCGAGCTTAGAAGAGAGCTGGGCCCAGAGGAGTTGGAATCGGAGTCAGAGTCAGAGTCAGAGTCAGAGCCGGAATCAGCGCCGACGCCAGATTTTCGGGCTCTGATGGCGATCCCAGTCGGTTGCTGCGTAGTTCCCCTGCGTGGATTTCTCCTGACTGTGGGCTGTGGAGGTGAAGGTGAAGGTGGCAGCGGCAGAGCAGCTCCGGCAGCTCTCTTGGACCTGGTCTGCATTTCTGAGCTAGCTACGCACGGCAGCTGCACGAAGAAGAAGCAGATACGGCGTTGGAGGTGGGACAATCAAACAGAAAAAAAAAGAAGTGGGCGAAAGGGAAGTAGAGGCAGAAGCAGACGGATAGGATGACTGCGATTCGGACGTGATTCTCGAATCCTTTGCTGGGATCAACAGATCAACGGATCGCTGGGCGATGGCGGTTTGTTTTGGCTTGATGTCGATAATAGTCGGGGATCGAAGCGAATCTGCAGGCGGTCGTGAGTGCACGGCGGCGAATGAAAACGCAGCTGCCGGACCCCAAGCCTAACCCTGTTGGCAGCCTCTCGAGTTAAAAAAAGGGAGAAGTCAGGCGAGAGCGAGACGAGGAAAAGTGGCTGCGGCTGGGAATATGACCTGATTAGCGCTAAGACAGCGCTAAGCTGCGACTCTGCCTGGGGCGGGCCTTGGTTGGGGTTATTTATTTACTTGTACGTGAGAATTGATGACGGCGGCGGTTGGGCAGGAAAGATGGAAAAGACGTGGAGCGTGGAGCGTGGAGCGTGGAGCGCGCTTTTGCAGCACAGATGAGTGAATCGGCCTATTGGAAACTGGGCAAGGCGCGGGCTTTGTTGGCTTTTGTGTTACAAGGACTTATTTCGTCGCCTGTCGCTGAGGGCACGGGTCTCGAAGCAGCGTTTTGATATTTGCTGGGCTCGAGGTCCTGGGCCAACTCGCGCCCGCAGCGGCAATCTACTCTGGCCTTGCTGTCCGGATACACGCATACTGTAGGCCTACAAGGCGGGTCATCCTGGTTACGCCTTATCAAATTGGCTCATCGCGGAGACAAAGAATGCGACAATGGCCCAGACACTGGACGGAGACGAGTACTCATCGACCCTGCCGCACGTTGTTTACTCAAGCAAGAGAAGCAATTCGCTGCCAAGCTCGGCTACCATGAAAATAGACACCCACAGGGACGTTGATAGGGCCGATCATGGTCAACCAGATTGATCGAGATTACCTCGCGAGAAGGAGGTCATAGATGGATTGAAGTCAGCTCCTCGAGATTGATCGGGTAGGTACTTGTACGGTTAATGCCTTAGCACCTAGACTACATGTAAATAGTATACGTACTTTTCATCGTGACGTAGTCAAACCGAGTAATGACAATTGGCTACAAGTCAGATTTTCCTCCCTCCTCTTTAACGGTTGTATCGGCGTTGGCATTCTATCGTGATGATTCAAGCTAGGCTGGGAGTTTAATTGACACTTTCGCGAATCTGCTTCGCGGCTTAGTAGAAATAATAAGTTCGAGAATACCGTTTCTGTTCGGAGCGCCTATGTCAATTAGTTGGAAACCCTGCCGGCTGAAAGCATACCTAGACAAGGTGGCCATATTTTTTGCCAAAACGATTAATATGTTTTCAGTCTCTGGTTGAAGTAGTGAAGGCCTCCACCAAGATTTTGAGAAGTGGTCACAAAAATATTATGCATGTACATGTAAAACCTGAGGCCCCTTCTTCATCACTTGTTTCTCCAAAGATGTACTGGTCATGATCATGTGGAAGTTGACAACCTCCCGTAGTTGGTTGGTAGGGACTGGCTTCATGTTCCTTTGCTTCGGCAGCATGTGAACGAAAAATTCGCGTTAATTTTACGGCTGATGGCATTGCGATGAAGTTGGTCAAGACCCAAATGAGCGATCGGTTCTTGAACCGAATCTCTGCGAAATATGTTTGCATCATTGGACAGCTGGCTCCAGAAGATGCATGTCACCATGCTCGAAGGGTTTATACCTGAGATAGGAGTTACGGATAGAGAGAAATAAGGTGAATTTGATGCCGGGAATCAAGGTTTCAATCCATTATTGTTACTATCCAGACGAATTTGGCCCGATTTGCTTCAAAAAGTCTCGGTCTCATCTGAAGTTCCTGGGTCGGTGGCTGATAAGTGGAGATTTTCGGAATTGAAGTTTAGCGCAGCTAGCTAACGTTATGCACGACATAAGTTAACATTGCATTGAAGAGCGGTCCACATACAAAAGGGAAGCCGGGCATAAGAGCTTTCTTTTCTTTTTATCATCCGTCCCTTTACAATTTATACCAGTTTAACCTACATGTGTTTTTGGGGAATCTATTACTCTATCAGACGCAGATGGTCTGTGCGGCTTCCGGCGATTGGGCTAAGAAACGGGAAGTGGTAGGTCTAAATCTTGGTGGCATTAGCTAGTTTCCGCCCCCTGTTAGTATTCGACAGCTCGACGTTCGAGTAAACAAGAACTGGAAGATGATATGGGGCCTGATGTGAAATCAACTTGTGAGAAAAAAATTTGATTACTAGACTAGAGATTTTAGACTAAAGTATTCAATTGATATTTTAAAATAAATTACCTTTTACATCCTTCCCATTAAAGATGCATTTCAGTATCAAACAAATACAAATAACTCATACAAATGAATACTGCGGCTCAGCTCAGCTGACCTACATCTCTACACTCCATCTACAAGAAATTCTTAGCCAATGGGCTCCTAGTAGATACTGTAGTAGTAGTAGTATTTGTATAAATCAGGTTAACTTTACGCCTCTGGGTGAGCGCCCAGGAGTGGGTCGGATAATGTTACGTATCATTTTTGAATCATACAGCACTGCAAGGAGCATCCCGAGGTCAAAATAGGATGGTCTGAAGGGAGAAGCAGGCCGGGACCTCCATTCCTTCTCCACGCTTTCTCCATTCAACTGCATATCAAGTTCAATACATCACCACCTGAGAAACCAACAACCAACAACGCGCGCAGTATGGGTGTGATGATTTCGATTTTGATAGGCACATTTGAGCCTCGTATGATGCTCCATGCATCAGGCTTGCAGCGCCTCATTACTATATGTAAATCCTACCGCAAGAGGGTCATCTGCTTGGGCCGCATCTACATCTTTATATCCCGACCTGTTCCACTCAGTTGATTTCGTCCATGATAGCTGCCGTCCATGGCGCAGGCATCGAAACGAAAGCGGCCGCGAGCAGATGAACCCCTGCCAGACCATATTTCCAAGAGCTCAAAGTCTAGCGGCGCGGTTCATAGGCCATCGAATTTCCCTCCCGAATTTTATGACAGCTTATCAAAGATCTGGCTTACAGCTCGCGCACTGCGAGAGCTCGACCGGCGGAACGAGAATCTCCCCCAACCCAAGACCAAGCCTGCGGCAGGGTTTGTAAAACCTCGCGCCGCAAAGCTTGCTGCGCTTGCGAAACTTGGTACCAAGGAGCTTGCCCAGTTTGCGACAGCTGGGGGTCCAGATCTCAGCGATCTCAAAGGGGTATGCACGCGTATTGCTTCATCGCTAAAGCTATGGACTAACCGACTTGCTCAGTATCCAGAGCCAACGAACATTACTCACTCGATGGCGTCGCCACTGCTTTCATTGAATCATGATCAAGCATCTCTCGTTTCCTCGAGCACCCGGCAAACACGGCTAACTAAAAAAGAGAAACAAAAGTCTGCCGCATCTAAAAGCAGACGAACATCAGCATACGATGGCAATTTTACGCAGTATTGTATTCAAAACTACATCTATCCTCCTGATTATGAGTTTCCTAATGGCGCCCTCTCACCAAAACCGAATAACTTTGAAGAGATTCGCAAAATTCTGAAAATACGGAGGCGTTCTCTTTCTCCTTCTGTTGTCCCTGAGACAGCTCACGACGACTTTCGAAGGAATATCACAAATTCGACTGAAAGTGATCTGATGTCTGATGTAATTCCGCTTATTGCTGGTGACACAAGAATCCGGAAGACTCAGAATCTTGCATTTACCAATTTAACCTCAATTACTAGGAACACTACGGCTATACCAAAACCCGATTTCTTCGACGGGGCTCATCCTGAAACTGTGAATAGGAAAGTAAGAAAAGACCTGGATGATATCATAATACCGTCCAAAAGAGCGGGGTTCCCAATAGCACCCAATTTCTTTCTAGAAGTCAAAAGTGATGAAGGAAAATTGAAGGTAGCGCAGGACCAATCAATCGTGAACGGGGCTTACGGAGCGCGTGCAATGCATGCCTTGAAAAACTATCTCGTGGACGGGGAACCTGAATACGATGGTAACGCCTATGCATATACGGCGATTTTAGCTCGTGCATTACTTGAGCTATACGCACACCATCTGACTGCCCCTACCAAACCCGGAGGGCAACCTGGTTGCCATGCCACTCTGCTTGGAAGTTATGGGCTACGAGATGAAGATAATTATTCGACAGGCCGGGGAGCGTTCAGGAATCTGAGGATGAGGGCTAAAGAAGACCGCGAACGCTTCATTGAGACTGCCAATGCGAGAGCTCGGCGTCGACGTAGAGTGGACGAAGACACGGAAGATGAAAGCACGGAAGACGGAAGCACGGAAAAGGGTGACAATTTCAGCATGGTCGAAGAAGAGCAGCAAGATGATGGCTCGAGCCCTCTCAACTTCTACGACGCCCACGCGTTTGTCGAACCGGGTGAGAACACCCAAGGCGCTACCCAGGATACCACCCAGCAGGAAACCCAAGAAACCCAATTGACAAATGCTGAGTTAACCCTTGATTATGATACGGAGAATACCGAGGTCGGTGTTGAGGCGAGCCTTGCGTCTAGTTTCACGTCGGCCAGTCGCGAAGATTACCGGCGATCTCGGCGGCTGCTTAAAAGGAAGCGCAGCCCTACAGTATCTTCTTCTACTGGCCAAAAACCACGCAATCCTCCACCCTCTTCTACCAGCCAAAATCAACACGGTTCTCCACCCTCATCTAATACTCGAAAAAGGACACGCAGTTCTCCACGCCCTTCTTTAACTCGCCAACATAAGAGACGAGCTGGGCCAGCTGGATGAGCTACGTTTAGATACTTCACAAGAATATATTCTGAACCGTCACAAATATCTCAACATTGGTTTTTAATTACCAGGGATAGCCTCTAAGTATTATAGTGTTCCATTGGTAATAGTAGGCCTTGCTTGATGGCCCTGAAATTAAGTTCAAGTTGTTGTGGCTGTCCTTGAAGTAAAGGGTAGAGAGAGTAGAGATACACTAGCGTAGCATGACCTCTTTCTCATAAAGTGCTAAAGAAAATGATTCCCCAAAGCCTCGTACGGGATTAGAAAGCAAAATCACAAGGCCATCTGGAGATTCTCCCAAAAGGTGTAAATGAACGCTGGCTGGTATTTGCTGCAGAGTCTACGGAGTTCATCTTACAGACCCTTGAGATCCATCTACTCAATCTCTTTGCTCCGTCCAGAAAATGGTAAAAACATATAAAAAGCATAGTGTTAGATATGCTGCGTAAATAAATTACTTGATGCTTTACGGCGTAACTTTGCTTAGGTACCTATGCTATCAACAGTGCAACTATGTGGAGTGATTGACGGTACTTATATAAAACTTATATAACGTATACAATATATGGCTTTATTCTCTTTTGTTTGTACTTTTTGTGACAATGGGGCTCATTGGGCTTTTCAACGCGCTCTTTTGCTGCTGCATATGATTGACAGGATTGGACACAAGGATTGATGTATAGTTTAAACCGTAAACATTCAGAGGCGCGAACCTTATTACAAGTATTAGATGGTGCTAAGAATTAACCAGCAGCCCACCAGTATCGTTGGAAGCTCCAAACCGAGCTGAACTGCCGGAATAGGCGAGCTTCCTCTTTTAATGAAGCTCGGACTGGTAGTTTCCTGTTAATAAACTGGAGGAAGTGGTGAGCCTCTAGCAAGACTATCATCGTTTATCACCGATATTGGAGTCACAAGCTTGGATTGACTCGCAGTAGTAGCGACTTGTAGCTCTGCAGCCCATCAACAGCCCATCAACAGCCCATCAACAGCCCATCAATTGGCCTTATTCTTCTTCTTGCTGGACTTGATGGCTGGACTGGCACTATCTGGGCCAAAGACGCCTGAAAGATAGGCAATTCGGGTAAAAGCAAGGAATAGCTGTGTTGATTGGACATGTGGTTAGCTCTAATGCCAACGAGTGCAGCAGCACAAATACAACTCTAGCTGTCTCTCTGCTCTGCTCGGGCTCGGCTCAGAGAGCCGTTGACGAATGGAGAGAAGAAGAGGAAGAGGAAGAGGGAGAAGAAGGAGGAAGGTAAATGCAAATGCAAATTGTTCAAAGCACACTTACGGTGGCTCCCAGGTTCCCCCAAGCCATGGCGTTCCACCCAGAGACGTCAAAGAAGCGCTCAGAACCCATGCCGTACCAGGTGAAGCCAACGTGGCCAGCATCAGCAATCAGCAGGGCGATGAGATAGCTGCGAATAACTTTGACCTCGGAGGTGGACCAGAACAGAGACAAGCCCACGATACACATTCCTAGGTACATGTTGCCTAGTTGATGGGCTAGCACGATGCTATTCTCCGAGGCCACGAGAGGCTTTTCCTGGGGGATCTGCTGTGCAACGAACCATGCCGGATCGTATACGGCACCAAGGAAGCCTGCCACGCTGTTATTGGTTTCCACTCAGACGAGAGGTTAGCTGTATGTACTAGGTAGTGGTGATTGCCGATTACGAGATACAAAGCACTGCTAATCGAGGAGATCACCGGTGATAATGGAGATTGGAGTCAAGCCCCCGAGCCGACTCTCATTGATTCATGAACGCAAGCATTTGAGGACCAAAGACAGCGGCTCAAAGTGGAGGAGTAAGAGATGCGAGATGAACAGAGAAAAGATGTTTGTATCTGGAATGGCAGGTTGCCTTGAATGCCGATTGGACTGGGTTGGGACTGAGAAAATAATAATGGACAAGGATTGTGGGCTTGCTTACAGCGACATGGGCTCAAGGATCGTAAAGACGATGCGGGGAAACTGCGGCAGCGAAGCAGCCATTATGGATGATGGATGATGGATGATGGATGTGCGTTGTGTGTAGTATGTTGGATGTATGGAGCAACGAGGGGCTACTTTATTGGAGCAAGGCGAGTAAGACGAGCAAGAATGAATGACTGGGATGCTGATAATAGTGCTCCGGAGCAAAGATGGGCGATGGAGATGGCGATGAAGGCGATGGTTGTGATGGAGACGCGGCGGTGTCGGAAAGGCGTCTCGGAATTTGAAGAAGGGCTGTGGAGACGGAGCAATTGCTCTCCGTGTAGTTGTGAGGTGCAATGAGGGATAATGTAATAATGCCTGGTAGTGCTCCGTAGTGGTAATACTTTAGCAGGCAGTAGTAATAGGACTCGGCAAAGCAAGTTTGTTGGTGACGATGCTCAAGCTTAGGCGCCTCTGGAGTGTTGGTGATGAGGATGATGCTGGACTTTGCTCAAAAAATATCGAATGGCGATTGGACGCCTTCCGCGGCGTTGGCTGGACGATCAACTCGACAATGAATGGCCGAAGTAACGCGGAGCAGCATCATTCGTTTCCATTGTTTTTTTCTGGGGGGGTCAAATTCCCCTTTTCGGCTCGAGGGGCAGCGGGGATAAGAAAACTTGGTGCTGCTGGGTGTTGATGAAATGGAATGGTGCCAGTGAGTGCTAGGCGGTGTTGGTGCTGGGGCGACATGATGGTTATTCCAGTTTACCCACGGCGCTTACATGCAGGCGCCTTGCCGCCGTCACTTTTTTTCTTTTCTTCGGCGAGTCTTTATTCGATCCGTTTCTTCCCTTTCTCTCTTTTGCACCCAACTGTCCTCTGCTGCTGCTTGACACGATGCGACTGCGTGTTGGTGCTGCTGCTGCGACTTTTGCAGCATGGAATTGAGCCTTTCGGGCGTTGACGGAGCGCTGAGGTGCACCAAGGCGGTACAAGGTACATACAGGCAAGTTCCAGCACCCGAGGAGATGGACTGACGGCTATTCCGGGCAAAGAGAGGCCGATGCGAAGATGGGATGGATATAAAGGCTGGATGGGAAGGCCTCTCGGATCAATCGCCAATAGCCGGGGCTCAACAAGACGCTGCACTGTTGAATCAGGACCGACATGCCTAGTTCCCATCTGTAACCCAGTCCCGGTGTGCTTTTCTCTTCGTTGCTTTTTATTTCCATCCCCTTTCCCTCAGTATAAGACGGAATATACTTGTAGCGCTCTTGTCTCAGGCGTCGTCCGCCCACTAAACCTCATTCTGGGGCTTCTCCATACCTCGTCCAGTGCTTCACGTGCTGCCACACGTCCAGCTTCGCCTCCCTTTCTTTTTGCCCGCCCCCTCGCCCGCGCTTCCAAAAGCAGATTCAGCCGCAGCGGTAGCGGCATCGCGTCGCCGGCGAGGAGAGAGTCATTTTGTTGCTGCTGCTTGTTGCTGCTTATTGCAGTTGCAGCTACAGTTGCAGTCGCTCCGGCTTTTACTGTGGCCACTGCTGGCGGGCCTGCTGTGCTGTGCTGTGCTGCGCTGTAGCCAAAACGCCCCCAGCGAGAGACCAGCCAGCTCCAGTCCTTTGTGGCGGCATACCAGCGTCAGCTCCAAGGCACATCCGAGCGTCCGTCACCTCAGCTCCCTCAGCTCAGCTCCAGCTCCTCCCTCTCGATCCGTCCATCCCTCTCGCTTCTCACCCTCGCCCGCGCTACCACGCGCTGTCTCTCTATCCGCTTCTTTTCTTTTCTTCTTTCTTTTTTTCTTTTTCTCCTTTTTTCCCACACACTCTCACTTTCTCCTGCTTGATCGTCCTCGCATCCCTCATTCATTCATTCATTCACTCGCTCTCGCGCCCTCCCCGTCTTTCGTCACTCTTTGTGCTGCCGGCAAATCGAACCACGCCACTTCAGCCTCTTCACTCACGTGCGGCGTTTCATCATCCAACACCGGGACTGACATCGAAGCCAGCTTGACATCAACCAATCTTTTTGTATTCAATGCTTCGGCTCGGCGGCTAGGCTCGCGCAAGAACGACCATGGCTACCATCGAGCCGCGTCTAATCCATCTGTTGAATGATGAGCCAACAACGCCGGAGCCTCCCACTGCCGACTTACACCAACTGCCGTCGCTCCCGTCGCTGCAATTGCCCACCCTTGTCGGCACTCGTGATGGACCTCTGCCGCCGCTGCAGCTCGAAGGGCTCCGTGCAGACAGATTCTTTGGCAGCTCTGGCCGACATGCCGCCCTCCCGAGCATCAACGGAGGCCATGCCGCTCCACTGACATCCTCGCCTGCGGCAGACCAGACGACGACAGCCTCTCCGGACCACAGGAGAGATTCCGAGTATTCCAGGGAAGGCAAATATGCCGGGAGCTCGGGCGTCTTCCCACTGCGGCTGCTGTTGAGCGACGTGCCGCCCATGTCTGTATCTGCGCCGCCGGCTCCCTATCTCTCCTTCTCCAGCATCCTCAACGACGTGCCGGACTTTCAGGATGACGCTCCTCTGCCTTCGTCGTCCTCTCTGTACGCCTCTGCCGCTGCCGCTGCCGCTGCCGCTGCCTCTGTCTCTGCCTCTACTGCGGCCATCTCTGCCTCTATTGCAGCCTCCACCTCCACCTCCACCTCTGCCTCTACTACTACTACTACTACTTCAGTCTTCGCCTCTACTTCTACTCCTTTAACTCCTCCTCCTGCCGCCGCCTCAATCTCCACCACTTCTCCGTCCACCACCTCAAATTCCAAGAAGCGGCCGGCTATCCATATCAAGGATGACTTCTTACAGCTTCCACAGCCTGCAAAGAAGCCCAAGGCACACCAGGCACCCTTCATGCCGCCCATCATCAACGGACTCTTCGAGCCGCCGCCCAACGTCGCTCTCTTTCCGCCCATAGCGTCCAGTGCTTTTGATGATACCGACGCTGGCCAGTCCAAGCTCCTCCACGAGCTCAGCTACAGCCCCCCGGGACCCCGCCTGTCGCCGGAGCCAGATCAACCTGTGGCCAAGCCAAGAGCCTCAAGAAAGCGTTCAAGCAAGCCTAGACGGAAATGGTCTGAAGAGGAGACGAACCATTTGCTCATGGGCGTTGATCGACATGGCGTGGGCAGATGGACCAATATCTTGGACGACCCGGATTTTTTATTTAATTCCCGGTCAGCGGGTGATCTCAAGGATCGCTTTCGCACCTGCTGTCCGGAGGAAATGAGGGTAACCGACGTTGACAAGACCAAAGCTCGCGCCAAAGGGCCGTTCGCAAACAAGTCATCGTCGCCCAACAAGTCGGAAAAGCCGGACGACGAGTCCGCCGATACTGTCATGGCCGACGCAGGCGACGTCCTGCCGATAAAGGACCAGCAAACCAGCTCCAGTCCGGCCGGGTCTGACAGCCGCCCTGCCAAGAAGAGCCGTGCTCATCGCATGAAAGTGTCGGACCTCGCGGGGCTCGGCATTACTGGACCCTTCAAGAAGGCTCGTCGGCGAGAGAGGACCACCTTTACTAGCCGGGACGACCAAGAGATTTTGCAGGGCCTCGAGACATATGGCCCGACTTGGTCCAAGATTCAGCGTGATAAGCGCTTTCACCTTGGCAGCCGGAAGCCTACGGATCTTCGGGACCGCGTGCGCAACAAGTACCCCTACATCTATCAACGCATCGAAAAGGGCGTCTTCCAGCCCAAAGACGTCAGCACCAATAATATCCTCGAGCCAATGGTCAACATGACCATCAGCCACTCTTTCAAGGCTGCTTCCACTACACTGCGTCCCCTAGCCCCCAAGCCTGGAAAGTCTGCCAAGCGTGGAGAGACTCCAAAGGAGCAGCAAAAGTGGTCTTTCCTAGTGACTGACTCGACGGAGCAGTCTCAGTCTCAGTCTCAGTCTCAGTCTCAGCAGCCGGCATCCGACCCTGAGAATCCCTCGGAGCCGCCAGCGATTGATGCCGATACCGCCTTAATCTACCGGTCACTTTTGGCCTCTGACACTCTTAAAGCATAAAGACCTAGATGGCGATTATATGGGTGCGACGAAAACTGATCGACCACACAGCAACAACAAAACAAGCATCATTACACTAATCATCAGAGCTCTTGTTCCATCTCTACTTCTTCTTACCTGCATCTACATTCTCTCTCTCTTTCTTTGTCTCTTTTAGTTGGGCATTTGTTTTAGGGACGGATAACTAGGAATCCCTTTTTATTTTATTTAGGAGCTTTAATACTTTTATGCTTCACTTAAAGTGTTGCCACCTTTGGAGCCCGCACATTGGGAGGGGACTGGCAAGGATCATAATACCCGTATTTACGTTACACATGATGGGATGGGATGGGAGGAGTTATAGCAATGCAATGGCCAATGAATTGATTTTTTCATCTACCAATCTATCCGTCTACCAGTTTCCTTAACCTACCTGTCTGATCTGTCTGCCTTCTGGTGTCCACGTTTAGCAGCAAGAAGCTAGGTATCACTGCACTCGTCTTCCAAGGTTAGTAATGATCTTGAAGGATTTGGGGTTTTATGGAGCCCTTTCTCCATAGCGTTGGAACGGAGTAAAATTGGAGCCTCGTTATGGAGACTGTCGGAAAAACAACGGCATTGGATGCGAGGCTATCTCACGTGATTGCTAGTTCGTTGGTTGCTAGCCAGCCTTAGGGCAAGGAAGCCCCCACATTTTGGCGCTCACGAAGCGAGAAGAGAAAAAAAAAAAAGACGTGCCGCCAATTTCATTTTAGATCTTGATCCACGCTCAACCTTTTCGTCGTTCTCATCATCCGACAAATCAGCCAGTCGTCACCATGGCCCGAGGAATGTGAGTACCAGCAATCCAGAACAGTGTCGAGAAGCCTCTATCCATCATCATCATCATAATCTTCTATCTCGTGAAGAAGAAGAGGGAGAAAAATAGAGTATTGGGCTGTCGCAAATTTGACTTCGGCGAGCAACACTTTATTTTTTCTTCTTGAGGATGGATATAGCTTCGATTGCAAACAAGCAAAAAAGACATTGGAAGAATAAAAAGAACACCACAATGGAATCAATCAAGCTGACATCTTCTCCTCTCACAGCAAGAAGCACCAGAAGCGCCTTAGCGCCCCCTCCCACTGGCTCTTGGACAAGCTGTCCGGCCTGTACGCCCCCAAGCCCTCTGCCGGTCCTCACAAGCTCCGCGACTGCATGCCCCTGATCGTCTTCATCCGAAACCGTCTCAAGTATGCTCTCAACTACCGCGAGACCAAGGCCATCATGATGCAGCGCCTCGTCAAGGTCGACGGCAAGGTCCGCACCGACATCACCTACCCCGCCGGCTACATGGACGTCATCACCATTGAGAAGACTGGCGAGAACTTCCGTCTCATCTACGACACCAAGGGCCGCTTCACCGTCCACCGCATCCAGGCCGAGGAGGCCGAGTACAAGCTGGGCAAGGTCAAGCGCGTTCAGCTGGGCCGTGGTGGAATCCCATTCTTGGTCACGCACGATGCGAGAACGTGAGTTGTTCTGTCAGACATCATTCAGCCGTTGGATCAAGCTTTGGTCGATTCTTGGAGGGAAAAAGAGAAGGAGAAGGATACAGAAGAAGAAAACATAAGAAACTTTTTCTCCTCCCTTCCACCCACCTTTTTTTTTCATATATATTCGTTTTTGCTTGCTTTTCTTCTTTTTTTCTTCCCCCATTTCTCTTCTCTCGTCTTGAGAGACTAGAAGGAGAAAAATGGAAAAGCACAAAAAACGAATTGAAGGAAAAAAAAAAGAAAAGAGGAACGATGGAAGCTTTATTCTACGGCTGTATGTTCCCCAATTTCCCTCTGCGAGTGCTAATTTTTCTTCTTCTCCAAAACAGCATCCGTTACCCTGACCCCCTGATCAAGGTCAACGACACCGTCAAGATTGACCTTGCCACCGGCAAGATCACCGACTTCATCAAGTTCGACACTGGCGCCGTCGCCATGGTCACTGGTGGTCGTAACATGGGCCGTGTTGGTGTCATCACCCACCGTGAGCGCCACGACGGAGGCTTCAACATTGTCCACATCAAGGACGCCATTGACAACACCTTTGCCACCCGTGAGAGCAACGTCTTCGTCATTGGCCAGGAGAAGCCCTGGATCTCCCTGCCCAAGGGCAAGGGTGTCAAGCTCACCATTGCTGAGGAGCGTGACCGCCGCCGTGCTCTGGCTCACTAAGCAAAGAAGGAAAATATGTAGTAATTTTTTCTTTTTTCTTTTCGCTTAGTGGATAAATGATATCCAAAATCAATGGTTTAAAAAATGGCATATATGTGGACTGGAGTCTCGGATTTGATGTTTGCTTTTTAGTAAAGGGGAGGGATTTTCCTCAAGTGATTCCCACCCTCATATTTCTTTCCCCCTCCTCTGGAGCGCGAGGATTAACGATCGGAAGAGAAACATTAAAAAGATTTTGAGCCCAAGCTGCTCTGTTCACGTGTGCAAAATCTCGTCCTTTTTTGGTGAAGAATTAATTGGCATGACCATGTCTCTGTGAAGTCAACTCACTGTTGCTGGTGGGTTAATATGATGCTTTTGCTCGGTCAATGCTCTCCTCTCCTTTTTCCCTTTTTTCTTTCTTCCTTCTCTCTCTCTCTCTCTCTCTCTCTCTATACGTCTTTTATTCTCGCTTAAGACTATTGCCATAATCACAACAAAGTTAAATCATGAAGAGAAGCCCAAACCAAAGATTAATATGTTACGATCAACTATCAAACACCCCCATACGTATACTGATACCATAATAATAGTTCTATCCAAGCATGTGTCTTGCGACTCAACAAAGATATCTATCCCATATTTTTTTTTTTAAATCTGCCAACCAATGACAACTCAAGCCGCCTCCTCTGCCTCAAAAAAATGCACCACCTCCGCGGGGTGCGTGGCGTTACCGTTCACGTTCCCTCCGTACACCAAATACCCCGTCACGTCTGGATAATTGGCCCTCAGTAGATCGTGCGCATCGCCAAACACCCAGACCGTCTGCATCCCCATGATCATGTGTTGTAGCATATGGCAATGGATCATCCACACGCCGGGATCCTGCACTCTCACCCGCCAGGCTCGCCAGCCCCACGGCTGGTTTTGCTCCACTCTCCGCGTGTATCGAAACAGCATCGACGTGTCTCTCCGTATAGGATTCGTGCCCCTGAGCCGCTGCTCGGCGATCTCAGGACTGTATACGCCCGGCCCTCCTCCAATGTCGTATATATGGTTGCCGTGGGCATGCCAGGGATGAGTGTCGAGGCCTCCACGCCACTCGGGCTTGGTGTTGCGCTGACCCAATTGCTGGAAGACAATCTCGATGACTTCTCCGAGCTTGGCGGGGTATGTCTTGGTCCGTGGATCAAGGCCGTAATTGGCAATGGCCGCCTCATAGTTGGGTAGGTATTGAGACGTGTTCTTGTACAGCGACACGAGGTACGGCTCTCCTGGAGTGACCTGCGGAGGGAGGGGGTCGTCGTCTACCCACGAGACATCGTTGTTAGTCCACAGGACGTACTTATCCACCTGCTGCTGGGTATAGATGTGTACTCGGCGGGTGACCTCGGCGGCGGATGGAAAGTCGTTGGGGTACAGGGGCTCCAGTTTGTAATCCAGAAAGCCTTCAATCGTGGGAGGCAGATTGATGGGTCTCCTCCAGGGAACGGAAGTTGTCGAGACATGAGCATTGCCGCCAATGCCGCAGGTGTTGCGATAGCGCAAGACGGCGTAACTGACGATGTAGTTGGGCCGATCGCGAGGCTCTAGCTGCAGGTAAAAGTCCAGCTTGCCAAGGCGTTGGAGCTCAGCGCACGTCTTTGCTCTGAACAGCGTGCTGAACCGCTGGCCGGTGCCGATCTGCAGCAGAGGCGTGGAATAGGGCTTGGTATAGCCCCCGTCTACCTCGATCACCTTGAGATCGGGATGGTCCTCGAAAGCAAGCGCAACATACGACAGCGACATGGCGCCAATGAATCTAAACCGGTACGATTTGCCGGGCTCGACGTCGATGACGGTCAGCTTAGCGGACGCGGGATCAAGAACGTGGTAGCTGGAGATCGTGCCGCCGTTGACGAGGATGCCGCCCGCCTCTCCAGACCATTTGAACGGCGATTCCTTGAGGCCCGCGGAAACTTCATTGTCTGTTTCGTAGAAGAGCTCTGTTATGTGGATGATGCGGTCGCCGCCGTCGACGGGATACGGCACGCCTTGGCTGCTCGAATCATCGACAATCAGGGGCCCGTTTGCCGTGCTCGTCTGGAAATCGATGTGCGAGTGGTAAAAGTAGGTGCCGGCAGTGCCTGCAGGCGTTTTCAGCTCGTAGTCGAAGTAATGCTGCGGCGGAATGGGCCACTGGCTGGCCATGGGAGTGCCGTCCGAGAAGGGCGCGGCGGCTTGGGCGAGGCCATGCCAGTGCTGTTTTCATTTTTGCAGTCAGCTATCAATGTAAGTGAGTACGAACAATGAAGTCGACCGCTGTCTTACCATGGTGAGGTTGGCATCGTGCATGTCATTGTACACTCTGATCCACACCACCTTTTCCTCCGGGATGTGCAGCTCAGGACCCGGCAGCGAGTCGTTGACTAGGGTTGTGTATCTCCTGATGCCGCCGACGCCGAATTCCCTCCTTGAGACGCGGAGCACATGGTCGGGAGTGAATGTGTCGTCGTGTACTCGGGGCGCACCAGGTGTAAAGGCCGCTTTCGCAGAGGAGGCGACGGTGAAGATGCAAGACAAGCAACCAGAGAGTGCCAGCCAGTGCATTTTTGGGGGGTGGGATGTCGATCACACCGCATGAAGCACCTTCTTTCCTACCCAATTCGGCGCTCTGAAATGATTCGGAATGGAAGAAGCAGCACGATACGAGAGAGTTGTTGGGAATCCAACCCATCATGTTCACAGGAAGACGCCACATGTTTTATGTGTGTTGGGGTGCGGTCTTTGTATCTCCCTTCCACGTACCCGGTCTTGGATTTGTGGCTCCTTTTGGATTGGTCATTCGATGCTTGCGTAGACGGATCTCGATTCATTGACTGCGTTCGTACGTTTTTTTCAGGGGAATAATTTGACTTCCACAGAGTAGATGACTTCTAAAGAGAAGAAGAAGCTGTTTCCGGAGTTGACTTTTGTTGCTATGAAGCTCTCTCTGGTACTCCCGTTGCTTTGGATATAGGGAGAAGCGCAAGTAAACTTTGCAGGTACGGCGTAATACACGAAGATCAAAACACGGAAGCGAGGTTATCCGAATGAGGGCTTGCTTCTTAAAAGTTAATTCATCTTCTTTGCTAAAAAAAGAAAAGAAAAAAAAAGTTATCGTGGTGGATACAAAGCCCCATGGTATTAGGTGGGTAGAGGATATGGGTTACCGACATATTGGTACTCTAGGTACTCCGTATACGCGTCGTTGTTTATTATTATTATTTTCCTCTCCCTGGTTATTGGTTTGGGAATTGGAATGAAAGGGTGATTCTTTCTGGTACCTCTTGTACCGGAAAACGTCTTTGCTCAGCTAGTCTACATTTTTGAGACATGAAAGACTGTTTAACGCTTTACTGTTTACAATGCATTTCCATCTGGCCTCCCTTCTACGGGTTGGCCTACAAAATGCAGCTGAAAATAGTCGTTTCTACTGATTCAGAGCAACGTGCGCCTCAAGGTGTGTAAGAAAAACGCGATACACACCCCAAGACGAGCACAATCACCAAGAGCGCCTCTTTCAGTACAGCAAGGACCAAAATAAAAGAAGAAGAAAAAAAAAAAAAAAAAAAAAAAAAAAAAGGTTTTATGATTAAAAACTTGTGAAATATTTATCTAATGACCTTTTATTTGATCAAATTTGGTCGTTTATTGGCTTTTCATTCAATATTTATCTTAGTTATTCGCATTATATTGCGAGGCGTATAACGCATTTTTTTTCCACCGCATAACAATGCAGAGAGGCTCATCTGGCGATGCTTTAAAGAAGAGAGTCTAGAAATGTGTAAATCGGATTAAATGGTCCGGAGCCAATGGCACTTTGCAGAAAAGAAGAGAGAGCAGAGGGAAGCCAGAAAGCAGTAAAAGACCTGGGGCATCGCTGAAAGACACATAGAATGCATCTCACGCAGCATCGTGCTCTGTCCAATGGAGCGAGCCCGATCTCTCAAACGGTAGTTCCCACTTTTCTGCTTGTATGCTCTCATTTCCACCACTTCTCCGCATGACTTGTTCGCCTCAAACAGGTCCTCGAGGCTGTCCACTAGGATGCTTCCCATCAATCTCATACGCCCCTTGGAGCCTGACATTATCTGTCCCTCCTGCAGGAAATGGGTATACGTATGCTATTTTGATGTGGTGTCTCAGCTTGTGGGATCCTGGGCCCTGGGGGATGCATGTCGGACTTTGACGCTGGAGTGGACTGGGGCAAGAGTCTGGGTATCAGACATGAGAGAAATTGCAACCGGCGACTTGCATGTGCCCGTTAATTCAGGTCTATAAGCCACAACTGGACCGGTGTGCAAGGTTCACGAGAGTAACCGGGAAGTTTTGGGGTGATTACGTTCTTGGTAGGACGAGACATTAGGCATTAGGGCTGAAAGTATGAGACTGACGTGTTGACTCAGGTGAATCGTGAAATAGGTACTGGGCAGTAGCTGATGAACACATGGATGCACGTAAGTATAAAGTATTCAGAGCAGAGTATTTTTTATAGGGAGACATCTTTAAAATCTAGTAGGCATACATGTTTGTTTCTGAAAAAAAAAATACACAAGATGAAAAACATAGAAAGGCTTATAGAGTATAGATGGAAGTATATACAACTGAATAGCAGCGTATTTCCGTCATTGACGCGGCGAGGGGCTATATCTGCAAGAGAGTTACAAAGTGCAACCTACATACACAGTGTTGTATTCTCTCTGCCCGGATATCAACCATCATGCTTAATTATGGTTTGTATGGACAAGGTTTTCGGCATTATGGCAGCCCGTCCTGGAGCCTTTGCTTCAGCCAGCACACTCATGTCATGCCACAATTGCCTCGTTTCCGTCGTCCAAAGTACGAACAAACAAATGAGAATACGCATGAACTCACATTTAGACTCTGATATGTTTATTTGTTTGTTTGTTTGCTTGCTTGCGGCTGAATCCAGCCTATCTGCCCGGGCAGCACGGTACAAGGATGGGACTAGTAGGCACTCAAACCTGATTCTAACTTTAAACATGGAGTACTATTGCAACGCACAGACAGACAGGAGTAAGGCTGAGTTTGGCGTTAGACTCTAGATCCCATGTATGTGGAGCGGCCGGGGAGGATTTCAGGCCTGGATTTTCGTGGGCTGTTAAAGCTTGTGCTGCACGCGTATCAGTAACAGCCACTACTACTACATTCGAGACAGTCTAATGAACAGAGGATGCATTTGGGCATTCACGCGCCAGGCCCGCATCTGAGGCATACTTTAGCGCGTGATGTATATGCAAGGTGTGTTGCAAGTGGTTTGGCCTGATTCGTATTGCAACACAGAATGCAACTTTGCAATTTCGGACAATAAGGATACCGAACCAAGACAAAGAGAGAGATAGAAAGCAACGAAAAAGGAAAGATGGCGCACAAGCGCGGTAATACAAGCCGATTATTGGATGTTGTATTGGCACATTGCGTTATGCGAGGGAGGTGTTCTGCCCCATGGGTGCCTCACCGAACTGCTGGGCTTGGCCAATAAAACCAAATGCCGTGAATTTTCGGGCACCCATGTCCTGGAGCTGTCTGTCTAGCGTCATCCTGCGAGCAGTGCAGTTTGGGTCTCGGCAAAGTGTGGTTCTGGCGTGAAACGTCATGGCGTTGGATGGATGAGGGGCGAGGTTGGCGAGAAGAAGGCGTATCCTTTGTACTCTGCCAATACAACGTGCAGAGATAGGTACTTGGCCATGTCTTTGGTAGAGTATTGGTAGTATTGAGGAGACTGCTGATGGGAATAAGGGGAGGGTTCAGTTGGATCCACGCGCACTCTGGCTCCGGAAGCGGCAGGGCAAAGCAGAGTGGAAAGCGAGAGAGGATCGAAAGGATCGAAAGGATCGAGAGGATCGAGATGAGATGCGACGTGTCGCACAAACCACTTGCAGTAATTTTACTGCTGCTGCTGCTACGTTGCCCATTAGCAGTGCTGTACGAGACTTGACGTGAGGTTGTGATTAATATCCCATTAGAGTCGTGCTAAATATGGACCGAGCCGTCTTCCCGTTGGCCAGCGCTGCTTGTCCCAGGTACTCGGTACAGACGGACCTGAAGAATGCCAGACCACCATTCAGTGTCTTTGTTGTCCCAGAGTCTTCCCGAGAACAGAGCCGCAGAGGAGAGAGGATGCAGTGAGTGAGCTCTCTGTCTGTACCTGATGTTTTCTTTCCTTTTTTTTTTTTTTTTTTTGCCCTTTTCAGCTCGCTTAAACGTGTATATTATTCTACTTGTTGGCCATTGCTCGAGTTGGGGGATTTGGGGCGTATGTGTGCAGGGGCGTGTACGCGCGCTGTAAAGTGTTTGTGCGGGGGATTCGATCCGTCGGTACAGGTACAGAGCAGAAGGAATGTGAGCAGCGAAGGCGCGAATGTACGGGTACATCAGCTTGGCATCTGCGCCCATGCAGCTAGCGGCACAGTAGCAACGGTGATTGGCGCAGACGCGGTATCCAGTGAGCTTTGGGGCAACAAGGCCATCTGAAAAAAGCAATCCAGGAACAGGCCAGGTACCGGTACTTGTTAAGAGCGCTGGAGCAGAGCAGAGCAGAGCAGAAGGAGCGTCGCAGGTGGCAGAGCTAGAAGCTCCCCAATGCAGGCCGCTGCTTGCTATAGCTTCTAACTCGACTCCCCCTCCACCACCATCATCATCCAATCCATCATATTCGTCTTCTCGTCGGATGCTCTCCGGGTTCCGACAATGCGACGCGGTGCAACCCGCCACCTTCAGCTCGCAGCCAACCGGATAAAGGCCCCGACTCCATTTGATGGAACCCGCTTGGCGTCACAAGGTCGAGCAGCAGAAAATCAAAGAAGGAAGAGAAGCCAGAATCGAGGGCAAGTCGGAGGGAAAGAAGGGAGACACAGCCTGGTCCGGAGCTGAAGACATGGGTTTGGCCTCCCCTGCCAAGGACACTGCATATTGTACACACAGTACATGTGTATCTTTGCCTACAAGCCTTCCTTCAGAATACTGTCACTAACCAGACGTCTGTCCTCAGATTCTCCCCAGGTTGACGAGCCCCGAGCCAGTCTCAACGTCTCCTTTTCTCGTCGCTCTTTGACGCTGCAAACCACAATGGCAGCATCCATTTCGCGGTATGGCTCGTGATGGCAAGCCTTAAGTCAGTTCTGCCATGTCTCTGGGGACTAGGTGGATTAAGAAGAACATTGGAGAAATCGCCCGAGATGCAAGGGGAGCCATGCAAGCTGAGCTGCCCAATTATAGCAGCATGGTTGTGTCCATCAAACCAGCTCTTTGCATGGGGGCTAGCTAGCGCGCCATTCCATCATTGAACCATGCAGCGAATGGCTTCAGTCAACCAGGCTTGGATGCTTGGGCAAACACAATCGTCCGGCAGCAGCCTTAGGCGTGGCCAAAGTTCACTTGACTTTCAGCTACTTTGAGTGATGGCATAGAGCACAATGCTCCTTTTTATGCATAGCTACTAAGTTGCATAGCTCCATCGATGCTTGGAGGGATACACAACCGCCGCAAATCAGCCTCCAGCTATTAATACACCCTCGCTGCATCCGCGTCAGGCCGACCTTATTCCCCTATCGCTTCCAACGGTTCTAAAGTTGATATACTCTGCACTCGATCTTCCACTTTCGTTTTTGTAACCAGCTTTTCAAAAGTACCAAGTTCACGTTCTCAGCCCTCAACTCTGACAACCGCTAACAACCACTCACAGCCACCCCGCTAACAACCACACAACACACGCACACACACACACACACACACACGCACACACACAAGACCTGACCTCATCTGCAATCTCTCCACATGACCCGAATGGTACGCTTGACAGCCTCCAGTCTCTCTCTCAAGGCTTATTGCTAACAACATCTTCTTTCACTAGATGCGCGGCCTCGCTGTGCCCCGCATCGTCAGGGGCCCCGATGCCTGCCTCACCTGTCGCCGTCATGGCTTCAGATGCAACTGGGGACTACCCACGTGCGTCACATGTGATAAAAACGGATACGAATGCATCCAGCCCATAAGTGCCATCGGTTATGAGGACTATATCCGCAATGACGATGCTAAGCAAACAACAACCCTGCCCGAATCTGCCAGTAACGCCAACCAACGTAAGAGCAAGGCAAAGAAGAAGAAAAAGAACAAGAAAAAGGCCGAGCCCAAGACAGAAGCCAAGACCGAGATCAAAACCAAGTCTCGCTTTGATGATGGCATCATTGGCTACAGGATGGACCTTACCCCGATATTCCAGACAAGGGACCCGTCGATTCCAATCCCGGAGAAAACTGCTACCCATCAATGCACCCGTCAGCCCGCACCATTGTATGCTTCTGGGTTGGAGTCTGGGGTTGCGTTTGGGGTTGGCACTGAATCTACATCTTCATCTGGCCCCGTGGCTGTGTCCGAGCCTACATCCGAGTCTGCGCCTGATTCTGAGTCTGAACCTTGCTCTGCATCCGAGTCTACATCCACATCTGCATCCACAATTGTATCCGGGTCTGCTTTGTCCGATTCTACATTTGAATCTGAATTTGTGACACGCATAAAGCGCCACATGTACAAGTCTCAGCAGCGTGAATTAGAGCACACCCACCGCTATGTCAAGAGATCCGACCCCACTTCCTCTGATGATGCCGATAAAGATCATGACTATGCGGTGTATTACGACTATGATTATGACACTGATCCTGACGTTCTTCAAGATGAAGAAGACCTTGATCCTGATGACGGACCTACCGATTTGGCCTTTGGACCAATCACTCTATCCACATTAAAATCGCACCCTCAACTCTCTGACATCTACATGGTCAAGAATAGCTGGCAGGGTCCCGGCGAGCCTCCCCTGAAAACCCGCATCGACGACTACATCACCTACATGAAAGAAAATCATCTGACGCCAAGGGTACCCCTTCCATTGACCTTGCTGGCGTCATGCGATTACACCGCAAGTGACACTCTTTTTTACTACGAGAATCGCCCGGCTAACTGTTGCGTCGCCGAAATCCCCGACATCAACCCTGTCAACCCCAAGTTGGTTCGACTGGGCTACGCCAGCCCTTTGGCCTTGCAGCTCGTCATTGCTCAACGAGCCAATCACCGTGAGGTGTCTTCCGCCATCTTGCCTACGGGGGAGAGCGCTGAGCGCTTTTTGATTGATACTATTGCCCAATTTGGTCCCAAGATTGACAGCTATCTGGCCGGCAGTGAAGATGAAATGCCCTCCCTATTTATTGCGAGCACCGTTATAGCTCTCGTCGAAGTTAGTCCCCCCTCCTTCTCTACCTTCCAAGTCCATTTTGCTAACTTATTCACAAAGAGGGCCCGAGTCGACAAGCTCTCTCAGGCATACAATCATCCTACAGCAGCCAAGGCCATCTTGAACAGACTTCACAGTCTCGATTCAGAAGAAATTTTCATCAACATGCCCGAATGCCTGATAGAGTACTACATGCACACCGTCTCTTTTGCCTGCATTGCTGCCAATCCCATTACGGCTGCTGGGGTTCCATTCATCACTGCACCACAGCTATTGTTTGTCGACAGCTTGGCAGCTAAAGGTTATCTAGGTAAACTATGCGGATCTTGGCTCGACATTTTGGCCACTATCCCACACATTTTTAGATTGGGAGCCATTATGTACCGCCGGAAACTTGGTACATCTACGTTTCAAGATGCATCGGGCGATTTCCTGAATTTTGGCGATATAGAAGACAGGCTCATGGCCTCTGCACCTTGCAGTAACGGAGATCCTATCCATACCATTGATAAAATTGCCTTTCTATTCAAGATCGCCGCCTTATTATACCTCTGGTCTCTATTGGATGAGCCTCTGTTACAGGATCAAGGCATCGAATGCTATGATGAAGACGCTGAGCTCCAAGATGAAGACTTTGAGTGCGACGATCAAAACGAATGGAGACAAAAGATGCACAAGGTGACCATGAAATCGATGCTTAAGCAGGCAGAACGCATCCTGCCCACTATTCCAGTGGAGGACAATTTGAATCTCGCCCTCTGCTGGCCTATGCTTATTATGGGATGCTTTACCAAGAACAAGGATACAGAAAAATTCATCGAACAACGCTTGATTGCCATAGTCAACCAATTTGGTGTTGGCAATCCGCTTGAGACTCTGTTCGTTTCAAAATACCTCTGGAATATCCCTGTGAACAGGCGTTCCCCCTGGATGATTTGGCACTATATCCAGAACTCCAGGTGCCGGGAGTGCACCTGTCCGAAATGCATACCCTTTCTCTTTTGAACAAGGAGCGGGGTCTTTTCTGGGTTATTTTCTTTACCTGTACCTACTTCTTTGCCCCCCCCCTTGGATCGCGTCCCGGACTATTCGCCTTATGAGCTTCGCTATTTTCTTGCCATTAGCATTGTTTACGTGTTTCTGGCGATATATATAGGTACTTGGCGTTCTACTACCATCCTGAGAGTGCATTTATTAGCGAAACCGTCTGCAATTTTTCTTCTTCTTTTATTTTCTACGTATTTAGATTGGTTTAGTCGTCTCTTGTCCCCAGATTGGATTACTTGGATAGAGTACAATATATTACACATTTACCTATAAATTTTGTGAATGGTAGCATGGTTACACTTGGCGGCAAAAAATGAAGTCCTGTAGCAGCAATCGAAAGAATCATCATATCATTTCTCGTTATTCAACTTATTTACAGAGATGATGTGTCCTCAGCCTCTACATGCTTTTTTTCTTTTTCTTCTCTTTTATGTACATGAGTTAAGATGACGGCATTTCTCCTGCCGTTGCGATTGGCTTTATATAGATACTTAGTTGCCGCCGAAAGGACCGCCAGGGATGGAAACGGCGCAAGAGAAGGCGGAGAATGCGCCGTTGACAATGGTGTTGGCGGTATCGGACTGGTAAGCGGCGTAGGGGACATCGCAGGTGGCGGTGCTGAGGTAGGCCGTTTTAGTATTTTGGATAACAAAGCAGAGTGGAGGGATTATTGTCTAAACTTACTTGTATAGAACACAGGCGTGGCCTTCCTTTACCTTGATGGATTTGACATTGGGGCTGAAGAGTTGACAAGCGTTAGTTTCCAAGTTGGATCAAAAGGGAAAAGAGAGAAGCTTACAATCCGGTGACTGGGTTGCAGACACCAAGAGCATCGTCAGTGCCACTGATGTCGTAGGTGGAGCCCTTGAAGTCGGGCTCGGAGAAGAGAGTGGCCTGGTTCATTGTTGAGTGTGATTGTCAGTTCAGTTCATATTCTTCTTCAATGTTTCTTCTTAATTGAAAGAGCGGACTTACCACGTTCTGAGCGGCGGCGACGCTGGCAAAGATGAGGGAGAGGACACTGAACTGCATGTTTGCGGTTGGTTGGCGAAGAGGAATTGTGTTATTTTTTTTGTTTGTTGTATGTTGTTTGGATGGAAAGTTGGCTGTTGATCGATCACAGATCTTTATGGTTTAATGGCGGGTGCTTTCTCAGTCTTTATATGCACGTCCCATGAGTTTGCGTCCCCGACTTCCGAACCGCCTCTATACGCATAAAGGGAGATACTTGCACAACGTTCAGCGCATTATACACGTATTGTAGGTAGTAGTATATGCTTACATTATGGAATCTGGGCAAATTTCAGTCGGCCGTTCACGAAAGAATTGCTCAAGTAGGATAAACATGCCGACTTATTTTTGCCGGATTGGGTTTGTCTAGGATGGTAATACGAAGTGCAGCGTGGCGTTATTGTACATCTTACGCCATGATGCTGTACTGTCATTCAAAACAGGAAGGATGAAATAGAACAATATGCGCGCGCTTCTTTTCCAATGGTTCCTACTTGATTGGGAAAACTATATGATGTAATGTTTATGCGAAGAGAAATAGAGGACATAGAGCCGCCAGCAAATCATATTGTTCTACATGAGAAGTATAACCCTCCTGTGTACGCTGATGATCGTACTATCGTCTCAAGCTAATAGCCAACTGCCGAATTAAACCGCTGCAAGGATGCGGGCTGATAGGCACCTACCGGAATAAGCTTGATTTGTTGTTCTGGGGGGGTTGTTTTTAGCACAAATCTAGTGTACTATACTCTGACCTCCTTAATACTACTACGTATAGCTTATTACTATACATGAACGGGCTCTGGCAATTCAATGATTAGTAGCCTATTACCAGGTATGACGCCGCATTTTTTATTTATTTTATTTTTGTTGAGGCAGCCGGGCCGATTAAGCTGAAAGGGGGACTTGAAAGCCAATTGAATGGTTGTGAAATGGAATCAGCTGCAGGAGAGGCATGGAATCTCACACCGCGGGACGAGAGACAGCGCATCACGATTCGGAATACCTACTATAGACAGAAAGAGAAGGAAGGTGGGGCCGCAATTGGTAACGAACTCTCTGGCTTCATCGTAATAATGTCTTGGTTCATGGCGTGAAAGCAGATGGTCATAGGCAGTAGTATAACCACTACATGTCGTTTATCCAATCTTCTTTTAAGTTTCTAGCTAAACAATAAAATATCCGTCGGTATCCTGGCTTTCTGAACGCCTATCTCGAACAATAGGCACCTCTGCGGGACTAAATCTCTCAACGATGGAGCCATCTTCGATCTCTCTGCTCTGTTACGGAGTAGAATCCAGAAGGATACGGGGGCTTGCAGATCACACAGTCAATCGAGGGCGTTGGATGGGGCCGTCCAACGTTGCTTTCGCAAATCCATCCCCATCCACAAAAAAAGAAAAGTTGGCAGGGGGTTAGCATTGATGTAAAACAACACGAATCGCATATAATGCCGATTCGACGTAGTATCCCGAGATATAGTCCGATAGTTTTTCCACCTGTCTGGTTCTTCGGCTTGCCCCAGAGATGCTTTGCGAACTCTTCCTCCGGCCTTTTTTTTTTCTTGGAAGACATGTTTTGTATACATGGTTCAATAACTAACTTAACACTTGCCCCTTTCGTGTAATTAATGGAGAACCTGAGCTGGAAATGGGAGATGTGGAAGACTATCGAGTGCCCCATCTCGAGTCTATGAATTGAATAGTACTACTGCTGTGTTGACAGGGGTTACCGCCTTCGCTCACGCTTACCAAAAAGGAAGAGAAATTATGCGAAACAACCAATACAGATTGAATCGTATCGTGTCACCTTTTCGCGTCTATAGACAGCGCAGTAGCTCTTCCTTTCCTTCTCCTTTTTTTTTCTGTTTTTTTTTTTTTTTTTCTCCCAGGTCGTCATCGCGTCGGCTAGCTTGATTGGCGAGGCTCCGCTGCAATACCGCGTTTTGCGTTCTGCCGTCCAAATTATAGGGCGGTCGAGCAACTTTTTTAGGCACTCGCTCACCGCCCGCCAAATCTTTCTGCCTACCCTCTATAAAACTTCGCCCGCCGCTCGTTCTTTTGGTTTTTCTTTTTTTTCTTTTCTTCTTCACGTCGACAATACTTCAGTATGTGCCACCCCTAGCTGCAGTGCTGCCTTGCCATAATCTTTCCAGAGCCTCCATCTAACCTTTCTGTTTCCTACAGGAGAATCATTTCTATAGTATTTGTCTCTTGCTTTGGTTCCCAAAAGAGCCATCGAATCCACCCTGGTTGATGATTGTATATCCTCGACACCCAAGAGTGAATTTTTTTCTGGTCCTCTCGCCCTGTCCGCAAGGATGGCGGCAGTCGCCTCGTGCTTCTGCTGTATAGAGAGTTGTTCTCTTGATGATCTCGACCCTGTTCGTGGTCTGCCTTCGGGCGCATGGGCAGGGTGGGTGTTGATGGACGTCTGACAGGCCTTTTCCCTTTTCATTGCACATTGGGGCTTGCCCTGGATGCGAAGAAGATTTTAAGATGCGACTGCCCTTGTCAGAACTGGTGCTGGTAGCACGGCTGAATGGAGTACATGGTGATTTTTTTTTTTTTTTTTTCCAAGATATTGGCTCAGACATTCAACCAGGGCTGATGTTGCACCGCAAAGTTTCTCATCACAGCACAATCAGAGACAAGCACCACATAGATAATTTCCACCAATATTTCCTAGCCCTCGTCTTAATTCCCCGGCCTAGACATCGAAGAGCTCATCCGCTCTCTCTTCAAAAGGATCGTGAACCTAGCCTTTTACACGACACTGCCGATGCGGCTTTGCGCGCAGTGGCCAGTTTATGACCATGAAATTGCATCGCACTGACTCACCAACGAACCAACGTCTTGCTTTGTCTGTTGGAGGGGCAATGTTTTGGCCTTTACCATCACATTGATCCAGCTGCTCCAATGCATCGATGCTGATGATTAATGTTCTGGCTAGATCTGACCCAGTCGACCACCACAGCCCATGAAACCAGTAATGGCTCGCCATAACGCCGCGCATCCTCAGTAAATTAGCCTTGGCATTGGAGTCTTGACATTGCGTGGCTGCGGCTGAAGGATACATGCATGAATGCGCGACGGGTGGGGCAACTCATTGATAAAACTGCTGGCGATGGTGATGATGGGTAGGATGTGCAAAAAATGCCCTGTCCTGAAGTGCACACACGAGTAAAATAGGGACCGCTAATGAAAATACGCGTGCAAAGAAGAAGAATATTTACAAAGTGGCTTATAGTAGAAGCAGCAGTAATTAGGCAGTGTGTGTAATGATAAAGGTGCAGGTGCTTGTAGTTGTAACAGGTATTCCTTCCTCAGGTGTTTTCTTGGCTCCCCGCTTGCCTGAAAGGTACACACGCGTGATGCGAATGCGCCCAGCTGTTGCCCAAAAGAACCCCCGCACAATCATTACATCTCCAGGTGCTAATCCTATTAATGGACCGACTTCATTTCTACCAAAATTGTCTATTTGGTTCTCGCAGCCATCTTTTGCACTCCTAGCAATTGCCATGCCTGTTAGGCAATGGATTCGCCGTCTGAAAGGAACGCCTCGTCCGAGTGGGCAGCTTGAAGGGATCGAGCACGGTGGCAACAATCAGGCAGACGCATCCACTCTGTCCAACGCCATACCAGCCTCTTCAACCAGCGTAGATGCATCTCCGGCTCCCATTTCATCTTTTATAGCGGTTAGCAACGCTCGGCCTGAGCTAGAACCAGCCTTGGTCATCGTGGACAGATCCTCAAGGTCACCAGAGCACCTTTGGGATCTAGCATATGACGAATTGAAAGTAAATGATGCTGCATTGGTTGACGCATACGAAAAGATTCTTTCTTGCCATCTCTGCGATCGAGATCCAGAGTCTGATGGCGACGTGGATGAGGAGAATATAATTGCACAAGGCGATCCAGGTGCTAGAAGGGCCCAAATGGAGCAGCTTGTCACGTCCGGTTTGGTCAAGATAAAACGAGAAGCGAAGATGAAAGAAAGCCTCGACAAAGGTATGCAAGTTGTCATGTCTGCCAAAGAGGTCATTCGTTCCGCAATCCAAACCATTCCACAAGCTGCTCTTGCTTGGACTGGCGTATGTGTGGCACTAGAGGTACGACTGTGTATCTATCAATGGAATAAGAGAGTCTACATTTGCTAATATGTAGCGTGTTTCTTAGCTTTTTTGTAACTTGACGAGTGCAACTAAAGCCAATCGCGACGGTATAGAATACGTTGTTCGGAGAATGGGGTGGTATTGGGAGCTACCAGAAACTATTCTAACAGAGAATACCAATGCTTACAGCCATCTCTCCAATATGAAGGGAGGGCTCGAAGTCCAACTTATCGGCCTCTACAAAATTTTACTCCTATACCAGATGAAAAGCGTTTGTTCTTACTACAAGAGTCGCGGGTTTGTTTTCTTACGTGACCTTGCTAAACTGGACGATTGGGATGGTGATATCATAGCCATTGAAAAAGCCGAAACAATATTTTACAAAGATTCCGACGTGCATCGGAAAGAGAGAATGAATGCCAATCTTGAACAGCTTGCCAAGTATGTGAAAAAGAAAATGACCAAAGAGGATTTACAGTGCTTCAAAGACATGGGCATCACCGACCCGAGCTATGACAAGAAACGCATTGAGAAAACAAAAGGAGGTCTTCTGGAGCAGTCATACCGTTGGATTTTAGATAATCCTGATTTCCAACTATGGCGAGATGATACAGAGAGACGGCTGCTTTGGATTAGAGGAGATCCGGGAAAGGGTAAAACCATGCTTCTTTGCGGAATTGCCAATGAGTTGCGCAAGCCGTCGCCCTCCTCTGGCCTGGTATCTTATTTCTTCTGCCAAGCGACCGACCGACGCATTAACAATGCCAATGCTGTAGTGTGGGGTCTGATGTTCATGCTTGTCGGTCAGCAGCCGGCGCTTATGCATCATATTCGCAGCAGATTCGATGCATCTGGTAAAGAGCTTTTTACAGGAGTAAATTCTTGGTTTGCTCTGTCGGAAATATTTTCAGATATGCTGAGAGATCCGGCTCTGACATATGCCTATCTACTCATTGATGCTCTCGACGAGTGTATTTCTGATCGGGAAAAGCTGTTAGATCTTGTTGTCGAGAGTCTGTCAACTTCATCTCGTGTCAAGTGGCTTGTTTCAAGCCGGAACTGGCCAGAGATTGAGCGTCGGTTAGCTGGATCTGGAGGCCTTGAGAGAATCAGCCTCAGCCTCGAAGTAAACGCCGATTTAGTATCGCGCGCTGTTGATGCTTACATTGAGCATGAGATATCACAACTCAATCTTATAAAGCAATATCCCATGCTAAAAAACGAGATCCAGCATCAAATGCAGCAAAAAGCCAACGGTACCTTTCTTTGGGTCGCACTTGTTGTCAAAGACCTCCACGATAGGCAAGATGCCGAGTACGTGAATCCTTCACATATCTTAGATGTTCTTTTGGAGATGCCAAGCAATCTAACGGCCCTTTACTCCCGTATGGTGGATCATATTGTCAAGCTGAAAGGAGATTCTCCGGAATTATGTCAGAAGATTCTTTCGGTTGCGGCCCTAACATTTCGACCTCTCAGCTTGGTAGAGCTAAGAATTCTAGCTCGCTTTGACCGTGACCGGATCGATGATCGGATGCTGGAGAGATTAGTCAATAAATGCGGCTCATTTTTGACAATCCGTGATGGCACAGTCTATTTTGTTCATCAGTCGGCAAAGGACCATTTAATAGGCAAATCAACAAAATCTATTATATTCCCATCTGGCTTGCACGAGGTTCATTCCACCGTCTTTCTTCATTCGCTTGAAGCTATGACTTTAGTCTTGCAAAAGAACATCTATCATCTTCCACATCCAGGCTCGCATATTGATGAGATTGAGACTCCAGATCCAGATCCCTTGGCTGCTATTCGGTACTCTTGTGCCCATTGGATTGATCATTTCTGCGACGGAATCTCGCATAATGACCGTGCCATATGTCAGAACTACCTCAATGACGACGGACCTGTCTCTGTGTTTCTTCACACGCACTTCCTCCATTGGCTCGAGGCTCTGAGCCTTCTGCGGAAGATATCAGACAATGTCATCTCAATAGCGAGACTCGAAAAGTTATTAAAGGTTAGTCTATACTTTATCAGCATTCGTGTCGTCCATAAACTCACCATTTTAGACACAATCATCTCAAACACAGTTGATTCGTTTTCTACACGACGGGTACCGATTTGTCCTGTATTTCTTAAGAGCTATCGAGATGGCACCACTTCAAATATACTCTTCTGCTCTTATATTTAGTCCGATACAAAGCTTAGTCCGGCAACTCTTCCACAACGATCTCCCGTCTTGGATTCATAATAGGCCTATTATGAACTACACTTGGAGTCCTTGCTTACAAACCCTTGAAGGCCATGGCTCCGAAGTTAATTGTGTTGTCCTTTTAGGAGATAGCAAGCTGGCCACCGGATCAAACGATGAAACAATCAAGATCTGGGATATAGCTACGGGCACATGCCTCCAGACGCTTGCACGTGATTCTTCTCTATCATTATTGTCTTTAAAAAATGAAAAGCTGGCCTCCGGATCTAGGGACGCTACGGTCAGAATCTGGGACATAGTTACGGGTGTATGCGTGCAAACACTCCAGGGCCACAGTCGACCAGTGACTTCTATAATTGCCTTGACAGAAAACAAGCTTGCCTCAGGGTCATTAGATAATACAGTCAGGATCTGGGATATGGCTGCTGGCATATGCATTCGGATACTCAAGGGCCATCGTTTTCCAGTGAAATCTATAACCGCATTGACAGATGATAAGCTGGCCTCAGGATCAAATGACCAGACAACCAAGATTTGGGATATAGATACGGGTGTATGTGTGCAAACACTCGAGGGCCATGGTGACTGGGTGGAATCTATAACTGCCTTGGCAGATAACAAGCTGGCATCAGGATCAAATGACGGGACAATCAAGGTTTGGGATATAGTCACGGGTGTATGTGTGCAAACACTCAAGGGCCACTGTCAATCAGTGAAATCTATAACCGCATTGACAGATGATAAGCTGGCCTCGGGATCAAGTGACGGGACAATTAAAATTTGGGACATGGTCACGGGTGTTTGTATGCAAACACTCGAGGGCCATGGTGACTGGGTGACATCTATCACTGTCTTGATAGATAATAAGATGGCCTCGGGATCAATTGACGGGACGATCAAAATTTGGGATATAGTTACAGGCATATATGGTCAGACACTTGACGATCATAAGGATTGGGTGTATCCAGTGGCTCTCTCAAAAAATGGATCAGAGGCAGTCCCAAGGTCAGATGATGCAACGGTTAATGTCTGGGATATAGCGCCTACGGTATACATCCAAACGCTCAAGGGTCATAGTAACTGGGTGTATTCAGTGGCTCTCTCAGCAGATGGAAGGCAGGTGGCTTCAGGGTCAAGAGATGAAAAAGTCAAGATTTGGGATGTAGCCACTGGGACATGCGTTCAGACGCTTGAGGGTCATAGTAATCGAGTGAAGTCAGTGGCCTTCTCAATAAATGGGAGGCAGGTGGCTTCAGGATCGTGTGATTCAACAGTCAAGATCTGGGATATAGCCACTGGGGCGTGCGTTCAGACACTCAAGGGGCATGAGGATTGGGTGAGGTCAGTGACTTTCTCAGGAGATGGTAGGCAGATTGCTTCAGGAGCAGAGGATAGAACTGTCAAGATCTGGGATACAGCCACAGGAGTATGCGTTCAGACACTTGAGGGTCATCGTGATTGGGTGAATTCGGTGGCTCTCTCAGCAGATGGGAGGCGGGTGGCTTCAGGATCAAGAGATGAAAAAGTCAAGATCTGGGATACAGTCACTGGCATATGCCTCCAAACACTCCCTGTTGGTGTAGTTACTCAACTTTTCTTTGATGAAGAGAAGGAGTCTCGCCTTCATACTAACTTGGGGATTCTAGATCTGGATTCAGGGCCAGTCGTCAATGGTCCAGTGTCTGAAGTTTCTGTAGATTCCGTTGGCTATGGAATCCATGAAGACGGTGTTTGGATTACAAGAGATAGTAAGCCATTACTTTGGCTTCCCTGGGAGTATCGACCAACGGCTTCAGTTGTAGTTGGATCAACGGTTGTTATAGGTAGTATTTTTGGTCGTGTCTTGATGTTCCAGTTTTCAGAAGAAGGCTAGGTTCGCATTAGAGATAACTCTGCCATTTTAAACTTATCTTGAGCACACATTATAATTCTGCCTAACGTATGAATAGATATAGCTCTTCTCTCTTGGGAATTTTAGACAGCAGATGCCAGGCATAACGTGACTATAATTATTGTTTATTGTATTTTGGCAGCTCCGGGGCGCTCACTGGATACACTTACCACACAATGCCACGTAAGGTAGCAAACGGCCTGTGATTTCTTCGTTAAGACAAGCTGATTCTGAGGCTCCGGGATGGCCGCTTCTTTTCTTGGCAGTGCACACGTAGACGGCCACAATCTTGCTTCAACCGCCGTCACATACTAGCCGTGGTGATGGCTGTATTACAAACCCCTGAAGCCCCTGTGCCCTAGCAGGATACAGACAGGTATTGCATACTATCTTGAAGCATCTGGCCGAGCTTCATTATTGCTAAAACCTGGGGGTTGGCATGAGTGCTTATAATAGTACATATGCAGTCGGCGTATAACAAAGACGGGCATTCGCCATTGCCCGGTTAGCTCAATCGGTAGAGCGTGAGACTCTTAAGAGGGACACACGTTCTGATGTAATCTCAAGGTTGCGGGTTCGACCCCCGCATTGGGCTTTTCCTATAACAAAAGATTGAAGCGGCGAATGCCATATTTTTTGTCCATGCTGCAAATTTTTTTTAGTCCATTTTCCAGTGGCGTAGTCTATTATACTAGCTTGTTGCCGAGTTGTTGCGCTAGCCAGCAATCACGCTGGCTGCTGAGAACGAACGAAAGAGGTTGCAGCGTCAATCTAGGTCTGAGCTTCTATGTCCTAGGTCAAGTATGACACTTGATATTACCTATTATACACATATATAGAAGTTACGAGCGTTATATATAAGGAAATGGCGATATATATCCGTCGAGCAATATAGATGTACTTGGCCAGCCACTCATTGCCTAACTGCACTTTCTAATAGCTAATGTAATTTTTAGGTAAAGCTATATATATATTCAGCCTTTCATCTAGCTATATAATAAGACTAAGTATTCCCTGTGATGCTTGATGGAAATATTAGATGAGCTATATTATAAAGGTATATAAACTATAATTCTATCTAGCATTAATATTATATATACTTTACTTATGCCTATCTATACTACCCTAGAAAAGACCATTAGCATTTAAAGCTCCTAGAGTCCTTGCACTCTCCAACATGGTAAATATATATATAAATTACAGTTTTTTATCAAGGCCTATCTAGATCCTGTTTATTTAATTTACTGGCAATCAGCCAGAGTCTGTCTCTATACTCTTAGGAAGACCAGCTCCTTAAAACTAGTGCTGGTAAGCATCCTAGATAGCATATTTATTTATAATCTTGCTTTTTCAGGTTAACTAGCTGGCGTTTTAAATAATATTGCTTTTTTCTGCTAATATACATGCTTGCAGTAGGCAGCTAGAAGTATAATATAACTCTATAGTCAACAGTTACTGGTTCTTAAAGGCAGTATAGTATCCCAGCATAAAGATAAAACCAGACATTTGCAGACTGTCGTTTACATTACTTACTACCAGCCGCTGTAATGATAGCAGGCCATCTCCACCAAAGGCGCTATAATTATAGCGAGTAAAATTTTTCTCTTCTTTTATTCTTAAAGGGTTTGCTTGAAGTTTATAAATGGGGAATTAACTTGGTTAGTTTGCTCAGTGACGTGCACTAAGAGAGCTAGCGGCTACCTTAGCCAAAGACGCTCCTAATGCGGCAGGAATGGATCTGCTGTAATTGGCTGCAGGACCCTTAGCGCGTTGGCTAGCGCAGCGGCTTAGAGAAGAGAATCCACACTAGAAAAAAAAATAGAAGGAAAAAAAAAAAGACATGACACAGGAAGGAGCAAAAAAATTTGGCGTTCGCCGTCTCAATCTTCTGAATTGTATAGGAAAAGCCCAATGCGGGGGTCGAACCCGCAACCTTGAGATTACAGAACGTGTGTCCATTTAAGAGTCTCACGCTCTACCGATTGAGCTAACCGGGCGTAGACGAACGCCCTGTTCTTGTTGTGTTCCGTTGAGGCTAATCTCTCTTATACACCACATCATGGATGATTGTAACCGATTTATCCAGTATCTCTGCGTGGCAGTGCTGAATACAAGTAGAGTTACAGAAAATTGAAAAGCACATCATCTCCTATTAACACAAATTGTATTGCCTCGCTAGGTTTTCTACTGAGTCGTGGGCTCTTTCTTAATACCAAGATTTCACCCCTCCCCAATTCACTTTCTCCTTACTGGTGCATCTGGGCATATCAGAAACATCAACCCTCATCGATTTTAGCAATGACCACCGCCTGAACCATATAAAGTCATATGATTCTGTGTTGGGGACCATGGCGGACGTCACTGGGATCGCTTAACCCTGCTTTACCAAACAGCTGCCATATTCTCTGAGACAATCAACCACGGAGTTGCCGTCATTAATACAGTGTGCCCTCTTGGCAGTGCACTCATTGAGAGCCTCTTCCCAGCTGCCCGTGTTGCCTCTTTCCACGACGGCCTAGGAAAATTATGTGAGTGAAATTGGTAGAGATATGAATTTTTAGCGCTTTTGTAACTTACGGCAGCAGCCAGGGGAATAATAGCCAGGAGGATTGAGAAACGCATCTTGGAGGATTGTATTGGTTGTGGTGGACGATTGCTGTTTTCTTCTTCTTCTTTTTGGTTTTGTGGAGGATTGCTCTTGTGGATGTAGATGTGGAGGGTAAAATAGGGAGGAAGAGAGATGCATTTATAAGGGAGATGTAAATGAGATTTGTGAGGATTATTAGGATATTGGTCCTGGTACAGAGTGCATGAGTGAGAGTGTTTGCTGGATGAGTATGTGTGAATAGAGGTCTGTGTGTATTGTGGAATAAAGAGTGCGTATTGAAATGACTACATTGTGGTTGAAGCGTTTACAAATGAGGCATGTTAGCTAGGCGCATTGTTATTGCTAACTAAATTTATAAACAACCCTGACCTTTTATAGGATAATCCAGTTTTAAGTTGCGTTATAGTACTTACATATATGCCATGTAGTGGAAGGCGAAATTGGTATTAAAATAGCTACAGATACTTTGTATGCAATAGAGTAGCTTTCGCACAGTACTATATTATATATACTATATATACAATCTAGCCATATACAGTACGTACAATACTGTACTCGAATTGAACTTGGCAATATTAACGCTATAATTTTAGCATAACCAACTCTTCCGAGCGCCTTCTGACCTTGGCGATCGAGGACAACGGGAGTCTTGTTGGGAAAACTCTACGAATTGAAAACGAGGCTTTAAGGATGCAGTACTATGTCGGCACATGCCAAGACAACTACATCACAAGGGTTGTACAGTCATTAAGTAGGCTGACAGAATATTATGCGTCTAGACAGGACTCGGTACTTTTTAAGAATTGGGACAAGTCACATCAATCTGCGTACCTACGCTTCGTGGAACGGGAATTTGATGACTGTAACGACTCTGAAGACTCTGAAGACCTTGGTAGAGCAATAAAAGCGGCAAGGCTATTTAAGAAACAGAAAGTTACCAAACGGAGCGCTGGATCTTGTTCGCTCTATAATTTGAGTCTTGGATTTGGAAAATAGGATACGCGAAACTGTATCAGCATTATTGGGACAAGCGGCTAATGTCAAGTTATTATCAAGAATTAGAAGAGAATTTTGCCAAAGATGAATTACAACCACAGACAGATTTCTGAGATAGATTGAGATCCGCAGTAATATACACTTGTGGTCCCGATATCGACTCTGCGGCTTGCTGAGCAGTCCATAGTATAATATCTGTACCATTAACTGGTAACTTGCTGTAGCAGTCACGCCGTTTGTCCCTTGGCACGTAAACTCTCACCACAACTTGAAGCCGCCAGGCACCTTGCGCTGGAATACTCCGGTCGGGTCATACTTCTTACTGACTTTGCGGAGGTAGTCCAGGTTGTCCGTCCCGTAAGAAGCCAGCGGTGCCTGGTGCGGGCCTGCATAGTTTAGATACTCAAACTTCCGCAGCATCCCTTTTCGCTCGGCGACCGCCTTGATAGCCGCAAATGTGTCTCGGCCTTTCCGGTAGACGGAGTCGTTGGAGCTCGAGTTCGGCCAGAGGGCAGACACGAGAAGGACTGTTGGTGTCAGAGTCAGACCCATGGGCAAGTATATAGTGAGTGCATGTACAACAAGTAGGACTGTTGGTGTCAGAGTCAGACCCATGGGCAAGTATATAGTGAGTGCATGTACAACAAGTACATGGCGCGAGAAGATTCCAGGGCGGAGCAACTTACTGACACCATTGCCATCCTCGGGTTCCAACCCGAGAACGTTTCCCCCAGTGGCGGCGGAATGCGAAAGCATCACAGATGGAAGGGGCTCGAAGGCAAAGCTCCATGTGACACCACCGGCGGGATTGAAGTCGTACAAGGATCCGTTTAGAGCATTGAAGATGCCCAGCATGGTCTCGCTCGAGGTCCCGAACGTTAGCGTGGCAAAGAGCCAGTTCCTATCCACCAAGGTCTGCATTAGATATATCCATCCTCTTCACATAGCTTGGGGCGATGTCTAACTTACAGCGGTGGAGTGGGATTCTCCGCAGCCAGCGCTGCCACGGCCGTGATCTCGGAAGTGTTGGAGATGCTTGGCACGGCCTCGAGGCCGCTGAACACCTCTGGGTGAAGCACGGGCTTCGTGTAGCTGGCGGAGCTGGTCACCGACCATGCCTTGGCTGCTGGGACGTACAGCAGGTCCGTCTGGAGGGACACGTAGGGGTCGAAGTTTGGCGAGGCGGCGATGTCGGTGAAAGCGTCGAACACGGCACCGATCTGGGATACGTCGTACGAAATTGTGTTGACCGACATGTTTCCCTGCGGAAACGCCGTCAGCGTATAGCGCGTGACGACGCCAAAGTTGTTTCCACCGCCCTTGAGCGCGCGATACAGGTCGGGGTAGCTGGTCCCAGAGACGGTCACGAGGGTGCCGTTTGCGAGGACGATCTGGTTGGCAAGTTAGAAAGCACAGCAAACAGGAGGAAGCAACAAGTGCACATACTTCGTACTCAACAACAGTATCGCACGCCCATCCAACGCGCGGCGAAAAATGCGAGATGCCACCGCCCAGGAGCAGCCCACCAACACCGACGCCGCCGTTCCTCCCACCAGCGGCAGCGAGATTGAAATCGCCCAGGTAGCCGTATACATCGTTCCAGACGGCGCCTGCCCCGACGGCGACCGAGGTCTTATCCTCGCTCAGCACCGTCGCGTTCAGAAACTTCATGTCGATGGTCACGCCGCCCTGGATGTTGGCAGAGCCGCCGGCTGGTGTGTGGCCGCCGCCCTTGACGGCGAACTGGCAGCCCGGCACCCGCGACGTGGTGAGGATCGTCACCGCCTTGCTAACATGCTGTGCGGAGCGTGGCCGGACGATGCAGGCGGGCACGAGGGACGACTCCTGGATGGAGAAGTAGTCGGTCTCGGCGAAGGGCGTGGTGGTGACGATGTCGTCGCCGAGAGCGGCGGCGAGACGAGCGCACTGGGGTTGGTCAGTATCGTGTGTTTTCAGGATGGAGAAGTGATGAGAGGCAGAGGGAGACGGGCTGGCACTTACGCATGTGTCGTATGAAGATGAAGCCGCCGATACGGCCGCAGCCGCCGCCAGTGCAGTGGCTGTGGACGATTGTGCGAGTCTCATGGTGGGTGACCGGCGTCGACGCTCTCTCTATGCGAGGCTCGTGCAAGGCTCGCGGCAAAGAAGCGCCATTCCTGCTGCCCTCTCATTCCTGCTCGCACACTTAGGTAGGCACATATATATACCCATCCACATGTCTATACGGAACTGCCTGCCGTGCCATGCTCGCCATCTCGTCACCGCCCTCGATCCTGCGGATGGACCAGGGACATTCATTCGGCCCGCGACGTGCGATTAGCCCGAAATGACTTCGGCCTCTCTCCCTCGTTTCGGTGGTCCGCGTGGAGTTGACGTCTGGCTAGCTCCGGGGAACCGCCACACGGTTGATGGTGCCTGTCGAGGCCCCGCTTCGGCCAGATGCTGCGCAGAACTGCAAGGAAGATGGTAAGATGGTTGTGAACCTGCCTGTCGTACTACTGCATGTACGTTGCTCTTGGTGTTTCCGCCGTCCTGCAGTGAACCCAGTTGCGCGCTCAGCAGAGCATGTCCCCCAGACTTGCTGCTGTATGAGCATATGGATGCTAATCCAAGGCCTGCTGCCTTCACTGGCTGCGCAACTACGGCTGAACTATTTTAGAGCTTCCATCTACCCCACCACCCCCCGCGGGGCCAGCTGCAGGGCCGACCACAGCGCCGGATATAGGACGGATGGGTGCAGCGGACAGGGGCAAGAATCGAGGCGAACTAATCGATCGTCATGGCTGTTGATGCCTTGATTGAGCTGTTTTTTATTTTATTATTTTTTCTGTTCCTTTTCCACGCAGGCAGTCGAGCATGGGCAGTGTGTTGGGAAAGTGCCTATAGTGTAGCCAAAAGCTAAAAGAAGCATCAATTGCACCAGTTTGGCGCTGTTGCTCAACGCGAATTTCTCAAGCTCTAGCATTGTGAGAAATTAGTTCAACTTACGTACTACAACACTGAACCAATAGCATATAAAACGTTCTCGGGGCCATTATGGGTCTGATTCATGTTTACGTATGGCAAACGGGATCAAAGTCACAAAGCCAGCGTTTTTATCCATAAGCACACGCATCTTCAAATACCATCACAGCCCTATTGCCACAGCTCTCGCCTCAATAGCTTGCCAAATCTTTTCATGCTTGGCCGATAGTTTATCCCATGCCTCATCCCGTGCCAGCCTTTCCCTTTCGGAAGGCTCCTCGGCTATTCCATCAAAATCAGGATAGTACCAAGCTTCCCAGAAGTCGCTCTCGTCCTGGATGATCCCGTGTTCCTCCTCAGCTCGCCACTCATCGAATTCGTTCAAGTCGAGACAGAATTCGGTATCCATGAGCCACCATTCATGCAAAGCAGTATCAATTCCATCTTCCAATTCAGAAAAGAAATCAAAATCAACCATGTTTGAAGAATTACGTCCATACTTCTTTACCACTACTACACAACCATCTATCGGGACCTTTGTACTCACGCAGTCGAAGAATAGTTGGTGAGCAACCCAGTCGAGAGGGGCTCTGGCTCCGAATTTTTGTGCGAAAAGCGTCAAGCATATACCGACTCCCCAAGGGTCACGCCATGCTTGTTGAGGTAGAAGAGCCGCAGCAACGCGCTTTCGCAATTTCGAGGTAGATACAATCTTATCGTCGTCGTCACCCGATATAATCTCGTCGTCGTCGTCACCCGCGAAAACATACTTTTCCCAGTCGAGCCCACGATCCATCAGGGTCTGCAAAGAGACCTTATGTAATACGTATTTGCCGGGTATTACCCATTCGAAAATGTACTCGTAACGGAATATACCTGGTGTTTCGGGTTCGCATTCCTCTGCCAAGTGTTGTGCCGCATGGAGTGAAGTGGGAGACTCATGTCCAGTGGCCGGGGCCTTGATGAAAGCGATCCAGATATCTTCTGGCGACTCGTCGTATGCATAGTATTTCTTGAAAGCGCGCTGGATGGTATCGATGATCCGGCTACTCACCGAGATCAAAGCTGTCGGCTCTCTATTGTGCCGGTTCGCATGTTTTAGAAACTCGCCGAGGAGCTCAGCGTGGGTTAATGCATTGCTTGTGGGTTTCTTGCCGGAGCTGAGTTTACCGGCGCTCCTTTCTGAGTATACCCGTGTGTAGATTGTACCTTCAGCCATCGGGACTCGATTTTCAAGTGTTGGCTCACTAATAGGCAATCCACTGCAGTGCCAAAGAAGAGAAATGAAAATGAAGGCTTCATGTTCGTTCACCTACCCCGCCACCACTCCTGGCTTCGTCGTGGCAGTGCTTACCAGTGCCTGCGGGGTGCAGATGTATACATGTACATGCATCCAACGGTATAATCATGTCCATGAATAACCGTCACTTTGCTACTAAAACTAAATTGCATCGGCGCCTCGAAGTAGCAGTGCTTCAGAATTCATGGGAGTGATGAGTTGTCGGCTTGTCAACTGTTTAGAATGTTTGATAAACTTGTAGCAGTATAAAAGGCGACAACCGCCTTGGCTCTCATAACAACCATTCTATGCATGCTCTAAAGCCTCGAGATCTATGACAAGACCTTTTTTTTTTTTTTTTTTTTAAAAAAAAAAAAAAAAAAAAAAAAAAAAATTTCCATTAACACGGGTTGCCAAGTCATTAACCACATGCTGCTTGAGGATTGCAGCAGCCAGCTAAATGTGTTACGCGCCGACCACATACAGTTACCCAGACATTAAAGCTAAGCGCTGAGCAGTTTGAGGTGATTGGTGCATGTATATGCAGGGTCCTAAATGTAGCTCGTATAAACCCTTTATAATCGATCATACCTAGCTATACAACGCCAACAAAGCTATACCACTCAAAAGCTACCATTACTAAATTACACGGAAATAAGATTTCATGAGATACTAATATTAGGTACATGTATTTGTGCTGCATCGTCCACGCTCGACCGAAATGATCAACATCCGCTTGTTAAATATCAAGATATCAAGTCACAAACTGAATCCACTGAATCCGTCAAATATGGCACGCTGTAAAGATTCATACTCCACATTTCAATCAAAGAAATTGATGTGCCAGTGCTAGAAATAAACAAGTAAAAGAGAGTGTGTGGATACCTTAAAAGAGAAAACGAACAACGCCAATTGCTGTAATGACCATCTACCTTACCATCCCACATGCTTTTCCTTTTTCCCCTTCATTTTGTCCCTGAATTGCGATTCTTACAGTCTAGTGTACATCAAAGAGTAGATGGCATCCCAAATTCCATCTCCGTTTCCCCAATCAGAAATTATGTAGTCTATTTAGAGCAGTTTGTAGGGCTTTAGTGGCCCTTTTCCCTCACGCTGGATCTTACTAGGGGGCCAGTTCATTCACAGATCAATCACGGCGCGCTCCAAGAGCGTTAAAGCGAACCAGAACATGATAAAACCTCCTCTTCAGCTTCCAGCCATATGAGCTACAGAGCTGACTGCTCGCATCCCGCATGATTTGTTCTGTCGAGCACCCGGGATAAAAGACACCACAGTCGCCGATCGTAGCCGGGCCGCCAAACTCAAGCCATTTGTCGCTACTTGTGGGGAAGAATGGAAATACATCTGCTTGAAATGGATCGCCACCGGACATGTCATTTTCTGAAGAGGGGCCATACTTGACAAATGCAAGAATGGCGAGATATGCTGTGAAGATGCGCAGGTAGTCGACCGGCGTTACGAGTGGATTCTCTCTGGTAACTCTGAATATCTGCCCTGCGTTATAGACATACAGCCGAGCGTGATACGGGGCGTTGGCGAATTCTTGAATAAGCCGTTGTTGCATTAAAGGCAATTCTGTGTGATAGCTACACGGCGGGGACGAAATGGCTGCGAGAGTGATGAACCTTATCGTGTACAAGATGCGAGTGCACAGACCAAAGTGGTCAGAATGGCGAATCACTTTCAGTCTGGATGATAAGCTATGGATTGTGTGATTAGCGAGGACCCAGACGAGATGGAATGTTCAGTTGACGAAAGCTGAGAGAAACTTACCTAAAATCATCGGCGTCCCTCGTGATGTTAATGGCGGCGGGCGACTGGTGATATATAGAGGCCGACTTGCCCAAAAAGCTGATACTCCAAAGCAGCTGCATCTGAATGCTTGAGAGAGAAGAGGTGAAATGTAAGTTGATTTCTAGAGCACTCGCAATTGTGATGGTCCGTTGATAAGGATCTAGAAGACCTCTGAGGAGTCTTTCCAAGATATGCGCGCAAAGACGCTTGGTCCATGAAGACACTGCGTGAGGAAGTTTGAGTCTATCCAACGCAAGGGTTATGACATTGGATACCAAAGGCCCTTGGAGACTCGAGTCACTCAAAAGGAGTTCGGCCCAGGCATACGCGTTGGGGGCATTATAAAGTGCATCCTCGCAGGGAAATACCTTGGGTAAATGTCCCAGCGCTATAGCACAAGGACGACCAGTGAGGAGCGCAAGGCTGCAGTCGTACTCGAACACCATCCAAGCCACCCTGAGTTTTTGCTCGTGGTCTGCCCACGCGCGCCACTCCTTGTGTACCACATCAGGATCCAAAGAAGGCCGAGGTAATATATTGCCTGGGTTCAAGGCATTGGGTCCCAGCAGATTCTGATGTTGCAGACCCTGAATCATGTAACTGCGAACTCTATCTGCATGATGATGGATTTGATCGTGGCTTGATCCAATCAAGTATGTTTGGTGGATACACAGAGCAGCTATATACTCCGTATCTCGGTATTGCGGAAAAGGAGCTTTGGTCTGTTAGGTGTTAGTAGGCGATGCGGTACTTGTAAGAGGGAGTTGAGCCACGCGATGAAACGACTAACCAGACTGTTTATTTCCGAGGTACATCGTTCACTGATGTAACTCGCCTGTCGTATGACCTCACAGTCCTTCGAAAAGATCGAGCCAACACAAGCCATTGCGCTGACCAGCGCCATAGGGTACTCGATGAAACTCCACGTAGAAAAATGAAAGACGGGCTGGTTCTGTTGCCAGTGGACAAAGTAGTTGGCGCAAAGCTGGTTGAGCAGATTCATCGCAGGGAGGTATATAGTCTGCTCTTCAACCGCTTCGTATCTACGTGGAACGCCACCTGCATCAAATAGAAGCCTTAGACTTTCCAGTGATACAGCTAGCACATCTCCTGGAGAATTGTAGCCACTGAGATGCATATCAACCGGCCTCTGCCAAAAATGATCGGTTAACGGGGAAAAATTGGAGTCTTCAAACCCAGCATTTTCAACGCAAGGTTCGCGTCGCTCGACGGGAGCTAGAAAGTCAATCCAACTGACATCACCTGTCTGGATGGCATCTGATTCTGGAATAGGCGGCATATGAGCAACATATTGAGGACTGAACACAGTAGCAGCCAAACACGGGAGAGAGTTGGAGGGCTGGGCAGGACTGGTAGGCGATTGTTCCTGAGATGTAGACGATCCGGAAGCCGAACCAGGGCTCCAAGACAGCTCTAGGCTTGGTAGCGTATAGCCCTCAGATGTATCACTCATAACGCTTGACTGATAGGGAGGTGTGCAGTCACATTCAATGCTGTGGCGGTGACAGCGCTGACACGTGCCGGGCAAATTCTCATCCACAAAAGCCTTGATGTTGCTAGGATGGAACTGTTCGTTGTGCCTTCTCAGACTGCGAGGCGATTCCACCCGGGTATTACATGTAGAACAAAAGAAGAAACAGCGCGTAGTAACGGCTGGAGTAGCAACATCTTTCCCAGTGCGGGCTTGATCAACAGTGGTCAACTTGGCTTTGGATGTGTTGCAGGCGACTGAGACAGCAATACGACCGGGATCATTGTCAATGTCGTGAATTTGGCGGTGGTGGTCCAAGTCTGCTGGACTGGCGTAGGCCTCAGAACACATTTCACAGCTGAAGATGGCAGCCATCTGAAGGGATGGCCGAGAAACGCAAGAAGTCATGTTTGCCTAGCATATCATATTAGCAGAGTTCATGAATGCTGGTAGGCATGCCGCAAATGTATCATAGGTACCTTTAGAAGTAAAATACAAAACACAGAAAGAATTGTTTGATGATTTGCCCTTATCCTACCATAGCGAGGCCGATGAGGCCAAGGGTAGTGCTAGAGAAGGCTGCGAATATGACTGGATGCTTTGGAGAGAATGAGAATAGAGCTGGTGTATAGGAAAATATAGGCACCTACTATAGGTACTTACTAACCAACATCAACCACTACTAGGTAGGTATGATGCCGAGTACCATCGCAGGTAGTACAGATCTTTGGTCCAAGGCTAATAATCAAAGCCGGTTCAATAAAGCGAAAGAGATACTGGTCCTACCTGCTCTCACGCAATGGTTCGAGAATCAGCAAAGGAGCAAGTATCCAAGCTGCCTTGATACGGCCTGCCATGTCTTTTATAGCCTTTTATCTGGCCAGCAAGCAGCCGATCAATGAGAAAACGCCTTATACTGGGACACAGGTAGTACTTAGTGGTATCATGATAGGAGGTAGTAGTACCAGCTAATGTAAGTAGGACTAGGGTCAACGTGCTGCCGCCTGCCGCCGCCTACTACCAGGCTGAGACAGTCGGTGCTCCCCAGCGCTACACGTCCTCCTCTCAACTGCGGCGTATTTGCCTTGGTCTTCAATCCTTCCTGCATTGCCGGCACGCCATCCAACAGTCATGCTATTCCAATTGGGCGAGAGGCCCTGATTCATCAACTGCACAGTAGCATACATGCTGCAAGCGTGCCCTATGCTGGGTCGGCGAGGAAATGGGTGCCCCCATGCACGTGGGCCACCAGAGGGCCTCGAAAAAAAAAAAAAAGAAGCAGCAGCAGCAGCAGCACCGCAACTCTCCCTCTCCCCCCCTCTCTCCCTCTTCTTCATTTCCTTGCATCACGTACATGGTCAGGGCCTGATGCACCTTGACAGCTCTTAGGCCTCCAGCCTCTTGCAGCAGCATTAGCTTGGCTGCCGGCAACTTTCATTTTGCGAGCCACACTGTTACACAGGCCCCACTAGCGTGCTGACCGGTCGACGTGATGGAGGGGGAGCAGCCGTAACAGCAGTCGAGAATACAACAAAAAGAAAGGGGAGAGGCTCCATCTAACAAAGTACGTGCCCTGGAAGGCCAGTGGTATTCCTTGTATCAGTGAGTGAACACCCGGAACTGCGGCTCTGATGCCTTGTCTTGCACCCTCGAATTGACTTGTATATGCGGTAGGCAAAAGAACCCCGGCTCTCTGCCCTGTTAGCCTGCCAAATCCGAGAGCTGAACATCAGAGCAAGGGACTGGAGTCAATAAAAGCTCCTCGTCCGCTGGATCCTTCACACATCTGTCTCTGCAGAGACGCTGTACCGGTGCTAAACCTCCGTGGTACAGACTACATATATGTACAATGAACTGCTATGGCACCATCGGCTAGGTACATGTATGTACAGCAGATAGAGTAGCCTCCATCCCAAGTTGCTGTACTTACGGCCAAGATCGCTAATGACATGAGAAATTAGAACTCTCAGTGTGAGTGCTGGTAACCCCCACGCAGGTCAAGGGATTCTAGGAAATAAGCCAAGCACCTGCCTTCAATTTAAGCCAGTCGCTTTATCTACAGTGTCTTGGCTTTCCACAGTTTATGAGGTTCTTGCCCCTACCGCTACACCCTACTGCCATCACGCCAGGGCCCAAAGGAAAAAGTGAGAAAAAGAAAAACGCCGTGGCGTGGTAACGGCCAGCTACAACCCCACATTCCGGCATTCATCTACCAAGATTTGTCTACAAAATACTTCCTGCACGCTGTTAGTTTTCTCTTTGACTTCAGAGCCACCGCCTTCTTGCGGCCCCTGGTTCATGGAGGGTATTTACCACCGGCCGCTCTGTCTAATGTCCACGGGTGAAAAGCAAGCAGATGAGATACGCGAGCCACAGCAATCACACCAGTGGTTCGACTTGAAAACTCCGGGCACGGAATGGCCTATCCTTCTCTAGTGAGAAGACAATGCTCAAACAGAGTACAGCCTGCCATAATCGTATGTATAATACGAAATAATCTTGGCCGATGTAATGGTACAGCTAGGATTATGCCCCGGTTTGGCTGATCACTGCTCCTTTTGAGCAAGCTACCTCTATGTGATATTGAACGGCACTATGATTTGGGAAGCGGCAAATCATTGCCAACCAGATATGTCTGATGCTGGCCGAAGACTGCATGTTCTTGTTACACAGGCCATGGGCACACATATGCCTCTTTACGATATACTGGTGATAAATCGGCACTAATCATTCCTTCTCTACGAGCCCCGCCGCAACTTTTATGCCCGTTATCATTGCGGAGAAACGCTTCATGGCCTGAGCTCGATCTCCTCTTTGATAAAGCTTCTTAGTATCGTGGGAGCAAAGCGATCTTGCTCTTTGTACTCTGTGCCCGGGCATAAATCTTACTGTGGCATTCATGGCGAGCTGCTAGACTACAGCTAGCTCTTCTCTGCCCAACAAAAGTCCGAAAAACATACATTGTGAGCACAGGTGGTTTTCAAGCACATTGGGCTCGAACAAAGATCGATCCAAGGATCTCGATGATAGACTGCCTGACAGGTGTGCCCTCCGCCCTCCACCCTCTCTACCCGACAACTTCGAACACGGCATCATGGCATCATGCTCGAACTATCACCCATTACTTCTCCACGTACTTTATACGAAAGTGTATACAGGTGCAGTATCCCTGAGCGGCCGACTTGGCTAAGAAGTTTCTTTTCTGGGGATGCACCCCTAACATTGGAACTATCAGTCTTAATTTAGACTGCAGTGCTTGAGAGCGAATTATAACTTGACCGTTTGGGTGGTGGAAGTCAATACCATGTACTTCTACGAAGTCGTTCAACCCCCCCTTACATCAGGTTTGTATTGCTTTTGCTAGAAATCCATAGGATATCGAATCAGAAGTCTTGCATACCAAATGTCTCCCTATGAGCATCACGCCCCATGCTTGATACTTGGTCCGAAATTGCGGATGCTTAAGAAGTCTGCCGATTGGTTCATGCTTGGTTGATCATGGGGCAGCAACACCGTGTTCGGATAATGTTTGATTCGCGCCGGATGAGCCTAAGATGGGAAATTTATTGAGATCAACAGTGGTTTATACAGAGAACAACATGGGTATGGGGTACAACACTCTGGACTTTCGCAAGGATTCATGGCTCTATGCCGGCGAATTGAGTGGAAGTGGAACAATGTTCTACTGCTACTAGCTCTACGTCCACGCCTCGTGTTGCCACAGGCGGAGATTTTCAACCGCTACAAGAGGAGTCTTTTGTAACGGTACATACCGCTATCCGCTCTTCTTCTTTTTTTTTTTTTTTTTTTTTTTTTTTTTTTTTTGTTCATGAGACGGGATGCTGAGGTATTGTTCATCGCATGCAATGAGCTACCTATCAAACCATCTCTATTTCCACTTTTCCACTCGTCGAGAAGCCATGAGAGTACACTCCAGGTTACTTGCTTGCAACGGCTTTAACAGTGCTCTCCATACTTCTAGTTATTTTGCATAAGGATTCCTAAACATCTGGATGGACCATGGTTTTTCCCTGAAAATACTAATACTACCAAATTTCCTTTTCATCAAATCGGATGCCCTTGGGCCACTCGACCAGGGACGCCAAGACAAATAGCAAAGGACTAAGACTGCAGTTGTGGTGCTCTACAATTCCAAAATCTGGCCTGTCTAAATATGAGAACCATTCTTTAAACAATTATGCAACGGCCACTGGCGAATGAGGTTTGCGTGAGGTGCTTCCATCTCTCAGCAGAAGCAAATAGCATAGATTCAAAGCCCTCTGGCCAAAGACATCTCTAGTCTTCTGAAAAGAGTTGGCAGAAAGCCACACCGGATTTTGCGTAATCGATTACCGCTACTTGGATTTTGAAGCAGCCAACAGGACCCATCAGAAAATCAGGCGACAAATCAGCAAAGACAATCAGAGAGGAGAACAATGAAAGCTCAACGTACTTACATCACAGCTTGGGTCAAACTTGATGCTCCCTGCAGCTCCTCCAACTCCCCACCCTCCCCCCCGCCCCGTCAGTCATGTTCCAAGCATTCACAATGTCTCAGACACTGCTAGTGGGCAGCTGGTCCGGATACAGGTGCTTGGGCATGGGCATCAGAGCTGGGCACCGGGACACATTCAGCCAGAGCCTTGCGTTTCTCTGCGTCTCTGTCTCTCTTTTTCGGTGAGCAAGGATGTACGCCACAGCCGAAACCCATCACACTCAACTCCAAAAGTCAGACAGTTATCAAGCAGTGGGCGTAGTGCTGCTCGGCTTTATTATAGGGAAATTTGCTTGAGCAGTCCCAAAGCTCCTCAGCTTGAGAGACAAAGTTGTTTTTTTTTTTTTTTTTTTTTTTTTTTTTTTTTTTTTTTTGACAGTATAAGTGGGTGAGGCTCTAACGGGAGTGACGTGATGAGACAAGACGCGCTTCCAAGCGGCTGGCACGAGTACCAGTAGTCCTACTATTACTACTGGTACTACATAAATTAGCGAGGATACCCCAGTTAGTGAGATGTCGTTGGACAAGAATAGAAATGCTCCGTACGCAAGGCATCTTTTTGCCTCTGGCCCGGAAACGTGGCACCCCGAAGCGCCTCCACGGAGCAATGTGGGATGCGATTGGTCTGACACGAAATCTCCGTTCAAAGCCGCTTTACTGTATGTGTTTGTACGGCAAGCAGAAGATCAGCATGAGACATGTTGATTACGTTGAAAAGGGGAAGGAGAACTCAAGACAGCAAACGGCACTACAGAAGCAGAATGTTCACTATGCTATCCAGCGGCGTACTACCTACCACAGCTATGTAGTGCTACGGCGATTCCGTTTGGGTTAAGCACCATACAAAAAGAAAGAGAAGGATAGGGATAGAAAGAAAAGGCCTACAACGACAGGTGCCATCCAAGAAGGGTAGATCGGTGCTGGGTTCCTTGTCCACTACCGTCGTGGGATTGAGAAACCATCAGCATCCATCTTCTAAGAGTCCAACGAACCACAGGCACGGATAGCTACAGCAAACGAGTGCAGTAGATATTTTGCCATACGCGAACTAACACTCGGGAAGAGCGCTCGAACGGCCGATGGCAGTATTTTTCCCTCGGAGAGAGTGGACAGGGGCTACGGCTTAATCACCAGCCCCAACGACGCCGCTAGAGGCCACCAGGCGTAGTGTACGAGGTAGCAAGATACTCTGCGATGGCCGAAATGCGAATCGATCTCAGCATCCTTGTCTATTCACAGCCATCGGCATGGGGGTTACGGAGCGCTGGGATGATAGACGCGGCCATGATAGAGACACGCCACGGCGCCAGCACAACAGTGGGCACAATACAGACAGAGTACAGATTGATACCCATGGCAAAAAAAAAAATGATGAAGTATACAAATTATTGATTGATGAGAGGAGGCGCATGCAGTGGACGAATGAATGCTGCAGCTGCTATCGCCGGAGTGACCGGTCAGCTGTTCTCACATGTAGGTTTAGTACTTGCTCTTATTCCCGCCGCTGGAAGCTGGGCGCTAAGCAAGCAAGCAGATGGATTGCCTTGTTGTTCCTAGCAGGACTCTGGAGTGTCAAAGTACCTACTACTACATGGAGCGCTGTTCGTACCTACCACTCTGCACATGCAGCAAATGATGGCAGGAAAAGCAGGCTGGCGCTCATCAGATGTCACGTCGCGTCAGAAGTGCTTGGGGATGGTCGCCTGGTATCCCCGGCCGCAACGCCAATTGTTTGCAGGGCCTGAATTGTCCAGACAGCCAATGCAGCCCGGCTACTAACTAAGTACTAGGTAGCTCTGCAGACTGTTGTACAGTGCATGGTGCTGCAGCTCGCGGCTTAATGGCTGGATTACAACGTTTGTCACGAGCACGGAGCAGTACTGCTGCTACAGAGGTATCCGATGCTTGACCTGATCAGCAAGGGGCAGCGACCATGGATCTCGAGAAGTTTGCATCATTTAATGTCTTTTCCCCCGATGGTGTCTCGAGGCAAAAGACCTCCATGTCATACTCGTCGATATTGGACAAGGGAGGAGGCGAGCTACGAGGCAAAGGTGGCCAACCTATTGCTTGGCCAAAAGCACCTTGCCAGTGTACCTACTCGGGTATATGTAAGGAGGCATGTCCATGCTTTTGCGTTTCTTCCTTCTCTTCCTTCTTTTTCGTCGCACACCGCCACCACAGCGCAGCTACCTAGTTAGTGTACGCAGCAACATGGTGTGCCAGCACATCGGCGCATGCAGCTTTATTTAATGGTGACACTAGCGCAGAGAAGACCACCACAGCTGTTGGGCGTGCACGGGGGGAATGTTACACAAACGGGAAAAGAGCAAGGGGAAGGGGGAAAAGAAAGAAAGAAAAAAAGAAATAAAGAAAAAGGCTGAGGGCAGCCTGAGGGCAGCCTGTTGAAAGACGGTGAGATGAGGTGGTGTGATCTTATGTGTGGTGGTGATGGGCTCAAGTCTCGGCCGAGAGGAAATCACCAAGCTTGAAGACCCCCCTCTCTCTCTACATTGTAGGTATCTCTTCTGGCATCGACCAACGAGTACCCAGGCCGGCAATTTCACATCCACATACTATCAATCCATAACTCGCCACGCTGTGTGCACATGAGGTACAAGGAGCTCAATGGGCCGCTGAGCTCTCTCATTGCTCTGCTCGGTACCTGAATCTAGAGAAGCAGCGGGCCGAAAAAGTAGTTCTACTGCTAGAGCTTATTATTGCTGTGCCTATGAACATGCGGCTAGCGTTGGTGGGGGTTCTAAAACGAGGCTGAACCCTGATCACTACTGATTTAGTGAGAGGGGCTAGAGAAAAAAGAAAAAAGAAAAAAATGGGAAGAAAGAAGCCCAAGGGGTCAAGTGTGTCATATCAGCTATCAGTTACTGGATACGCCAATGGAGCGCTAAACTTGACGTGGGAGGAGAGTGGAAGAAAAGACGGAGAGTAGGAGAGTAGGAGAGGAGGAAGAAGAGGGAGATGGAGATGGAGAGATGGTATCATGAGTCTGATTGGCTGTGATGCTGATGCAATGGGAGAGGCGCTCATATTACTAGCATATGATGCATTCGAGCTGCACTGGACAAAACCATCGCATCACAGCAGCACTGATGCTAAAAACCTCCAATAGCTGCGCTGAGCGGCTCTGAGCGGCTCAATATTGATTCAAACGCCCATATCGATACCTGGTCCTGACTAACAGCGCTAGCACCTACTAGGTACCTACCTTGGTGCTAAGCGGGAGCTGTGTATTGGTTTCCTCCTCTCACCATCAACTTTCGCTTCCACTCTTCAACTCTCGCCTCTGTTTCTGCTTCCTTTTTCCCCTTCTGCCATCAGCTTACTAGCCGCACTCCTCTGCGCCGCAACCGCGGGCTAAACCGGCGTTTTATTTTCTCTTCTTTGTGCTCTTTTTTAAATTGCGCAGCGTCTTGCGTGTCGCCGGCCGCACCCCGTATTGCGACCTCTCTCACGTTAAAACTGGGGGAGTCATTAGACCCGGTCTGTCGCGTAAAACCACCCGGCATCGAGACCAACGAGCTCCCTGCATTGGTAGTCCTGGTTGCGCCGCCCCATGGAGCTGTCTGGTTCTTCTTTATACCGCTCTGGGCGACATTAGACACTGGGCATCAGACTCTGCGCGGCCAGCATACCATACAGTAGTTGGTGTCTCGGAATCCAGCCAGCCACCGGCCGCTTAAACTTACTCTCAGATCGAAACCACTTGGTCACAGTCTCTCGCACGGCGCATGATATAAGAATGCCTCGTCCGCCGGCATTGGTTGACTGAAATCCTTTCTTTGCTTGAATGCACCAGTGTCCTCTTTCTGTATTTCTATTCCTACTGCCTAGCATCCATCTATCAAAAAAGAAAAAGAAAAAAAGAAAAAACTCTGTTCCTACATCTCTCTGCCCATCCACAGCCTATGTGCCTTGGCCCTTTTCACCAGCAAGCAGCTGACTAAGGCTTGATCCATTCTTCCGCGCGTCGATCCACGAAACAGAAATCTGGGGCTTGCAGACAGACTCTCAGCCAACCACCGCCGGTTGAGCTCCCAACAACTTACAAGGCTGCATTTAACCTCTACTTCTAACTCTATCTCAGCCTCTGCCCACGGATATACCTATATACCTACCTATCGGCTCGCCTGCTTGCCTTTTCGGTTGCCTTGCTTCTCTCACAGTCTGCACCTTTTGATGCGCCTCTGCGTATATCATCTGCGTCATCGGCATATCTGCCATCCTCATCAGATTCTCGCCACATCTCTCTACTAAGCGCTCTCGCTCATTCGACTATCCCGCAGAAAGTGCTTTACGTGCTTGAGCACCTTGCACGCTTGGAAATTTCATAGTCTCGAACGCCTTCTGCAACAAGTACGTATCATACTGGCTCGCACTCACTCGCGCAAAAGACCTTGGATGACAACGTTTAGTCGCTGACTACTGCTGGCTTGTTCCTCGCAGATTTTTATATTCCTCTTCAAATTATCTGCTTCATTGTATCACCAACCATTCTCCATTTCATATCAAACCTCAGAAATCGCCCCCATCGCATCAGCCGTCGCACAGACGCCGCTATCAGCATGAGTGGTGACGAGAATCGTGACCGATTCGCATGCTGGGGCGGATACTGGCCTGGTATGGGCGCTGAAATGAGCACTGATGCAGGCACCGGCACTTCAGCAACCGCTCAGTATTCGCCTCCACCAATGCCAGTGTCGGTTTCATCGAGATCAGTGCCTGGTGCAGCCTCCGAGGGCACAAGATCATATGCTGCGTCTACTGCGCCTAGCCGCACAATCAAGCAAGAAGATGATGACCAGCCTTCTCCTATCCCTAACTCTAGCGGCACAAACTGTGATATTTGCCTCGGCTTGACTCGTTGTCAATGCCCTCCGTCAAATTGCCCCTGCCCCTATTGCGCTCAAGGAGAGCCAGAAAAGTGCATTGAGGCAGTCGTAACTTCCCACCGAGCTAATGTCGCCGCCGCTTTACAAAACGAGCACCTTTATATTCGGCAAAGTCTATTGAGAATAGAAAGTCTTGTTATTGAAAGCCACCAGTTCATACAAGACCATGAACGCCAATTATGGAAACTTGAACGAGACGCCAAGGACTACGAAATCGCAAACCTGAGACGGCATGCCGAACAAGTAGAGCAAGAAAATCGGCGACTCAACATCAGGATAAGCTCTTTGCAAGAGCAACACAGTCAGCCACGATCAACCTTTTATCACACCGGTCTGTCAGTCAATGAGCCGCCACCAGTCGTTCATCATGCCAGTCTTCCTGACAATTTATCTCTGCTCAATAGCGGCATTCCTCGGGGCATTCCTCGGTCCCTTTCTGACCAGCCAGCTGGCAGATCTTCAAGCGAGGTCGGCATCTACGATTTACCCCCGAGCCTGTCTGGTGAATATATGCCAATGTCTCCTGAGATTGGACATTTCGACCTTTTTTCATCACAAGGATTGGCACAAAACACTGCTCGCGCAGCCAGCCCGGAATATTCGCCCCCTTCGCCTACTTTAATGATGAAGAGCTTCCACTCAGATTCAAGCAGGAGCCCCAAGAGGCCAGCTTCGGTCATTGACGACGGCGAAGCTCATCTAGGGATTGAAGCCGTGGCGTCCAGAGCAAGCGCCCCTCAGGGCTCTATTTCGGCGCCAGCTCCTCAGCAAGAAGCTTGGTCACCTCCCAACAAGAGGCAACGTAGCATGTCCTATGATTATTACGTCGTCACCGGTGTCAATTCAGAGCCAGGAGCAAATGAAGAGGAGTTGCAACGGCTGACCATGCATGCTGGACACACTCCCAATCGTTCAATCTCTTCTCCGTCCGCCGCCGCCGCGGCTACTGCTCCCGCTGGGCCCAGCAGAGGTGATACAACGCCGACCGCCTCGTCTTTTCTCGGCGTCGAGGGCAATGCCAATACTAGGGCCAACACTACTTCCAACAAGCGCATAAAGACGCAGCTTGAACTAGAAGCTAAAGCCGAGGTCGAGGCAGGGGTCGAAACAGAGGAGACCAATACAGCAGAGATATATTCTTTCTATAAGAGCGTCATGGGAAATTCGCCACCGCTACCACAACGAAGCAGGCGTATGACCATCCCAGAGGCTATAGAGGGTTTTCGATCGCAAATCGACGAGACATTCAGGCGTCAAAGCCAACTCAATGGCGAGGGTTGTACCCCTCCCACAAACTCTGGCTCTTCCGTCGTCGGTTCTCCTGCCTCACAGCGAGCTCTCCTTGACGCCGTGGATGATAATCCTCTCACTGGCCCGTTGATGATCAGGAATATTCCCGCGCAAGATGAACTTTTCCTGGAAGTATTGAATGAAAAGCTAGGGCCCATTAGCCAAGGCCAAGATGCTCTCCCCAAAGTTGTGCAGGATCTTAAGCTGAATCCTGTTCCTGACGATACGGCGAGATTAGAGGCTCAGTCAGATTCTGGCGAGGAAGCCGACGGCGTTTTGATAAGGAGGGAGCCCGAATTCTTACCCAGACAATTGGGGCCAGAGCATGTTGGCGAGGACGAGGATGCCCCCGTGGAAGTCGAGCGGCCCGTTAGAAGAGAAGATTACGACTCGGACAGCGACTCGGGGCCTGAAGTTACCCTCAAGCTTAGACATACCAGCAATTTTGGGGCTCCCTTTGGAAGAATTTGACGGAGATCGCTCTCCAAGAGAAGCTACTGAAATTCAGCAGACTAGGCTGCCTATGCCACGGAGTCTACACCTTCTTGGGGAGCGGCTTTAGCTGCCAATTTATCACGCCAGTCTCTATTTGTTGATTCCCATTAGCGTTAGTGCCATGGAGCGATTTCCTTTTGGCCTTTTGTACATCGCTTATTTCCTTTTCTCTCCTCCTTTTTCGAGACATTTTTTACATTTGGGGAGGATAATATTCCACAGAGGCAAGAGTACGGCCGAAGCTTGGCATTTCTCGACCTCAAATTGGGTTACTGCCTTTGAGAAAGACGGGGATAAAGCGTGAATTTTGGTAAGTTAGCTGGTTATTATTTGACGGTATAAGAATTGGGCTCTAATTAATCATAGTAAAGGGTTTTGGGCTTGGAATACTTGTGGGGGGAAAATTATGCACACTAAGGAAGGCATGGGGCAGGAAATAATGGGTATTTTCTTTTATATATGAGATTTCCTTTGCCTTTTTTTTTTCTTGTTTTCTCTCTTGATTCTTGTTTCTATCTAGCTACTGTTTTCCTACGTCAAGTTTTTCTAATCTATACGCTTCCTATGTAAGGACAAGCTGTCGGTGATATTTTGTGCAGTCACATGTATTTACTACCTACCTACTTGTGTACATGCAGTTACGTGTGAAGTGCCGGATGGTCTCAGTCGGTCTATGCAGGGAACATGATGGATATAAGGTAGTGAAAACCGTCAATGACGCATCTTTCCCAGCACTGGCAAATTAGTCAAGGCTTTTGTATGTCTGTTCCGTTGGACCGGCCCATTCAGTTCGCCCATCAGCCCGCCTTTTCTGAGCTGGCCTTCATGTTTCGAATTGGTCTTAAGCAGGGATGGCGAAATACGGGGACACTGCTGCTTGTCTTGACCTGAAAGAAACCAAGCCAAGATGGTGCGTGGCAAAGAAGAAGAAATCATGCCAGGAAAAAAAGAAGAAGGGAGAAAGGAAAAGCAAAATGACAGTGCTTGGCGCGTTGTGGGCATCAGGTGAATTACAGCGTGACCTTTTGTGTGGCATTTCCACTCTTTTTTTTTTTTTTTTTTTTTTTTTTTCCTTTTCTCCTTTGCTTTTTTCTCAGCCGCAGCAAACTATTCCACTTACACGCACATCACGCACCGACTTTTGTTTTCCCCCCCTCACCTATCCAACAGAGACAGCGTCGGTCCACTTTACACCGGAAAAACAAAGTTTACTTTTCTACAAGGTTGATCATCGAACTGATCAGATCATCATCTCGATGAAAAATTAATCGTTCGGTTGCAGATAGTCGTGCTGCTAATGCAGGCTGGGGGGGCTGGGACGGGCCGGGAGAAGAAAAGGAAGCATCGTGAGCTACGGCAGTAACAAAAATAGGATCCAGTCAAATTGGCACGAGCGGCTCATAGCAACACGGAGAACTCCTACTAGTGCTACTTCGAGATACTACTACTAGTAGTAGGTGCTGCAAGTCTTGGAGCAATATCCTGCTCTCTCTCCGCCATGGTTTATGATGTGTCTCTAACTAAAACAGGATTGCAATGCTCTCTGTCGGCCTATGAGAGATGCGAGAAGCTCGTATTTAAATCTCATTTCGGACCATGGCTGAAAGAGACAACAAAAGAAAAAGAAAAGAGAGAGAACAATGCTAAATAATGCTAATACTAGAACTTACCAGCATCTTTTCAGTATAAACGATCCGAATAAGCGTACTTTCAAGGAGTAGGGCACATTGGTGCCCAACGCCCGGCCCTTGCATGACACCCCCTCTAGTTTTTCAGCCCAGCAGGGGATGGGTATCGACACTGCGCCTTTGTCATTGGGTCGTCCAACAAATGGTAGGGCAAAGACTTTTTTTTGATCAAGGGCGTGCCTCGACGTGTACCTATGTAAGGGAGAGAGATCTTTTGGTGGCGGCTTTGGCTTTGCGGGTAGGAGATAGCAGCTAGTACCTGGCATTATCCGATCCGCAAAGCTGGGCCATGATATCGGTATCGGGCGGGTGGAAGGCCGTATTGATGATGCTTGTCAGAATGCTGTTGATGAAACAAGAGAAGAAAGTCTCCGAGACTGGTGTTCTAACTAGCACCTGTTTGCTCATATACCTATACGCAAACTTGATTTTTATTTGTCCTCCCGGTCTGCGAGCAACAGCCTGTATGTCGCAAACCCAGCACTTCTTGCTTCTTGAGGGGCCACATCATCTCTTCATTGGGCAGATTAGAGACTATCGTGGGTCAGTCCTCCAGATTTTGCTCCAGATTTTGCTTTTTTACCAATCAGCAGATTGTAATGTGGCGATTGGTTTGCACAGCTGAGGTCGAATAGAGCTTTTGCGACAAAAACGCTTGGACGCCACACGATGAGCGAGGTCATTCATCTATAATGAGGGCAACTGAGACACCAATCAGCACGGCGGGGTTCGAGCAAGCGAGCGCGGGCTTTGGATACTTGCACAATTTTCTTGTTTTTTTGCCTCATAGTATTTGCTTGCTGTCTTTTCTTTTTTTTTCGGACCCCCTTGGATGCGTCATATCCAGCTGCTGAGGTTGGGCTGGAAAAGCCGGGGGTCAGAGTACGTGCCGTGCATAGGATCCTAGTCTAGCTTCTCAGCAGGGGAGCAATAGCGTGGGAGTAGTACCAGAAGGAACAGAGATGTCATATTGTGGTTAGCCAAAAGTGTGCCTAGGCGTGCTCAGCTTCTAACCTAGGTCGCCATTCTCTGGCAGGTGAGTGATGTAGGACAGATGGAAATGAAAGGGAGAAAAAGCAAACGACAAACTCCTTTTGATCCTCCAGAATATCCTTATCCATATCCGTATGCGCTAATATGCTCTATGCAATCTACCATTACCCTGTGTATCCAATAAATGCCCAATAGATGCCTACCCAAAATAATGTATACATGATGGAAAACTGATGTACTCGTCAGAGGAAGAGAGGTGGCAACCCTTCATGATCCCGTGAGTTTTTTTTTGTGAGTGCCCGTTGGAGAGAATCCAACGGCGTTGATAGCTGTTTAAAGTAATTTCCCAGCCCCTAGTATATCTGGTTCACGGGGGTGAGATATACCGAGGGGGGCCATCGCTGAGATGGTTGGTCGTGATGCTCATCTTCAAATTTGCGCTTCTGTCCGCCATTTTGATTGGCGCATGTTTGTTCGGTGGTTCCTTTGTCCATTGCTAGTTGAGCCATGGCGGCATGGTCAATGTTTGGCTGAACCATGGCTGTCTGTGTAATGGCTGCTGGCGGCGCTGCTAATGTTGCCACCATATTTTGTGTCATATTTTGTGCCGTGGCCTCTTGTGCCATGACCCCATGCTCAAGTTCTACCATGGATTCTGTAGCGACATTATGCGCCACTGTTTGCCACACGGCTGTTTCCGATGCTGTTGCTTCTGCTGCCGCCGTTGCCCCTGCGTTTCCTGGCAGCATCAGCTCCAGTAGCCGGGCTCGGAGGGTAGCCAGCGGGTAGTAGTTGACTTTGGTGATGCGGATATCGATATAGGGGGTCTCTGGCGGTGCGATTTTGGGCTGTTCAAACATGTCAAGAAGCGTGGATGGGATATCGGCCTGATAGAGGTACAGCCAGCCCCAGTATGCCTCTTCACGCTTTTCTTTGCATCGGCCTCTGGAATTGAATGTATGAACAACTTGACACTAGCCGTTGAAAGAGAGAAAACGAGGTTAGCAGAAGGTATCTCGAAACGGCCATGTAAATCATAGTTTGGTAACATACAAAGAGCTTCCCCGTTCTAGCCTCTTCTGTGGATTCAATCTCGTGCAGATATCTCCGCTTCTTCTGCGCCAGTCCGATGAGGAGTGCAGTGATGAATGGGTCGTGCAACGGAATTGGTGGCGTGAGCTTCTTCCACTTCTTCTGGTAGAGACAGCACATGGGACGATTCCAGTAACACCATTGCTTGCATCGAGATAGGCCCAGGTACTCTTTTCGCAGCTCAACAATGCGGCCTTGGTCAACAAGAGCTGCAACGGGAAGTTTATGTACTTTGTGTCCTTTGATAGAATCTTTAAGGTAGAATGCCATGCAGTGCAGGCTTTTGACAATGGAGTCGCCAACAGCGAGTCTGAGAGGCTCTTCGCTAGAAAGAACAATTCATCTTGGTTAGGTATAATTACAATTGACAACCGGAATCTTGCAGTGAGGAGAAATGACAAACTAGATGACTAGAGGGCACGCATCAGTCGTGATGAGCAACCAAATACCCTGCTCGCGCATGACAGGCTTATAGTAAAAGTCAAAAAAGTCTTTCAAGTGTCGAGTGCCAGAAAGCTCTTCAGAGTATTCTCCCTCTGTGCCTTCTGCAGACGCGGAGGTCGTTGGCTCGGGAAAAGGCCCGGTGAAGGAGAAATGCAGAAGCTCGACATGGCGGCCAGTCCATCGAACTGGACTTACAAAGAGTTCTTCTCTGCAGTGGCGGCGCGTGATTCCAAAGAGAGATAAGGGAGATTCAGGTTCGGGCCGGGTATTAGAAGCAGTAGAAGCAGTAGAAGAAGATGTCGAGCTGGTCTCAGTGGTGGTCGCCGTAGGGGAAGAAGAGATGGCGGGAGAGGGACTAATGGGCGCCATGGCTGCGCGTGCGGCAGCGGAGGCGATGTGAAAATGCGATGCACAATGGAAAAAATAGATTTGTTTCTTGTGTCTTGTTTTACAGAAGAAGAAGAAGAAGAAGAAGAAGAAGAAGAAGAAGAAGAAGAAGAAGAAGAAGAAGAAGAAGAAGAGTAAATGGGAGATGATGGAGAGAAAAGACAAACAAGGGGAAGGAGAGGATGAGGACGAAGAGAATGGAGTATAAGTTACTACCAGGTGGTATAAGTGAAGGGGGAGCAGGTACCAAGTTCCTTGGTAGCTGAGCACCTTGGCAGTGCTAAGGCACCTACTGTAAATAGGTAACGTACCTGGGCAGGTACCTGGATGCACGTACTGCTCTGGGACCTGCCTGTCGTCTCCATATACTAACCTACCTGACTTAGTACCTGCTATTCGGCATCTTGATATCACGAGCTAGTATATACACGGTTTAGATGCGTCGAGGCAGTGGCAGCGGTACTTAATACATGTGCCACCACTCCATGCTGGTGCCGGTCCCAGTGATACGGCTACCCGCTGCCAGATTCTGTCATCCAGCCAGTTCCAACCCCATGCAATGCAACGCACCCGCACCGCACTAAAACAGGCCGCTGTCTGTCCCACCAATCCTGTTGGCGCTAAGATCAAAGTCCCAGCCGCAGCTGCTGCTCCCCGCCCGCCAGATCGCCGCACCGCAGACCTGGAGCTAGAGCTAGTGCTAGTGCCCCCGTAGCCGGTGCCTGAAGACCCTGTAACTGTAACTGTAATTGCAAACGCTCTGTGTGAGACGGACTGGATATGCCCGTCACCCGCCTCTCTCTCTCTCTCTCTTTGCTTTGCCTGGTCTTTGTCCTCGTCTCGCTTCCACCTCGCCTCCAACTATTGCTTTGCCGCAGGTTGAAATGGGGAACATGTTTGCCAACACCCGGAATTGCTCGGTTATTTATTTATAGTACTGCTAGTAAGGTGTCACACAGTTAGTGCTTCTATTACTGCTGCTACTGCTGCTCCTGCTGTTGAGGTACCTCAAGATGCCCCGAGATGCGGGTAGGAGCATCAAGCCCCCTGGGGCCGATCTGGCTGGCCAGAGACAGTAGCCCGCATGGACCACCGATTAGAGTCCGCTGTCAAGCAGCTACTACTGCATCCTACTGCGCAGTGCCATCATCAACTGATACATTGTATTACATGGCATGAGTAGGTATAGTACATACTAGGCAGTGGGCGATATCGGTGTGAGTGCACACTTGACTTATACATGTCTCACATGACTGATCCCACATGCATGTTCACACGTCTTCGCAGACATGGGGTACAGCATAGTTGCATGCCCTGCCTGAGATAGGAACAAGTTTCCTATGCTCCAGCCAATGCCAGCCATTCAAGCTATCCATATGTCAAAAGGCGGCTCAGACATGTTGAAAAGTATGTTGTGCATTTCTATATCTGCCTTGCTACTCCCAACAAAAAACGACACCAGCATGAAAGCATGAAAAGGGAAATATCAGATAGAACTGAGAATAAATACATGCCACCACTCATCCGGGTAGAGGTAAAGCAGTATCCCCCCCATAAACGCCTGTCGCAAGACTCACGCATAGAAAATGAAAGAAGCGGCTTGAAGTTTTAAATTATAAGAATGATGAGCGTGTAGAATACAAAGCTTAAGATGAAGCAGGGATCGAAATTGTTTGCTTGATTTTATGCAGAGTCTCGTCCCTCTTCATACTCAGACACCCATGGTGAAATCGTGCTCGATTCCAGGCGTGACGCTGGCCATGAACTGTTCCATTTCAAACGAGTCAGCAATCAATAATCATAGAAAGAATGAAATGGGATGCTATCAAATAAAAGAATAAATCAAAGAAAATCCCAAAACTCACCTTTAAGAAGACGACCAGGTACTGATCTACTCGAATAGCCACCTCCTGGTCGTCCACCTCATTCTCCTGCACCTCTTCCCACTCATCTTTGTCGGCAGAATCTTGAGCGCCCTTGACGTCCAAGTTATCCAGCTCGCTCGTCAGGCCCTCCACGTCCTTTCCATCCCCAGACTGCTTCTTGCTCGCACGCAGCTTCTCTCGGCGGAGACGAAGCGCGGCGTCGGCACGGTCCAGCAGCGACTTCATCACGGGAGCGTGCTTGCAAGGGTGCACGCTGGCCATTCTGACGTGGTTGGCGAAGAAGGGGAACTCCTCAAGTGTCACCGTCTTGTCCTTGTAGTCGCCGACAATGTCTTCCATCATCTTCATGGGCGGCAGAGGGTGGCCACTGGCCTGGTAGCCAGAGAGGTAGAGGCGCGGCGTTCGGTAATACGGTGTGTACATGATGTAGAGGTTGTAAGTGCGGCGAGCGCTGTTCAACAAAGTCTTGTCAGCGGATAAGAAGCCTTCATTGTAGCGTAGAACGAGGGAAGGAGCAGAAACACAGCATGTGGAGCTTCTCAAAACTTACGTATTGCCAGGCTCGATACGAAGAACAGCATCGTCTTCCTCCTCGTCTTCCATATCCGGAATATCATCGTCTAGCCCATACAGATCGTCGTCACCAACGTTGCCCGCGTCGTCTACCGTCTTGACCTCACGCGCCTTGAGCGGCTGCGAGCTCGCCAACCCTCCCGTCCGAAGCCAGCCATCGTCGTCGACGCCAGAATCACCCTTGCTCTTGAAGTCGTCGCCGTCATTCACAACGGATTCTTCATGTCCAGCGTCGCCGGCAAAGTCGTCATTCAGCCGGCGGTGGCACGGCACGTTTCGGGTAACGAGGAACTGCTTTCCGGGAGGCAGGTAGCTGACGCGCAGGGCCTCGGAGTCGGCATCGCTCCAGGACCAGGTCGGGAACCTGTAGACGAGGTAGTCTCCCGCGGCGACGAACTCTTCGGGGGTAATTTGGCCTGTATTGCGAAAGGTCGACGTGTGCGTCACCGGCGTGTAGCGGTCACGCAGTGTGTTGACCGTGGAGTAGAGGTAATTCATGGTTGCTTGTTGCTTGCTTTTGGCGGCTTTTGCCGTTGCTCTAGACTAGGATTCTGGAAAGCCGAAGCTAAAAGTCTGGTCTGTTTTCTTTGTAGCAATCGATCGATATCGGTAGTTGGAAAAGGAGAAACAAAGTCTAAGAAGCTTTGACGTGAGAATGATGATGACAGAGGCAGAAGCTGAAGAGCGCAAAGGAACCAGGCCGTTGAGTCAAGTTCCCAGGCAGAAAGTCAGCAGTAGTGCATGTGACTTGAGCTAAAGATCAAAAGACAAAAGGTTAAAAAGGAAAGCTGCCTGCGCCCTTTGATCTGCTGGTTCGTGTCTAGTGACGGTGAGGATGAGGATGAGGATGAGGATGAGGATGAGTGACAGACAGGCTGAGGGGCGATGCGATCACATGGCGGGGCTGGAAGCTGGATCCGGCTTGGTTTGCCTCACATGTGGCTTATCTTATCAGTGACAGCATCGGCCTGCGGTATGCGGGTAGTGGCGTCAAAGGCGCCACTGCCGCCTAATACAGTGCTTTAGAAGCTTGACGTGGTTTCGCAACAAGCGAAGCCGTTTTGATCATGCAATGTAAGTATAGCAATTCACTAGGATAAGGACATCATTTTTATAGATAAGTATTATGTATTATACAGTTGCAGCGTTGTGTTTGTATCGAATTAACCGTGATGCCAGGAGGTAACAAGTAGCCGCCAGGCGAAATGCTCTGAGAGACCATACTCAAGTGTCTATCAACCAGAGAGTATTATGAGTACATCGTTCATGCCTTCGTTAAATCCACTTCCCATGCCCATAGATGCATGCTGACCCTTTTGCTCATTTCTCCTCGTCCTCCTCGTCACTCACTTCTTCACCCCTCTCAATCGCTTCCTGTCTTCTCCTCGCCATCCGCTGGCGCTTCTTTTCAAGCAGCTTCTTCAGCCTTGCTGCTGAATTAAACACTCCATTTGTCCCTGAACCGCACGCCGCACAAGATGGGTCCCTCTTATATCTCTGAAGGGCACACGGTAAGCAGAAATAGTGTCCGCACCGCGTGACTATGGGCTCCTTGTAAGATTCCTCGCAGATGATGCAGGCAAACGGAATGGTCTCCAGAATTGCCCAATCGTCGTCGTCGTCTTCTTCTTCCTTTGCCCGGTCCCGGCTCGCGCTGGCCACTACGGTTCCGCCGAGATTCTTCTTGCCTTTGGTCACTTTTTCCCATTCAAGATCCAACTGCCAACCTTGTTTCATATCATCCCGCGAATGGAGGTAAATGCACCCGTCCCCGAAACCGCAGTGTCCCGTCTTTTGATAGTCTTTACAGATGCCAAGATTATACTCTACCGCCGTAACTGTACGGATGTTCGTGGGTGCCTTGATAGGACCGACCGTCTTCCGGGGAGCGTCTGGGTTTCTCTGTATAAACGACGTCTGGTTTGCCAGTCCCTTGTACGTGCCGTCGGGCTGGCCATCTTTAGACACTCTCGCTGCCGACCCGAGAAGATTCTTGGTTGACAGGGCATCCTTTGCATCCTCGTCGTACCAGTTACTATGTTTCGTCGCGTCGTTAGTGTCGGCTATGGGCACGCTCCTGTCAGCTGTGTAGATGACGGCAGATGTGTCTTTGTTTGTGGATGCAGCTCCTCTTGCTGCAGCGGTGACGACGGCTGTCTTCTTCCGTCTCTTCACCCGCTGTCCGGACTCGTCCTCTGAGGATGAATAGTCGCTGTCGCTATCGCTCGCGGCTGGGGGGGGCGTCGCTGGTCTCTTGCGAATATTCGCTTTGCCCTTTGCACCGCGTTTCTTGAAAATGGCAACAGGCGCGCTGCCGGCTTCGGTATCTGCCATTGTGTAGTCAAATCGAATGGAGAACAAGCAGGTTTAGCAATTGTAGATTGTTTAGTTGGGTAATTGTGGGTAATGCTCGATGGAAGTAAAGTCGACAAGAACAAGAGAAATAACTGGGGCGATTTGTCACCAGTGGCGCTTACCAATTCGGCAGGGCGTGGCAAAACCTTATCCATGTACTAATGCAATTTACAGGGTAGGCTTCACCGCATATGTAGGTACCCAAACTATTAATCAATCTACATGTACAGACTTTGAAACGGGGCTGTTAGTAAATTACAAGGTTAAGTGCCAACTCGTATTGGCTATCTTGGTTTTTAGAGAGCACACTGGAGCAATCTAGAAGCTATGAGAATGACAACCATCTTATATTAACGAACACAGGTAAGTATGTACGCATCAGTGGAGCGCAACCATGTTTGGGATAGGAAGGCGTTTGAATAACGCATGTGCACTAGAGGAAATTCAGTGGCTGCATGTCATACAGCTATAGTCTATTTCGTATACCACGTACCTTTTAAACTCAAACTTGAAGCACCCATTACACAATAGCCCAGTTAAGTCCTAGTTAGTGTGGAGTTGATGCTTGACTCAAATTGCCTGCTCCTCCCGGCTCGGGCATTCACACACTCACATGATACTTGCAAAAATAAGAACCAGTTACCGGTGAAGTGCCGTTATATTCCGTGCTACACTACATACATCCATATCCTGCTCGCAAACATCCATTATAACAATCCTCCAGTATCCAACCTCACCCACATTGCATCCATATTCCTCCAATTTTGCGAGCCCCTCATACCAGTGACTGTATACTCCACAGTTCGTTGCCTTCACGTGGAATCAATCGTATGCCAGCCTTTGCCTTAGGCAGTACCAACGGGGGCCACGCAAAGAAGGTCTTGGCCGGCCTATAGTTGCAGGGGAACATATCAGTAAATGTACCTTCTCTGTAGCGAAGAGAAATGTGATACTCACAACGGGAATAGTGCAGCAAAGGGGCTCCTTGCCACCCTCGTCACTGCAGACGGCTTCGAAAAGGGCGCCAGGCAAAATCGGAGCTCTCGCTATTCAAAGTGTTAAAAATGTACACATATGGAATACGTCGGATCTTACGAGTATGGCAATCGAGAGCGGCGACGCCAAGGATGTTGGCACCACAGCACTGAGGGTTGGAATAAAGGCCAGTAGGGCAGACAGAGATGGCGAGAGCGCCGGTAGCAAAGATGGTAGCGATGAAGAACTTCATTTTGAAGGTGGTTGGAAGTGTTGGTATTTCAAAAAGTTGTTGGTGAGTGTGTAAGAGTGTAGTGATGGTTGCTGTGACTGAAGCTGATGCGGATGAGAAGAAACGACTTGATGCCGGGAGAGATGGTCAACTTTATACCTTTTTCCCGCCACTCTCGAATCTAGGGAAGGCCTTCTTTGCCTTTGTCATCTACTCCAGTTTCCTTCATTTTCTTCCGAGTTCATCGCCGTGCTCGGACAACTGTATGCAGGGAGAGAGAGAGAGAGTCCATCACAATCTCGCGCCCGATGCACAATGAAAGGGATAGGTAGGGAGACTGAATCCAGTAGCACCTAGGTGTCTTATGTCCCAGTCAATTATCGGTGTGTCTACGAATATTTCAAGGGATTCGTAGAATAATGAAGGCCAATTATACAATCTTGCATAGCACCACCATCGTAAATCATATTGAAGCTTTTCTCAACTAGAATGGTCTTTACGATTTGTATCAAATATTGACAACAAGGAAAGGAATACTAGCGTCAATCTGGGTTGCCAAATTTTGTGCTACTGTGCTCAGAATATCTCCGATGGAGCGCTTATTCCCCTGTCCTGCATCTCTTTGTCTCTAAATTTCAGCCGTTTCTGCGTTTAAACGCCCTTTTGATATGTGAGCTAGTTGGCAGGAGTTTAGGCCTAGTGGAGACTGTCTTACCCGCCCATCTCCCTTCGCCTGAACTCGACCTGATTCTCGCATTCACGACGTGATGGTCAGCGGTAGTCTGTCCAATAGAAACGATGATACATGTACTGAGCTGTGGTAGTTCTTTGCTGGAAGTAAGGTAAATAGATCCTCCTGAGACTTGCATGTAATTAGCCCACTAAGCTGGCTAGGTGACGAAGGCAGGTATTGCATGATAGTATCATGCAGCTAGCTCTTCACCGAGAAGTAGGTAAGAAACTCTGTCGTATGCAAGTAAGTAAGTATAGTAACTGGCTACATGTGTTGTGTTGGAAAAGAGTCCGCCTATATCTCCATTCATACGGCAGCAATTAGACGTTCGTTATCCTCGTGGGCGAAAATACTCAGTGCGGAAATGTTCGATTCGATCAATAGCCAAATTCTCGGGCAGAGCCTGGCTAACTACAGGGCAACCGACGTGCCGATCATGATCGGCCTTTGACACGCAGGCTGCACGACCACGTAGTCCTACTAGCGGGCCTACTGCTTGAAATAAGGGAGCACTTGCATGTATCCATAGACTACTGCATGCTAGGGGGTAGTGGCTGGACTCGTATATTGCGGTGATGGTCTCTTCTCCAGCCTCCGAAGCGGCAAACCGTGGAGGCTAGACCAAAGTGGCATAGATGGGGGCCATGTTAATATGTCGTGGCCGACTTCCGGCGGCTGTCAAAAATGATAGTCTAATTTCCTAGAATCAGTCTGGGACTAGATGCTCCGCCATCTAAAGCTGCATATACCTACTGCTCTATTATGGTACTGGTAGATGCAAAGCCACGTCTGATATGTCTTGTTGGACATGCTGCATCTTGGCGTCATCGAAATACAGCTGGCACCCGTGCATAAATAGGTACCTGGATGGTGTGCTAAACATAATCATTATGTCGACTTTTATACAGCAGATGTAGTAGAGATGCTTCCAAGGACACAGGTCAACGTGAGCGACAATACGGAATCCTCGTCTCCTTATTTCAAATGTCTCCGCTAGTACCGCCAGTGGCGCAAATCATGAATACTACACCATCTTTAGAATGAGTAGTTCCTACCTCGGAGTCTACCACCTATACTGGCACAGTCGTATAGGAACGTTGCCACTGGGAGCAGTTTTTACTTGCGTGTGTTTGTACGTGAACAACACTCAGCTCAACACAGGGCGCTTTCTAGAAGTGGCTGGCCGGACATGGATACGGGCCTCCTACCCGGGAACTTGAGTTACCCAGAAAAGAAGCATCTGGTGGTAATTTGGCGGTGTACTGTACAGCACGCAGTTTGCAGCACGGCATGTGATCCGTGAGCGGCTAATGCAGGGGAAGCGGTGCATGGCCCGTGTTGCTGGGGGGCCGTTGTTGGCAGAAACTCAAGCTGAACAGAACAATATCGTATCGCTCCAAGAAATGGTGATGGCGATGGTGTCGATGGCGTTGGTGGTTGATGGATTGATTGATTGATTAAAGTAGTTGATTGTATCTCGAACAAAGCCCAGCTCATTCCAGAAACACCAGGGAACACGGAATAGAGACGCTAGGGTATGCTCCGTTAATATGAATCTTGCGTTAATTCGCAGTTTGGGAGCTCTATTTGGCGCCTGATAATCTGTTTGACACGCTGGGCATGCTCGCTAGTCCCAGGTGGACGCTGCCTAGCGAGGACTAGCAGCGGCGAGCGAACAGACGATTCGCCGGAAAACCTGGACTAGGGAAAAATAAAGCAATGGAAAGGTACCGGCCTAGTTTATGGCGGCGGGGAAGAGGCTTTTTGCTGGGTGCTGCTGCTAAGATGAGGCACTAAAAGCCAGACGATTGGCTGACGGAGAAGGGGCAGTCATTTCTCTGGGCTTGGGGGGGCGGAATCAGCCGGGGTGGCGGGTTGGTGGCTCTTGAGAAGAGAGAGAGAGAGAGAGAGAGAGATGAACTGTGAGGCAGACAGAGAGAGGACGCGATATGTGACAGTCAAGAATCCTGGCCAGATGATGGCGATGGGAGTGATTCTGGCGATGTTGAGGAAAAGTAGGAGGCGAGAGCGAGACCAGACCCGGAAGCAGACATATTCCGGGGTACGGAGAAGCGGTCTTTAATTGCTTGCATGCACATCAGAATTTCACGCTTCTCAATCGCACCACTGGATGTATGTATGTACATACTAGGTAAGGTATATGCTATGCGCATGTCACTATTCCCTGCTATCGCATCGTATCGCATCTCATCTATGAGGATGGAGTACGAAATGTGAGTGATGCAGGTGATGGATACTCCTATGCTCCATATCGGGGCATGGACGTGCAAAACCTCGACTTACTAACCTTGTATTATTTGCAGTGCAGTGCAGAGTAATACTAATGCCTACCACTACACTCGTTAGCACGAAGTATATTTCGCAGTTCATCCTCCATTTGGCGAGGAGAGTGGTGATGGGCGCCAGAAATTGGAGGAGATGCAGACGCTGAAACACGCACTGGGCTCGTTTTGGGGGACCAAAGTGCTGCTTTCCTGACACCACACCAAAAGCGTTTTCCCGCGGGTTCAGCTCTGTGCGTATTGCAGGTACTGGCTACTCCCGCGTCGCGACTGGGTACTCCGTAATAACGGCTGGTGCTCCCATGCTGGTATTAACTTTAGCTCTACAGAGGCGTAGTATATTACTGGTAATTGGCAATACTACTCCGAAACCTCTGCCGCCGGTGGCAGTCGCATGAAGTACTGATGCTATTTTTTGCTCCAAGGCATGACCCAGAGGAAATCGGCAAATCTCACGCAGGTGGGATCTGGAAATGAGGCCAGACTATGGACCCATCGAGCATTGGCGATTCATGCACATCATGATCATGCATGTTATGCGCTGCAGGCTGCTTGGCCAAACAAAACAAACAAATAACGGAAGAACAAAACAAGGCACACAAACAACTCTACCCGCGGAGCGGTTCTGATGGGGTGGATGGGCGGATGGATATGCCCATGTCAGCTGCGTGCTTGTGTCTCCAAGACCTCTGGTTGTAGCAGAGACATGCGGGGATCACATTGCGGCACACATTTTGGTACCTACATTCTGTACTCACATTACACCAAAGGCTGCTCATTGTCGCCAATCGCACATGTTGTGCTGCGATGCCTCAGGTAGCCAGCCAGCGATCACCGCAGCTCCATCTACTTAACATGTGCCAGTTGCCACCAGATCCATACATCTAGCCACGTCGCGGCTACTGTTATTACGGCCAGCAGTAACTCTCGTCACTCAACACCAAGCTCCAGCTCCCGAATATTGTTCTCGGTCCCCCGGTCAGGTGCTCCACCAAAAAGGTGCAAGGCCCCTATGCTTAGCCTGGTCCTAGCTGTACGGAGTCGCAGCAGCGCAGTATTCTTGTTTCTCTCTCCTCGGCTTGCTGCAGCATCTTCTCTTCTTCTTCCTTACACCTTCTTCTTTTCTTCTTCTCACTAACCTCGTCACAAAACTCGGGTCCCGGCAAGTCCATGTGCTCCTCGCGGCTGGATCTCCGATTTGTTTTTTCATAATTGTGTTTTTTTTTTGCCCGTCCCCCCTCCGACTCGATTCACTCGTTACACAAACAACCTACCGCTAGAATAATAATAGAACGCCTCGTGTATTTTGGGCACAGGATTCGCAGCTCTACCTACGCGCGTCCGATCGACCCTATCCGCTCCTTTTTTCTTTGCAATCAACCCTCAAAAAACCACCCAAAAAAAAAAAGACAAAGTTCCGTCGTCGACAGAATCAATCTATCGTCGGCTTGAATTGTATTGCGACTTGTTATTTTTCTTGTTTGTTTCTCGATCTGCCGTCGAACTGCAGCGCTTGCGACTTTTCGCGCACCACCGCCCGACTCTCCTGAAGAAACACTCCCGAGTCGCCGTACAGTGCGCGCGCTGATCAGCAGCAAAAGAGACTCGCGCGTCAGCTCATTCCACTGCATTCCGTCTCGCAGAGCCGTGCCTAGCGCTCGATTCGACTGGATCCGGCCCTGAAATCCGGCTTGCCCACACGGCTCGAGCCACGTCTGCCGTCCGCCGGCGCTGAGGAACAACAAAACACCACCTAAAAAACAACAACAAATACTCCGTCTTTGATTTGCAAGCCTATTTGCTGGTTTTCCTGTTTCGCCTTGCTGGCTGCATGTCCTTGGCGCTGCTTACGTTTGTATTTACCAGTTTGCCTGGCCTCCACCTCGCGACAACAAACAACAGCAGCGGCCCGCAGGCTCAGCGCTTCTAATCTTATCCCGCCTTGTGCTATTTCGCATCTCCATTGCCTGGATCCCGGTTTCTTTTTCCTTTCTCATCCTTCTTCATTTTTGCACCGTTTGGCTCCCCAAATTGCTCGCCAATTTCGCCTACCTTTGCGCTTCAATTTTTTTATCCGCCCCGTGCGCGCGCAATCCACAGCGTCATTTCGGAGAGCCAAAACTCTCTTTTCTTTTCTCCAATCACTCGCTCTTGTGCTTACCTTGAGCGACCCCCCGGTTTTGTTGCAGCAGGGCCTGCGACGACGCCTTTTTTTTTTTTTCCAGTATCCATTTTCCCCGTCCAGGCCACTCACCAATCGCCTGTTCAGCACCCCCCTGCAGCTTCCTTTTGCCGCAGCCGATTCGGGGCAACGCCAGGGGCGCGCGCCGGCGACTTGCAGAGCGCCAGCTCACTCAACCAAAAGCCTTCGTTTCTTTCGTCACCACCACTAAGGAACAGACGCAAGCCACGCAGCCGCATCTCTCCCCTCAATCTCCGTATCGCCTATTGTTTCCGTCATCGTTTTGGTGCAGCTGCCGCCACAAAGCCGCCGCCGCAGCACTTCCCCCAGCTGCCAATCTCCCCGGGACTTGGTAGCTGCGGATACAACCCCATCTTGATGGTCGTCCGCCGCTGATCGACAGACGGACGGACGCAGCGCTTTCTGCCATCAGAATGGCGTCGTCGTCAGTCACTTCCGACCGGCCTGATCTCTCTGCGCCTGCGGGAGATGGCACCAACGACCCCTTTGTCTCCGCCCCATCGACCGCCTCGGCCCATCTTCGCTTCTCCGACTTCGAACAAGAACTCAGGGCCGCCAACTCTGGATCCGACCCCCGACAGGCGAAGCGCACATTAGAGGCTCGCCTCGCAGAGACCGACCGTCGCCTAGATGAAGCCGCCAAGCTTGGAACCGCTCTGGTGTCGCAGCGAAAGACCCTAGCCGAGCAGCTACAAGAAATCGACAAGCTCCAGGCCGAAGAGGAGCTGGCGCCTGAGCTGCGCAAGAGGCTGGTCGACATCGAGAAGGACTACAATGACTTGGCGCGAGAGTCTGCGAGGGCCTTTTTGCCCAAGCAGAGAGTGACGAGCAGCGAGAACCCAGGTTCTCCTTTCATGCTGGACAGCCGATCAGGCAGGGTAAGAAACAATTCTATTCCCATTCTCAGATCCCGCCCCTTTCTCTTTTTCCCTTGTACTTCTCTCCTTGTCTAGTATGAAATCAACTACCTTTGCAGCCACAATCATGTACATATGTTAGCATTGCACACATTTCGCCAGCCTGGTCTTACACATGCAACTGAACCCACACGAATTCTATCTCAACATATTATTTGTTCAATTGCTAATCAAACCTCGCGTCGATTGTTTTTACAGCGTTCCGCTAGTCCCTCCAAGCTTGAGAGTCAAGCTACGGGCTCGCCGACCAAGGTCGGCGTACCGAACCGCAAAATGCGGAACCAACCGACCAACCGAGTCCACGACATCGAATTTGCCGCCGAAATCAGCACCTCTTTAATTGCCCAGGTCCGTAGCCTGCAAGCCATTCTCGGCGAACGCGATGAACAAGTCAAAGATCTCCGCAATGATGTTTCTCGGTTGGAGGGTGACTCTGAAGCTCTGCAGCAGCGTCTCAAGGTTCTCGACGAGAGTGAACATCGCTTCAAGGAAGAGAACTGGAACCTTCAGACACGCCTGCAAGAAATGAGTGGTCAGCAAAGAGAAGCTTCTGACCGTGAGAAGAAACTTGACAATGCGCTCCACGCCGCCAATGCTGCCAAGTCCACCACTCAAAAGGAGCTTGATGAAGTGAAGCTCTCTCTGTCTAAGCTGACTGAGGAGCACGCCGCTGCCACGAAGCACCACGACATTGAGCTCGGTACCGCAAAGCGCGCCATTGTCATGGCCGAGAGTGAGCGCGCTGCCATGCAGCGCAAGATTGACGAGCTGAGCAGCCAGAACCTGGAGCTCGCCAAGGCTGTTGCTGGCCAGAGGGCCAAGGCCCAGGAGCGAGAATCCTCTTCCGGTACTAGCGATGAAGATTTAGAAGCCTCTGCTATTGACATTACGCCCGAGCATTCGCCTCCGCAGTCTCCCATGAAGGGGCTTACCCCAAGACACTCCATGCTCGAGACAGAGACCCTCAAAACCTCGTTACAGCATGCCCAGAGAACTATCCAGAGTCAGCGAAGCCAGCTCCACCGTGAAAAGACTGAGAAGCTGGAATTCAGACGCATCATTCAAGACCTCCGTGATGACTTGGAAAAGGCCAGAAATGAGCTTGAAAAGGGCCCTTCTGTTCCCGCCCCCGTTCGCCGTGGTCGTCGGATTGAGCCCAAAGAAGTCAAAGTCAGGCAGCCCCGGTTGCTTGGTAGCTTCCGCTCCAGCCGTCAAGAAGTTGTCATGGAAGAAGAGCCCGTAGTCACAGAAGATCCAGAGTGGGAAGATGCACATGATGTCTCACCTCGCTCTTCTGGCGTCCGTGTCGGTGCTGGCAGTCGCTCTCCTCTGCGCCGTCTGCAGCGACTGCAGACACCTGGCGACGGAGAAGAGACGGTTCTCGAATCCATCGAGACTAGTGACCAGTTTGAGACTGCTGCCGAGGAGGAGGGTACCGAATCCGCCTTTGAGACGGCTGAGCCAGGAACCGAGACAGAGGACTTCCAGACTGGGCATGAGGACATGTCTGATGAGAGCGATGCCCATACCGAGGTTGGCCTTTCATCGTCATCGCGAGGCTTTGGAAAGATGAGGCGGCCTCCCAGCTTGCAGCCAACCATGTCAAGACACGCACAGCGAGATTCATTCGATAGCACTGCATCCACCTCGACCGATGAAGATGACTTTGCAGATTATCCAGAGTACCGGACTCCCACCGCTGCCGCCACCTTACGAAGAATGCGCATGAACAGGGGTACTCCATCCCGAAGAAGCTCACGACAAGAGAGCGAAGAGCCCCAGTTCCAGAGCCCCAGCGCGAGCTTCAGCAGTGGTGGCGGCGACCCATCAACGCCCGGCCAGAGTCTCTTTGCTGAGCTGCAAGACTTTGGTAGTGACGACGAATCTATCGTCTATACTCCTGGCCGCAGAAGCCTCCGTTCTGTCACGCCAGCTTCTACTCGCCGCGCAGTTACACCGCCTCCAGCCGTTCCCCCGCTGCCTCGTGTCATTATGGTGGACAGTGGTGTCATGACCGATCCCATCGAATTTGGTCCAAGCCTTGGTCAGCTAGGCCACAGAGTCTCCCGCAACTCGCTGCTGAGCGTCGGCGAGGCTGCCAGAAGACCGAAATCTATGGAATCCGTCCTTCCCAACACTGACTTCCGTGCTTCCACAGCATCATGGCGAAGCATTGGAGAAGAAGGACAGACGGGATCGGCTGTGTATTCCCGCCCGGCATCTACGGTTACCTACAGCGATGCCGGTGCGCAGTACGACGATATTAGTGAGAAGCTTGCACAATTTCCTCTGCCTCCTTCATCGCTACCTAGTGAGCCGGATCTTGCGTCTATTCCTGAGTCTGCTCCTGCACCGGCGCCTCCTCCTGTTGTTCTTAATCTCTCTGCGATTCAATCCGAGGATATCGAGCCTCGAGAGGAAGCAGAAGAAGAGCAGCAAGAGCCGGCACCTGTTCCTACTCTGAACCTGACGCCAATTTCCATCATGCAGAGTGTGGAACCCGTGCCTGAGCCAGAGGTCCCCGCTCCTGACCTGACCTTATCCGTCATAGTGGCCGAACACCTGGAGCCTAAAGCCGAGCCTGAGGCTCCACCACCTGATCTCACCTTGTCTGCCATTTTCGCTGAAGGGTTAGAGCCTAGAGCGGAGCCCGAGGTGGTCGTACCTGTAGCTGAATTAAGCCTGTCGGCAATCAAGGGTGAAATCCTGGAGCCAATGGCCGAGCCTGAAATTCCTCGGCCAGTCCTCACCTTATCTGCCATAGCCGCCCAAGGCTCAGAGCCAATCGCAGAGCCCGAGGTTCCTGTACCCGTGCTGAGTCTGTCAGACATTGTAGCAGAGGGATTGGAGCCCAAGGCCGAGCCTGAAGTTCCTCCACCGACGCTTACGATCGCCTCCATCTTATCTGAGGAGATTGAACCCGTCATCGAAGAGCAGGTAGAATTGCCCGAACTGACTGCATCTGCAAAGACCCCAGATACTCCAGCTTCTGCCGACCTGCGAGAGCTTAGCATCTCGCCAATCGTGTCAGAACAAGTCGAGCCCGTCTCCGAGCCTATCCCAGAGCCAGCAGCCATGGTGGTGCCTCTGTCACTTGCATCACTAACCTTTTCGTCGATCCAGGCTCAGCAGCTAGAGCCCAGAGAGGAGCCGCCTCTGCAGCCCGTGCAGCCGGCCCTGGCCTTTTCCACCATTGCTGCGGAAAACGTCCACCCAATCCCCGAACCTGCGCCCGTTCCTGCGGAATTGACGCTCTCTACCCTCTCCTTCCAGAACACAGTCCCTATTGAGGAACTGCCCATCGACGATGAAGAGCTGCTGCGGTCGACCCAGCTCCCACCTGCGGAACCCCCGCGCCCTACGCTTGGCCTATCTTCTATTGTAGCAGAAGGTATCAAACCTGAACCGGCCATCATCCCGCAGTTTGTCCTTTCTTCTATTTCGTCAGTTGACACTCGGCCAATCAGCCCCACCAAGAGGGACGGCTTCATTCTGCCAGAAGGCATCAAATCTCCCTTTGTCGATGATGGTGGCGATATATCAGACAAGAACCTCTTTGCATCCTACGTTGTCAACAGAAACACTGACATTCTTGATGCCTCTTCACCATCACCCATCATTGCCGAGGACGAGACAAGCCAGTCGCACTCGGCATCCCCACAGGCCAATACTCCCGAATCCCAGCGGCCGTTTAGAGAAATCTCTGCCAATGGAGTCTCTCATCAAACAAGTGACCAAGGCGCCCAGACATCTTTGACATCGGGAACCATTGACCAGCTGATGAAGACGGGAGCTCAAACCTCTAGTGGTGGAAGGAGAAGCTATTCATTTGGCAGCTCTATTGGCAGCCCTGACACCGTGGGGACCGTCAAGGTCAATCGTCCTTACCTGCAAGGGAATTTGGACAGCCCCTTCTCTGTCAACTCCAACAAGAGCAAGAGGGCCGACATGGTGGCAGCGGTTGCTTCGACCGAGTCTACGCCCACACGCAGACCTGGTAGTGCTACTAGTGCCAAATCTGCTCTCGTAGATGCTCCCCCTCTGCCAGCCAACCACCAGCAAATGATTCAGGCGGCCCGTACTGGCTCATCTGGTGAGACGAAAGCGCAAACCCAGAGCCAGGGCACTATGGGTCCTCCCCTGTGGCCTGCCTCTGCGACAAAGCCAACGCCGCGTACCCCTAGCCGCGACAGCAGGCCGTTGTCTCCTGCCTCTGGCCATGGCGGCACCCCTACTCCACGCGCTGTTGTCAACCGGGCCGGCTCGTCTTACGGCACTGCCGATATCCCACTACCACCGCCTATCAGATCTTCTACTGCCATGTCTTCCACTGGCATGTCTAGGCGGTCCTCCGTATCTTCGTTCGTATCAGAACTGGACACCAGATTTGGAATGCGAGCTGGAGAGATGGGCGTCATCGACCCTGCTACTGGCTTTGGACCCAACACCGACCCCAGGATGATCCAAGCCATAACGCAGACGATGATTGGAGAGTACATCTGGAAGTACACTCGTAAGACTGGCCGCGGCGAACTTTCGGAAAAGCGACACCGTCGCTATTTCTGGGTCCACCCTTACACAAGGACCATCTACTGGAGCGAGAAGGATCCATCAACAGCTGGGCGCACTGAGATGAAGGCGAAGAGTCTCCCCATTGAAGGCGTGCGAGTAGTCACAGACGATAATCCCATGCCGCCAGGTCTTCACCGCAAGAGCTTGATTATCATCTCTCCCGGCAGGACTATCAAGTTTACCTGCACCACTGGCCAGCGACATGAGACGTGGTTCAACGCGCTGTCATATCTTCTGCTGAGAACTAGCAATGGCCACGATGGTCATCTGGACGCGGAAGAGATGGCTGCTGACCTCACTCGAGAAGATGTGGACGAGTTTAATCCTCACTTTGGGGGTCGGCAATCTGCCAACGGCCTTTCTCGCCCATCGGCTCCGTCTTTGTCATCATACAACTCTCGCACCACTCGAAATGAATCACCAGGGCCAGATATGATTTTAGATATTCCCACGCTGACACCGGGGAAGAATTCAACCCCAGCCAAATCCGTGACCGGCAGCATTAGCAACCGAGTAGGCTCGTACTGGAAGGTAAGCGGATCTAAGCTCGCTGGAACGATCCGCAGCAGGACGGCTAGCGCCCAGAATGTTAGCATCTACGAAGCGAGCGAGGTGCACGATAGCGCCGAGGATCTCCGTGAGATGATTGAACAGCAAGACAGGGATGCGGACCGGCTCGAGAATGTGAGAGCCTGTTGCGATGGTAAGTTTGCATGAATTAGAGGCTGGCCGAGGCAAAATTAACAGTAAATGACTAGGCAAACACGATGTCGGAACGCTTCACCACCACGCAAAGAGAAGCCGCAGCCACAATCATCATAACCACTCCAGTGTTCACTCTAGTGGACAATCTGCATTGAATACCCCCCTGGCCTCTACGCGCTCTCGGGCATAAAGTTTCTTGTTCAATCGACTATGCATTATTAATCAACCTCTTGACTCTTTCTCCAAATCCTCTCGCCTGCCTCCCAAACGTGACGACCATACATTTAACGGAAGACTTTCTTTATGACTCTGAACGATTCTTCTTTTTTTTTTTTTTTTTAAACTCTCGTTATTTCATTGTCTCTCTCGGATGATCTTTTGAAGCTTTGAGATCGATTTTCCAGGCTGTCATAGATGACTTTTTTGAAAAGCATAAAATTGTCACTGGCACAAGGAGCATTCCAGCTAATTCTCTGCATACTGTCTTTTATGCAAGCGTCATTCTTAAAGAATGCAGTCCTCTCTCTATCTATAACTTTTTTTTCTTATCCGTTTTTATAGTCAATTACTCATCAAGGCGCAAAGACTGCTTTTCACGCAAGCCATGTTATCATGCCAAAGGTCGCAGAAAAAGAAAAAAAGAAAGAAAAAAAAAACAGATGAGCCTTACATATTCCATCTTTTCTTTTTAATTTTTGTTTATCAAGTGCTGTAGGAAAAGGAAACTTTATGAACAAACAATCATACACANTTTTTTTTTTTTTTTTTTTTTTTGTGGACATGCTTTCCTCTACCCGAAATAACGACGGAAGAGAAGAGAGCTGTGTCTGTAGGTATGGCATATCGGGCATTGCACAAATTCAGTTGACTTGTTAGTATCGTATGATTGTCGCTGTCCTTGTTTCATGAGTCTTTTGTCAATAATGGTGTGAAGAAATCTGGCTTGTAGCAGTTTGCTTGCGAATTCGAGAGTAGCCGTGCGGGATTGGAACGAGAGAGGCGTTTTTATAGAACAGAGAGAAGAGGATGAATGGCAATCGAAATAGACGACGATTGGTGTTTCAGATTATTTATAGGCAAATTACGGACACATACATGTACATAGCTTAGCCGCTGATATTGCTGGTGGATTCCACCCTCTCTGAAGTCCATCCATCATCTTACTTGCTGCTTCTGATATTAGTAGCTGGTGGTGGCACTGCCTGCTCTTTTGTGTAGCGAGACCAAGAAGCCGAATTTCTTTTCCGTGCCTGGAGCTGCGCGTAGCCTCTCGCTCCACTTTCAGCAGTTCGCAGTAATGGCGCTTGTATGTTGTATGACGCAGTTCTACTATGCAGTATAAACCGATGAGACGTTTGGCTGCGGTAAACCGAACGTGCGCGGCAACATTATGCCTGTGATTAGCCCGGCAGAAAAGGCGGGTGGTGCAGGGCCCTCACCGCCCCCTGGAGAACAGAACAGACCAGAACTTCCCCCCCGTCTTCTCCCATCCCACTTTTTCCCACCCCATATTAAGACCAATACTATTAATACACATCCCTAATCACACGCAACGGCCCAGCCCCATTTGGGATCGATCAATCCGACTCTCAGCTTCGCCATGGCGCCGGATGGGCCGTACCATCATCTCGACAACGCCGGTATGGACGGAGACGACCCAACGCAGCAGTCTGTCATTATATCCGACAGGTTAGTGGAGTTTTTGATGCCCCTGTCGTGTCCTCTCTCGCCCGCTTCAATGCCATCTTGCCGAGGAAGAAGACGGGACTGCCCCCCAGAACATACGCAGAGCCGCAAGTCGGCTGTTGGTGTAGCTTGCTTTCCTGCGGCACTCTGTAAACTCGCCTTGTCTTGTCTTGTCTTGGCTGCCGCGCTCGCATTCATATCGGGTTGAATCTTGTTGAAAAGGGCAAGGTGTTGTTGGCCATGAACTCCACGTGGGGTGTAGCGCCAAAAGAGCCGCTCGCTAATACTGCCATTCTCGATGATGGTTCTGCGCCTGGTGCCGGCTGCTGTGCTTATATATATCCAAATCTCTCGCTGTGATTGTACCATCTCGTGCTGGATGGTGTCTTTTCTTCTTCCCCTGCTTCTTGTTTTCCCTTCCCATGAGCCTAAACCTTCTGCCACTGCTTTACACACTTTACACACTTTACATAATTTTACACGCTTTACACACAGTCTCGTGTAGATGGGATCGGCCAGTCGTGCCCGAGACACACTAGCCTAACTAAGAGCCGATCCGGTGCGGTATAACAGATGCTAATCATGACTACATCTGCAGCCTCGATATCCCCATCACAGATCCACCCTTGTATAGGTGTGCAGAGCAGGCGGAGCCGACGGGGGAGTCTGTCCAAATCGAAACTCAGATAAGAATCAACACGGTGACCTGGGAGCATGTCAACAACCAGGCACAAATCGAAAATGCCCTGCATCTCGACATCTTCTTGGACACCCCGGCTAGCATCGCCCTTTTCAGGCTACACGGCGACCTCCAGCTTACACATAAAAATGCCACCACCAGCATACAGCCTGTCTATTTGTTCATTTATCCCGAGGACATTGAGTGCATCGGTTTCGAGGCTGCCACGGAGACGTCTCCTTGTGATACATTGCGCTTCAAACTGCGGCGGAACCCGTATCTTGTGGCGCCAAGAGATAGCGTCCTGGAGCCGAATTCTAGAGACATAGCTTTGCATAGATCAATTCAAGCTCTCGCCACCGCGACCGAGATCAACGTCCAAGTCAACAGCTCGGGGACGAGCTCTCTATCGCAGACAGACCTGGAGAAGATCGCCTCTGTTTTCTCGCCCAATCACAAGATTCTCATAGATGCAAGGCGTGCCAACCTCGATGCGCTGTACGGCCACGAAAGTGGCGAGGTGCTCAACCTGGGTAAACCTGCCAAAAGCCTTGAAGCGAACTACTCTTTAGCTAACGACGCTGATTTGGCTGAAGGTGAGCGCATGATGTAGCAATGGACTTGTTTAAATATATCTTGTCTTGATATTCGTTTTTGACTGTTTGTCTTACGCTCACCTCTTCAATGCTAGATGCCACCACCACCACCCATGTCCGCATTCCATCTATACCTGAAGATATCATGACTCGCTTCGGCACTATAAACAATGGCCTAAATTCTTTATGCAAACTTTTGGACGGCATGAACACCAGACTAGAACGGCTTGAAAAAATGACTGCGGCTGCTCTGGAAGCTGACTACAACCCACTTCTCCACGGACCAGAAGAAACGGCGCAGATGCTAGCAGAGGTGAGCAGATTGGTTGATCAAGGCATTGTGGAGTTCAAGACGGAATGCGAAGACGTAGCCAAGGAAACGCTGAGCGAGCTTCGAAACGAGTTCAACCAGGTAGCGGAGCAAATACGGGGCGAGGCGACGAAGAAGAATGGAGAGCCATCTTGGTCGTAAAGGGGTAAAAAAGAAGGCGTGGGCGAAGAAGGGGTTGAGAAATGGAGCATTTGCATTTTCGACGCTACGTTTGGTCTATTTGACGTAAAAATGAAATTATGGGATTGGGATAGCGAGTATTATGTGGATACATGAGTTTGACAATTGATGGCACCCGGATCTGCCCATCCAGCTTCTGAAAATTCCAAAAGTTGCGCGATCGACGAGGGCGATGAAGAGCCTCTGAAGCAGATATCGTCACGTTTTGCACAGCGCACCTTCAGCTTTCCACCCAAGGTACCTGCCTAGGTAGGATGGCTATAGTACCTAGGCACTCTATCTACGTAGACATCACACAACACCAGCACCATCATCATCATCATCGATATAACACGGAATAAAGAACGGTTAATTTTCACAGCCAACTATTACAAAGGCATTTTTCCATCCCATGGGTCTACGCTTAAATAACACGCACTCAACCACGCACCATGATGGTTCCAATCAAGCTAGAGAGGTCTATTGACTCGTGAGGCCACTTGATCACTCGCACCGCGTTCCGGAAAATGGCTGCCTGCCGCGAAATCTCTACCAGCTTAAGCTGGAAATCTTGCCCGTTGTTGTCCTGTTCGTCGTCTTCCTCGCACTGCGGCAGGCACAAGAGATCCATCCACACATATTCAGTCTCGATCTCGATGCCGCCCTGAAGCTCATGCAAGTCTCTCACGAGCTCCCCGACCTTGAACTTGTCAATCGACGGCACGGGGTACTTCCAGCCGTTTGGGATGCTGTGGCGCCGGCCAGCTTCTCGGCGACGCCCGAGATGGCTGATGGCTGTATAGGCCGGCGGAGGGCTCCCGCGAACGAGGGCTGATGTCTTGACTAGCGTCGCGCTTGAACGGTTCCAGAGATACTGGGGGTAGTTGTCATAGATCTCGAGCCCATTATCCACGCCGTGCGGGATGGCGAGTAAATTTCGCACCTGGATCTCGGGCCATTCAAAGTTTGTCGCTTCTGACAGACAAATCTCCATGAAATCCGCCGTGGTTTTGGGCACCAGCCGATCAGATTCCGGTGGCCTAAGAAGATAGACCCTGCTGGCCCCGTTGCTTGGCTGGGACTCCGGCTCTTCGATTCGGGTATACCTACCCCGCTCGCTATTCCGCAGTACCAGAAACTCAGTGTCCTGATAATACTCCTCCCCGGCCGAAATATGCCACTGCCTTTGGGGTTCTCCACTCTCAATGCCGCAGAACTGCTATTGGAAAAGACGCCACATGGTCCGGTTATACGCAGATATCTCGTCAACAGGCATGCTGTCCTCTTCAAACTGCTGCCATCTCGGATCCATTACGGTTCTCGTAACTGTATCGTAGCGATGGCCCAGAAACTCGAGGAAATATGAGATGCATGCCTCGAGTTTTTCAATGGCGGGATGGGAGAATTTCTCTTCTTCCCAAAGCTCGAGGCAGAGATCGGCTTTTACAAGCTCTTTGAAGATAAAGTTGCCATTTTTCACCCTATACGACCATTGAAGCCGCAGATCATCATTCAACAAGATAATCCTGGATATTACTGGGGCCAGTTTGGAAAGGAGAAAATAGATACAAGCCTTGGGGTCACAGTATGTGCCACACCACCAATCCAGCAGCATGTGATGCGCCTGTCGTTGGGTCTTGTCAAGGAGATATCCTTGTCCACTGCCGACCAGATGCACAAGGCGGAACCAATTGAAATAGGCTCGAACGGAAACCTTGTCTTCATGTTCCATACTTTCCGGCATCTCCACAGCGCCATAGAATTGCTCTGAAAGAGCACCAAGGGCCAATCCTCTGCTAGTGCGCATGACACGAGCATCTTCGACTGTGCTGGAAATGATGTAAAAGGCCAATATTGCTGGGAAGTGAAATTCGAGTGGATGAGAAATATCAAAGAGGAAAATGCTCTTTTTTTGTGCACACGGTTACGGTGATAGTTGCGTGAGTCGGTACAGAATGAGCTTTAACCTGGCTTCCACAAAAACACTTGCAGATTTTGGGAGAAAAAAAGGCGCGTATTAATACTTCAATTTTCTTCCATATCCTGTTGACGACCGTTAGCAAAAACTCGGTTAAGCACAAGCACGACCTAATGTAAGTCGGTGATTGAATCCATCATGTGGCGACTAAATATTGGCTCGCAGAGCGTTGTGATACACGTCAACACCGAAAAGCTGCGGTCGCTAAAACGACTATCCTCTCTCTGCTTCAGCATCAGCTCTATTCTTGTGTTTTATTACACTAGAGAGGGCCCCTTGTTCTCGGGCAAAGGAGGAGAAAATGAAGCTTCTCTCCTATACAGATTGGCCTGGAAGATGCTTCTCTCCATCATGATACACTTGGTCCATCCATGACTACCTAGCAAGGCTACGCTAGAGCCTCGCTGTGCCCTCATACTTGATAATTCATTCACCGCTCTTCGCTGCTTTCACATCATGGCAGACTGCCTTGCGTCCTGGCATGCTCAGGTGCATTACATACCGCACCTAGCAGGACATGGCAACATGCAATTGCTGTTGACCGGTGAAGGGCTGCATATAGTTGGCTGAATTGATGGCCTCGCCGATTGGGTCTGCGCTACTTGTGGCGTAACAGGTTCCTCATCTTTCCAGAATGCTGAATGGGCGGGCACCAATGGCTAGTATTGGGGGCGGTCGTGAGGCTGAGGGCCCAGATTGTTCTTGAAACGCACACTAACGCTTGGTGTCTGTGTGACTATGTGAGTTTGTTTGCTTCTGTTTACCTGAGCGTCGTTATCTTGAATCCATTGCTAATAATGATGTGCTAATGTGGCAAGTTGGTATAAGGGGCTTGCTTTCTAATAGTGGTGAGTGGTGAGGCGAATGACGTGAAAGGATTCTTTGTCCAAGCCAATGGCCATCAGGTTGCACGAGGATTATTGCCCGCCAAGATTTGGGCACCTCTGCGTCTTTTTCTTTTCTTTTTCCTTTCCTTTTTTTTTTCTGTTACTCCTTTATCATGCTACGTCGAATTCTGATGAACTTGACAGGTTTTTGAAAAAGTAGTACAAAAGAGGTAGGGAAGAGGGAAGAGGGGAGAGGAAAGAGGAAGGAAGGAAAGAGAAAATGAAAGTAAAAGTGAGTAATTGATTCTACTGCTTCCAGTTATTGACTACCTACCTACCTGCATATATGTACTCTGTGACGCTCACTCCACTAAAGAGCAGGCTTTACTTTACTTCGACCCCGCCGGGGCAAAGGCCCCATCATCGCTGACTCATCTTGGGGCTTCTGTTGCGATTCAAAGCATGTTAGCATCCATACTTGGTAATTAGACTCCGCAACTGCGGTGGGTTCAGATCTCGAGATCTACCCGTCCTTTGGCGGAAGGAGAAAAAAAAAAAGAGAGTAAGAAAAATTTGAGCCTAGGCATCTTAGCAGTAAGCCTGGTGGACACAGATCAGATCTTGTCGGCTAGCTCCAACTTACTTTTGGGGGTGCGGCCCCGTTGAGTTTAGTTGGGGGGGTGCAATGAAAAAGGCCCCCATGCGCAGAGCGGCACTCACTCATTCCGTGGCAGGGTCTACTGGTCCTTGATCTCGTGCGAGGGCGGCATGTGCGTCGGCAGACTCGGGGGATCTGACCTGATTTCTCAATGGAACTGGGGAGCGCTCGCTTTGCCTTGATTTCTCATTTCCGTTGGACTCTCGCGCCTCTCGTCTCGCCTCTCGGCTGTTTTTCTAAAAGAGCACGAGATTCCACACCAGCGCAGTGTGTGCAGCTATGGATGGACACACTGGTGAAGCGAAGGAGGTGGAAGCTGAACCAGGAGCACGTCCAAGACAGCTGAAGACGACCCAAGAAGCGCCCAAGGCTTGGCCGGGCCAGACCGGACCGGACGACAACACAGACACGTCCCATTGCGAGCGAGCCCGGCCCATGTCTGTATGTATGCACGAGTAGCATGTAGACTACAAGCAAACAAACATTGAGAGCATGGGCCAGACTCGACTCGACCTGGCAATGCCGTGCGAGCCGTGGCTGCGGGCTTCTCTGCGCGGTGACGGGCGACGAGGAGGGAGAAACAATGAAATGCCGCCACGCCAAACTAGAGGCTCCGCCCTCCCTCGGCCCCGCCCGGCATGGCGCCGCGGCCCCAGCCATTGGCCCGGCGAGCACTTCCGCTGAGCCAATTACTCTCTGGTCCTAGTGCTCGTACTAGCAACTGCTGATTATTCTTTAGCACGGCCGCTCAGGGTCTAGTTGAGGGGATACCAAGGGCGCTGCTAAGATGGTACCTGGCCGGCGTTGCTGCACGCAGACTCGAGCAGAGCAGACGCCGCTTGCGGTTGTGCATCCTTGCCCGCTGCCGTCTAGTGAGATTGGCTATTGGCAGGTAAAACACTGGCTAGCAGGACGTGTTGAGCAGGCTAATCAAGATAGAGCCAAGGCATGACGCGCGGGCTGATACAGATGGGCATGGTAGACTGCCAAGTAGATAGTGGTAGGCATTGTTAGCGCTTGAGCTCCGTGTATCCCAAGGTTGACGAAATTAGTACCTACTTTACGGAGCAGAAGCAGTTTGATCCAACTACTACCACTACTGCTACATACATGGTACTATATTTGTGCTACCGGCCTAGGGATGTACGAGTAAGGGGTTTTCGTATACCAATGTCACGCGATGATCCCTGGCGAATGAAAAGGCTTGATGCCGTACGAGTGCAAGTAGGTATCTTCAGCAAGTATCGGCTAAACTAGGCATGTAGATATTATGTAAGATGCTGTAAGAACCAAGGATGTGACGATTGGCCAGCAGCAATTATGTGACCGTCTGGCTTCCCCTACAAGTAGGCACGAGCAGAGTCGGAGGCGACCAGAGCCGGGTAGCAGCATCTTCCCCCTTCAGCACTCTCCCGTATCATCATCCACTGCGTAATCTTCTCGACTCTTCCTCTCCACTGGCCCGTATTAGGTATTTCGCTATGGGTAACGGGACCGCTCCAGACGATGTTGGAAACAGTGACGAATTGATACCTTCTTCTCCCTCGCCCGGGTTAGTGATACTACGTCCTTGGACCAATTCCTTTGTCCTTTTTTTTCTTTTTCTTTTCTCTCTCTCTCTCTCTCTCTCTTTCTCTCTCTCTGTCTCTCTCAACTTACTTGCGAAGACGGTCCGTCCTGTTGTCTTGCGATGGTGTTTGCTCGGGCGATTGTTGCCCGTGAGGCACGACGGAGAAATGCCAAATGCCAATGCCTTGCTGCTGCTGCTGCTGCTGCTGCTGCTGCTGCCCAATCTCGTGCGCCACTCATGAGGAACCGAGTCGATTGGTAAAGCAAACAGGTCGGGATCATGTTGGGCGTGGATGGCGGGTAGGAAGCAAATTGACTTGTTGTGTCAAAACAAGACGGCGTGATAAGCGGTTTGTTTGCTACCCCTCTTGTCCATCTCCGTTGCCAGTATTGCAAATCACTCTGCAGCAATGCCCATCGTGTGATGAAGGGAGGATGTCGAGCGGACGAATATGACATGAAATGAAGCCAAAGCCTCGACTTTGTTTGCTACTGATTTACATGTGAAAATTGCTGACTGAGACTCTGATTGCAGGTTATTCTACCTCAACCAAGGCATTGACGATGACAGATTCAATTTCGGCAACCAACTTGAAGGCAGCAGCCCTCGGACAAGCGACGCCGAGATATCGGCTGCCCTGAGCAACTACGACAGCCTTGAAACCACGGCGATAGTCGATGTCTCTTACCGAAAGAACAGGGTCACATGGAGGGCTGCAAATGGCGAGACGAGGCAGATTTTCGACCTGTCGCTCGACTTGTACGCCAACACAGCGACCAACACCTCCATCTTCAAGCTGTACAGCTACATTATTCGCAAAGGCAGCAAAGGCCGGAGCAACAAGCAGGCCGTTTACCTGTTCATCCACCCGGAGAACGTCCGCTTCATCACCTGCGAGACGTCTCGCAACGCACGACGGCCAAAGTCAAAAGCCCACAAGCCGCAGACCTACTACGAACTGCACTTTTCCCTGGCGGAATGCCCCAACATCGTTGTGCCCAAGGACCGCGCCTTCGAATCCAAGGACAGGACCAGGGCGCAGCTGGATCTGATTCAAGAGCTGGCCAGCGCGACCGATTTTGTCGTCCACCTCAACAGCACAGGCATCAACGCGTCGAAACTGGACGACCTGAGACTGCTGGGATGCATGTTTTCGCCTACTTTTACCGAGCACCGCCCTACCACGGACTTTAGACGAGCGAACCTGGCGACGCTCTATGCCGGCAACGGAGGCGAGATTGTTGGGATGAACAGGGGAGTTGTGCAGTCGATCGAGGTAGATCCGCCTCCATATGTTGGCCCCGCGCCGGATTCTTGCATGGTATCCAGTAGGCAATTTCCTCCCCCNTAGCTTTTTTGCTACCTGGATTGATTGAATTTAGTTGAGACTGACTGATTCATTTCGCTAGATGAATACCATGGCTCCGATTCCGAAGGAGACTATAACGACGATGATGGCGACGACGAAGAAGAGGAAGAGGAGGACAACAGCGCCTTTGCGAACCACGTGCTGTTACTTTTGAACGATCTTCAGGCCCATTTCAACGTTGTCGAACGATATTTTGATGGCATGGAGCGGCGCCTTGACGGACTAGAGCGCTGCGTGCAGCAACGGCGGCATGAAATTACTTTTGCGTTGGCAATGGCCAATAGACACTACAACAACAAGAACAATAACAGCAACAACGGCAGCAACAGCAACAATAACGGCAGCAACGGCAACAGCACTGCGCAGAGCCCATACCAGAGTACGGTGGCGCAGAATACTACAGCGACGCAACGAGATGAAATGGTACCACAGGGCGTTTAGATGGACATTTCCCTTTTTTTGTTTATTTCATTTTTTTTTATCATTTTTTTTTTTTCTTTTTATCTGGTATAAATGGGTAGCGTTTACGAAATGCAAATGCAAGGGGAATGGGAAACTAAGCAGAGCAAAGCAGAGCAGAGCAAAGCAAGCAAGCAAGCGACTGGAAATGGATTTTTTTTGTTATTGGTGATTTGATTTTGTTGGTGATTATTTTGGGACAGGCACGAGCTAGGGAGACTGTATTACGATTTGCCAGATGCATGTAAAGAGAGCGGTTGACGGAAAAAAACAACATGACAGCACATTGACAGGATGCAAACAAGCAAAATTGTGTGAATTATGTTTTTGTTTTTATTTCATTTTTATTTTTAAATACTCTTTTTGCCCTTTGAGTCGCCAATAAATACCCAGGCTTTGGAATTGCGCTCTGTCACTGGCGAAACAGCTAGCAGCTCTCCCGCTCTCCTTAGCGCAATCTCAAGTTGCATCTCGGACACGCAGAGCATCTCCCGTCCTCCAAATCACATGCTGCGTTCGTTGCGTTGTCCGACTCCTTTTTATCTTTGAGATTCCTCCAGTGCCTAGGCATCTTAGTTTCACGCTTTTGAAAGAGGCACTGACTGGAGCTAAACTATCGAATCCTACCTTGAATGCTTCTCCTTGCGGTCTCTCTTTTCTCACCCTTTGCTCACCTCACCTCACTTTTCACCTTCATGGGGGGCCAAAACAAGGACCGCGACGCAATGCATACCCCTCACCCTCACCCTCTCGCTCGCCCTCACCCTTCCCCCTTCATCCCTCTTCTTTTCTCTTCTCTTCTCTCTCTCCTCGCCGTGACCCCCATTTATTTTGTACCACTACCTACTGCCTACTCTATGTACAAGCACTTGTGTGTACTTGTATGTTTCCCTCTCAGCAGCAACCCGCTTTTTTGCCACTTCATCAAAATGCTACCACGAATCCCATCTGACCCGCCCATTGGCCGGAATGCCCTCCCCGATAAGCACTTCCCGCGGAAGCACTTCCTGCTGCTCCAAACGGGCACAAACGCCGTTGCGACCAGGGGGGGGGGGCATGGCAAGGCATGGGCCTGTAAGGTAAGTTTTAACATAACGCGGTTGAATGGGGTGGCGGGCTTTTTGCTGCTCTGCGGTTTGCTTTGCTTTGCGTTGCTTGCAAGGTTTATTACCGTGTGCTCGTATGTACATACGTGGGTGTGTATGAAACGCCCCGTGGGTAGGTAGGCAGGCAACAGCAGTCAAGCCCCATGGCTGGCTTGTTGATGCATGCATGCAAGCAAGCAAGCAAGCAGCCTGAGCTCCACGGCGTATAACAAGGACAAGATGTAGCAGCACTACCTAGGTAGTACTAGGTAATAGTAGGTATACTTACATACATGCTTTACAAGCTGCAAAGCAACATGGAGCAATGCGAGAGAGACCCCTGCAACTGCAACAGGAAGGTGGGCGTGTGTGTGAGAGAGAATGTGTCTCTCTGAGTCTGCGTCTGCGTCTGTGTCTATGCCCAACGCAGCGTGGGCTGATGCTGCTATTTTCGATTCCAATCGGATGAGCGCGCGGCGCCGTTCTGGATATGGGGAGGCGGGGGGGGCAAGTTGGGAAAAGCTGCATGTCGACAGACGTGCAGCCTGTGCATACTGTAGTTGTGTAGTAGGCAGTACATTAATACTAGTATACGCCTCTCATCAAGCGAGCGCCTCTTTTATTTTTATTTTTCCTTTGTTTCCCTTCTCCACACACCGCTCCACCAGCCGACGGAGCCAAGCAGCAGAACAATTTGCTGTTGGTGCTACTGACGCATGGAGTTCCCCGTTTGGCTTGGTGCTTGACTCGGGTCTGGCTCGTTGTTCAGCTCCTCTGCCATGGGCTGGCGAGACTTGTCACATTTGCGTACGGAGTAGAGTTGTATACGATATGTAGGTAGTTGTATAGGTACTGGAGATACGGGCTTGAATCCGTACTCGAGGAAAACCGCTGAGGAGGAAGCGGGTGAGGCGCTGGGGAAACACGAATGCGAAATTGCAATGAAATTTGGTGGCGCTGTGTTACCACACCTGAGCGCTGTTTTTACAAAGTTAAGACGGCGACATATATTGGGTATCTACATCTACATTAGCCTATTGCCCACTAACGTACAGCGGCTGCTTTGCTAAATTATAGCGAGACAGCCCCTATGACATAGCGCATCGTTCTTCTTAACACCTCCTCGAGTTGTGGTGGACTTGAGCTGGTGTCGCCAAATATTCACTAATGGCACACTAGCATCTCCTCAGCACCATGGCTATTATACAATAAAATAATCCAAAAGAAGTAAAAAAGTCTCTCACTTGCTGTAATTTTCGTAGATTCTCTCTGTATTGGTCCTCTGTTGCGCGATTCTGGTTTGTGTCAAGGGCTCACATAGGTACCTTGGGTAGTTCAAATACACCACCAGTTGCTCTTATGGCAGCACCTGCATTTGATAAGAAACTATGGACATGTAATTGCCAACTACATGCAATAAAATAAAACGATCAAAACAACTTTGACAGACTCGAATCGTCATCAAATCAACATTAGCCGATTCACTTTCTTTGCTGAGGTAGAGGAAGACATCATGAGATTATGTCATGGATCCTGTTCCTTCCCAGTAATGGAATCCTGGTAACGGTTTCCATCCCCACTGTTCTTGCCGCCGATGGGATTCTCGGATAGAAACACAAGAGCGCAATTGTCAGTCCACGATGAGGAATTGTTGCATGTAACATTAATTCCAAGTTGACAATGTTATTTTACTCTCTCCATCGTTTCAGAGTCTTGATGATGGAGCGATCACAGCTCAAGTTGCTCACAGAGCTGTCAGGGTACGTGACACTGGGGCACACATATCCATCCTTCTGCCGTCGCCCCTCTCCCTAGAGATGAAATAGTAATAGTACGTGAGGGATTATACCAGATGCCGCGGGGCATCTACAGCGACCTATAACTGGACGGAAACCGCAGTCACATGGTCTATATTAGACGCTGGATCAGAGATTACTGGTGCCATCGTGCCACGGCAACTATGGCCAGCGTAGGTGAGGCGACGAGGCTCACAACTCGTCATTACCCGCTGCCACAATGATATAAGCAGCTTTTCAATGAGAAATGGCGCCTATAGAAAGCAAAGTCTACCGCTTACGAGGTATACCCGAGCACCTGGATCGCCTTGGTGTGGCACAGCTTGTCAGCACATTTATCCCCGGTGGCGACTTGCGAGATGTCATTGTAACATCTTTGGCTCTCAGCTGTGAAATATGGACCGTTTCGCGCTTCAAAGTGGCTACTCTGTCATTTCAGAAGCTTCCCGATGCTGTTAGTAAAGATCCAACAGCAGGAGAGTGGCCGCTACGGGTGCTTGCTTTGGCTAAACCACTGCTCCTGGATGATACCTTTTTTGGACTATCTCCTCTAAATGACGTTCCGGAACATCAACACAAGTATGAGTACGTCAAATACGGCAACTACTATACCTAATAATCACCTGTGCCACGACAAAACTAACCCGTTAAAGCTGCATTGTCATGTCGGGCCTTGCCAGCCATCCTATGGGCTCGTGGCAGCCTCATGGAGACGACAAATCGTTCATGTGGATTCGAGACACTCTGCCTCATCTAGTACCCAACGTTAAGTTTATTCTATATGGATACGATACAACGCTGGCTGGAAGCAAGTCATTTCAAACAGTGTCCGATATCGCATTAAGCTTCATTCATACTCTTCAGCAAGGAGGGTGGTCTTCAACAGGTCAAAGAGAACTGCTATTCTTCGCTCATAGCCTCGGAGGCATCGTTCTAAAGGAGGCTTTCCGCATGTTAGCTGACAGCGGAGTGATGGATGAATTAATCCTGACTCGCACAAAGGGAGTCATCTTCTTTGGAGTTCCGAGCCAGGGTCTAGATGTCTCCGATCTCGATATCATGTTGAAAGACCAACCAAACAGAGATGCACTTGTAAAAGAAATCTCGAATGAATCTCCATTCATCGACATATTAGAAGAGCAGTTTTCGGGTATCTCACATCTGCAAAAGATTAAACTTCTCTGGGCATATGAAACCAAGACAACTCCCACAGTAATGGTGCGTTTTCACCCTATCCTTGCTTATTACAGAAATAGCGCTTGACTGTTGAACGACGTCGACAGATGACTAGCGGGAAATACCAGAGATCCGGACCTGGAAAAGTATTCGTATCTCCTCAGTCCGCAACTGGCCAACGATATACAACTGAACCGTCTTCAACGATGCAAATAAACGCAAATCACTCTGACATGGTCAAGTTCTCTCAAGGAAATGAAGCAGTTGATCGTATTGCGTACAAGCTTCGAGACATGCTTGAAAGCGACGTTGCGAACGTTCAAGAGAGACTAAACAACTCAGCTCCGGGAAGAATAACAGCCTTGCATGAGCATAACCAAGGAGCTGAAAAAGTGATGAAACCTGTTGATAATTCCCTCGATCCAGAGTTTTGGGATATCTATTGTAAGAAAACGGTGCTTACTCTCATTCAATGAGTTATACTAATATTCTGCAGCTATTATTGAGTCGATTAATGCTCCAGAACGCGATCTTCGATTAGAACAAATCGACGTAGCAGTTAGACATTCTTTTCAGTGGGCATTTGAGAAGCCTTCGGTTGGGCTTACTCGCTGGCTTCAAAACGACGAGAAACTGTTTTGGATATCTGGGAAACCCGGATCTGGAAAGTCCACATTCATCAAGTACCTACACACAAATCCGCTTACCTTGAAATACCTGCGCAACTGGTACCGCAGTTCCAATTGTGTTCAAGCGACATTCTTCTTCCACCATCGTGGCACCGCAATCCAAAAGTCGCTCGAAGGCCTTTACCGCGGAATACTGAGCCAAGTTCTGGAGCAAGTTCCCCAGTCATTATTTATGATTCAGCCAAATCTTTCACAATCTTATGCAGAACTTGTTCGCACCTACAAACTTGGAACTCTTTTTACCGATTTGGAAGCTTTGGTCACTTCATGTGAGATTACTCAAGATGATGAAGTCTCGAGACAGCTACACAATATTTTGCTCTGTGAAATGCCCCGCAAGGCTTTTCGTACGATGGTTATAGAGCCAATGCAAGCCAGTGGTGCTATTGATGACGATACAAATGCTTTAGAACAAATATTTCAGCGCCGAGACCGCTTGCAGCGGACATTCAGCTATGCTTTCAACATAGCCAACGCCAATAACAAGGGAAAGAAAAACGCCTCTCCTAGCTTGGACCTTTACATTTCCAAAACTTTGGTATTCACCCAGGATTTGACCGATCAACAAAAGCGTGGCTTTGTGAGGGTTGACCTGTTAATATCCAAAAAATCTGCCTACTCTACAAATTTTACGCACACCACCAACAAACAAAACGTCTTTGCCACTTTGGACCTCTTCATCTCGCAAACGCGAGTTTACACCACCGACATAACCATACATGACATTGGTAATATGCTTGCTGAGGTGGAGGTTTTTGCTTCGAAAAGCCTACAATACTCTACGTTAGTCGGAAAGGATTACTTTTCCACTTCCAAATCCGAAGATCAATGGCCAAAGGGAAACCAAGTCGTCTCTATAATCCAAGACTGGCTGGTAGCTATTGACCCAATAGCACAATTCTCACTGCTTAAAAAACTACTAGAAGATCGCACAAAACAACATCAACAGCATCAAGTTGATAAGTTAGTGAAAGAAACCCTTGTTCGATTTCTAGATCGAAAAACACAACAGCAGCACATTGAAACAGCACATTGGAGTCTGAAACAACTCAACGACGCTATGGATAGAGTCGCTAGTCAACGCTTGATGGACTTGGATCTATGTCTACTCCTGGATGCTTTAGACGAGCATGATGGGCCGCCTGAAGTTATTTCTCAATTCATCAAGAGATTCACCACCGCTGAGGGAAGTCAAACAAGAATGAAGATGCTTTTCTCGAGTCGACCTTGGCAGCCATTTATTGATGCCTTTGGGCAAAATTCTGGTTTTCAAATACATGACTTTACCGAGAACGACATCCGCGAGCTTTGCCTGCAAAAGGCAATATCTGATAAACCAGGTTCGGCAGAAGTACTAGAGTTGACTGAGCAAATCGTTAAACAGGCTAGGGGTGTCTTTCTGTGGGTCAAGCTGGTGCTAAGTGATCTTTTGGAGAATGCTGCCAGGTTGGCTGTCTCTGGCTACAGTACAGAGCAACTCCATGCGGCGCTCATTGACATTTTGAACTCCTTGCCCAATGATTTAGAGCAATACTACAAGCTTATCATCACCAGAATACCCTCTTCATACCGCTGGGAAGCCTATTGTTTGCTCGAGGTCATCAGCAAATCAACGGAAGCAATATTTCTTTCCCAAGTCTCTGATATTCTAGCATGTGCCAAAGCAAATAGCGTGGACGATCTTTTTGCATTAAAAGCCAGGTCTGAGGATGCCGCTCACAGATATTCCAACGAAGAACTCCGGGCTCACTCAGGCGGTTTGGTTGAGGCTGTCCATTCAAACCAGCTCCAGTTGCTTCACCAGACCCTTATCGAATTCGTTCAGCTCCCCGAATTTAAAAACGTCGTTCTCCAAGACAGGTATCGAATTACGAAGGAGAATGGTTATTCAATACTTATGAAGTATGCGATTTTTAGAGAAAATCTGCTACGTAATGAACTTCACGATTCACATTCACCGGTGATGACAGTGAGCAGTAAAGTCATCCATTACGCACGGGAGGCAGAGTCTACTACAGGGAAAAGCGCATTTGCCTTGTTCAAAAATGTGATCTGGGAGCCGCCAGAAAAAGACAATTTTCTTCCGAAATTATCGAATCAGAAATACACAAACCTGGAGATCGCCCTAGCTTACGGGTTAAAATTACTTTTTCACGATGTCTTGAAGCATGATGCTCATGCTCATCCTGACAGAGCTCCGCTAATATTTCTTCTTTTGCGAAACATGATTCAATGTGGAAGAATCGACGGTGCTAGCGCTCTCAATGCGCTTCAAGACATGGTGGCTCAGGGATTCCAAATCCACAAAACACATGTAGGCTTCCTGACGATGATTAACCATCTACATTACAAAACATCTCGGGTGGCCATAGAAGGCGTTGTATCGGACATGGGGGTTATACCCGTGATAGACTTCAGTCAGGAGGTACTAGACACGTTCTTCGAACCAAAGTTCAGCTTTGCCATCCACATGGGCGGGTTTGCGATTAACGAGGTTGCCGATTTCAGGACGTCTATGAGAACTATTGGCATAAAAGATACTGCCCAAGCCATTCACATCTCTAGCCATTGTGAGATTACAAGATACCTTGTAGAGAACGGCGCAAATCCTAATGAAATGACTACGGAAAGACTAACACCAATCGACTGCTGGGTGAGAAACATTTCAGAGCATGGCTTCTCTCGTGGTTCTCGCAATATCGTGTCGGCCATTACGGTTCTAATCAAGCATGGAGGGCGCTTAAATGTGTGTACCCGACAGGAATGGGACAAGTTGGTACAATCTCTAAATGCGACGCACTTCAGCACTCCATCATTCCCAGGATGGCTTGACAAGGCACCCGATGCGGATCGAGGGATCGATGTCGACACAAAAGATGTCAAACGGCGTTCTGGGAACATTTCGAAATTATGGAAGCGCAAATGATGGATGAAAATGGCACACATTGAACCTTTTTCAGGGCTATTAGGAGGACAGGATGGAAGAAAAAAGAAGAAGGAAATAAACAGAAGAAACGGAAGAAACAAAAATGAGCAAAAAAATTAACCACCTTGATATCTTAACCAGGCAATTTGGTTGTATAGGAAAAGCCCAATGCGGGGGTCGAACCCGCAACCTTGAGATATCGCATCGCCATTTCAGAACGTGTGATTTAAGAGTCTCACGCTCTACCGATTGAGCTAACCGGGCTAAGCTGGTTAAGCTCTTGGTGGATTGTTGAGATGGATGCGAGTTGAATCATGTTATTAGTCTTTGGCAAAGGCGGTCCTCTGTAAAGTTTTTTTCGTTTTTTCGTCGTGCAAATTTTGGCGCGGAAAATTTATGGTTATAGCGGGCTTATAGTGGGGTTAGGGGGGCTAAACATGGCCAAGGCGAAGCTATTGATGCGCTAGCGGCATCTGGGCCGCAGCTCTACCGCATGAACTCTCAACTGCTAGGCCTATATGCTCCACTGGAGTAAAATGCACGCGAGCAAATAGAGCCTACCCTATGATGCCGTATTGGTGGTGGTGTAACTATGTTATTTGACCGCGTTCTAAATTCTCTCTCTCTAGAAACAGGTGAGTAAAGAGCTCGAAGACGGTGTTGAAAACATGTAAGAATAGAAGGAGGAAGCGGCGAGGCCAGCATTGTAGTGTCGCCTTTGATGTATTGGATATTTCAATTATTCAAGTTTCAAATTGGCTAATAACCTCCATTTCAAACCCTTTCCTGTCCTTTCATTTTTTGTTTTCATAGCCCGTCGAACTCTTAATTATGGATCTGGACTTGGCTGGAGGCTGCAGCGCTCAAGCCGCTCAACCATAGCATTTTAACACCCTCCAAGAATAGCAATGGAACATCAAGGCCATATTGATTGCATTTAGCCCCGCTGCTTCTGTGCGTTTGCTGGTTATGATATTATCGGCGTCTCGGTGGAGCGTTCAGGCAGTTTGACATTGTATGTGGAGCCTCAGTGCCGAGCCTGCTATCCAGCATTTGGTAAGCGTCGCTCCTAGTTTCATTGTAGTCTGACATGATTTACCTACCTACCTACCCACCTCGAACTACAGAGCACAGACAACGGTAAGGCCATATGTAAGTGCCTGTTGAGTGAAGATGCTTAAGGCTCATGAGATATACGACTCGGACGAGATGAAAGGGATAGATGGGACTGATGAGAAAGTCAAATCCGCCCTAGCTTCAAGTCAGCCCCTCACGCACGATCCCAGGGCAAAGCCTCCACCCAGCACTGCGCCAGCTCTATGCAAGGAGCAACAAGACCTGGTCGATCTCATCGCAACAGGGAACAATGTCTTTTTCACCGGCTCAGCTGGCTGCGGAAAGTCTACTGCTCTGAAGGCCGCAGTGAAGATGCTGAGAGATCAGGGTAAAATAGTTCACATCGTTGCACCCACCGGCCGAGCAGCGCTCCAAGTCAACGGCATGTCCACATGGTCCTACATGGGCTGGACGCCAGACTATCACAAGCTCCCCATCGAAAAACTCGTCAGCAAAGGGTTTCGCAAGCATATTAAGAAACGCCTGAGGGATACAGACGTGCTCATCATTGACGAGATCAGCATGGTGGAAAATCATCACCTCGAGCGCATAAATCAGTGCATGAAAGCGGCCATTTGCTGGAACCGGTGGCAGAGCGGGGGAGACGGCCCGGCCTTTGAGGGAGACACTCCCATCTCTTACGGAGCCGCTCCAGCCTTTGGGGGAGTCCAAGTCATCGTCACCGGAGATTTTTGCCAATTGCCGCCCGTGAAGCCATTCGAGTTTTGCATCAAGTGCGGACAGAAGCTGATCTCCGACGAGGACGGAGCCGAGTTCAATTGCAACAACAACCATGGCCCGTTTTCCGAAACAGACAAATGGGCCTTTAAGAGCGCTGCTTGGAAGGAAGCCAATTTCTTCTACGTCAACTTGAAAGAGATTCACCGCCAAAAGGACGAGTCCTTTATCAGGATGCTCCAGAAATGTCGCCTTGGAATTCCGTTTCTGCCACAAGAGATGGCAATACTGATGGATCATCCTTGCGAAGTCCGAAAAGCTACGAGGCTACTCTGCACAAGACGTGAAGTCTCCAGGATAAACCAAGAAAGCTTCAATAAGCTAAAAACACCAAAATACCAGTACGACGCCTTTGATGGCTTTGAACCACATAACGAGGAGCATTTCGCTCTGCCCCAATACAGAGAGCGTCTACCTGACGGAACATTAGTAGCTTGTAGAGATCAACGCCTTGAATCACAGGTCATACTGCGGGGCGGCATGCTTGTTATACTTCAGGTAAATCTTGACCTGAGAGCAGGACTGGTCAATGGAAGTCAGGGTATTATATGCGGCTTTGAAGCGTTTAGTCATGGAAAGCTCCCTAGAGCTGCAACCGGCGACAATGCCGACCTTATTTCTCCGGAGCAACGCCTCAACGGAGAGCATGCACAGCTCAGGGAGAGGCAGATACAGAAATTTATGGAACGTCAACAGCAGCAGCAAGGGAAGCCATGGCTGGCCAAGGCTTGGCCTCGCGTGTTATTCCACAACGGCTTGAAGCGAACCATATACAACGTGTACAGTCAACTCTGTAGGCGACAAGGAGCCGTATTCTTTACTTCATCGTACTCAAGTGCCATTAATCGCCGGATGGGCTATGAGTGTTCACAGAAGTCAAGGCATGACGCTAGATCGCGTTATTGTTGATCTGTCTAATGCCTTTGAAGAAGGGCAGGTATATGTCGCGTTGTCTCGAGCGACGAGCCTCCAAGGCCTCAAGATTGAGGGTAGCTCAGACGGATTACTGGCAAAGGGGGGAAATGACGACGTTCGAGTTTTCTTAGAGGCAAAATTCGGTGACGGGCTATTTAAATCAATTCGAGAATTTTCTGGACACCTTGAGCAGAATGGACATGGAAGCAGACGGGAGCAAAGAAAGACCTTTGGTTATTGGTGAAGTAATTGAACAGCAGCCAGGGAAATACGCAGCGACAGTCTGGAAAAGGGAGAGACCGTCATCATCGGGGAATGACACTGAACGAGTCGGCGACACCACGTCTGCAACTAAACGCACAAAGATGGGGTAACTGAAAACTCTGCTCGCTTTTCCATCTTGATTCCACATTGATGATATATTGTTGCTATTATGCTCTTGTGGGACTCTCACATTTCCCTGAGGGCAGCTTTTTGAACGATTTCTTATGATCTATAGCTATTTACTATTGCTATATCTTGTTCTTGTTACTGATGGAAGCGAAGGCGTTGTGTTGTTGTTGTTGATATAGTCTGTTTGGATGTCCCCAAAGAGGGGGCGCAGAATTTGGGAATAAATAACCGCTGGATATAAGACACAAGAGTGGATACTATAAAGCTGCGTATGCATATTGGAAAGCAGAATTTTATTGACATATATTGTTGCTAAGCAAACGCTTCACTATCAGAGTGTAAAGTCTATGGAATGAAGATAATAAGCTGGAACAATCCATAATGTTATCGATGGGCCAGTATCCATCTGAATCTGAAGCTTTAATCCCCCACACACTGTTGNGCTTCACCCAAATTCACATAGAAACTCACGCCAGTCGGCGCCGAGGTTGCTTTGCCATATAGTAGCAATTTCCTGTGCAACCTCGTCGCTCGCATCAACCCAGTCATTATCACCGGCAGTCTCTTCCTGGTGTCTGGCGAGCGTTGTGATATCGAAGCGGTGCCCTGCCCACACTCCTCTGCAGATATTCGTGGGATCCTCAATGCCAAAGGCGGGCGATGATGACCAGCAGATGCGCGATAGTAAGACTTCACCAAAGCCCAGAATATTAATATCCGGGCCGTGGATAAACTCTGGCTTCAATGCAATGGCTTCGGCACGGACAAGTTGCTTTTGCGTGAGGTTTCGAAGAATCCACGGCTCATTTGTGGGAAAGAATTCGCGATCGCTCCGGGGACGCAGGCCTATATTGATCATACCGGCGCTTGTGCACCACTGCCGCAAAGAGAGGTATTCTCTCAGACGGAAAATTTCACCACGCATACATGGCTCTTTCTGGATGTCTGAGACGCCGCTCCTCGTAAAGTCATGGAGAGTCGACGGCGTAATCCATATAGTCTCCTCCGTGTCTTCGGAATAGGCTTGATGTTCCCACTGGCTGATGTCTTGCAGCTCTTCGTCTGAGAATAATCCAGGGGGGTAATCATGTGCCTCAACATATTCCCCCACGCACACAATCTTATGATTAGCCCATCGTCCGAACAGCAGGCGAAAATGGTCCTGGAGTTGCCTTTGAGCCATGCCGCGCAAGGACGGATAAGCCAACCCGAGGCCGAGGACATCTTGAATGGTTCCAACATGCTGGAATATTCTCCAATGGAGTTCGCTTGGGAGGTCAAGAAGGGGAGGCGGCTGGTCAAGCTGTGCGTGGCCAAGGCCATCGACTGGTGGAGTCCAGATTGGCGCTGGCCTCACAGGGACGGCGAGCAGTCTGACGAGGGAACTGGCCGAGCCGTTGAAAAGAATCACCCCAAGCGTACCCTCGTATTGCTGGGTGAGCCTGGCTTGAGGGGCCAATGTCGTGAATGTCTCGAGCATGTTGTAAATAATAGATGGCTATAACATGATGTGGAAGAGATGCTTTAAACTCTTTGCGATCAAAACAAATCTCCAGCTACATGCAGTCTCTAGTCGGCAAGTGTGCACAAGGCAAGAGGCAGACAGCAGCAATGTACACTTGTATGGTCAATTACAGAGGCTCCTGACCACCAGGCTACAGATAGAGTGCTATTTCGAATGATGGTTTTCTATTTGATTTTTTTTTTTTCTTTTTGGGTTAAGTAAATATACCTCTGTATCTTGACCATGAACTTAGGCAGATGCTGCTGCTTGTGGTTGACTGGCGAGCTGCATCTTGTTAGTGATGGCGCCTTGAAAGTCTTAGCCCGCTGAAGTAATCCATCTCCCAGCCTCGCGCATTAATATTGTGAGCGCGAATACTGACTCCAAGGCCAGGCTCAGAATAATGAAAAACTACCATTTTCCCACTGCTTCAAACGGCCAAATAAATCATCACTTCGCAGCCTGAGCTGCAGTGACTTTGATGCGCCGAGTGGGTATACGCTAGTGCAGGTGAGTGAATGATTGGGTAAGCGTATCCTGTTTAAAAGTGGGCCTCATATCAGGTGACTTGCGCGTTCCTTTGCTCTAGCTCCTGGCTTCGTCTCCTCCCTCCAGCTCCACTGCTTACATCTTCTCCATCAAACGAACAACAAGCAACGAGATTGCCGCAGCTGTCTCTAGAGCGCTTTTGTTGTACTTGCTCACGGCTACGGCCACACGGACAGTTTGGCGACCGGCACCGGTTCTACAGGCTTCTACTCGCCGTCTACGGCCGGCGAAAGACCCTGGGTGTCGGCTTCAGGGCAGACTGGAGATCGTCGTGGTAGCGTGGCTGGGCAGGCGCACAAAGACACTCGACGACTGTGGCATCATCTCGACTGCATCTTCGTTCAAACTCTCTCTTCGTAATTCTTTTCGCGCTCCATGAGTCTGAGTCAAGGCTACTCTTGCTATCGCATACAAGCCTGGGCGGGCGGGAATCTCAAGCTGTTTCTTGAGGGCTTTTCCTCTTCACGTTCCGTCTGGCTTCACCACTACTGACATTATCATCTAGCTACCAGCTGTAATCGACAACATGACCAAACCTCCTTCCTCTCCGGTCGCCTCAACCGCCTCGGCAACTTCCACGAATCCGAATACTCCGCGCTCAAGTGAGCCACATGAAGGAAATTCGCAAGCAGATCAAGAAATTGTCGACACCGGCAATCAAGCGGTGATAGTTGATGTCGCGCCTTCATCGCCAGAGTCATCTAGTCAAAAGAATCATGATATTCAGCCGACATGGCCCAGTAAAATCGACCGGACAAAAATTCGCGCCGAGGCTTGCTGGCTTGACCAAAACTTGGATAATATCTTGCTAGATATACACTGGGCTGGACAACATAGCCGCGCATTCTTGAAACTTCACACAGCCTTGCACCTTGAGGGCGTACCTGGTGCCTCTCGGCATGGCCTCGTAAACGCCTATATCTTCATATACCCAGAGCGGATACGCCAGCTTTCATTCGCCTCGCAGCCCCAATATTCACCTTTCGGCCCACCTACTATAGCGCTCACCTTTGATCTTAGTAGACCACCGGCTCTCATTCTGCCCAAGACATACACCAGTTTGGGACCAGGAGCAAAAGACACGATGCTTTCTCTTCGTAGCCTTATTCAGCAGACATGTTTCACCGTCTTCGCATCTCTTCCGAGCAGAATGCTCTCATCATCCTGGCTGCAGCAATTTTGTCAAGATATTACAGAGCATAAACTCACAACCATTGCATCTCTCGCAAACCTGAAATCTCTGTACCAAGGCCATGGTGCTCAGGTGGTTGAAGGTGATGGTCCGTTTGAAGCCGTTAGTGACCAGGGCGATGCTGCTGCCCCTACTGCTCAAGAGCTCCAGCTCCCAGCGTATGAAGAGGCCAATCCACATTTTCCTCCTCCACGGTCTAGTAAGTATTCCATCTACGCAAATTAGCCAATCCCTTTGATATACTTATCAACGTGCTAACTGCTTGTCTAGCTAAGAGAAAAAGGTCCTATGATGAGAGCTCTGCGATTGGACATGACTCCAAGTCGATGGGAGTTGCAGCGATGCAAGCCCTCATTGGAGACATGCTCGAGGCAAAGCTCACCGCTCATGAGCGCAGGGTGGGAGCGATGCTATCCGATCACGAGCACAAAGTTCAGGAGATGCTATCTGCTCATCTATGCAAGGTGAATGAGCAATTAGCCATCAATAATTATCATATTGCAGATCAAATCGAATCTGTAGAAGACCGGGTAAGGAATGACATGGTGAATGAGTTCACGGACACGATCAACAATAGGATACTGGAAGAGATGGAGGGAGTGCAAGAATCTGTAATGGAGCAGATTACTTCAATGCCCTTGCAAGCTCACCTGACTTTTCCCAACCATCCATTCCTTTAAGATAGGGTCCACGATTATTGATGATAGCCAGCCTTGATTGAATATATATGCTCCTGGAACGTTAATACGCTAATTGATATGATGATTACTTTTCCCATATATTTGATACATGGTGTCCTCCCTGCCACCTGGCCTGGTGTAATTTTTAGCAGTGCTAAACTTCAAATGCCTTAGCAGCTGACTCAGTAGGTACGTAGGCCTTCTCCCTTGCTGTAAATCTTCTCTCTCCTTCAAGCTTCCCTCCCTCTTTCCTCAAGCAGCATGCTGGCCCCGCGCCCACACCTTCCGGCGATATCCTCGCTCCGCCAATTCTTCTCTTCTACCACTACTAATACTACCTCCGTACACATGAATGAAGATTTGGACGACATGGAGGTGGTAGCACTGTGAGTTACAAGTATGACGACCCTATCGCGATTTATCTCACCGGCGGTATTTTTGTAGCAAACAGCAATTCTTCTTTCGCGGCAAAATGCCAAGGCCATTGCAGACATGCGCTATCATGACACGCCTCCTGCTTACTCACGTATGACACGACGCAGCTCAGTGCTTATCCTCTGACAGACTTATCCACTCGAGGCAAAAAGATACAGAGCTATTGGCGCGTCGACGCTCTCAAAACCTTGTACTAGTCTACTAGGTGAAGCGGCAGCAAAGCCTAAAATGATAGGGCTGCGTCTTCCCCCGTCTATTGCACTTGTTACACTATGCCATTTGGAGCCATTCAAGACTAGTACTAGGGATGACGGAGCCGTTACTTAGCTGCCGTCCCCCAGCACAAGACGAAATGAAATGAGATGAGATGAGATTCGCAGCATTGGCATTCCAACGACAGTTGAATCGCACAAACGAAATCACTTGAAACACGAAATTGATCGACCGATGCGAAGGTCGCCAAGATGGTGAATACGGGAAAGCCTAGCATGGCTTGTGCCACTTGCAAAACACGCAGGATTAAAGTAATGAATCCACCCAAGCTTCTTGGTCATTGTACCTCTGCACACTCATTCTAACTCGCAAATAGTGTGATCGGCTGCAGCCTGAATGTTCTCAGTGCATACGCTCTGGTTGGACGTGTCCGGGAATACCCTCTACCGCCGATATCATGTTCCGGCACCACCGTACACGTCGAGCGCCTGGAGTCTCTCAGCACGCAAGTATTGGCCAGCCGCCAGAACCAAGAGAGAGACACAGGATTATCGACTTGTCACCTGCAGTTACAGACAGGGCCACGGCCTTCTTCCTGTATCAGTACGCATTTAGTCCCGAGCTCTGTTCCAGCACTGGCATCTCCCCAGGAGTCCATGAGCATCTGCCAGTCCTCCTTCAACATGAACCACCTACGGGAGCGCTTAATACCATCGTGGCAGCCGCGGGACTTGCCGCTTTGGCGAATGCTGGAGCTTCAGCGCCGTGGAAATTCGATGCCTATCGTTCATACGGGAAAGCTCTCGAGCAACTACGCGTCGATCTCAAAGATCCGGTTCGCATGAAATCCGATAGCACATTGGCGGCTGTCATGTTGATGGGTACTTTTGAGGTAAATCATCATTTTGCTACTCTCTTTCTTTTGCAAACCAATTGAGTATGTGTCAGAGCTGACTTTCCCGTCCTAGATGATCTCGGATGGTGACCTGGCTTCGATGGAATCTTTCGGCCGCCATATTGTAGCCGGCGCTCAATGCGTTCAGCTTCGTGGGCCAAGCCAGTTCCGTAATTTAGTATCTGTCATTTTATTTATTCAGCTGCGTCGTCTTATTGTACGTATTATTCCTCCTGTTTTTATTTATTAAAAAAAAAAAAAAAAAAAGAAAGAAAGAAAAGAAAGGAAGAACAAATCATGAGCAATTAGTTTAGCGCATACTAATAACTAACAGATCATGACTTGCCATCAACTTCAGGAGCCCTTGCCTTACACTCTCAAGGTGTGGTCACGATGGACTGAGAACCCTAAAAAGAAAGATGAGGCTTCTCTGAATCGCTTTTCCGAATTAAATGAGGAACTCGCAGCCGTCCGAGCTGAGATCAAGCAGAGGGCCATACAAAGTCCTGCAGTTGTGGCTGCTATGCTGGAGCCAATCGACCACAAGGTCGAAGATTGGAGGTCGAAGCTTCCAGACTCGTGGAATTTTAAGTCGTACAGATCTCTAGGGCCAAGCGTCAATCCAGCGGCTGGAGGTCAAATGTTTCAATATGACGAGTATCCGGATTTCTGGGTTGCTTCCACTTGGAATAATTACCGCATGGTTCGTATTCTGATTCATGAGTCCATATTGATGACAACAATGAAATACGGCACAGATGAGGAGAAGAGCGGGCTCAAACACTCAGCCAAGGTACTGGCTGAAATGACAAACGGAGTTTGCTCCAGTGTGCCGTATATTATGGGCGACAGGTGCAGGAGACACTATTCGAGAGCCAGCTTCGAAACTCTAAGGCCAGACTTGAGACGAGCGAAACCGGGTGGATACACGCTGTTATGGCCATTGTTTCTAGCCGGATCGCTGAGCACTACTCCCAAAGACCAGCGAGACTGGATTGCCCTTGTCTTGCGAGAAATGGGCCTACGCATGGGCATGCAGCTAGCCATATCGATGGCGATAAAACTGGAGCAAACAACCTCGTCATTTTCGGACCCTGACCTGTGGCTTATTGGCGAGTTTTTCCCTAGGTAGCTGAGTTGACAGCGGAGCATTTGGTTTTTCTTCCTCGTCTTCTTTTTCTTTAGCCCAATTGCTATCGATTATTATTTATTACTATTCACCACTGTCCTCGAACTCCTATCGTGTGGGCCAAGGCGACTCATTAGCACTCCAAATTTCAAGAAATACGACGCAGCCGACGCTAAGCCTTGGTATAATTGAGTGCACTAAAGTATGACAACATGGCAGGCTGAGGCTGCGCTATGCCTTGCCCAGCTAGTTTTCCGAGCTGGCCAATCAGAGGTTTTGTTACTCCTCTGTTATGCCTATATTTGGCCTATATCCTTGCGAGCACGTTGGTTCAAGATTGCAAGTGCCGTGATAATCAAGATATTGACAACAATCCTACACCAGTTTTCAGAGTTGATTGGATTCAAGGCTTACATGTTCTACACAGGGGTTACTTGTCGAAACTCCTTATGGGTTCCATAAGTCACATGGGAGTTTTCTCTGGAGCTAAACGCCCATTCTCGTCAGGATTTAAGTAGCCCTTTGTTCCTTCCAACATGTCAATACACTCATTCTGAATCATCATTGTCTCTCCTTCAGCCCTTTTGTCTATACTGACAGGATGGGGCTGTTTTCTATTATTCTCGCTACTCTCCTAACGGCAGCGCCATGCTCCGCCAATGGGTGCCCAACTTCACTGCCGCCGTCGACGCCATCGGTCACAACCAAACATGGGGCACTGCTGGGTGGGAAATGTAACACAACAGATGTAAACTTCTTCTTATCTATTCCTTATGCAAATCCCCCAAAGAGATTCCACGCTCCTGTGCCGTACACTGGAGTATTCGACAAACGAAACGCGACGGTTCCCGCCCCAGCCTGTCCACAGTTTGGGACGACTTTCATTGAGACGGGGGCGCAGTCTGAGGACTGGTACGTATTTATTCAGCCATGTTCTGCATTATACGCATATTCTTTCCCGTCTCTTTCTAATGCTAACTATACAGCCTCTTCCTTGACATCTGGGTCCCGGAGCACAAGTCCCATGAGTCTAAGCTGCCGGTCAAGATATGGATCTTTGGTGGCAGCGACGAAGCTGGCGGCATCTCAAATGCAATGTACACAGGGTGCTACGCTGCTGAGAACGCTATCCAGGTTAATATCAACTATCGAGTTGGGCCTCTGGGGTTCCTGGCTGCTGAAGAAGCTGGAATCAGTGGTAATTTTGGCATACAAGATCAGCTCCTGGCGCTGAAATGGATCAAGGCTAACATTGAGTCCTTTGGTGGTGACCCTGTAAGTTCTTCTCTTAATAAGTCCGTTTAGATCGCCTTGTTTCAGCTGCTGACGTTGCGTTATTGTTCTTGGCAATGAAATATAGGACAAGATGCTTCTTTTCGGACAGTCAGCTGGCGCTTTCAACACCTTTGCCATTGCAACCATGGATGAGGCGCCTAGCCTGATTAGTGCTGCCATTATGGAATCGGGAGGCGGTGCCGATTTTGCTTCAGTTACGGAGGCGCAGCCTTGGAATGATCTTTTCCTTACTGGCTTGGGCTGCCAGCCTTCAAATGTAAGTGGTTCACATTTACACCCCCTTCGAATGTCTAACTGTGTCTGCCGGATCTGACCGCCGAGCTTTATTTAGTTCTCGTGCATCAATTCCAAAAGCGTAGCTGAAATGCAGACGGCCGTTTTGCAGATGCCCGCTGGAGTTGGACCGACAATTGGCAGCCCCATCTCCCATCTCGGCCGAGGCTTCAGCTGGGGCCCTCTTGTAGATGGCAAAGTAATCCCCAAGGCGCCTGCTTCAGCCGGCGTCAAGGTTCCATCTATTTTCGGCTCGACCGCTTCAGAAGGCATGCTCTTCGTTTTGGCAACTTACTCACAAAACTTGACAAAGCAAACTCAGGATACTTATGACGATTTCTTGAGTTATCAGTTTGGCCCGCTTGCGTCGCGTGTCAACTCCACCTATCCGCTCTCCAAGTTTCCACCAACCGCCTCTATTCCTAACTCTGCCGACGCTGCCATCGGTGCCATCTTTACTGATTATGCCTTCAAGTGTACGGCTTACAGAGGTCTTGAGAAGGGTATCGCCAACAGGGTGCCTGTTTTCGCCTATTCCTTTGCCCGCGTACCCTCATGCAACTGGATGACATCTGTTCCCAATATCCCATTTATTCACAGCTTTCTTGGTGCCACGCACACCGCAGAGCTTCCGTTTGTCTTTGGCGTGCTGGATGGACTGCCTGCACCTGGAGGGAACTGCTCCTCGAGTGCAGATGAGTTGCAGGTCAGCAAGCAGATGATATCTTCGTGGGATAGTATGGCAGCTGTAGCAAGCCCTGGAGCCCATTGGCCACGCTACTTTGGAGGAAGCCAGGGAAGAAAGGGCATGGGAATGATGTATCTCGCGAATGAGACAGTTGTGGGAGAGATGGACTACAGCGTTTGTCCATTCTGGGACGAGATAAGAGAAGAGCTATTGACTCTGCAAGCTCAGGGGAAAGTGAGCGGGCCCTAAGGACGAGAGCAGCGGCATTATGGGGTTGGGTGATTTTCGTTCTAAATCTCCGGATCAGACTAATCCGATAGAATTTATTAATCCTTTCAATACACTGCCTCACGGCTACGATTTGACGTAGTGACTTTCTGATGAACGGATCCTGACTCAGTAGAACAGATGGGATCGAGTTTTTAATCATGTTTTTTAGTAGATAAAGTGTAGACTAGGCACTCGTAACGATACAAGGAGGCAGAGATTGGGAAACCGGCACAAGCAAGACTGAGTAACTGCTGCAGTTACACTAAGTTACGAATATCTCAACGACTGGCCACGAACTCAAAGATAAAGAAAGATGCTGCCACTGCCAACACACGCGAAGTCTACACCCCCCTTTGCTTACATGATGTACATAGTATGGAATACTCTTCAAGCCAACCAATCAAACTCGCTGATGGTTCTACAATGGGCAAAGGCTAATGGAGCTTGGAGCTTTAGACCGGGGGCGGATGATCATCTCCGCCCAGTCAGTTAGCCAGCTACAGCAGTAGTGGAATGCGGACTTGAGCATATGGAGCTAGTCAATTTGATGTCCTCTAATGAGTCAAACTGGGTGCGCGGAGTTGATGGCGGACTATAGAAGACAAGGTCGAGGAATTCGCTGGACCTGGGGCCTGGCAAGCCACCTGCGCACCACGGGCGAAAAAGAGCCCGGCTGTGGGCGCGACTGATGGAGAGTGGAGGAGCGGGTGGCTGGTCTGGCAATGCCATTCGCCGCACCCCGGTCAAGCCACACGGAGCAAAGAAGCTCCTCGATGGCGCTAATTGCAAGGGGCTATGCATGAGTCAGCCGATTCAGCCAATCCGAGACGCGGCGCTGGTCGAGGGCCTGTCGCTCGGGAGCTGCCGCCGAAACGCCACTCAAGCCACCATCTCGAGAATCTATCCGACTCGTATCAAACGACGGCTTCGTTGCTTCATCTTTCGTCGTTTTCTTCTCTTTTCCTCCTGAGTCACTGTTAGGAGGCCGCGTCAGGAGATGCGTGTCAAAATGACCAAGTATTTGGTCATGTCCGCAGCGGACTTTGGACTTTCATCCGTATATAATAACATAGATGAAATGACAATGCATTTCTTCTTCTTTCAGACTTCACACATATCAAATCACACTTACACCGGCGCAGCTGCGAATCTCCCCAATTCCTAATTTTTGAACATCAACACCACAAAGTTCACTTTATCAAGCCAAACTCCAACATGTCCATGATTGGTCGTCTCTGGGGCTGCTTCAACCCGCCCACCCCTCCAAAAAGCAGCGATGCCATCAAATTTGGCGTTTTGGGAGCTGCCGGCATTGCGTAAGTCGAGCCATGATGCTTCAATCCGCCTAGCCGAGGCCAATATTTGTTTACTGTAGCGCATGTGGCTAACATCAACACTGGTAGGCCCCTTGCCTTGTTCACTCCCGCCAAATCACATCCCGAAGTCGTGATCCAGGCCATTAGCGCTCGTGATCGCAGCAAAGCAGAAGCTTATGCAAAATCTTACGGTATTCCCGAGGTCAGAGATACTTATCAAGGTAAGGCTACAACCAGGCACATGTCGCAAAGAGCAACAAGGATTAACGCTTATGGCCTAGAAATCCTTGATGATCCCAACATTGATGCCATCTTCATCCCTCTACCAAACGGCCTGCATTTTGAGTGGGCGGTTCGAGCCATCCGCGCCGGGAAGCATGTGCTACTTGAGAAACCTTCCGTGTCCAACTCTACCGAAGCCGAAATCCTCTTCAACCTGCCCGAGCTGAACCAACCCAACGGGCCCGTGCTACTCGAAGCGTTCCATAGCCGCTTTTACCCTTCTTGGGCTCTGTTCAACTCATTAGTCGACCCCGCCGAAGTCGAGCACGTCGAGTCGCGCTCCATGATCCCCTGGTGGGCCAGCAATAAGGATCAGATTCACTTCAACTACAACCTGTCAGGCGGCACTATCATGGCCATGGGCACTTACAATTTTGCCGCGCTGCGTCTGCTCTTTGGCGAAAGCCCAGAGGAGTGCATCAGCTGCGACGTCAAGGCGTACACAGACGGCATACATGACAAGTGTGACTACGAGTTCAAGGCTACGTTCCGGTTCCCCAACGGCGGCACCGGCGTGGCCTCTAGCACGCTGATGGGCGAAACCGTGATGAAGCCATCGTGGGTTACAGTCAAGACCAGGGAGACGACGATTCCCAATAACAATTTGCCCGTTGGCCAGCAACAGTATCAAAAGCGTGAGCTGACGCTGCAAGGCCTCATCCACGGCGTCTTCTGGCATCGCATCGACATCAAGGAGATTAACGAAGTTCGAACAAAGGATGGCCAAGTTGTCAGGCAATGGGAGGAGACCACCTCCCGCAAGGCGTACACTTGGAAAGAAGCTGGTGGCGAGTTTTCTCATCTTCCTGGAGAGACTCACTGGATGTCCTACAGACACCAGCTCGAGCAGTTTGTCAACAAGGTCAAGGGGCGCAAGACGCAGTTCTGGGTCGAGAGGGAAGACTCGATTGCCCAGATGAAGATGGTCGACATGGCGTATGAGAGGAGCGGGCTGGGGCCTAGGCCGACCAGTTCGTTCAAGTGATGGAATTGCGATTGCTTGGCTTTTTTTTTTTTTTTTTTTTCAGCGATCTGTTTCTTTGAGATTATACCAATACCTGTTTAGATTTTTTTTCTCGCCTTTTTGGCACCCTGTAATACCATTTTTCTTTGAATCCAATTCGAATGCGTTGCATATGTTGGACTAATGTTTTTTTTTTTTTCCCAATCTCTTTATACAATATATTTAACACTCCAAAAAGCAGTATATGAAGAATTATTCACTAGCCTGTATGTACCTTTGAAGATGCCATGTGTCTGTAACGACTACTACTAAGTATACTTCCAAGAGAGATACGCAGCAGCAGCGGCACACAGTCCAAATGCGACTATCTAGGATACGACCAGTCCAAATTGTCACAATGCGCTACTTTGGCCCGCCTACTTGATAAAGATGCTTTGAGGTCGGGTCATGAGCCTGGCAGGCTTACTGACTGCATTAGAGACCTACATGTACTCAGAGCAGCCACTGCCCAACCAAATTTGCGGGCTCTACAGGCAGGGACAGCACCCCCATGCTACAAAATTGCAGGTTTACAGCACGATTCGCTTACAGCAGGGGCCCAAAGAAAGCATATGGAAGTTCACAGCACATGTTTTGCACGCAAGATTCGCCTTTGGGAATGATTCAATATCAAGCCGACCAAGTGTTTTTATTAGCAACATATCTCCCCATCTTCCCATCTCCAATATCACAAGCCTATTCCGCGCATCACAAGCCAATGCTGTCACTGAGGGAGTGCAACGTGACAGACCATCCCGACAAGCTGTATTACGACTTAACACGATGACGTGGTAAATCGCAATACTGCTTGCCGGCGTGGACCATCACGTCTCACTCCGCTGCCGTTGCCAGCTGGCTGCAGCTGGCGACGGTGGATGGTGAGATTACCGAAGCATGCCGCGAATAATACAGCCCTATACGATCTGAAGAACGGGCAGATGGCATAGTGCTGCACTATTTACGGCATGTTTCGGTAATCAACACCCACCGTCGCCACCTACAGCCCACCAAACCCACCAAAAGCCAGGAAGTTGTATGTATTCCGAGTCGAAGGGGGAGGGCAGGGAAAAGATGATGAAGAAGAAGAAGACGAAGAAGATGATGATGATGATGAAGTTGAATGTGAAGCTGAATGTGAAGAAGGAGATGAAGATGAAGCTGAAGCTGAAGTTGAAGATGAGTATGAAGAGAGGAGTGAAGTGACAGTGACGCTGATGATGATGAAGGAGCAGAGAATCGGGCTGCCAACGAGGGGCAAAAGAGGAGACAAATAGCAAAAATCCCGCTCGTACGCCCCTCGTCGAGAGCTGCCTGGGCCCCGTGACCGTGTCGGAATCAAAGAATCACCGATTGGTGCACATGCGAGGATACCGGGCCGCATCTCCCCGCGCCGGGCTGGGCCGCGCCGCACCGAAGTCGAGTCGAGTCAAAGCTGACATGGACAGAGGCAGAAGCAGAAGTAGAAATAGAAACAAAGGCAGAAACAGAAGCAGATGAAACAGCAGAGCTCCAGAGGCTGGTCCGGCTGGGGCGTATTAGTGCCGTGCCCGTCGCTTGGTCGGGAACAAACAGCCGCCATCAGCCCCTGCTCCGGGACTTTGCGTTATCAGTAGTAGATGCGCCTAGATCATGACTCAATCAGATGCTCAGATCATTGTTTGTTTGCCCTCGTTGCAGCGCCGTGGTTTCATGCCTTGGCCGGTGAGCATGGAGATGGAAACCAGCACATACCCAAACCACAAATACGGGCAACAATAATAGGCTTTGCGGCGTCAAGAGGCCCCAGTGACCTTTTTAGGCCCGTCTCGCTCTCAACATGAATGCCGTACAAAAGTATAACATGGTTTAGCTTCTACATTCTTCTGTTTTTCTTTTCTTTTCGTTCTTTTCTTCTTCTTCTTCTTCTTCTTCTAAATGAGTCAATAGCAGTCAATATCAGGCAGTCTATTCAAAACACAAACTTGGTGGGAAACAACAACCCAGCTGCTCATCCGCCTCGATCGCATCTTCATCGCCAGCTTCACCATCATGGAGCAAATCGAACCCTCCTCACCACTTCGCCTCTCCGAATATTGGATGCTGGCAATCGTCATCCACATCAACCTCGCCTGGTTGATATGTACCACCATCGTGTCCATCGCGCACGCGACTGAAGCCTCCTGGTTCCCGACAATTCCACTAGACGGTGACGGCAGCGGCTTTGCCCTCTTTTGGTCGGCCTCTAAAATCGTATTCCGGCTGTGGCTCCGTCTCTTTTTTCTGCTCATTTCCTTGGAGCTCATCGGCATGTTGGCCTGGAGCGTTGTCTGCCTGAGGTCCTTGTGGTACCGCGGGGTCCTAAACTTCCCTTTGCCATTGATATTTCAAATCTGCTCCGCCATGAGATTTGGTTTTATGTGGATTTTACGCATTTGCTATAGATAGGGATGGATGGAAGAGACCATGCCCCCCCTTTTCTGGGAATGGTGGTTGTTGGAGTGGTGATTTGGCTTTCTCCTCTACCTGTTTGCTATGTTGAGTCTTGCACTAGAGCATAAAGTCATGATGGAGGCGCGTATACCAAAGTCTGCATTGTGGACTTGTTGGTGCGGTTCTAGCTTTGTAAAGTGGGTTATAGATGGAGTGTAGCGGTTATATAAACGAATACACTATTATATTGAGTTTTGCGCTGGCTCAATGCTCTCTGCATCAATGCTCAAATGGCCGCGTAATGCAAACTTTACATATACTTCTAAGTCTTGTTTAGTCCAAATATACTTCCATTTCATTAACATGTTCATCTGTTTTGCCCATGCGGTTTGCATGCTACCTACATATGCATAACTGCTTTCGCCCCTTGTAATGCTCCAAAGACAGACACCACTTACATGCCTCTAACCCTACCATTCAAACATCTAAAGGAGAAAACACGCAGAAACAGATCCAACGATCCAGCGCACCTCATCTCTAACATCCATATACAAACACATTTGTGTCAACGGATTCCAATATGCCGTCTCAAAGAGACATCGCCAACCATGTCGCGGATCCAGTATTGCACATTTGCTCCGTCCTCGCCTTCTACCACCTCCACCTGGCCTTCATTATCAGCTACATCTTCTACGCCGCCAAAGCCGTCGTCCTCATCGCCGATCATGGCTACTACTCCAGTTACCACGACTTCAGCATCATCGAGGTTTGGGCATTCATCAAGCGCCTTGTAGGAACGTGGCTCTTGCTCTTCCACATTTCCTTCTTCACCGAAGTCGTTGCCTTTATGATCTGGGCTTATCCGTTTGTGCTTGGCTGGCGCCGCGAGGATCCTGATGAGATTGAGTATCTCCCGCTGGTGGTGCGGATGAACATGGCGACAAGTGGATGGATGGGGAGGAGGCTGAGGTGGCACATGGATGACTACTGGGGTGAATTCGCAGAGCCCTATTATTAGGTTGAATCAATAAGTGCATATGTGTCTGTCTGCCAGCGATAAGTCGTTGAGAACGCGTTGGGGTATCACGTGAAGATATATATATATATGTGTGTGTGTATGTATGTGTATATGTCAAATTGGGCACGGTACATGTCATGATACAACAAAAACTATGTCTTCATTAGTTGAGAAAGCTCGCTTCGCTTTGCAAAACTGCCATCAACAGCCTCAATAGAGGCATGAATGCGGCCACGCCACATAGCCTTAAATACAAGAATCAAAAATTTTAACCCCCAACTTTCCGTTCAACAGTGAACCAACTCGGCGATTGCCGCTCTCGTTCATTTCCCATCTCTCTCTCAGGTAATGCTGTGTCTATATGGGTATGATTGGGGTTGAATGCCATCGCCCTGGGCGTGGAGGGGTTGAATGTCGATCGGATACGCAGGGGCTGCCTCTCGGAAGAAAGGTCCATTTGAGCCACGCTTTCCAGCGGCACAGGCTTCTTGTCGTTTGCTTGCTCCTTTGTGCCGGAATACCCTCTGCCAGCAGTTGCGGCAGTCTCCTGATTCAACGACCCTGCGGTTTCTTCCATCTTATTTCCTTCGGCCTTCCCCGCGTCCTTCTTTCCTGAACGTACACCACGATCCGATCCCGCTTTGCCTTCCGTTGCAACTTCGCTAGCACGCCGTATTTGGCCAGTTGGGTCAGAGGCTCGTTTGGAGGCGTCGTGGGAAGAAGCAGAGTGCCGGCCATGGATGGGGCAACTAGGACAGCTGATGACTTCAACCCTCTCAAATTCCAACTCATCCGGAACGCTGTGGGCGTGTACATGCTCAGCATGAGACGGCCCGCCATTAGACTGAGACGGATTCCGTGTGTCTTTCTTTTGGCTAGGGTGGCGCTTCGCAACTCGTGTGTGCAGTATGCCATTCATGATTGAGTCAGCAGAGGTGGCCCTCTCAGTCGCTACATCTTCTGCCGCTGCATTTGTAGAAGTGTCTCGGCGCTTAGGCTGGCGGCCCCTGCTTATAGAACGACTAGATTTATCTTGTGCGTCCGGAGGAGAAACTGGCACCTGCGGTGTGCCACTAATAGATGCGTGCTGGTGATTGGTGTCATTATTCAATCCATCTAATCTGGGACTACCGTGATCAGGCCGTTGCTGCAAGCGTGCGTTCTGAGCGGATATTTGGGCAGTAGGTCGGCGGTAATAGTCAATGGCCACAGGTGTCGGAATGTTTGCTCGAGCCTCTTTTGCTCTCTCTCGCTTCCTTCGTCTCGGTCGCTGCAAGTGTTTTCCATTCCAATTTTCTCTTAATACTTTTAGTAGTTAGAAATTTGGTATCGAGTAACTGATTTTTAAACAAAAACTCTTGGTAGCAAATAATGTAACTTGAACTTGTTCAGAACTTCAAATTATTTTCTACACGAAGGTAGGGTAATAAACACATTTACATAAATTCATTGGCAAATTTGCGAGCGTCGTGAATTCACCAAGAGCAGCGAATAATGGTGCTAGGGATTATTTATAGTCTGAAATGTAAATACATGCGTGAACAGACAACCATGAAGGGCAGGATATCTGCCATGAGCAATAGAAAAAAATTGGAAATAGCTTAGATGCATTTGTAGCATTTTTTTTTTTTTTTTTTTTTTTTTTGGAAAGGGGGGGGGGGGCGGATATTATAACTAAGAAAAAATGATTGAAAGAACTGCGATTATAGTAGCCGTACAAATGTTAAAAAAAGTAAAGAGAAGAAGGAAAAAAAAAAAAAAGAGGGGGGGAGGGTTGAAAGAAAAAAGTACAGAAGATATAGAGATATGAAACTAGTGCAGACTGAAAGGGTTGCAGTATGCAAATAAAAAGAGCAGTGTTAAGAGCATATGACAAGTCAGATCAACTGATTCGCACATATTTTAATGTGCTTCTTCTTTGTCTTCTCCCTCACTCTTCATGCTAGACTTAGGCGACTTGCCGTATAACTCCTGTTGAGATTCATTCCGTCCATTATCAATGATCTGGGACGACACGCGGAGACGGGTAGGTGTCTCTGATGGAGCGGCTGGATAATGCTGTATCATCGGATACATTGTATACATGTCAGAGTATGGTGCAGGAGAATAGTAAGTATGTCCAAAGGAATTGTATAAAGCAGCACCACCCTGAGCCGTCATGTGGTTTGCCATGAATGGCTGGATTGGATGAAACCCATAAGGAGAATAGGGATAAGGCGGAATAATGGGATAAAAGCAAGACGTCGTTGGTCCAGCACCCTGCTCACAAGGGGTTCTGGCACCAGGTTTCAATGGAGACCTGGTGGGAATTTCTGTACTCTTCTTGTTTTTAGCCTCCTCATTGATTGAGTGATTATCCTCGCGCTCATAAGAATGCTTGTTTTCTCTGCCTTGATTGTTGACGGCAGCATGTTGTTCTGACTTCTTTGGAGTGTGTACCATTGTGGAGCCGATTTGTAATTCTTCTCTCATATCTTTATGAATGGTATCGGGAATAAAATTGTGTCTTTCCATCGTGCCATCTTTCATGTTGTTGTCTCTCACTACTCCGTCAAACTTGATATCTTTTCCGTGACCAGAAACCGATGGCTGACGAGCAAAGCCACGAGAGGAGGACGTCGCCGGAAACACAGCTAGCGTCGCTGAGATTTCCTCACTGGTAGTTACGCTTGTAGCGGTGGAATGTAAACATTCCTTAGTGCTTGTTAAAAGAACTTGATGAGCTTCACTGCTCATTGCATTAAGGGGCGTCGCGACATTTTGTTGTTGCTCAGCTGTAGATGAGGCAGGAAGGTTTGCTGAAAGTGGTGAAACAGGTGGATTGAACACATCAGCATTCAAGATTCGGTTGGTATTGCTGCTGCGATTGTCGATTCTACCACCATGCCAAGTGGATGACATGCTAGCGGAGTATCCTCGCTGAGGATTATTAACAGCATAAGAGAATCCGTTGAATGTCCGAGTACGTTTCCTCTCAACCTTGACAACGTGCCCATTAATCGGTTTTCGGTGCTAGTCCATGATGTCAGTAAAATTTTTGTTTATCTTTGTAACTGAACTGCATAGATTTAACCCACGTAGCTCATAATAGCGTTGTCGACTGAATCGGGACGTGTAAACTCTACAAAACCAAAGCATGTTGTGATGACTGGATATCAACAACGGTTAAATCATGCTCATAGGAGGGGAGTGATGATGTCTGCTCACTTTTTCCTCCTGCTTGAGGAACTTCTTTCGTCGCTGTTTCAGCAGCAAGCACTTTACCACATGAGCTGGCGAGCGACTTCAAACCATCTGAAGTCATAGTCAAGGGTAGGTTGCCAAAATATGCTGAGCGGCGGTCTTTCTCATACTGAGCATAGTTTTGCTGATCGTCTCTTTTGTTCTGTTGACGAGTTCCAGTTTTGGGGTCGTACGCATCGACGCCAAAGATGGGGTGTCCTTCAAAAGTCTATGAAGTGGTTAATTGGCACGGTTCTCTCCGGCTTTCGACAAGTAAGAAAAAGAAGCTAGAAAGAATTTGGGGTATCATATACCTTGACTACTGATCTCAAGGAATCATAGCGCTTGTAATGGACTACCATGGCAGACGGAAACTTCTCCGTCTTCTGTTCGCGGGAGTCCAGAGGATACACCTTGGCTATTGTTCCCAATGTACTGAGTAGATCAAAAGCTTCTTGTCTGCCGATCTCTTCTCCAGAGAGTTTGTAAACAATAAAACAGGCTATGAATGATTGTGATTAGTTTGGCATACTTTAATGCCCGTAGAAAGAAAAAAAAAAAAAAAGGAAACTCACAGTGAGCTGTGGCCTTTTCAACACGACATGGGCGGCCCAGAATCATTGCTCCGCTTCCATATTTTTCAGCATTCTCAGCATCAGCATCGCTCTGGGATCTAGTCAGCAGATTTGCCCTCTCATATTTGTTCTTGGACTCTTCATCGATGGGCGCGGCCTACTGTGAATTGGCAAAAAGCAAAGGGCATCTGGCGGCCATCCCGTCGAATCTTGACGAAGACTGTTCCGAATTGCGAGAAATACTTTGTGACTTCGACTTCCAACCTTCCATCGTCAAAAGTTTGGCTAAGACTAGAGTACATTCGCGGTTAATGGATGCAAAGCGTTGGACTTTTAAAATCCTCCTGGTAAAGAACTTACTTGGCGACAAATACGCAGGCCGAAGATGGATAGATATTCTGTGCATCGGTTTGAAGCGGCTCACGGGGAATCAGAGCCCAGTTGGTGTCCTTGCGTGAGGCCTGTCTGCCGCTCTCAATCGGCGTCTCCTCAATACTGTCTCCAGTCTCTTTTGTAGTAGTATCTCCGCATCCTAACTCAGACGCCGGCCGATCAGTAAAAACGTCGTCTCCGCTGGCGTCGCCAATCTGGAATGCGAGTGAGCTGGATAAAATATGTTTAGTGAAGAGGACAGTAAGATGATGGACATGGAGATAAAATATACACGTACCTTTCACATTCAAGGTATCTCTTTGTTTGCAAAGCCAAGTTGTTAGACGAAGCAGGTCGCCTGGGGCTTGGAATTGTCAACTACCCGCAAAATAACTTCTTGTATGGAACTGGCTTACGCATTATTGTCCCGGCTCGACAAGGCACCTGTGCCTAGGTATGTGAAATTAGTAATCTCAAGCAGAGCAAAGAGCAGGCTTTGAGTTTTGCCCACCTTCAGCTGCAATCTCTTCGTTCGAAGACATTTGGCGAAGGACATCAAAAGACGAAGCTTTCATCAGCGTCTTCTTCGGGTAGCGGAGCGAGGAATAGGCAGGCATCGTTGCTTTATACTTGAGAAAAGTAGCCTTGCTAAGCCGAATTATTATCAGTGCTAGGCAATAGAAACGAATGTGGAACGAGTAAGAGAGATAACGGAAGAGAAGAGAGAGTGAGAGTGAACAGAGAGTGGGAGTAGAGAGAGAGAGTGGGAGTAGAGAGAGAGTGGGAGAAAAGGATATGAAGGAGAAATGAGAGTCAGCAAGTATGACTTACTTGCGTTGAACAAAAGAGAGATCGATGAGCACGTTGTCATCCGAAAGGCGTTGAGAGGCTGCTTCTTTTCTCACAGGAGTAACGAGGTTGGGAACGGATAATTGGAAAATTGAGGAATTTTGGAGAAAAAAACAAAAAGAAGAAGAAAAATAGATCAAGTTAATTCTTAGCTTTGGAAATCAACCCAGGCATGGCAGTGCCAGCAGCTGGCAGGGGAGGCTGGCTCAGGGGAGAAAATCATATAGGCGGCTGGCAGCAGCTGTGGTGGTGACATGTATATGTGCAAGCAGTGAATACCAAGTTGGAATAAAGCAATCTCCAACTGCAGAGCAATGAATGGACGATCAATACCAGAAACAGCTCGTTTGCTTCCTGTCGGCAAAGCTTGAGCCCGCCCATATTTATAGCACTATACACAAATCCCGCCCTCGCATTGCAGATCTATAGTATACATTGTCCTCTTTCCAGTTGCCTCATACTATACAATTTAATTTTCTCCTTCCCATCCCATACCAACCAAGGTTAACATCGTTACACATAAAACGCCAGCAGCACCTGATAGCCCCATTGTCAATGCAGGCCCCCTTTCACATAGCGAGTGGCACACAGCCTACTTAGACGCTGGCTTCCATCCGGCACGCCTGGCCTGCTCTTTATCGATGGCATCTTTCTCTTCTAGATACGCCTCCAAGGTCGTAGGGGCTGTCGTGCCCCACACCCTCCAAGAGTCCGGCTCAAAGGTCACGGCGCTGACCTGCCTTGAGAGCACCACGTATTCCACCTTGTCTTGGATCTTGACACTACCGGGAACGGTTTCTCCCGTCGATGCGTCATATCGGGATACTTGTTGCGTGGACGAAATGGCGACAACTGCTTGTTCGGTCATGAGATTCTTGTCGTACATGTTGATTTGGTGGATCTGATGGGCTATCCGCTTGGGATAGAAGAGTGGGCTATTGTATTTGGTCACTTCGAAGTGAACCCGCTCTCTAGGATTCCGACGGTCGATTGCGGCCATGAGCTTCTTTGCAAAATCACTGACGCAGATCCTCTCCAGCGTTGCTTTATCGCCCGCGGCAAAAGCCTCCAGAACTTCCTGGTATAGAGCCTTGGCAGTGGGCGCAATCTTGCCACGGCGAGCCTTCCAAAGTGGCCGGGTAGTCCAATTGGGCATAGACTTTAGCTTAAAGTTGAGCAGGGAGACGGTTTCGATAACCCAGTGTCTTAATCTGTTCCATTGATACTGCGCAAAGTCGGCGGGGTTTAGTGGAAGGCGAGATAGCGGCAGCGAGACGAATGTGCCTAATGGTCAAGATATACATGTTAGCCAAAGCTCATTATTGATTCTGCTCTTGGCTACTAAATACCGCCGCCAGCGGAGAACTAAATTGTGAGGCGTCTCCTCTACAGAGGAGCAGAAGGGAGACAAAGAAGAGTCTGAATGTATATGCGAACCTGGAAATAGTGGCCCCCCTCCATCTTTGAAGTATTCTGCGTTCGCCATTTTTTGCAGCTGTGAGATGCTCTGCTCTTTGGTCATTCTGCTAGAGCCTGCACGAGCTGCACGATCCATTTCCCTCATCGTCTTACTCCTCGAGGGCTGCGTCGCATATTGTCGGAATATCTGTGCAGCCAGTGGCCTCGCGGCGCATCTTAGCGAGGAGTTTGCGGTGCCATACGGCAACATTGGCGCCGCAATCGGACGCAATGAAGCAGCGCGAGACATTGTGATGCCCCAAATTTGTGACTGAGGAGAAGGCTAGGCTCCTCTTCTTCCTGGCTTCCCAAAGAATTATGGCTCAAGAATGGACAAGCACGCCGTCACTGGCCCACCACAACGCAGCCTCCTAAGAAAGCTGTGTTGAGTTGAACTTTCTGCGCCAGATCGAAAGTTGGCGGATTATTGATCCTCCGAAAGCCGGGGTGCCCTGTGTGAGATGTTAAAAGGCCGCCGCCACATGCTCTTCCCGCCGTTTTTCTTGTTCACACAGGGCTCGAGTATGTGCGAATCTCATGCCACCTTCTTCCCGCTTTTGATAACTCCCAGCGCCAAAGCCTGAGCATCGTCATTATCTCTGGGAATCGATGCGGAGCTGGAGACATTGAGCTGTCTTGTTTCTGCATGATCCGCAACAGAGATTTTCCCATGTCACTAAGCTCTAGTTGAGCCGATTGGCTCGTCCGCTAATACTCTACCGGCCTTGAGAAATTGTGTCCGCGCCTTTCGCTTTCCTCTGCTTGCAATCAATGATGAGAGTCACACAGTCATTTCTCGCCAAGAGCTTCCTGGCGCGGAGCTTGGACGAGCTCAAGAGACGCTCCAGCATAGGTAATTGACAGAATTCTCATGTCCCCAGATCCGCCATCTGTGCGCTTCGTTAACACTTGAATCACCAGCATGGAATTTAGACGCCGTCAAGGGCCCCTCAGGCCCCCGCGAACTTTACGACTTCTATAGCACCGATTCCGTAAACAATTGTATCCTTATGTCCGACGCGTTGATTGGCGGAACATCTTCAAGCCAGCTCGACTTTATCTCTACTTCATCCTCGCAATCCGTAAAGACTTCGACCTCGCCTACCTCATATGCACGCTTCCACGGGTGCATCTCGACATCACTCCCTTCAGATCGCTTGGCAATCCAGCGAACAGGTTACGCTGCGTTCCGAACACCAGACCAACCCCCCACAGTTTTTGGTCGCTCTGTTTGGGATATTGATCCTTACACATATCTCGCCATGCGAGTCAAGTCTGATGGCCGAGCATACTACGTCAATGTACAAACAGAGAGTGTCGAGCCAACAGATCTACACCAACACAGGCTATTTGCAAAACGGCCTGGGCAATGGGAGACTATTCTAATCCGATGGAATGACTTTGTGCGCACAAACCATGGCTTTGTCGTGGAACCACAAACAGAGATCCTCAGGCAAAAGGTTCACAGCGTGGGTATTGGACTGACGGATCGCGTCGAAGGGCCTTTTGAGCTCTGCATTGAGAGAGTATGGGCGACAAATGGAGTGGAAGAGAGAGGAAAAGAACCAGAAAACCAGGAAGGAGAACTCAAGAATAAGAAGGGTGAGAAGATCCAGTGGTGAGAGCGAGCTGGGAAATGGTGAATTTTCAACATGCTTGGTTGTTTTAATTCAGCAGATATCCTTGGTAATACATGAGTCATCATTTCTCGTCTCTACTTGAAGTAGCTTCAAATGTCATCCGTGTGTATTGCATGTCCGGAATTTGTTGGGTATCATTATTCTCGAATCAAAACCTAGCACAAGGCTTGCTGCCGGTATCTCCAAGCTACGCCTATGAACCATTCCCCTTTGTCTCTGTTTTTTTCCTTAAGTAAAGTACAAGTTTGTAAATCTGGTATAAAGCAAATGCGACCGTTATGTTCTCTCGATTAGAAATGTTGCAGAATACAGGCTCCGAGCGTCAATATCATTAGAATAACCCGCTTAGAAAGTGTAAAAGAAATCATCATGGGGGTTATATTGAATATTGGAGGGCAGAGTAGTAGCTATTTGCAGTTAGCAAGATATCTAATGATCAGATTCATGAATACACATACCCCTATTACCTTCATTCTCGTTGTAGCCAAGCATTTTATCAATGTCCCAGGGATTATCGACATCAAGTGCATCGTCTTCGTTAATGGGGAAATATCCCATCTGTGGGATATCTGACTGATATTGCTGTGAAGTGATGGATGAGTAATTATAGAGTTGTCGCGGGTCGGGGTAGGTGAATTGCAGTGGTAAATGGGTTACTGAGTCGAGATCATCGGCCAGATGAGACTTCACTCCAAGCGCAGATACTTGTTTTTCTTCATACTGGGGACCCAGTAGTTCTCTAGCTGCTTGAAAAGGATCTGCTTCTATGACCTTCATGAAAGCCGCCTTTTCCTTTGTAGAAAGAACAGGTAAAGCATTTGATGCTGTTGCCATTATGCCATTGCTATTGGCGCTCATCCTCTCCAGGAGATTGACACTGTCATCAGGAAGATATCCGACATTTATTATCGCCGAAAGAAGGTCATTTTCTGTGTTGGGATAGTCATCAGGTTGGAGGGCGGCCTGGGAAATGTCCATAGCACATTCATTTTGGATGAGCTTCGGAGATCCAGCCTCGTCTTCAACTGACCATCCAAACGTAGAAAGGTACACAGAAGGCTCGGTGATTCTCATTATGGGGCATGCAACATTGAGAAAATATGAGAGAGAAACTTTGTCTCTGCCGATTTGATCCCTCACAAAAGAATAAACTTTAGCAACTAAAGCCCATTTGTTTCTGTGAGAGTCTTTATTCCAAAGAGTGGTGAGAAACCCGGACGCAGTCTTTTGCTGTACTTCTGGGAATATTCTTAAATAATAACCTGTTTGAGTCAAAGTTAGACAAGTTTCGCTAAAGAAGAGCTTTTGGTGTTGCATACTTCGAAAGGCCATGAATGCATTGAGAGGGCGTTTGGCTTTATCAGCGGAAGGTTGCCTTGACTGGTCTGCAAATGTAGATATTGTTGTATCTACAGAAGGAGATTGTTGGACTTGGTTTTGATTTGAATTCATTCCAATAGATGCGAAATATCTCTCCGCGATTTCCAAGAGTGTGTCGTCTCGAAGGAAACGCAGTAACTCCTCTGTTCGGAGAACTAACAAGTGTTTCTCCATTTCTTCTCTCGACATCATTTTGATGTATTGACTGGATCAATAAAGTATGTGAAGTCTTTGATGTCCGAAGTTCTTCTTGGGGAGTGATTTCAGTCTAAGATCCGAAGGAGAATGATAGGGTTTATAGGAGAGGGAGCTGAATGAGAGAAGAGGTAGTGCAATTATGATAGACGTACGGGTCTTGAAAGTAACCAACTACTCCGTAGCGGGTGTTGACATTTCTTGGCTAACAACAATATAGAAAGGTGGGCAGGGAAAATGTAAGCTAGCAAACAAGGAGGGGGGGGGCGTGTGTTTGGTGGCGCAGTGGAGTCAGCTTTAATTCACTCCCAGCTGAGGCTGAGATCAACTACTAGCACTAGCCCAGAGGCCCACCTAATTCATAAAACAAAATGATCGTTACCGGCTCATAATCGCGGGGAGAAGTTGCTATCTAACAGTACTCTGTTGGAGAGGCAACTAGTTATGGTTGTCTTGCAGATTTTTATTTTACTACATGCCTATCTTGGAGTATTAAATGCAGTGATTTGAGACTCGATCCGGAGACTCGAGGAGTTCAAAGTATGAACGGAAAAGTCATCATTAGGAGGTTCTGCTCAATTTCATCCGGATCTTCTTCAAATCTCAGGGCCCTAATTGCTGTTGTCAAGAAAGGAAGGGTCAAATTTCCACAGGAGTCGGCAATAGGCTTCTTGACCTGCGAATAAAGTTGTCATTAGATCTGCGCAATTTGGTGGTATTGATGGAATCTTTTATTTACCATTGGCAAATTATAGAGATATTCTTGGATTAAACTCTCTACTGAATTGGCTGTCTAAAATTGTGTCAGATTTTGGTTCAACTTGTTGGAGTTTCTACTAGCACCTACCTCTGGAGAAGGGTTGAAATACGGATATTCGCCGCCAGTTTGTGACGATAGGTCATGAAACTGCTTTTTATTCTCTTCGTCGTTCAATCGAGATCGTGGCCGACTTGCCTAATTATACAATGGTAAACAAGGCAAAATATTTCTGTAAAATATGTAAACATACCTGATCGAACTTTACTCGAAGGGTAGAGTAATATTCTCCAAACACGGAAGTTAATAGTGTTGCAGAACTAGGAAGTCTGAAAATGATCTGGACGTCTTGGAGATTTCTGTATGGCGATTTTGAGAAAATTGGACGACAAATATTTTTAATCCATTTATTCCAGGAAGAACCAGGAACTTTCCGACTGGGATGCCAGAAAGAAGCCCTGCCCCAGCCACCTCGCCCTACTTTGCTGAGAAGATCCTTTCCATTCTTAGAAAGCCTGATTTCGTCAATATGAGCGCCAAAATCTATACCAGGGGAGTGATCTCCAGTATCTACAGTTTGTTGAGCTAGTCGCCATGCCGATCTAAGAAAGGCTCGAATTCCTTCGTTATTAGGACATGCAGAGAGCGCAAAATCCCAAGATTCGTTAGTAGGCATACGAGAAGAGATCATGTAGGCCGCAAAAATAATCGTTGTAGCTGCGCAGGAAACAATTGATGCAACTTGTAGTTTGGGATCTTTGGGCGGCAGCCAAGTTTCCGTTGTCAAAAGCATAGCCATCAAGCCCAGATTACCCACATAGTGGCGCTCAGCAGCGTATTCCCTATTCCATGTAGCAATAATTGTTCCATCATCAGCTGTCGTAATTTCTTCTTCTGAAGACACGCCTTGGTGAATATCTCTTTCAAAGATAGACACAGAACTAGTGTACCAAAGAGCCATTGCTCCTTTAATGGCAATGATCGGCTCGTGCTTGGTTTGGACGGCAACGGTACGAAGTCTTGCGATAATCGGGTTATCACCCTTCCAGAAGCAAATAAGGTGATTGATGGCATCTAAGCATGTAACAATAACATCTAATTGTTTTTCGTATTAATACTGAATCCCAAAGTCCATTAAAAATACTTACAATCCAAACTGGGCGGCTGATGAACATCTGCTGAGTTGTTTTCACGAAGAAAATATTGCAGGGCCTTTATACGGATGTTTGTAATATGTTTTTGAGGTACCTCGGCCTCAAAGTCTTTCCATAAAGGCTCGAAACTGCATATATTCTCCATGGTGGATGAAACTTTGGAAAGGTTTGGGTTTAGGTAGTGGCAAAGTAATGGGGGTTGTGATACCTGTACCTAGTAAGATGCGCTGTTCAGTCAGTGGGTGGTCATGCACTGAAATGGGAAGTCGCCAAATTTTTAAAAGTGAGAGGTAAGTGAAACGCGAAGAGAGAGGCAAAAAAAAAAAAAGCACCTCTTCACTAAGGCCTATGAAATTTCCAAAACAATTTTCTCCGCAACAACGCCGGAAATTTTATGAGCAGTTTCATACTTCGATCAATTTTACCACTTTCCATCCAGCTTCGTTTACAAAATGCAGCCAAACTATCTAGATGGCCAAGTTGCAAATACTCTTCCAGATGTGCCTATCACATTTGTGAGATGCGAAGCTCAGCAAAATGTACATGTATTCGTCCCAGAAGCTTTCGATCTAAATTTGGTAACGACTGTCGCAGAAAACTTCAGGTAATACTCTTGATTTTCTTAAGGAAGGCCTAACACTCAGGTTGAATAGTCGCAAAGTCCAACAACCTGTTCGCGTATACCACGATGAGATTCTTCGGAAGTTTCGACTATGTCCATTCCCCGAAGGGTCCACTGGTAACACTGCCACCTACGGGATATTCCAATTCCTCTGCAGTAGGTGTGATTTTATAAAACAGACGATTGAAGCAGTTTTGCTAATTACTTGCCGCGTACTAGATAAAACAGAACCAAAGATCACGGCTGGGACTGTCCCGCGTGATAACGGACGCGAACCAAATCGCATCCCGCGTCCACGAAATAGCTGGATCTTATATCGCCAATACTTCTCAGGGGAATTTATAAAATCATATCCAGGAATTACCGCGTCGGAGCTCTGTAAGTGTGGCTTCCAATTCAAAAATCAACAGCGACTAACATTTGCATAAATACAGCGACTCTTATTGCTGCAAAGTGGAAGAATGAACCAGCCCATGAGAAAAATTATTGGCTCTGCCTAGCAGAGCAAGAGGAACGCAATCATAAACAGAAATATCCGGGCTATAAATTCAGAGTGAGGAAGCCTCAGGTGAAGAGAAAAAGGCAACAGCACGGAGCAGCCGCCACAGGCGTTGAGACGAGTTAGACGCCAGCGGTAAATTTCCATGATTATCCCAGCTTTTGTTCTATATGTTCCATAGCATATACTCGCAATTTTCACTCCCCCCACCGTCTCCTTTTTTTTTTTTTTTTTTTTTTTTGTGAAGAAAAAAAAGGGGGGTAGGGAAATGAAAATGCAGTAAGTTCGATCTGTAATAGGTATAATAACACCTACACGATTCGATGAATGTACAATTTTTAAGTGCCCAGCCATAGGTGCCGTTACTATCACTACTGCTACTCTACTACTACTACAAGATCCGCTGTCTTCTTTAGTTTAGAAATCGTAAGAAAGCAGTAGTCCAAGCTATGAATGGCGTTCTGTTACAATGGTGATCCGTTCCAATCACTACTCCAAATGAAAGTACCGCATCGCCACTCAGAACCTTTTTCTTTTTCGCCAGAGGGGCCTAGTGGTCGAGCACAGATATAGAATGACCTTCCTATAGCAATGTCAGCCAGCTAGCACTCACTACTAGCTTGTTTGCACACGTGGGATCAGAGCTGCTGTGATTTATGCTGTTGGTGCGCGCACAAAGTAAGAAAAGCGGATCGGTGGTGTGTCCTTATTACAAGCCAGGAGTAGGCTAACAGCCAACAGCATCTACTACTAGATGCAACATAGAGAAATGGTGGGGCAAACACGCTGGAGGCAACAGGAATAAGACGGGGGTTCTTCAATGGAGAAAAGAAAAGGTCAACACACCACAATTGACGCCTTGTTTCTTCGTGACGAGACTGATACAGGGCTCATTGTGCTCGCATCGGGGAAGCATCCGCTTTCCAAGCAGTTTTGACCAGGATTCTTTTGCCTGAATCGGATCAAATGTCTTGTCAGTTTCAATCAGGTGGGCGGGGGCTGCATGAGCTTGCTTCATTGAAAGCAATGCATTCGGCGAGTCACTTGGCGAACTACTGCATGTATTTGTTTCCGCTAATGGATATGCAGCTGGCGGAGCTAGCAGAGCTTGGTGTGACGAAGATGAGTGTGACGAGGACGGGCCCTCGTTGGATTGCGTCGTTGTTTGCTCTCTGCAGGAGAGCAAGGCGTTAGCGTTGGTGCTTATGTTGGCACCTGCGTCGCTAGCTCTTCTCCCTGACACCCGACCAGTGGCTGAGGGTTTAAAGAATCCCCTTAAAGTTTTTTGGCCTTTTATGATGGTGCCAGAGTTTTTAATGTTCTTTCTTCCCACGACGCCCGGGTTAGTGTTAACACTATTACGGTCGAATACTTTATTTCTTTTTGGAGATGGTGGGCAAGTATGATCGACAGACCCCGCAGCACGTTTTCCGAACGATGGCGCTTTTAGTCCCAACCCAGTTGGCGATTTCGATTCTGCGGAGAGACTAGCGTCGCTCATTCCGGGCCTATAATTAGTATTGACTTGTTTCTCGTTATCCTGATCTAAGCGCGGCACGCCGTCCATTGGCTCGTCTCCGGATGTGGATTCTTTGGCACTTTCTAGCGCCAGTGACGAAGGAACGCTTGACAGTTTGGCACCAGTGCTCTTCGTGAACATATCTCGGATATTTTGTCGGCGGTCGAACTCGGGGATCAATTTGGCCGATAAGGGCAAAACATCCTTCGTATTCCATTCCCGGAGGCGTTGACCGTTTCTGGCCACCATGCCGGTTGGATTCATAACGGCCAACAGTGGCACCCGCTCCGCGTCAGCCGTCACGAAATCAGCTACCATGGCAAACACCGGGCAGTGATCAGATCCCATTAAGCCCTCCTGAATGTCGGCTTCTGTAAACCAGTCTTTCAGCCCATTGCTGCATAGTATGTAGTCGATACGGCTACCGTTGTTGGCCGGTCGTGTGTTCCGTTTAGTGTCCCAGCATGTATTCATACCCTCGCGTGTGGGGTGGAATTCTCTGCATAGATCCCAAAGCACAGGCTGCTCCCGTCCTTCATCGCGATCTCCTTGCACCGTGCCTCCATAGATTAGGTGATTGAAGAGACGCCGCGAAGGTGCATTCATCCACTCCTCGATGCTCAGGCCCTCTTTCCGTAGGGTTTCGACAACGTTGGTTGAATCAGACTCGGAACGGCTCACATTGAGGTCCCCCACCAAAACTACTTGCTTGCCCTCTGAAATCAGATTTCGTACCCTAGCGTCAAGAGCCTGAAGAAATTCCATGCGAAATTCTACTCTTGACTCGTCACGATTGGCTGGGCTATAAACGCCTAGCAGTACGAATGCTGGAAATTCAATGATAACGCATCTTCCTTCGGAGTCCAACAGTAGTTCATCGATGTTTCCCGAGAGTTGCTCAGGTCTTGGATAGCCCCCAATTTGTTGATCTTTGGGCAGATTGCGAAACTGCGTTGACGACCTAGGCGGGCAGAGCACTCCTAAGATTCCTTCTTCAGCTCTGATGGGCGCACAAGTCGCATTTCGCGTGTAAATAGCAACACCAGAGTATCCTTAGCATGTTAGATCCGTTACTAGGCGGTAAAGCCATGGAACATTGAAGAGGTACCTTTCTTATGCTTAGGCAGGCTGAAATATACATCCCAACCGGGAACAAGAACCATATCATCAGTCAGGTCTTTTCGCTGTATCTTGGTCTCTTGCATAACGACAATATCGGCTTCGAGAATATCGAACATTGCCTAAACGAAGAGCGGGGAGTTGTTAGCAATGTGATCAGACTCATCCTGAGGTTCCCAGCCACCAACCTGGAAAGTGCGCTTCTCTCTCCATGGCTGATATCCAAATGGATTTCTAAAGCATCGTAAGATCGCAAGATATGCCAGATGGTCCATTCGCTCAAGAATAGGGAAACAAACCTAATGCCGTTTACTTTAGACTTCGTTAATAATTGCCATTCGCACGGGGCTCATAGGATAACATACCATTCCATGTCGTTATACGAAACCCCATCGTTTCTTTAAGAAATTCCCAATGCCGAATCTATAACAACCGAATAACGCTTCCTTTGCGTATTGCAGCGCAAACATCCCGGTTTACGGGGCAGAGAGCAGATGGCGAGAGTGGATAGTCGCAGAATGTTGCTAGCAAAAGAGTTTGACGGGCGAATTATGCTTGCGGGCAGGGTGCTCGAAAACAGGCATAACTATAGAGAAATGAATCGCGCTTGGCTTCAGTTAGAGAAGTTCGCATGCATTTTTGTGACACTGCACCGCAAGATAGAGGATCAAAGAAAGGATGCCGCCCCTCTGTGCATCGCGAGAGCACGCACCGAGGAGCACGCACTGAGAGCACTCGCGACTACGTCACGAGGTCACGTGATTGCTCAAGCAGATCTTAGCCTGGAGATTGAGGCATCCATGGCCTGCTCTAGCCGAGCTCTAATTCGAATATGACCTGATCTCATAATCTGCACCACATAGACTACCCAAACATTGAAGACGAATCCGGATCGCTCACGATGTTTGCTGCCCGACAACTTACCCGCACCGCCCCGCGCTTCGCTGCGCATCTGCGCACTCCTATGCAGCGTCGTTTTGCCAGCACCGCCGAAAACGAGTTCATCAGTGAGCGCCAGCACATCAAGGAACATGCTCGGGGCACCACTGGTGAGTATTCATGTCTCAACTCCTCCAATTGCGCCTTGGTTCAGCTTCTAATCGTATATTTAGAGCTCTGGAAGAAGATTTCTATCTAGTACGTCCACTGCCGGTTCTCGATTTCGCGAATTCCTATGCCATTTTAGCGCCAGATGAGGGAGAAAGCAGCCGATTGCGCCGGATTTGTTTGGATAGGGTTATAGAAGGCTGACAAAATCAAAAGCGCCGTGATTCCTGCTCTTGCTATCTCTGGAGCCAATGCTTACTGGCTGTGGACTGAGCACTGGGAGCACTGGAGCCACCTTCCTCCTCTGCCAGAGCGCGCCGAGTATCCCTACCAGAACATCCGCACCAAGAACTTCCAGTGGGGCGATGGTGACAAGGTGAGTCGATATTCTGTCAGCTATTCAACGGATCGTATGCTAATAAGTATCATAGACTCTCTTGTAAGTTCTGCTGGCCTTTATCTCGATAGAGCATTCGCTTCCTATGTTCAACAATCCACCTTTACCCTCCAAGGAGCGAGAATTGTCTGCTAACCACTATCAAAAAGCTGGAACGAGAGCGTCAACTACCACAACCATGACAAGACCAAATAAAGTTGGGGAGTGGAAATGAGCTGGAATACTGGTTCCCGGAGGAATGCTACTGGTAGTTGTAGACTACTCCTTTGGAGCTTGAATCAACTATCCCATAGCTTGAATGGCGACAACTGTATCCCTTCAAGTTGAGCTTAGAATTTGCAATGTATATCATCCTTCTTAGTCCCTGCCTCGTGTATCTCTCTGGATATCTTTATGGTGCAGGAAGTCATAGAGGCCGCCTACGAGCATATTTTAAGCCACTCAAAACGGGCGAATTGAGACGTAAGGTTTTCATAGCATGATATCTGTTCTTCCATTTTAGCATACTATCAGCATCAATTGTTGTGGACCTACAAAATACTATTCCGCATATCCCAATTTCCATCCACCTCATGCCATATATTTCTGAGGAGCAGTAATGCGTGGGCACAATGTTCGCCGAAGAAATTCCGACAACGAAGGGATTCTGCCGCATTGAGTGGGTGCGCTGTCCAAATCTGGTAGCAGTGACAATAATACCCTAGATGCAGTTGAAGTTACCTAAGCCACTAAGCCATTGAAAACGTAGCGAGTAGTACCTGGCTGATTCAGTCGCGTTAGGTAGGTACGTGATATCACCAGATTCATATACTGTACCTACTACTAATAGGACTAAGGTACTAAGGTACTATAACTTCTAGATTAGTCCCTACCTAGTACCTATCTCTCAGCTATCAAGACCGCGGGAAAGATCTGACGTAGACAACTGCCTTGATCTATCCATCCTTGTGCTTCTTACCTACTTTCCAGCATCCACCCAAAGCCTCGTAAGCTAGGCAGCTGGCCAGCTGAAATATGGAGAAGCCTTGAGCTTTCCACACCGGAATCTGTATCGCTTGAGAGGCAGACAGTGCTCGTTGATTGCTGGCAGATTCTCGGCATTCGACGCCAGCTGGAGCTTTCTCAAGGTGAACATGGCGCGGTATCTTACGCCAGCCAAGATTGGCCTCCTCGTTCTGACCGAGCTATACGTGGAAGAGGCGATTCCTAGCGATGCAGTCGTGCCGGTCCTGTCCTTCATTGCATCTCATGCCATGGGCTACGATCCAAATGGGCCATCCACAAGCCAAGCGGCAAGATGGACAAAGGCGGAGCGTGCCGTTAGCCTAGTCGTCTCGATCAAGGACTTCGAGAAGCTGCTCAGCAGCTATCCATTTCTGATGGGCTTGCCTGGGAAGAGACTGTGGGATCAGTTCCTCAATAAGCTGTGGGGGATCGACTCGCTCCACGCTCTTGGAGAATTTTTCGAGCATCTCTCGTTGACACTATCCAAAACCAAAGAAGAGCTTCGCAAAGAAGGGCTGGATCCTGATGAGCCCGAACTAAGCGTCAAGCTCACTCACAACTCTCCTCTCGGCGCTTTTGTCCGCAGAGCCCGCCTCGAATACCAACGGTTGCGTTTTCATGACTGCGCCGAGCTGTGGAAAGACTTTGTCCGGTATCGACAGCCAACATCTCACTATCAGAAGCGGAAGAATCCAGAATTCGGCCGCTACAGTTTCGACCAGGTGCTGCAGCGTGGGGAACTTGAAGATTGGGATGTTGACAAAGTTGCGAGCCTGGCATCGGTGGCGTATGGCGATATGTTGACGGGGGACTGGACGGGAGGTCTCCCTGTCAGTATAGACGACGTTGAAAACCTACTCGACTTTCAGATTGAGCAGATGCAGAGTAAGTCATCTTTCGAGGAAGCTGTTTCACCAGCGCTACTATGAGGAGCACCAGCTGATAGTCAAATTCGAAAGAATACGGCAACAGGATACCGCTGGAGATTCGACACCAGTTTCACGACCTCCTTAATGACAGCTTCTTGATTCCTAGCCTAACGCATTATATCACGTAAGTACAAGTTTTACCTCTGCATCCTACAACTTGGTGCTGTACTGAAATTGGGGAAAGTTTTCTCGACGCTTGGAGAGCCGGGGATTATCCAACGGCATTCGATTTTCTGCATAGATACTTCGACTACACAATGCAGCATCGCGATCGCCTCTTTTACCAGTACGCTTTGATGAACTTGGCCGTTTTACAAGCCGACTTTGGCTGTTATAAAGAAGCTATAACAGCGATGCTTGAAACAGTGACCACAGCAAGGGAAAACAGAGATATGACCTGCCTTAATTTCTCCTTGAACTGGCTGTTTCATTTTGGACAAGCACACCCAGATCTCGTCCGTGATCTGCAGGCGGATAACCTCCTAGGTACAGGCAAAGAGACATTGGCCTTCCTCCGAGTGAAAGCTAGGGAAACCGGAATGTGGACTCTCTGGAGTTCTGTGCTCTTAAGCGAGGCCAAACTTTGTCTCATCAACGGCGACAGTGTAGCCACCGCGCTTGAATACATGGTACGAAGCTCGCAGATTATTGTGGACAAGAATATGAAGGGCATGTTTGGAGCACAACTCGGCTTATACTCGTCCCTCTGGAGCAGGCTTGGTCTTGGCCACCTCACCACTGTATCGTGTGAGATCTTCTTACGATGCCACGCATGCCATTCTATGTTTGATGATGAGCTCAAAATGATCAGTCGATTTTCTTTTACACTTTTAGACCAAGGGAAATATCGCGAGGCTTTGGAGATCTTAGACAAGGCAGATGAAAATTCACGACGATCGTGGAAGCCCAATCAGTACTGGTTCAAGTATAGGGGGATCATACAGCTCAAAAGAGATCTGCATCATAATAACTTGGATGGTGCAGAGCAGCTCTTGAGTCAGTTTCTCCAGTCCAAAGGTGATGACTTTGAGCCCGACCTCGCTTTAGTAATCGATACCGCCCACATAGATTACTTGACACGTCGTGGAGACCTATCGTCAGCCGCCGAGAAAGTCGATAAGATGATATCGGAACTTAGAGACGAGAATAGAGATGTCAATCTGCGAGTCAAGGCCCTTCTTATCAAGGCTTCACTCTTGGATAAATGCGGGCGACCCCAGCGTGCTTTTTCCATTGCCCTGCGTGCGGCAAACCTGTCTCTGCGGGCGCGGTTGATGTCTCTGCTCTGGGTTGCAATCGGCGCAATATCGAATATCTTAATCTCCATGAACGAATTCGAAGCCGCAGTGCAGCTGCTCACTGCCGTATTACCGCGGAGCCTAGAATGCGACTCTCCAACCGTCACGGCAAAACTATATTCATACTTTGCTGATGCCTATATGGGATTAGCCGGGCAATCTGAAAGTGATAGCATTGCTGGACAAGGAGAAGAAGCTCCAGAACAGGAACCGGAAACCAAAGAGACCGGGCCGCCCAAAACAGCCACTCAACGACGTGATGAATACCTAAAAAGGGCAGCAATGGCGGTCCAGAGTGCTTTTGATGAGTATTCTAGCATTGAAGATATCAATAGCCAATGCGAGATGATGGCAAAGAAAGCTGTAATTATGAAAGTACTGGGCGACATGGTCCTAGCTGCGGACTATGCCGCGGCATATGCTGAGCTGAAGAAGAAGGCTGAGTCTCTGAGTTTAAATGGAGGAGACACTACATAAATGGCGTTTCTTTGGAAGAGGTTTTTTTTTTTTTTTTTTTTTTTTTTTTGGTAAACAAGCACAGTATGGCAGAATACAACAAATACACTTTAATGGCTGCGCAGAGTGTAACATAGAATGTAAAATAAAATCCTTGGTATAAACAGAAGCCTCCTGTGGGCGAAATGCTCAGTCAGCTACCCACATGCCGCTTGAAGAAAGAATTATGATTACTGTAAAAGTCTGTTTGCGCTTTTCACCTTTGGTTTCAGCAAGACATTGAAACTACCAAAATAATACGAAACACGTTCTCCATAAGATAGGTTAGTGACATGCAGAATCAAATCTCCAAGATACATAACGACTAGATAGGTATTGGAAAAAAGTATAACGACGAGTAGACAATATTGAAATGTTGATAAAGCCCGCAAATGGAAGAACACGCCGTTTTCTATTCTTCTTGGTAGGAAATCTTCCGCATTTCGCCAAGCCGGTGTCTTGCAGAAGCAAGCGCATTTTCCAATTGTAGAATTTCAACCTAAACAGTGAATCGCTTTACTTAGCTCGCATCCATCAATGTCAAAAAAAAAGAGTCGCCAATTTACCTGTTGCTCCATCTCGCGAACCTTGAACTCGTGGGCCCCAAGTTTGGAATAATCTACTTGATCCTCTTCTTGGCTTCGCTCACGTATCATGTCTTGAACTTGGCGAACAAGCGATCGGCATGCTGACCCAACGGCTTTGCTGGCTTGTTCCAAGCGATCCTGGCTCTTGGACATAAATCCGGCCTTGACACGACTGGCTGCCACCAACTGTGCCGTCGACGCTGCAACGTCGTTGGATGCCACAATCAGCTGTTCTGGGCTGTTACGGTTGGACAATACTCCATCCGCCGTTTCAATCAATGTATTGGTTGACGAAGCGACCGCTTTGGCCGCCGATATAAGACCTTCCGTCCACCGGTTGTTCTTTTTGTAGAAGGCTGTGCGTGATGACGAGCCTCGTCCGGCTTGCACAATCTCCTGCTGCGTTACTGTTGCAGCGCGAATGAGCTCTCCGATGGCCGTTGTGATGGCTGCCGCGGCATCCAAGATGGAGTCGTGCACCTTGACTTCGTATGTAGTGTACCCATCTCGAGGCTTGTTCTTCAGTTTAGCAAGTCGAGCCGCGGCCGCCGCAATGGCATCGGCTGCTTTACTCAACTCTGCATCGACCAAGTCTCCAAGATCTCCCTTGTTGTTCATCAGTTTGCCAAACCCAGGAGCAAGGCCCTCTACCAGCTTGTTGAGCTTCTGCAGCTTGATCTGTACATCATTATTGCTGTTGATGACAACATCCGTCTTCTGGAGTGGCTCCATCCCTTCAAGGCGGAAACTCTGCAGGCCCCTGAAAAACTGCACTGTAGATTGGGCAGACTGCCTTGCACCTTGCATCAGCAAGTCAGCCTTTTTCTCATCCGTCGCCAGGCGCACTACGCCCTTGGTATTGCTGCATACATCAGCAACCGCTCCGGCAAACACGTTGATGGCCTTGATTAGCTCCGAGTGTGTGCTGTTGGGTCCATCAGCAATGAAATTGTTGAAGGCAGTAGCAAACTCCATTGCGCTCCCAGATGCCTTCTCGATCTGGGATAGCACATATGACGGCGAGGCATTTTGGTTTCCTGCCTGCATAGATGAATCCAGCTCGTAGAGAGCATCGTCCACGCGCGAGACACCGGCCTGCAACACGGAATCAATGACGTCGTTAATCTTATCCAGGTTTGACAAGATCAGGGCATCGATTTGCCCGTCGAGTGCATGGTCCGTTTCTCCTTGATTCTGCTTTAGTTCGCTCAGCTCAATGAGTGTCTGGTCCATGCCCGCTTTATACACCTCAAGCTCTTCTTCTTTCTCGCGTAGGAGTTGCTCGAGATCAGAGTCGCCGTTTCGGATCTTACTCTGTGCCTCTTCCAACGCTCGCGACTTGTTCCGGAGTGCCTCTTCCAGATCGCTCATCTCCCGGTTATACTTGGAAAGCATCGTGGAGAGCTCATTGCCCTTGCTACGTTCAAGGTTGTCCGCTCGATCTTGCGCCATGCGTAACTCTCGCTTTAGCTTCTCTACTTCGTCTTTGCTGCTGCCACTAGCTCGATCCTTATCATGAAGGGCTCGATCGCGTTCCCGGATCATATCAGCTAGCTCAAGATTCTTCGTCTTGATCTCTCTCTCCAATTTTTCACGCTTCTCGATGGCTTCCTGGGCGCTTGCTGCCTTCAGCTGCACCGCCTTGAATTTTTGCAACAAATCCAGGTGTTCATGCCGAAGCTGAGAGTATAGCTTCGCGAGAGATTCGTATTTCGATCTCCATGTATTAACTTGTTCTTGCAGCGCTTTGATTTGATCATCTTTGCTGCCCATCTGCTGCCCATAGCTGTTTTGGATTTGCATCAGTTCACCCTCCAGGGCCTTGACACGCTGGTCATACTGCTGCAGCATCAGCTGGTCGCGCTCGTATTGGGCTCGCGCGTTGAGATTCTCCCGTTCAAGTTCGGCTAGACGGCCTTGAGTTTGCCACTGAGCTTGCTGTGCAAGGAGTGCCTCCTGCTCTCGTTGCTGTTGCTCCATCAAACGCCGTTGCTGCTCTTCAAAATCGCGCTGCGCCTGTTGTTGAGCTTGCTGCTGCGCCAAGAGAGCTGCCCGCTGTCGTTCTTCGAGAACCCGCTGCTGTTCTTCGTATTCACGGTTCTGGCGATCCAATTCGCTCTTCCAGAACTCAGAGATTTCGTCTGGTTCATCTGATTTTGGCGGAGGAGCAGGGGATGGCTGTCGCTCAATTTCCTGCTTCGGTCTGGCAGGCAGGGCTGGAGCTTCGTCATCCCCAGCAAGGAGGTTCGGCGGATCCTGCGGCAACTTGGGGATCGTAATGAGGCTTGTCAAGTATCGAAGATTAGAGCATTCGTAGTAGAATTTGACGAGTCGATAATGCTGGGCGTCGTATCGCTGACGAAGGGGCTGCAGTGCATCATCATCGCCGGTGACTATGCGTCTAGATCAGCGCCTGTTCTTTGCGAGTCGAAGGGGGGGTGGAGGTTCAAAGAGTACTTACTTGAGTGCATGGCGCGCAGCATGCTAGTAATGAATTTGTAAATTCCATAGCTCTCTTGGACCAACGGCACCAGGGCTGCGATTCGACACTCGTTATTTCCGACGTTTCTAAAATGCGAAAAGATCAATTTCTGGAATTGCTCTATCTTGTCTTGCAGCACCATCAGATCAGAGATGGTCTCGTATCCCTCGTTTGGGTCGTTAATGGCTTTGAGGCTGAGATACTCCTCATACTCGAAAGTACCATTAAACTCCGGGTGTTGATGGTGGAAAGACAGCTTCGCAAGAAGGTAGTATACGTATTCTCGGATCAGAGGCGCATAACCGCGAACTCCTTCTCCGCTCATTCCACGGTTCAGGGAATCAATCCACGAGCGATTGGCCATTGCTTCTTTCAAGGCTGAGGGATGACCTTCCTGCAGAACCTTGTGGACGGTGATCAGGGCTTTGAATGTCTGGACCTCATCGGCAAGAATGGGTTGGCTGCAATAAGTTGGAGACGGTCACATCAGTAGCTGAACTTGGAGAAATATAGGAGATTTCATGTCAACCTACACCTTCATGCCCGCCCAGAAGGCCTGTGAAGATCTATGGTCCCAGGTATATACGATACATGCTCGTACATGCTTGCGCTTGGGGGAGATTTCATCGGGATTGGTGGCCTTTTTGATGCTAACGGCAAGCTCCTGATCGGTTCTAATTGATTTGGTGTGCAAAGGTAAGCGGATGTCGCCATTGGTATGCTAATTTATGGTTCAACGGAGGGTTATGACAAACTTCGTATGCTCGGTCGTGCGTATGGAAGCCATGGTGGGCGAAATACAGCTCAGGTAGATCGACGAAGCTTGGATAGGAGGCACACGATAGCGCAGTCGCAGAGCGCGCACTCACGGCGCAAGAGGCTCGGTAACGACTCGCGGAGAGGTCGGATTGTGTAGAGTTTCAAGGTACAGGATGTGCTTCTTCGTCGAGAAGATGAGATTGCGGCCAAATATCCTCCGCACAGTTGGAGAGCACTTATTACCCGCCGGATGATAGGAAGGCGATGGCATAGAAGCTGTAGCCGGGAAACGGGCGAGCATCGTCACCATGTGGGGCGCAGCGGGCCCTTAATTACCTGGGCGTTGAAGCGGTGTTTAAATAATCCGCCCTTTCTTGCTGTAGAATTACATAATCCCTGGATGCCATCAAATGCTCCAGGGTAATGCAGGAGAGATGTCTAGATATGCAGGGATATTGTTCTTGGATGGTGGCTAGGATGTTGGAATTTGCTAAAATAAGCGAAATATGATTGTCTCTATATATTTATATATTGTTTTATGGGAGTAGTATCAAAGACCTAAACCTAGTACATATGCTGGCAGTGTAGACACGTTGCAGTGGTGCCAGCGCTGCTGGAAATTACACAGGTGTATTGATTTATAACGACACTTGTGATAACTCAATATAAAGTACAAAAGCCAGCGAAATTCAGCATCATACACAACCCAGTTTCACTAGCAGAGTAATACTACCAACGCTTTTGAGTGTTATTTCGCATATTCGTTCAATGCAATTGCTAATATTTATTAGTATATATATCGCTGTTAAAATGAGCCAAATTAGCAAGCAATGAGACCGTGCCCCCCTACCTCCCCCCAAAAAAAAAAAAAAAAAAAAAAAGGCAAAATAGATCATCCTATAATCCGTCATTACTATATCATATTGTGCATGTACGAAATCAAACATTTCTTTGAGTGAACATCATATATTATCATTCAATCCTCAATACGACATGTAGACATGTGCCTGAATTGGGTTAACTCGAGACCTCAGCACAACAACTTGGTAGCGCGAATTTATTCTTAGTACAGGGAATTTTATGTCTGTCATGGAGAACGTCCAGTATATTTCGCCAAGGCTTTCAGTTTCGGCGCTCAATGTATCCGAAAATCAGACACCTAGGTATTATATATGGGAGACACCGCACAAGCCGTAGAAACTATGGGGATACTCTACTCCTCTGATCAGGAGTGGCCAATGAGTAAAAATGCACTTTTGTCGATGTCATATTTTCTCATTTCCTATGAACATCAAATAGAAAAAAAATGCAGACCTTGGTCACATGCTGAGTTCTTTCCCATCCGAACGCAACACCATAAGAAAAACCGAAGCGAGCACCACGCCAACCCTTCCCTTAGATTGTAGTTTCGTATGCCAGAGGGGTGACAGTCTCAGGAGGGTTGTCAGTCAGGGAGACCGTGAGGGCTTCCCGGGGGAGAGCGGGCTGTCGCTTGACCTGAACAGTAACACCATCGGCTCTGGCCTGCTTCTTGGCCTCGGCGTTGGCCTTGACTCGCTTGATGAAGTCCTCACGAGATCGGGAGGGCTGGATGTGCTCGATTCGGACGTTGATGCGCTTCTCGATGTAGCGGTGCTTGACCTTCTTGTAGACGATGACGCCGACAGAGCTCTTGGTGACGTTGTAGATGACACCAGTCTTGCCGTGGTAGACCTTGAAGGGCATGCTATTCGACAATGTTAGTTCCCTTGTGCTTTTCCACCTCTATATCCAACATCGATTCCTTACCCCTTCTGGACGGCACCGTTGACCTTGATGTCGACAATATCACCGACGCTGAATGAATGTTAGTCGATTCACAACTCCAAATCAAAATTTTCCTCTTGTCCGGATTCTACTCACTGGTACACCTTCAAGTAGGTGTTCAGGGCGATCATGCCCTTCTGGCGAAAGTCCCGGCTGAAGGCATACTGCGTTCTCGTTAGCAACGATTGGTTTCATATCATCGCAGGGAGGATAAACCAACTCGAGTGCCCGCTCGCTTTCCGTAAGAGTGACCCATCGCGCCTTAATTGCCGTCGATTTTTCGTTCGAGGATTGACGAAGATGGAGGTGAAGCTTTGCTAGTTTGGCGTGGTGAATTTGCGCACGGCGTGTGGGAGCGAATCTGCTTAGATAATCCACTATTTTTTTTTCCCTCCACCGTGGTGGTAGGGCAATTGTGGGAATTTGGCGGGCGTGTGCAGCGAAGCCCGCCTTAGGGTTTGCTGCTAGTGCATCACGTGCATTATTTTCAACGCCAAATTTCCTATCCACACAACCTTGCCGAGTTTCGAGATCACCTGCGGAAAAGTTCACCAGTAGCCACCATCTCGGGAAGCAAGTCAAGTGAGTGTTGGATGCTCAATTCTGGCAACTCGAGCCGTAATATCTGACCGCATACAGAATGGCCCCTCGTGCGCATTCCAAGACCTCGCGTGTCCCTCGCAGACCCTTCGAGTCTGCTCGTCTGTCAGTATCACCGGCCACTGAACTAGAGCATGGCTCTGTTTAAGTCGTATGTGACAAGGAAACTGACATATTATTTCTGATCAGGGACGCTGAGCTGAAGCTCGTCGGAGAGTATGGCCTGCGCAACAAGCGTGAGGTCTGGCGAGTCGGTTTGACTCTGTCCAAGATCCGTCGTGCTGCCCGGTATGTCAATGCTGCATAATCTGTACGGCACTTCTCCAGCTCAAAAACTAACTGTAAATCTCCTGCAGTCAACTTCTTACCCTCGACGAGAAGGACCCTAAGCGACTTTTCGAAGGCAATGCCCTGATTCGACGTCTTGTCCGTGTCGGTGTCCTCGACGAGTCTCGCATGAAGCTCGATTACGTCCTGGCCTTGAAGATTGAGGATTTCTTGGAGCGCCGCCTGCAGACCTGTGTCTACAAGCTCGGTCTTGCCAAGTCCATCCACCACGCCCGTGTTCTGATTCGCCAGCGCCACATCCGTGTTGGCAAGCAGATCGTCAATGTCCCCTCCTTCATTGTCCGTCTCGACTCCCAGAAGCACATCGACTTTGCCTTGACCTCACCATTCGGCAGCGGCCGTGCTGGCCGTGTCCGCAGAAAGAAGGCCAAGGCCGCCGAGAAGGGCGAGGGTGGCGAGGAGGAGGAGGATGACGAGTAAATGCATCATAACAGGTGTTAAATGACTCTTCCTGCATACAAGTTTGATGACCGAGGGATATCACAAGTAGGGAAAAAAGGTTTCTCTTCCTAGCTTTCGGCGTTGGCCAAAGGATAAAAATGGAATGATTTAAAAAAAAACATGAAACGTAATTGCAAATGGGATTTAAAGTGCCTACATGACCCGAAAATTGTGATGCTCATCGTGGGGAAGACATGAGAGAGCTGTCTCTCAGTATGCCTTGGCATAGAGTCGTATGCGTAAAAAAAAAGAAGGAAAAAAAGATCAGGAATTCATTTCATTAAATGTAGGTATGTAAGAAGTGGATATCTTTTAGCTTAAGAGCTCATCTTTACCCAGTAGATTTGCCATTGGATCTTGAGCAACAGTCCTCTTCCGGCGGTATTCATCCATCTCAGCCTCTGATACTCCGTTTAACATCTCTTCTTGCGTACGCTTCCTGCTTCCTGCATCTTGCAGAGCCGTTCTTGATTCAGTTTCTTCACGCTCTGCAGGTAATGACCCGGTCTCTTGTTCCGATACGGGGGCCCCAAATCGTTGGCGCTCAGCAGCCTCCCACGCTTCTTTACCTTCCTCGCCAGTACAGTAGCTGTTCTTGATGAAGGAGTGGCAGCACGCATAGCCCCATTTAAAATTTGACCACCAGCTACCCCAAACCGATGTATGGTTGTTGATAAGCACATCCTCTGCGTACTTCGATTTGGCGCCCTTTAGCGGCGCACCCTTGACGAGGCCTGCTTCGTCATACTCCACAAACGTCTCGGATTCTGACATGGCCATATTGCGCAGCGCAGCAGGCATTGCATTATGCGCATCGTCTCCGTATTTTTCCAACAATTCCCTTTCACGTTCAATACGTCTTTTCTCCGCCTCATCTGCTTGTTTCTTACGATAAAACGCACCGGCCGTCGGATTTGCCTGCAAATGCTGGGTGGTGTCTCCGCTCTTTTCCTGAGCTTCCCATGCGTATCTTTGCGCCTTCTCGAATTCGCCGGCATCGCCCGAGGACCGCATGAACCCTTCTTCCGCAAATAAATCGGCTGCTTTATCTGCTGTTGCGCCAGAGTTGACGAGTGCTCTGGTTTTGGGATCGTATTTCGCAGATTCAAGGTCAAGGTTCAAAAGATACTTGGCGGTATCTTCTCGTATCCGAAGCTGCCTTGTTGCTGTGCTTTGGTGCTTGCTCATGTCGTTTTCTTCAGCGTATTTATCACCGTCATCCTTTCCCTCTTCATCATCATCGTCATCGCCGGCTGCCGCATTTTTCGCTTGCTTCCGTAGCTCTTCCATTTCATTGAAGTCGTCAACCACTCTGCGATACTCTCTAGCGTCGTAGCCATTCCACCTGTCTCGTTTTGCATCCCATCCCAACTTGACATCTTGGACGACTTCGTCTGCCTGGATGTCCTTGCCTGTCCATTTCGCTCCTTTCGCTCTTGGCCGGCTCAGGCAATCTTTGGCTTTGTGTGTCATTGATCCGCAGTTCTCACACGCGCCTTTTCGGTATTTCGTTGCCGCTGGCCCAGCCTTCTTTCCGCGATCGTACCATTGTGCTTTTTCGTTTTTCTCTTCTCGACGCTGATGCTTGAGGTAATCATTGTCATCGTCACCTTCTTCCCCAGCATAAAATGGCCGTTTACTGATGAAGGATGGAATGTATATGTTTTCCTCTTTTGAGGCTGCGCCTGTTTGAGGCTTCCGAGGGGGCGGCATAGTTGTTTGTTTTGAATGCGACGAATGTTATAAGAGCGCGATATCTTTGCCTTTATGCCTGCAAGACAATGGTCTAGGAAGAATGCGCAATATATTGCTTCTTTGAAGGAGCGCGATGAAGTATGAGATGGCGATGACTGCGGACAGGCACTGCGCTACCTCCAAGCGCTAAAGGTGATTGATAGATTCCTGCAGTATGTCAATGATCCTTTATCTGCACGTGATCACGCGATGAAGAACCCCACCAATGACGCGACACAGACACGCCCTTCCACGTATTCATGCCATCTACTGCTGGCTTCTGTCTTTTGCCACCAAAGTTTGTCTCGAATGCAATCCCATGGCTCTAGGAACAGCGAATTATGGTCTTGTTTCGCGTGCGCTTGAACTGTATCGATCATTATCAAGCATTGCCCAGCCGCCATGACCCGCCACTTCGCACCGATGTTCAGGCGCCCCCGCCCTTGAAGGCTACAAAGGTGCCTGTTATTCGGATATTCGGCTCGACCGTGTTCGGCCAGAAAGTCTGTGCCCATGTCCACGGAGTCTTCCCTTACTTATATGTGGAATACGATGGGAGTTTGAACCGGGATGAAGGTGAGCTGTGCAGCAAAGCCTTAAGCTGTGGTATTGAATATCTTGTTAAAAGAGCCATCCATAGTTGGGTCATTTATATACCGCTTGCATCTCTCCATCGATCACGCTCTTGGTATAAGCTATCGACAAGATCAAAATGGAGATAAAACGAGGTTTGTGGCACGAATCACACTGGTGAAAGGAATACCGTTCTATGGGTACTCTGTTGGGTATAAATGCTTTCTCAAGATTTACATGTTCAATCCTGTGGTGATGACAAGGCTAGCAGATCTGCTGCAGCAAGGTGTCATCATGAAACGAAAATTTCAGCCGTATGAAGCCCATCTCCAGTACCTCCTTCAGTTCATGATTGATTACAATCTATATGGCTGTGATTTTGTCGAAGCATCCCAAACCCATTTTAGATCCCCGGTTCCCGCGAATGAAGTCGGCACGTCTTCGCAACTGTTTTGGAATATTCAAAATATTCCAAAGAATTCAATCACGGATGATCTCGCACTGCCCCGAGAAAGCTATTGTTCAATTGAAGTCGACATCGCTGCCCAGAACATCACCAATAGGAAAAAGGTTAAAGAGCGCTTGCTCCACCACGACTTTGCTGAGTTTCTAAAGCCTCCAACGGATGATATTAGACTAGTGTCTAGTATGGCCGGGCTTTGGAAAGCCGAGGCACGAAGGCGTCAACACCAAGCATTACCCGACCAAACACATCTCGAGCATCTGGCGTCCTCTTTTCCCCAAGACGCCCTTGTGTCGATGTCGGCTGACACTCGATCGTCCCAAAGTCAGGCATGGATTCATGAAGGAGAATATCGCCGAAAGGTGGAACGTCTAGTTGCTAAAGAAAAAGACCAATTCCATGGACCAGAAATTAACCTAAATACGTTTTTGCCTCCTTTGCACTCTGAAAATTCCATCAAAACCGCTTTGCAGTCTGTTGAAGATCTGCATCCGTCTACGCTCTTGCCCGCACTTGGGCTTTCATTAAACCCAGAGCAACTAGGCGAGGATCCTAATGGCAGTATTGTGGTCGATGAAATCAAACTGTCTCAAGTAGAGGAAAGTGACCTACTTGCAACATATTCGGATGATTTGGAGATACGTCAAGAGATTGCCCAAAATCACGATGATGTTTCAGTGGGGAGCACCAATCTCATGGGCAAAGACATCTTGTTTCAATCATCGAACCTTGAAATCATGAAATACGCGAGACGGATTATTGGGATCGGCCAAAGCGGTCTTGCAAGCGGCCTGCTTCCTCAAATTCCCGTATCGGCTAGGTTGGTTGAAGCTGCGCAACGCAACCGACTTACTTTCAAAAAAGGTCAAACGGCTGTGGGGGGCCAAAAGACTAAAATAATTCGTAAACGGACAGCATCGTGGTCTTTAGATAGCAAATTTGCTAAGAGGGCTAAGTATGATGCTTCATATGAAGATGAACCCCTCCCCCCTTTGACCGGTGCAAATGAGTCAATGTCCTATTACGAGTCTCAGTCCGATTTATTGGAACCAGTCGACTTTTCAGGATCGCCACCACGCATTGTCGAGGGACAAAAGACTAAAACCTCAGATCATGTCGTGACCTATGCTATTCGTCCACCCTCTGCGGCTGAAATTTCTCTGGGGAAGGATCACTACCTATCAACTATCATGTATCAGGATGCTTTCTACAGCAGAGAAGCTGACCTTCCGACGCAGCGGCGCGAATATGCAGGTAGAGAATTCCAATTAATCAGCGACACTCTTCCTTTTTTGAACGACTTCGACCCTACCGGAGTACTTTCGCAATTCAGAAACTACAATCTCGAAGCGAGTTTTTCTCATGGGCCTCATATGAAACAAGAGGATCAGCAATTGAAGAAAGCATGTTCGTGGAGAAGCTGGGAGATAGCACAACTTCCCCCTACTTATGAGGAGGTTAGTAAGTGGTCCAATCAGAGCGGCAATGTCGACACAACCAGCAGTACTACACTGCGGACCTCAAGCCGTCCACCGCTCTCTCAGATTGATGGCCCAACGCAAAAGGCCAAATATGATTTTAAATATAGCCAAAAGCAGCCCTCAACAGCTGTGCCACATGAAGCTCAATATATGAGCATAATGAGCCTTGAAGTTCATGTGAACACGAGGGGAAATTTTGTCCCCAATCCAGAAGAAGACGAAGTCCAATGTATTTTTTGGCATTGGAAAGATGACGAGGCAACAGCCAGCACTGATTTAGAAACACAAGCGCTATCCAAATCCGGAATCCTAGTCCTCTCAGTTGATGGTACTTTGGCTGATCGAATAAGACATTCAGTATCTGATGAGGTTATTCATGAGTCTTCGGAGCTGGATTTAATCAATCGCATGGTTGAGACAGTCAGAGTCCATGACCCAGATGTACTGACCGGCTATGAAGTCCATGGAAGTTCATGGGGCTATCTCATTGAACGAGCGAGGCTGAAATATGATTACGATCTTTGCAATGAATTTTCTCGGATGAAGGCACAATCCAAGGGTCGATTTGGGAAAGACAGTGACCAGTGGGGCTTCAACACAACATCAACCATTCGAATAACGGGAAGGCATATGATCAATATATGGAGGGCAATGCGTAGCGAAGTGAATCTTCTCCAATACACCATGGAAAACGTTGTATGGCATCTTTTGCATCGTCGAATACCACATTATTCGTGGAGATCTCTCACATCCTGGCTCCAAAGCGGCAAGGCACGGGATTTAAATAGAGTCTTAAGATACTATCGAACACGGTCTAGGCTAGACTTGGAAATTCTCGAGTCCAACGAGCTGATCTCGAGAACCAGCGAGCAAGCAAGGCTTCTTGGTGTCGACTTCTTTTCTGTATTCTCTCGCGGCTCACAATTCAAAGTTGAGTCCATTATGTTTAGGATTGCCAAACCGGAAAATTTCATGCTGGTCTCCCCTAGTCGGAAGCAGGTCGGACAACAAAATGCACTCGAGTGTCTACCACTAGTAATGGAGCCCCAGAGCTCGTTCTATAGCAGCCCTCTTATTGTGCTCGATTTCCAAAGTCTTTATCCTAGCATCATGATTGCCTATAATTATTGCTACTCGACCTTCTTGGGACGAATCACAGATTGGCGAGGCAAGAGCAAGATGGGCTTCACCGAGTATAAAAGACAAGACGGCTTGTTAGCTCTGCTAGAAAATCACATCAACATCGCGCCGAATGGCATGATGTATGTGAAGTCCGAGGTTCGGAAATCTCTGCTCGCTAAAATGCTAACAGAAATTTTGGAGACGAGAATAATGGTCAAGAGTGGCATGAAACAGGATCAAGATGACAAGACCCTTCAGCAGCTACTAAATAACAGACAGCTTGCTCTAAAATTGCTCGCCAATGTGACTTACGGTTATACTTCAGCTTCGTTCTCAGGTCGAATGCCTTGCTCGGAAATCGCAGACAGCATTGTACAGACTGGTCGCGAGACTCTGGAGAGAGCTACGGCTTATATCCACTCAGTGGAGCGATGGGGCGCAGAAGTTGTATATGGCGATACTGACAGTCTTTTCATCTGCCTCAAAGGGCGATCAAGGGATGAGGCATTCACTATCGGCCAAGAGATTGCTCAGGCTATTACGAAAATGAACCCAAAGCCAATCAAGCTCAAATTTGAGAAAGTCTACCACCCATGCGTTTTGCTTGCTAAAAAGCGCTATGTCGGTTACAAATACGAAACCAAGGATCAGCTCAAGCCTGAATTTGACGCCAAAGGCATAGAGACTGTCCGCCGCGATGGTACTCCCGCAGAACAGAAGATTGAAGAAAAAGCCCTGAAGTTGCTGTTTGAGACGGCAGATTTGAGCCAAGTCAAAAAGTACTTTCAGAAACAGTGTAAAAAAGTAATGCATGGCAAAGTATCAGTCCAAGACTTTTGTTTTGCCAAAGAAGTTCGCCTTGGCTCCTATTCTGGGCATGGCCCACCGCCAGCTGGAGCACTAATCAGCGCAAGAAAGATGCTGCAAGATGCCAGAGCAGAGCCACAATACGGCGAACGCGTCCCGTATGTGGTGATAACTGGAGCGCCAGGTGCTAGGCTTATCGATCGGTGCGTCTCGCCAGAGGAGCTTCTTCGTAATCCTCACTGGCAGCTGGATGCAGATTACTATATATCCAAAAACATCATCCCTCCCTTGGAGCGAATCTTCAATCTTGTTGGCGCTAATGTGAGGCAATGGTACGACGCCATGCCAAAAATACGGCGTGTTCACCAAACGAAAGGGCTTGGGAGCAAGAAACGGACATTGGAAGCATATATGCTGTCAGTACACTGTATGATTTGCAGAAGAAAAATTGCCGGCACTGCAGAGCTATCATTGTGCCGTTTCTGCTACGCCAGAATGCCAGCCTCTTTGCTAGCACTACAGTCGAAACTGACTGCGGCGGAACGCAAATATGATGAAACACTATGCATCTGCCAGTCTTGTGAGGGAATTGGCCCGCTGGAAGAAGTTGGGTGCGACAGCCATGATTGTCCTGTATTTTGGACCCGCACCAAATTGAAAAACAAGATGCTCTACGAGCAGGCGGTAATCAGCCCGGTAATTGATGGAATAAATGCCAAGATGAAGAGCTCTTCTTTGAACTGGTAATGGATAAGGGGCGATGACTCCTATTTTTTTGATATTGTTTTCTATCCCTTAGGATTTAGAAGCTTTATCGGTGTCACTAGCGAATAATTGAAATGACCGGTACGCGACGAGATGAATTTAAATACCACTTGATGCTTGCCTATTACCCAAACGCCAGCGCTAATCACAAATCAATAGTAATCCTTATCTGGCCTAAAAAGTTGCCCTGGGCCTTTGCGGCTAATAAGTGACCTTTCCGTTCTATTCTTCTTCTTGTACAAGTACATCTATTACAAGGTATGCTCGGCATCAAATCCTCGGTATCGTCAAGATCTGAGCGATCTAGGCACGGCCTACCAGATTCTAGTCGTCGTCCATCCATGCAGAGTAATCATCATCATTCAGTTCTGCAAAAGCTGATGGGGTGGTTGGAATTGGTCGGGCTGTGGTGGCGGAGACTCCTGTATCTAAATTTTTAGCCGTATTATCTGTGGGATTTGTAGTGGTAGAGTTAGTGCTGCTGGCACCATTGTCAGTTTGTTGCTGTGCATCTGGAAAGTCTCGATCCCAAAGTTCAGTCTGATGCGACTCGCCTTCCACGGCAGGGGTAGTAGGTTGCGAGTCATCTGGTGCGGCAACGACGAGGATGTTTGGACTATACTCCTCTTGTAGTTGACTATCTTGTCTTCTTCTCCACGCTGAGGATTGGTGCCGCCTAGTCTGGTCTTCTTCGGACACAAGGGCAGCCTGTTCCTCTAGTACTAAACTGGGAGATCTCCGCTTCGATGTGGGAACGGGCCCTATTTTAGTGCCCCCGTTTGTTGGCATTGGAAGTGGTGTCCCTGGCGGTGGAAGTGGTTGCCCTCGACCCATGGGCTGGCTCAAATCGACAGGAATGCTCTTTTCACTATTTCGCATGGCTTCTCTTTGTCTCTGGATAGCATTCCATCCCCACTGTCTTGCCTGTGCTGCCGCATTTGTGACTGCCGCTAGAGTGTTCCTCTTCTGAGCCAATGTGTCACTCTCGATAGAACTAGCCGTCATCATACTAGAGGGATCGCGTTTTTGAAAAAGACCACGGCTAAAAGAACCAGCCTGAGATTTCACCGAGTTAGATGTAGACGTACGGGAGAGATCCGGTTCAGAGCCGCCGACTGTTCCAGGGGGTAGAGATATATTCTGTTGTGGTAGCTGCGGCAAAAGCTTGGGATCAATATCGCCGTCCGCGCCATAGTTGCCATGAAAATCTTTAGAAGAAGAAGAAGATCGTCTAGATGTGATAGTGGACTGCGATAACTTCCTAGATATTGGCAAGGGCGAAGCGTCTTGAGACCTAGATCGCAAGGCCGCAATATGGTTCATGGCGTAGTCTGGCGGGGACGTCGAGGGCTTGAATATATCAGCATGGGTCGTTTCTGTTCCGACAATCGGCTCGGTAGAAGTTTTAAAACTCCTCGGAGAATGAACCGCAGTTGGAATAGCTATATCCACACTAGTTGATGACCCCAGAGTTGGTAGCATAGAATCTGCCTTTTCCAACTTGCTTTCAAGTGGGCTGGGTGCTGGTTCAAGCGAATCCATTGCCGGCATTGTTTGGCTCTTTTCAATGGCTTGGGTGCCATCAGAGTGGTTAACGCCAGAATCGAGGAGGTCTGGTATTTCAGCATCGCCGACTTGAGGCAAATGATCGGCTGGTAGTGCAGGAGATTTGACAGCATCGTCCCCTTCAAATATCCCGCCTCTCCATTGCTTGTGTTCCGTGTTGAAGAATGGTATATCATCCCAAAATGGCTGTACCAAGGTCTCAGCAAAGACTTCCTTGATGCGATTTTCTATCTGACGAGTGATAACAGTATAGGTAATTTGTCTTGAGCTCACGATGGGCTCAATGGTCATTTCCATCTTTGGCATTGTTTGAAAAGAGACCCATATCCTGTTACTTGGAGGCGGCTTGATTTTGAATAGAGTATGGCCCTCCAGTCTCCGGAGAACCACGGCAAGAATCAGATTCACCTCCCGAACTTTGAATCTTGCCCCTAAATCGATCCTTGCAGTGGCAGCAACCTCGATCCGAAAGCTGCCGGTATACTTCAGGTCCGCCTCTACAACGCACTCGCCCTCGACGTTAAGATCTCTGAGTTTCAGATTGGAAAGGTAAGGTGCAGCATCTCCGGTGTCTATTTGTTGAATCTTGATATTGGTGAGAAACGAAGGTCGTTTGACGCGTGATATCTTTTTGGTGATCTTGTCGTTGATGAAAGTTTCCAGATCCCGAGTTTTATACACCCCCAGGAAAACTCTGCCAATAAGTGCGTTGACCCACCGCGAGTGCACTTGGTCCTCGGATGAATGCAGCTTCTGGACTAATGAAATGATGGATTTGAGCTCAAATTGTTTGGGCTGTGGCGCAACGTCTTCGAAACCGAAGGTGTGCTGTTGATTTTTCAGCATGGCAAAGTAAAAGTCTTCTTTGGCTGAACAATTTTCCGAAAACAAGTAAAATGGCCTGGATCCCTGATTATCCGACGAGTGTTGTTCTGATTCATCGAGCTTTCGCGTTAGGGATATTGCATTTCGTTTGATGAATAACTCTCCCTCCGGTGTGATGTCGCCGCCCGAGTATATGCCTATTCTATGATGCGCCAGAGAAATCACATGTCGCACTTCGAGCTGCTCCTCATCGTCGAATAGCATTAGATGGCCATGTCTGCGCCTGGTTAGTGTATGAGCCATGTATGGAGAAGAAACATGCAGAAGCGCACCGAAGCACCACATAGAATACATTGCCTGCTTTCTTTGGCCTCTGACTAACGCTGCTACTGTTATCCATTGGGCTAGCAGCAGCTTTGCGGTCGAAAATACTCCTATACATTGTCTGATAGACGCTTGGGCTGGGGGGTGTCACTGTGGCTGAGCCGATAGGTGTCGAGCGCTCCACTGGCTTGGCATTGATTCCCATGGGAACATATTCACGGCAAACTGCGAAGTATCCCGCCGCGACATCGATATCGGTATTCGACCGCTTGGAATCGCTATTATTCCGCTGCCTCTTGGCTTCGTCGAGCGCTGTTGTGTCATCGCCGGGATGCACAATGGCGCCCTCATCTTCGTCGTATGGGATGCCGAGAACGCGTCGATAAGGCAAGTTATAGTACCCGTAGAGAAAAACAGATGCAAGGAGTAAAGGTATAAAGGTAATGCCGCCTATGAGGTAGGCCACCAGAATCGTCGTCCAAGCCGCCATGGCCAGAGAATGAACAGGCAACTCTAGGCTTCGCCCAGGATGATCGCGGCCCGCTATAAGACGGTCAAGGCGAAATAAACGCGATGAAAAAAGAAACAATCATTATGCTGCGCTGAAGAAGAGTTGTCAGAATGCTGAGTATGATAATAAGACAATTAGCCTAGGTCTGGTATGGGAAGGTGAGCTGGCCAGATGATTGATGCGAGGCTTGTCCGCTACGTCATGTGATGAATAGCGTCCCAAGAAACTAAGGTTCTTGGTACTAGGTACTAGCAAGCTTCGAGCAAGACACTACTTATCAGGTACTAAACTGCTGATGAAGTAGGTACATAGTACTACTAGCCAGAATACCTGCTTACCTAGGTACTAGGTAGGTACCCACGGGACTTCTGAGACATCTTCCAGTTTAGCACTAATGTATCAGATAGCTTCCATAGAACAATTACTTTTGGCACTGCTGTAAGTACCAGTAATGCTAAGGCGGTTAGGAGATAGCATTATATATGTATATACACATAAAATAAAATAAAATAAAACAATTCTTGGACATCAAGTGGACGTAATATATTACCTTGTAGCTACCTATCGGTAGGTGAGCGCCTACCTAGTAGCAGGTTAGTAGTCTAGTACTAAGGTGCCTGGTTGCCAGCTTTGGTAGCGCCGCACCAAGGGTGTCTCCCAGCGTGCAGAATTTTCCCTCGTCGGCAGCATTCCCACTACCCTTTCCAGCCATAAATTCCACATCTCTGCAGAGCGGGAGTACCAAACCGAATTCCGAGTCAGGCTGCAGGTTTTATATCTGCTTTTTTTTGTGTATATTTTTTTTTTCATTGCCCCAATATTTCAGGACAAATAGTACGCGCGTGCGCTTGAAAACAGCGAGAACCGGAATCAAATGGGCCAACCATCGTTTGCCGCGTCGAACGCGATCATCTACGTTACCTATGGCTTCTTCCTGTGCGTAAAAACCCCAAGCTTGCAGCTAGAATAGGAAGAAGGAAAAAAGTACAAAAATCCCGTGTAGTTTGGCTAACATGCATTCTAGAGTCATGGGCACAGGCATTGCCTGGAGGATGAGAAAGCAGCCCAACACGGACTTTCTGGCTGGCAACAGGACACAGACTGGTCAGAAACCAACAGATGACGCCTTGGCGCTCTTTTCCCTTTCCATGGCTCATATGGATCCATTGTTGTGCACGATCAACTAACTTGTCCATGTTTCCCGCAGCCTGGCCTCTGGCATTCAACTTCATCGCCTCGGGTGAGTCGTGCGCAAGAGCAATCTTGGCTCGGTGAATTGTCTCAGACAGACAGACAGAAAGGATATCTGTGGAGCGGTAGCAGTAACGTTCAACTATGGCAATCGTTCAAGCGCTCCATCTTGCGTGCGCCTGCGCCTGGACGAGGCACGGATACACGCTCTTCTTTTCCAAGACAGGTCGCGGAAAGACGCATGCCTACCTCGATTAGTAGACTGAATAGGTTCGTACCCTTCAAAGCAATCTTCGTCCCTCTCCCCCTCTCTCCCCGGCGATATACATCTCGCTCTCTACCACTAACCGAAGGGTCTTTCATGCTCACTCTCGCCACTACGGGCACTGGAGGAGGAAGTATGAGAAGAGTAAAAGAGGAGGAAAAGAGAACCAGAGAATCCAAAAGATGTCCATCGTTGGGGACTAAGAGGGGGGGAGAGGATGCGGCTCACTACGGGCGCCGAGTTGAAGCAGCTTTGCGAGATCCAACCCTAGCTAGAAGAAGCAGCTCTCATTCTCCTTGGAGATGAGATGTCTATTTATTCTGTTCTTGCGGGAGATGTCGTGGCTGGGGCAACGAAGCTGAGATTGTACCGTGAATACTCGATCAAGTTAATGCTTGCGTGGGAAACGTGCTGCCGCTCCAGATCCCCTTTCCTTGTCCCTCTCCCTTTTTTTGTCGGGTTATGTTTTGCTGACCTGTATAGCTCTGGGATCTGGTATCCTGTTTTCGTACCCGCAACTCGCAACCATCGCGGGTGTTCAGGGCGTTGTTGTTTACGCCTTGGCTTCGGCGTTGCCTTTACTCATCTTTGCCGCTCTGGGTCCCATACTCCGCCGCAAGTGTCCGGATGGATTCGTCTTGACTGAGTGGACACGTGAACGGTATGGCACGGTTGCTATGCTGTATCTGAGTTTCATGACTCTGGTTACCTTGTTCCTTTACATGGTTGCCGAGCTTTCGGCCGTCGGACAAGTGGTCAATGCTCTAACTGGCCTTGACGGGCTCCCAGTTATCATTGTGGAATGTGTGGTCACGACGATTTATACCTGTAAGTTGAGAGCAGCAATTGTAATGTAAAACATTAGCATGCCGCGGAGATGGTTATGGCTAACATGAATGGCCTGTACAAGCTCTTGGTGGGTTCCGCATTTCCTTCTTGACAGACGTCGTTCAAGGAGCCATGGTCGTCGGACTCATCATTATCGCCACCATCACCATCGGAGTCAAGGCGGAAATTGACCGTGATCTCATCGATTCCTCGGGGCTCACCAAGGCCAGCCTCGTGGGATGGCAGCTGGTGTACATCCTCCCCGTGGCAGTCCTGACAAACGACTTCTTCTTGTCCAACTTTTGGTTGCGTACCTTTTCATCCAAGACGGACAAGGACCTGTGGGTCGGCGTTTCGGTTGCGACTGTGGCCGTGCTGTGCATCCTCACTTTGGTGGGTGCGACAGGTCTCATCGCGGCGTGGACGGGTGCCTGGCCTGGAGAATCGGACATTGATGGCTCGCTTGCGTTCTTTGCGTTGCTCGAGCAGCTACCAAACTGGGTGGTGGGAATCGTTTTGGTCATGGTGGTCAGCTTGAGCGTCTCCGCCTTCGACAGCTTGCAGTCAGCCATGATTTCATCCGCGTCCAACGATTTGTTCCGCAACCGCCTGAACATCTGGATCATCCGAGTACTGGTTGTGCTCGTCATCATTCCCACGGTGGTGATTGCCCTCAAGGCGCCGTCTATCCTCCAAATCTTCCTCATCAGCGATCTTGCATCGGCGGCAACCATCCCCCCACTCTGCCTCGGCTTGATCGACAGCTTTTACTGGTGGCGCGGGTTCGAAGTCGTGGTGGGAGGATTGGGCGGCATCCTGACCGTCTTCATTTACGGCACCATCTACTATGGCGATGCTAAGAGCGGTGGCGAACTCATCTTGCTCGAGCAGGGCCTCTACGAGGGAGATTGGGGCGCCTTCGGAGCCTTTGTGGCTGCCCCTGTGGGTGGTATCATCTGGGGCTTTATCGCTTTGGCGCTGAGGCTATCCGTGCAGTTTGGCCTGGCAAAATCGCGCGGCGAGCGATTCGATGCTCTTGATCGCCCAACTACCGATGCCGAGGCTGAGGAGGATGATGCTCAGCTCGTGACGGAGATTCATGCCTCGGCTGCCGGCAAGTTCTTTTGAACTGCCATACAAAAATACTGGTCGAACCCACAAGAGACAACACTATACCTCTCGGCATGGTGGTGAAAGATGAACGAGTTTGTATGGAGCATCTCGTCGATTCGACCTGTACAAGCGATACTCTGCAACTAAGGCATTATTGTGTTATTGCACAGATTAATAATATGCATACCTTGTTGGCGGCGCGCCATTCTTTGACACAGAGTGGGAAAGGGGATGAGTCGAGATAAAAATGAAGCATGGGATTTTGGTTGGTAGCACAATAAGAAACCTTGTCTTCTCTGCCTTCTTGTGAGGAAGCGTGCATGTTGAAAACAAACAGATTCGTTGTGAAATAAATTGATGCTTTCCTTGGATGGCTGGGCAAGCGGTACAAGAGGAGGCACGCGAGCAGGTGCAACTCCCTACATGTACCGCGTCGCTGAATTGTCAGGCATGTTGATGTAATACGTACAGTACTTAGGTAGGTAGGTACCTATTAGGTGCCCCTAATCATTGGCTGTGCCTGTGCCTGTGCCTGTGCCTGTGCCTTGCAGTTGCCGTTGCAGTTTACAGGCGCAATTGCAACTGCAACTAGGTAGTGTTACATGCAGCAGAAAGAAGCAGGTGCTTTTGGCCTGTCTTGCCTAATCCAGCCCGCTAAAGAAGAAGAAGAAGAAGAAGAAGAAGAAAAAGAAGAAGAAAAAAAAAATTTCGGATTGAGAAGCCTCCTTTTTCAGCATCAGCCATGGTGTGCTCCAAAGTTGCCGCCAAGGGCAGTGGAAAGGCTATGGTACCTACTAGGCTACTCACTGTCTACATGCAAAGCAACGAATCTGCATGGCTGCGCTGTGCCTACTGTAAATATTCTAAGTTGGAGCTATTACAGCCAATTTCCGGCCCAGCTTGGAAGGCTAATGGCTGTTAGCATTAAGCAATCGCCAACCATTGAGCATCCTCCATGTCTCCCCTTGGCAATAACAAATGCCCATACAAAGAACTTACTGTCTCATCCTTATCAGTGCTAGGTGGAATTTATAGCTGTCTAAGCAGCCACAATTGCGTCAACCGAGCCGACCCTCGCCAGAACCCGCTCGCTCCACCACGTCCTATGGGGGGGAGGTTCTATTAATATTCCCAAGCTCTGGTCCATAATAGCTTCTCCTCCTGCATAGCACAAATTCTCGGGCTTTTTTTTTTATTTCACTTTTCCTTCCTTTTTTTTTTTCTTTCTTGGATTGCGAATCTTCCTTTCCATAATATTTAATTTTTCTCCAGTCCGCGAATTGACCACCAGCAACACAACTTTACTCTCCTCTCAACAGCTTTGCTTACGAAAAACAAAGGACTATACAGACTGAAACGGCTCGCCCAGAATTGTCGCCTTGGCTCCCGGCCCAGCCCATGGCATAAACCACAGCTCCTCCGAATGGCGACGGCGTCGAACCCTCCGCCCTACGAGGGCTCGTCCACCGCTCCAGCTGTCGCGCCGCTCTCCAGTTCTCTCTCCTCAGCTTCTCCTCATCCGCAGGCTCGCTCATCGTCAGCATTGTTGACAGGCAACCCATCACCATGCGCTCCTCCAGCCCGAACCCAGTCTCAGCCCCCTTCCATTATACGACGGCGCTTTCGCTCAACCTCCAGCCTCTCTGCCGAAAAGACGACGTCTTCGGCCTCGGCCGCTCCCGACTCTGCCGCCGCCGGTGATGCCGCCGCTACAGCAGCCTCGGCTTCAGCCTTATCCTCAGCCTCGCCCTCATCCACGCCCACACCTCCCATGCCGTCCATGCTACAACCCCGCGTCGCCGTCGTCCTAAACGTCCCGAAACCGTGGCATCCATGGCTCTTCGCCTTGCGACTAGCCTCCATCCTACCGGCTCTGTGGTGGGGGCTGCCGTCGCTACTACGATTATTGATACACTTCTTGCCAGGACCGCCGGACCAGTTTCTGCTCGTGAGGCCGCCGGGCGGGAGCTGCGATCCCCGTGGCCATGACCCTCTACAGACCTCTGCTCTCTCGTCTTCGTGCGCTGGAGAACAACACGGCAGCGGCGCAGCAGCTATGATGGCGGCGGCTCCTTATGCTGTTACCGAGACGGCCTTGGCTACTATTTGGGTGCGTACTCGGACTATACACGAGGAGCAGGAAGGTCAATGGGATACAGAAAACTAATTGAAGATTTTTGGGGATATTCTAGTGTTTCGCCTGCGGCTACCTGGCCTTCTTCTTCACCGACTGCCTCATGTCTCGATGGTATATATACGCGGCTTCTAATTCTCCCCTCTTGGCCCCCCTTTCCCTTCACTCCTTGCATTTACCTGCCCAAGCCGGCTGACATTGAATCCAAACTCTCTAGGCTCATCAACTATACCCCTCAAGCCACAATAGTGCGCCTCCTATCCATAAACGCCGTCAATGCCTACCTCACCCTCACGGTGCTGTCCCTGACTGGCGGGTTCCAAGACCCACGACTGCTGCTCCCTGGCTGGGTCAGCATAGCCACAGTATGGACCCTCCTCCTGTCCCTATTCGGCGAGATGATGATGATTGCCTCCCCCTTTGAAGAAATCGGCGGACCCGAGGAAGATGAGCCCATCGAATGCACGACGTTGACCATTTGCCCCCCACAGACGCTTACCATATGCTATCACGTAACGCACCAAAAGATCAACATCCGAAAGGAGACATCGACATCAGTCAATGTCTTCTCAATAGCTAGTTATATTACCATGGTTGTGCTGCTGGCCCACATGCAGACCTACCAAAGCGATTATCCCATCATGCCTGTGGTGTCGAAAGGTAACCACCTCTGGGAAGAGGGCAAACATTTGGTAGCCCACGCAAAGACTCTGATTCACGAATACGCCGAGCGATGAAGGTCACAAGTGGCCGATATAAGATACCATGAGAAAAGGAGGCCTGCTTTATGTGAGCGGAAAGAAACATGAGAAAACAATAACAGAGACAATAGAAAGAGGGGGGAGGAGAATTGAGGGGAAAACGGAGAAGAGGGGACGAGAGGGGACGAGAGAACGAGAGGAAGAGAGGATGAGAGTGAAAGGATGAGCGCGGGGGGGGGGGGGGGGGGGGGGGGGAAAGAAAAAAACTGGGGGCCTGGGGGCGCGCGCGGGGGGGGAGGGTGGAAGGGGCGGCGGGAATGGGAAGAATGGGAGAATGGGAGGGGGGCCAAAACGAACGATATGACACGAAATATTTGATTTTTGGACTTTGAGTCGGATATACCACCAGCTTGTTTCAACGGCCTTCAGTTGCTTTTTTGATAGAGGTGTGTTATTTCTCTTTTCCTTGGCTTGGATTTGGGCTATACAGGCGTCGGGTTTGTTGGAAGGCTTGTTCGTTAGTCAGACAGGGGGGGCTCTAATTGCTACAGCCACCTTGATTACCATGTTTCTGCTTTATCTGCTACGAGGCGTTACGGAAAAGCTGTTCTTCGGTTTGTCGCAGATGGGCGATTCTTTCTTCTTTCTTCTTTTGAACTTTTTTTTTCTCCTCTTATTCTTAGATATTCCTTTTGAATAGATGGTACGTTGGAAAACATTCACACCAGTGTATACATGTGAAGCAAAGTTTCGTCGCACCACGCGCGGTTGGCATTGTATTTTCTATATGCCCTACAACTACGGCTAGGCCCGTCCAACAATCAAGACTGTAATTGAAAAGGGAAATGCAAGGGCCAAGTAAAAAGATAGTAGCCTATTAACAGGAACCAGTCTTAAGGCCTGCATCCAGAATTCAGAATTCAGATTCAGCGCATCTTTCCCTCCCTAATCATCAGCATCAAACTTGATGTCAAACTGCAAAACGGAAAAAAAAAAAAAAGATATTGATCAATCGTAAAGCTGCTGCGCTGCTGCACAGCAGGTCCGGGTGCATAAATAAAGCCAATAAGCTGATAAAAGCTCTCACTCCAACCCTATCCTCTATTGCATCCGACCGACCAGACCTTCCAAAGACACTGCTACCCGCACACCGGTGGATTATGCCCGGGGGGGTTGAGGTTTATCGTATGAGATCACTAGAGACCCAGAAGCAAATTGGGCACATGGCGATATCGGCTAGATAATGAAGGTAGTGGCAGCAAGCGAGCCCGCGCAAAATGTATGCACAGGCTGCTCGAACAGCCTCATTCCGACACACTCATCACCAGCATGCTGTGAAGCCAAGTCGCTGGAAGGGTGGCGGGGACGGCGGCGCCAAGAGGACGATTTAAGCACCGTGAACGGTGATGTTATCGGGGTTGAGACCGAGACCGGCCTTTTTGTCAACGAGGAAATCCATGACCTTCTTGCGTTGGTCACCCTGAAGCTGGATCACCTCGCCGGCCTTTTCGTCATTGACCTTGTTGCCATTGCAAGCTGCAGGGGGAAGAGCGAGTCAGTTGGAGATGATCAGACATGGTGTTGGGGGACTCTCGACATACCGAATTCCTTCCTGAAGAAGGTCAGAATCTTGCCGGGGTCGAACTTAGCAGGAAGACCAGTGACAGTGGTCAGAGACTTGCGACCATTGCGCTCTGTTGAAAAATATCAGTAAAGTGTTTTTTGAAAGATGGATCACAAAAGCTTTGGGTGAAATCGCTAGCCTATCGCAAGCGCGCGAGATGCGATGCGATACGATGCGATGGATATGAGATAAGGGTTTGGAGCGGGAGAAGAAAAAAATACCTACGTTGAATACGAATGTGGATGTGATTCTCGACCTTTTTGGTATCACCGGTGTCGTCGTCGGCTTCGGCGAAGGGGTCTGTGATGAAGCAAAGACGCATCGGTTAGTCAGATGTCAAAAGGGGCAACACGTCATAGTGAGAGAGTGAGTGTGAGATGCAAAGGCTCTGTCTGTTCAGACGTGGGGCACGCCCCATTCACGGGCGCGCCTCACACGACAAAAAAACAGCACCGGCTGCAGGAGAGGATGCAAAACATCAAGGGCGAACACGCACCGAAGGTCTTGAGATTTTCGATGGACATAAACTCGGATGTTCCGGGGTGTCTCGTGGGAAAAAGGTGTTTGGGTGAGAGGAGAGGGCTGGACCGGCGGCTGCGAAAAGACGGCGATCTCTTTGAGGTGTTTTGGCTGGTGAGAAAGACTCGGCGGGGCTTGGGGGACCGGTTAAGGCTTTTGTAGCTGTGGCCTGCGGCTCAAAGTCTTGGGAGGCGGTTGCGCAGAGCGTCTGAGTCGAGGGCTGGCGTGACGGATGATGAAAGAACGAAGATTCGCGTCAGGTGAGCTGAGACTGGAGATTGTTGAAGAGGCAAAAGGGGGGAGAGTCTGAAGGGAAAAGATTGGTTCAAGGTTTGAACGGGCAAGAAGGTGGGCGCAGAAAGGTGGGGGGCGAGAGAGGGAAGGGAGGAGAGGGACGCGGTACCTGCGGTTTTGCGGGTAGACGCGGCCAAGGGGCAGGTACCTCGAGAGCACGGAGCCAGCCACAGCCCCACTCCGCGAGCGATCAAGGCGGTGGGAAAGAAGGCTTTGGAAACGAGGCGCTGCGCTGCGCTGTACTGTGTGTTTGTGCTGTTGGCACTGTGGATACTATAGGTACTGTGCGAGACAGGCTGATGGGCTCGGCAGGATACAGTGCTCATAAATCACACACTGTATTGCACTTGCCACCTCTCCCCACACACACGCATTCGACACATTGGACACACCGCCATACAACGTCTGTCGCACTGTCCAGCGCCGCCACCCTGCAGCTGCAGCAAAGGTGAATTGGGCTGGGCTGGTCGGGCCTCCCGCAACGGCTGTTTTTCTTGTCTCGCTTTCGCCCGACGTTGGGTTGAGTTGCACAGTACTGTACCATGGCCTGGGGAACGAAAAGGAGATTGCGCCATAGTAAATCATAAAACGCGATACTATGTAGTGTAGAAAGCATGGGTTGTTGGCTTCCAACAACGGGGATAAACAACGGGGATACAAATAACAAGTAGCAAGTAGACGGAGAAGCCATCGCTGGTGACGGACGTGCCTGGGCATGATTGATGATGATATCCAATAGCAGCCACTCAGCTCTCTTCTTCTGGCATGTACTATTTCACGAGCCGTAGCATCAAGTCGTCCTGTGTCACCAGTTCACGTGCATCTTTTCTCACACACGAAGCATGTGCATTTTTTCCTTTTCCCTCGCTAGTCAGTAGTGATGGATCACATGCACCATCGACAATAGCTCTCAAGCTGCGTCGAATTCGGGCTGTCACGAGCCGAGAGAGGAAAGAAAAAAAGGGGGAGGGTTCACTGGGCTGTGCAGGATAGCCAGTCTTACCAATAGATGACATGTAAAGGAGGAAATCATCTGGATGTGGGCCTTTTCTGCATTTCGTATTTTGACCTCTTTATCGTGAACGGATCGATAGTCCGCAAGATGAATGTTGGTGATGAGTGACAATGGCTATGGCCTGCTGGAGGTGTTGGTTGGCCTGTGATGCCCTTCAAGTGGCTTAACACGTACGTAGAAGCGATAACTGGTTCATGTTGGTGCTTTCACCCGACAAACATTACAGTCACCAACAGTTATCTACATATACACAAACAACGACCTTAAAAAGGAAAAAAAAAAAAAGGAAAAAAAAAAAAAAAAAGGGAAAAAGGAAAAAGAAACGGACTTTTGCAAGTCCCTGCAAAATCTCTATCCTCTCAATTTGGCTTCGATTTACCCTGCATCTCAGCCTTTATCCAGCTTACAGCCAGTTAGATGCCAGGCATTCAAAAGGCGAGTTCTCCACACGTACACACCGTCCTTCCAAGCAGCTGACTGAAGAGCTAGACACCAAAGATGTAGGCCTATATATAGCCTTGTTCAGAAACAGCCACCCCACCAACAGGCAAATGCGGTTGAATGGCGAGTCTCGGCAATATCAAAGTGTCATGCTGGAATGTACTCCTTACGTGGTAGAAAGTTGGTTGCTGGGCTGCTTGGTAAAAGCCTTCTATTAATACGCAGCGCCTCGTCCTTGGCAAGGATCCAATCCAAAATCCCCGCAAAGTGGGCTTCACATATGCCGGGCAGATGCGGGGGGATCGTTCCGCTTCGTTGCAGGGTTGCGATTCGTAACGAGTCCATGGCTGGTGCTAACAAGAAACAGCAGTACATACCTAGCTTCTCTCTCAGTAGCAAGCAATGGGTATATCAGATACAGCAAATCGCTGCATGAAAAAGCGTGCGCAAATGCTGCGTATTCGCGGGGTCAACGCCATTATCACTGTTCGTTTTTATCCTTGTTTATCCGTGTTTGCAAGGCCCGTAATTAACCCCGAGCCGCAGCTAGCATCAGCTTATATTCTCTAAACAATTTGCTTTGCTTATGGCATGTATTCAATCACCACCTACCATTATTAGTAGGTACTCTGTGCGTGTGAGTATGCAAATCGATACAAGTTGGATGCTCACCATTGCCTCTGCGTATTCCTTCCCATCATTTTACACAAGGAAATACTCGCAAAGCTCCAAGCAAGCAGAGGCATGTCAACGACTCTTGCTTGATTCCAATCGCTTGCGCCGTCTCTCACACACCCCGGACCTGTCAACGAACCTATACTAACCTTGAGTTGGAAGCTTGAAAGCAAGCCTGCTAGGTTAAGGGCCGAATCCAGATGCATACTTACTTTTGACAACTGCTCTTAATTTCCATCCTTCGCTCTTAAACTGGCTGTGTGTCTACATGTAGTGTCAAAAACAGCTCGGAATGATATAAAAACGTTGATTGCGTATATGCAGCGTATCGGGGAGTCTCGGCCCTGGGAAACCAACACCATAAAAGGAATCGTAGATGCGAAGACCATACCGGCACGGCATGACCCATTTCATGAATTCTCGGCCCGATAGTATGACATGCGCTGCCGCCATTCTTGGGAGGGCCTGAGCCGTGGTTGGGTTGACAGCCTTGAGATTCTTCGCCATGGCCAGGATCACGGCCCGGTTATCGTAGTCGTCGGGGAGAACAGGGGCTGTCTTGTAACTTTCCTTGTTAGATACCATGAGCATTCAGCGGATATATAAGCCTACCATGGATCCAAGCTGCATCATTCGAAGCTCCTGCTCTCGTCTCAGCAGAGTTTCCCTGTCCCCTATCTCTTCTCGAATCGTCCATATAATCTCTCATTTGTCCCCTAATCCTTGTCTCTATTTTGTTTGGACTCCTGACAACTACACGCCATGGTCAGCAGATTTCTCATCGGTGCTGGTGCAGTGCTCTCGCCTCTTCTCGTGTCCGCCTCTCCCTCAGCAAAGCGCGGCCTCATCTTTATCCCCAACTCAACCACACTGCAGGACAACTCCATCTGGGTTCAGACAGGCTCGGATATTAGCTGGTACTACAACTATGGCAACCTGCCCAGCTCGGATTATGCGTCCATACCGCAGTCTCGCTTCGAATTTGTACCCATGATGTGGGGAGTTGGACCAAACCCTTCTCAGGACACTGCTTTCCACGACAGCATTGTCAATCTGATCAACACCGGCACGCCCATCTCACATGTCTTGGCTTTCAACGAGCCCGATGCCCCTTCTGCTTGGGGCGGCAGTGATGTAACGCCCGCCAACGCCGCTCTTGCTTGGATCGCCAATTTCGTTCCTCTACAAAATCTCGGTGTCAAACTGGGACTCCCGGCTGTAACCGGGGCTTCTTCTGGATTCGATTGGACGCAGCAGTTCCTGGCAAACTGTACCAACATCCTTAAAACGCAGTGCCCGTATGACTTCATCCCTCTGCATTGGTACGACAACTTGGGGGGGCTAGAGAGCCACATTGGCCAATATGCCGCGGCGTAAGTATAATTTTTTGCTTCCCTTGTGCTACTACAAGTCTATTTGTTAGAATAATGCTGGTGCTGGTATCATAAATGACTTATATCTTACCTGGTGTAGATTCCCTGGCAAGAAAATCTGGGTGACCGAATACGCCTATGCCAATCAGGATCTCCCCACCACGCAGCAATTCTTCAACCAGAGCGCAAGCTACATGGACGGCCTCAGCTATCTGGAGCGTTACAGCTACTTTGGCGCCTTCCGGTCCGACGTTAGCAACGTCGGGCCCAACGCCACCTTTTTGAACAACGCGGGACGCCTGCCCGACATTGGATCTTGTATCTTGGATTGGCCTGACTGGCGTGATTCCTACATCTGGCTAGATGCTTGACTGGTGATGCGGGGGGGGGGGGGGGGAGGGGGGAAATAAAGCAATAATTAGTATAGTATAGACAAACAAAGAGAGCAGGTGTATGTATATAAATGAGATTGGCGGTACATAGTATCAAGAAGAGGAGGGACAGAGACTTGCCTCGCAATATATGTTAGGCTGTCAACTGAGAGAAAACGAGGGAAAAGGAAGATGTAAGAGGACCAAGAGAAGGATGATGGAGAAATATGGAGAGTGGAGTCTTCACTCTGACGGCTGAGAAGAAACAAATGTATATAGCAAGTGGGAAGAGGCTCTTTCCAAAATAGTTTGTGTGCCTTATCTATCTTGTAGATAGCTAGAGGTAGTCGCAAAATAAATATCGCTCTTGGTATCTTGGTATCCATTACTACTATATTAGTTGCATATTGGTGCACGACTCGTCGCAAAAAAACAAGCCAGTACCTTATCTTCCAGATACTCGATAAAGGAAACGAAAGCATAGAATATAGATTTAACTGAAACATTCATTTGTATTACAGGAAATGGATACCTGGAAAGCTACCAAGTACTAGCCTATATTCTATATGAACGAATGGAGTTGGTAAGAAGACCAGTTGAATCCGCCCAATTCACCGCAAAAGCTGGACAAGGCCAAAAAAGAGAATTTAGTCTTGGCCAACTTCTACGATGGATCGGGCGAATTCAACTGACCTTTTTGCCAACTCCTTTCATTCGCAAAAGCTTGTTCATGATGGCGACAAGTTATTAAGATGAATGGTTTTTTTTTTATTTTTTTTTTTGGTCGACTTGATATAATTATTGTTTATATTTTTTTTTTCCTTTTTTTTTTTTAATTAAAAAAAAAAGAAGAAGCCATGGGATACACCAAACGCCAATCCAAATGCATCTCCATTCCGACTGCTGGATGGGATGGATATGCTCAACTCCATACCAATGCCATAAATAATAGAATTATCTTCATCCTGACAAGCTGTCAAGATCCAGATATTTTATGAGTTTTAAATTTTTTTTCAAAGAGATTTTCCCCTCTCATTATGTTTGTCTACTTCATCCCCAGAAAAAGCTGAGGTAGGAAGAGAGCCATTTACGCTTTCCCCAACACGAGCAACCCGACATACTATTCAGCTCCGACTGAATTATATGGCATGACGTTTCGTGTTGCGGGAAGCGCAAATGGCTCCCATCCAACTCAGGGGTTTTTACTGGGGATGAAGTAGACAAGCATAATGAGAGCCCAACCAAACAAAAGAAACGTGAAAGAATCGACCAAATACGCCAGACGCCAGACGCCAGACGCCAACCCAGAAAGGAAAAAAAAAAAAAAAAACATACCTCCCCTGCCCAAACACCGTCTAACAACGCCCAACTCCTATTCAAGAAGCCTCACAATGGAGAAGGACCACCAAAACTACACCAAAGTAATAGTTTTGCGTTCACCACCTCCATGTATCGCCGCAGGAACGTTTCTGATGCAGCCGATTCTTTCAAAAGCTCCGGGATACCGCAATGAAGGGGTCAGCACCAGCCCCTCGAAATTGTGATGCTCATGGCGATCAGTATCGTAGTTGTATACCCCCCTCCACCCAAGACACAATACGTATGCAGCACCAAGGATCTTTTTCTGGTCATGCTTGAGCGACTTTTTGCGAAATTCGTAGTGGTTGCGCGTCAAGAACGTGACATTGCGCCAGGGGGTGCGCTCGGATTTCAGCTTACGCTTGTTGATCTTGCGACAGGCACGATTTGAATAAGCTTTCTTCCTCTTGCGAGATAGGCCTCGTATCGCTTTTCTATTCTTAACCATGACGAGCGAGCCGTCGGCAACAAAAGGAACCCGTTTGGTCTTGGGGGTATCGAGACCCTCTTCTTTTTCCTCCATGTCAAAGTGAGCAACGCTCAACTTGCCTTTTGCCCCGATGCCCGAGAGCGTCTGGCTGACTTCACATTTTATAAGGCGGCCTTCCAGTTTGATATAACCCCCGTCAACGTCACCAAAAGGGTCGTGAGGCTTGGACATGGAGCAAGCTTGAACTATCGTGGCATCGGGCATGAAGAACCCGTTCCACGGCTCCGTGTAATAAACCCCAGCGTCGACAGAGGCCCAGGAGAAGGTGGGCGCCTTTTGCTTCTTGAATGAGAACGTGATTCTGGTAGCGCTTGTCTGTCCCGGACGCAATCTGACCTCCCACAGCAGCCCTTCATGCAGGTTGCTCGTCCAGAGACCCGCAAAATACTGGAATTTCTGGGCCATCGAGGTCATGCTGGCCAGGCCAGCGATGCCCGAGAGCTTGTCTTTGGGGTGGACGGTCATGTCGCGCGCAGTGTATTGCATGACAGCCTGCAGCCACATGGCTGTGTCCTCTCGCCCTTTGCCCGTGTATAGCATGCCATCAAAAACATTGGTCCTAGAGTATTTGGCAAGGTATTTCTTATGAAGCGCCGGGTCTTCATATGCACACACCAAGCCTCCAAAGACATTGTTCCTCTTATACCGGGAAGTAAAGTCCCCTGTACACTGGTTATGCCGTCTGCAGTTTACGGTGATGGCCGCCGAGGTGAAGCTAATCACCCGGGTTCCCAGGAGGGCTTCCTGGTAGCAGCGTTGTTGACGGTAAAGTGGCCCGGTTCTCCTGAAGGATTTGAGCTGAGATTTGTAGGACGACTCATCGGTGGCGTCTAGAGGAGAGGTTGGGCGAGAATATCTTCTGCGCAAGGTGATGGTGGCAGTGCCGCCAGAAGGGGCTGTGAATTCAATCTGTTTGGTGACCCAATCCTCTCTACGAGGATACAAAAACGAGTCATTGGGCGAGGCTGAAGAGGCCGCGACAATGGTGATGACGGAGTCTCTGAAATAAGCACCAACGCACGGCTTTTGCAGCACACGATCCACCTCATCGTCTTGAATGACGCAGAGAGATTCTATCCAGAGATAGTGAACCTTGTTTGTGTAGGCGACTTGAGCGGCGTCCTGGATAGCTTGTGGCAAGTCGTCAAGGCAAATGCCGCCTAACCAATCCCGCATATTGGACTTGAGGAGCCTTGGGAAGTTTGGGTCGGTCTCTGACCAACAATGGCTCAGAGTCGCATACTCCATCATCTCTGGCGCCCCCGGCGCCCCCGGAGGGCCCGGCGGCAGCTGCTGTAGCTTGATCTCCTGGGCGTACCAATTGATATGCAGCAATCGATTGGGGGTGGCATAACAATCGTCCATACGGTCGGGTGCACCCCCGCAGTTTCGCATGTTGAAATTCATAAAGTCTTCGCACTCTCGGTCTTCCAGCATTTCTTCCGTTTCTGGCAACTCCAGATACATGCTGGGAAAGTCACAGACTGATAACGCGCTCCGGTCGTGACAGAAGACTTCAATGTCCGCTCGTGGGTGGATCCATAACTTGTTGAATTCGATGACGTTTTGGCACTGGAGGACGAGCGGGAAACCTGTTCGGATATGGACCAAAAGGAGGCCATCCCAGCTCCCCGTGGCATCTTTGATCCAATTCATAGAGGGCTCTAAAAAGAAGAGGTTGAGGGCGTCATGCAGGAACTGGCAATACCGGCAGTCCCGGAGCTCCTGGTCATTTCTGGGCTCCCAGCCATCGCGGAGAAGGAATCGAGTAGGAATAGTGACGAAGTAATCGTCGGGCTCACCCTCGATTCTCGTTCTCTGGGAGGAGATGGACTGTCTTACGTGCAGCGCTTCAAAATTGGGGTCGAACTGCAGGTGATTGCAGAAGAAGCAATTTAGGTTTGCAACCACTGCGTGCTTTCTCTTGATGGGAGCCACGCGACCGTAGAAACTAGAAGACATCTCGGTTGTTTTGTTGGTGTTATGCTGTGGGTTGAATTGAAAAGGCTGATAACTAAGGCGAGTTTAGTACATGATACGTGAGGCAGGGGAAAGGCAGATGTAGTAACTAACTGAGCGGCTAAAGGACAGAGGAATACAGAGACTGTGCGTGGACTATCAGAAGAAGTCGACCAAGTAAAGAAAACTGGCAGAAAGAAAAAGAGGGGGAAGAATGGTATAAAAGAAGAATAAAAAAAAAAGAAGGAGGGGAAAAGTCAGTGGTGATGCAAATCACGTATAAGTGAGACCGACAGGCAATAACAGACTGAAAGTAAGTTCAAAATGCAGAGGAAAATGCAGAGGCAGGTGGAAGACGTAGATGCAAAGGCAGAGACAACGACGCTCTAAGAGCAAAGTAACTTGAAAAGAGTGCTGTTGAAGGGAAAGGCAAAGTCGTGAAGAGGAAGATAGTGGTCAAGTTTCTTGAAGAGTCGAGTTATTCATCAACACTTGTTCGGGAAGAAGCCAGGTTTTTATACTTGAATACATCGAAAGAGAGGGGGAGAGGGAGAAGAAAGCAAAAGGCAAGACCTACCCAGGGAGAAACAGCCATGGTCGGAGCCTTCAGACTGCTGTGAACGAGTGCCTGCATCTTCCTCCATCTTTCTCTTTGCAATAATCGCTCATTCGGTCACCCATTTCCACCCCCTCTCACCATCAGCCCATCAGAATAGCAGCTATACGCAAGGGAGAAGAGCGCCTCTTCCATGAATCAGGCTGAACCTCGCTGCTATTCCCCGTTCCTTGGCAAAATGCAACTTCTCTTTTCTCCGTCGTACTAGGCATCTCAGAAGGCATGCAGAGTGCAGTTGCAGCCACATGAAGCTGGAGTTGAGCAATCAGGGCATTTTCCGATAGGGCTAGGAAAGCAAGTCTTTGGCTAACCCTCAAACTCTCATGACAACGAGCATTGATTCGCCCGTTCGTGGATCAACAGTCGCCTCATACTTGCAGTGAGACTCCACCCCCCCACGACCTTGTATTGAAACCGGGATTTCGTCTCCTTGGCTCAGATATGTTCGCGGGCTGTAGCAGCCACGGCACAGGCAATGCGGGAGAGCTGAAGGCCAGGGGCTGTGGTCAAGGATTGAGACCGGGGTGGGTATCTCGCTTGCCCTGGTCCTCGTACAAAGTAGCGCCAACTCTCAGAGATTAGGGAAAGGAATGATGATCGGCCGGGAACAACCGCGCTTGAATCCACTCGGCGTGAGGAAGTGATTGTGTGGTTCGTGGGGAAAATGGCACATAAATGGCCTCTTTGATTTTGACCCTGATTATGCCCCAAGTTACGCCATCTCCCAGGCTTTTTTTCTTGCCGAGATACCTTTTGTCAAATAGATTTCTTTGCCCCTCTCTGGCTCAGCTCGCTTCCTTTTGTCTGTCTGTCTGATTCAAGAGGCAAACAACCGGGATAATGCATTACGCGTAAAGCCAGGGAAAGGGAAAAATTACTGCTCCATAAGAGAGCAAACAATAGCATATGGGTGCAGCCCATGCAGGGTGTGTATCAAATCCACATAGAGTTTAGCATAGTGCAACTCCTTTCAGTGCATCCCTCTCCTGGTCTTTGCTTTTTATTTTCTCCTTGTGCCGAAGCCCGATCTCCCCGGTTTGCCGCCGATTGAGCCTGGATGGGGCTATGCTGAGGCCGTGGAGGAGAAGCTGTGGTGCTAGTATTGCCTGATAGTCGCAGCAGTAATAGGAGTAGCATGTTCTCAGTACGCTGTATACTAGTCTATATGATAACCCATCTACTGATGCGGAGTAGTGCCCCATACCCCCCCTCATAACGCAGAACCTACTCCATATAAACTGGACTCCAGACGAACGATGAGCGTTTGGGGGTGGGGCTCGAGGCCACAATTTGGCTGCTGACACTGGAATGACAAACCAGCCGGTTTGGAGTCGGCAACTATGAGAGGCGAAGAGAGATGTGTATTAAGAACGGACTAATGCTTAGAATATCATGCTACTATTCTGTAGCACTGCTGCGTGTTCTGATTAAATGCTGAGAGCGAGCAATTATTTAAACAGCGTTGAGGAGCAGTCGTCAACCGTATTCGCAATTGCTGTGCTTCTTGTGTAATCTAATGCAACTTATTAGTTTTCACGTCAGTTCAATACCCAGGCATCACTGCTGCTCCGACGACGGCCACGACGACGACGACACATGCTGTACATACCCCGGCAATAGGTATACGACCAAGTAGTGCATAGTACAGTTGCAATCTCTCTGTCTGCTCCCTGTCTCTCACCGATTTCGTCTCGTTGCAATTACACGCAGCCATGGCACCCTCTCAGCCCGGTAACAACGAGGAGGCTGCTATCCCCACCCCTCCGCTGCTGGACCTTACCATTGACAACATTACCCAGAATGTGGTGCGAATCAACTCACAGAGCGGCGATGCACGCCTCAACTACCTGATGGAGCGGCTGGTGACCCATATTCACGACTTTGCGCGGGAGACACGCCTCAGCACACACGAATGGACGGCGGCCATCCAGTTCCTAACTCAGACGGGCCAGATTTGCAGCGAGGTTCGCCAGGTACGATTTGATGGCTGCTACTGTATCATTAGTCCTCGCTTCTGCTTGTCTTTTCTCTTCTCTCTTCTCTCCTTCCCTCCTGATTCCTTTTTTGCCCCCTTCTTTTTTTATCAATGACCAACATGGAATCCTACGCTATGCAGCCTGTTTACTGTCTGCGGGATCGGATTCTTGCTCATGCCCCTGTTTTCTCTTCTCGCTCTATTCCCATCCCCCCCCTCTCTGCTTTCCAAGGTTCCTACTCATTCTCTGCCCCCAACGACCATAGAACCCTACACTTAGCTTATCTTCTTTTCTTTTTTTTGTCAATGCCTGTACACTTTCGGTGACGAGCACGCCACGCATGCCTCAACGCTGTGCTTTCTCACCAGTAGCAAGAAGAAAAAAGGTGGTTGGCTGAGCTAACATGCTTCATCCAAGGAATTTATCCTGCTCTCTGATGTCTTAGGCCTGTCCATGCTGGTTGACTCCATTGACCATCCCAAGCCAACAAACTGCACAGAAGGCTCCGTACTGGGGCCTTTCCACACCCACGATGCACCGCATCTGCCCATAGGCTCGTCCATGAGCACAGACGCTGCGGGAGAGCCCATGCTCGTCTTATGCACTGTCCGCGACTCGTCAAATAGGCCAATTGAAGGCGTCAAGGTCGACATCTGGGAGACGGACTCCTCGGGCCACTATGACGTGCAGTATTCCACCAGAGAGGCGCCAAGCGAGCGGTGCATTATGACCAGCGACGTGGACGGCAGCTTCTGGTTCAAGGCCATCAAGCCTGTAAGCTATCCAATCCCGGATGATGGCCCGGTAGGCAAGCTGCTGGGGCAACTCAAGCGCCATCCATGGCGGCCAGCCCATGTGCACTTTATGTTTGAGAAGGCCGGCCTAGACCACTTGATAACGTAGGTACCGGTACTCTTCTGCGCGGGCATGATTTCGCGCCCCGTGTTCCTGTCCTAGCCCTGTCCTTGCTCCCGTCCTGGTTCCCCCACCACATCCATCTGATAAGTTTAATGCCAATTAAAGCAATGACAACCGAGCAAAGTGGGCTCGGCAAACTAGTGCCGGTACGAGTGCAGTAGCTAATATTGCATGCAATACGCTGTGATAGGACCCTGTTTATCCGCGGAGACAAGTACGAGACATCCGATGTCGTCTTTGGCGTCAAGTCGAGCCTGGTCGTCGATCTGGACAAGGTCGACAAGGATACGGCGATCAAATACGGAGTGCCCGAGGGAGCCTGGTTGCTCAGGCATAACTTTGTCTTGGCCAGCACAAGGGAGACGGAGGAGCTGAGAGACAAGAATGCCATGGAAGCAATGGAAAGATTGGGGCTGAAGAGCAAACTCATTGACCACCTGCCTGTACCTGATCTGGATTGAGCTGTGATAGACCACACGCATACTCTCTTGGAATTTCCATGTACTCTATATTAGATAGTACGTGGCACTTTGTGTGCGCTCGGAACTGCAAACTCATGCTTGATAGATACAGCTGGCAGTGAATATGACAGAAGAAGCATCAGTATAGACTATCAGTGGTCCTACAGGAAAAAGTTGAACACTGATGAATGTACCACAAACTGAGCATGACATTCTGTTAGAAGAGCACAGCCAAAATCAGTGGCCTCTCGGGCCTGACTTGATGAGCTTTGCAACATTCTCGTAGTAGCCACCCGTGCCGCCGTACTTGTCAACAAGCGCTGCCACATCTACCTGGGTTTCCAGCCCATCGCCCTCTCTTGTTCGTGTTCTCCCCAACAAACAGGTATTTCTCGTGCTGGGAATACGTAGCATCTCGGTCTCGACCTTCCAGCCGCAGTCCTCTGCAATCCTAGACACCCAATCGACCAGCGAGGCGTAGGTGGACTTGGCCTTGGACTTGTCCCTCGGAGGGGGTGCGCGAAACTTTTCGCCAGTCAAGTTGTGGCTGCAGCAGGGGATCATGATAAAGGGACACCTCGATGAAGCGGCCAGTATCGGCGTCCAGGGTGTCAGCTCGTCGGCATGATTGGAGATGATGAAGGTGCCCGGGGGGAAAACCCCGTCGTGTATGACGCCTTCGCGCAGCCGCAGGTCGGTTTCGGGTTCAGCCTCAGCCTGGTCGCTCGCTTGGGCCTGACCGCTTGTTGCTGTTGCCGTTGTCACGATGGATGGGAGCAGCAGCCGCTCTTCTAGAGAGAAACCAGAGGGTGAAGCATGCCCCCGCGTTCTATACTGAGCCCAGGACTTGCGTTCTCTCGCGTCAAATCCCCAGCCAGAGTAGCCCTCTCGCGTCAGCAGAGCCACCAGCAAGCCGTTTCCACAGCCGATATCGACGAATCCAGGAAAAGCAGTGGCGTCCTTGGGATACATGTCGTTCCATAGCTCGATGAGGAAGGCGGCTATTCCTAAATCCTCAAAGACGTGCTTGGAAGGATCCGTCTTTTCGGCCCACGAGTCAACCATCTGGCGAGCATACTTGCTCTTGAGAAGCGCGTATCGGTTCTGGAATCTGTCTTTGGGAATGACCAGGTCGTGATTGACTCTCTTGACATAGCCCTGAACAGCTCCGTGACCATGTTTGTCGAGAACCTCAAGGAGATGATACGCCGTTCGCTGCAACTTTGCATCGCTGAGGGGATGCTCTGGATAGGGGAGGAAGTGAACTGATATGGTGCCCCGGCCTTGTCCATCCCACTGGTGAAGATGTGCAATGCCGCGAACCTTGGGGTGATAGAAGGGGAGAGTGTCGGCCGAGGAGGCATGGGGCATATATATGACGAGAGTAGAACGAGCAGCAGCAGCAGGATCCTGTGCCTGTAAGCCGTCCTGTGCCGTGACCTGATCTGTGACCTGATCCGTGGTGTAGAAGGCGCAGGTCTGCTCCATGGGCTTGTCTCTGCGCTCGTTTCTGGGAATGAGTCTGCGGACGAGGGTGCGGACGAGGGCCATGCCGCGGATCGAGACGGCAACGGGGCTGACCGCGGGAGACTGCCGAGAGACGCCGTCAGGATCTTGATCGACGGCGGCATCAGCAGCGATAGAGTCACTGCTATTGCCATTGCCATTGCCATTGCTATTGGTTATAGCAGCTGCAGTTACCGTGGCACTACCACAACCGCAGTCACCGCTGCTGGCGCTACTCCCAGCCAGCTTCTTGTCGTCATGCAGAATATCGGCGCGGAACAGCCAGCTGGAGTTGAGATTCGGGTTCTTGATGAGATCCATCATCTTGTCCACAAACACAGCCGGCCCAAAGGTACAGGCATGGCTGTAGATGGGCACCCACGCACCGTTGGCGGCATCTTGCTCCTCGACCAGGGGCGGAGACCCCAGCGGGATCTCTTGCGGCTGAAACACCATGCGGGAATGGACGAGAAGGGCGAAGAAGGGTCTGGTTTTTCAACTCTTGCCTGATTGAGACGGGCCTGAGATTAGCTATGCTCGGGATCCTTTTTTTTTTTTTTTTTGTCCTTCTT